TGTCGTACAGGTTACAAATTTACATTAATTTATGTTTCTGGATGATCGGGAGTAACCCAAAGTCGTAGGAAATTACGACCGTTGATGATGTCAATGACTGGATTGTCTGGTCTAGTCTCAATTATTTGCATACCTTCGTCATATCACTGGACTATTGTACGGCGTAAAATATACACACACAAAAACCAACAAACAGCACCTAATGCTACCATCACACCAAAGTAGTTCTGTCCCGTTCTACCTCGTTCTAATCAAAATACTAGAACGGGCTGTGATCACGGTAGAACTCGTAGTTTGGCGTAAAATACGATGCTAGTTCGTTCATAAGCAGTCATCAATACGTCTATCTCGTTCTTATCTCGTGCTCATGCTACCATCACACCAAAGTAGTTCTATCCCGTTCTACCCCGTTCTATACAAAATACTAGAACGGGCTGTGATCACGGTAGAACGCGTAGTTTGGCGTAAAATACGATGCTAGTTCGTTCATAGGTAGTCCTCAGTATGTCTATCTCGTTCTTATCTCGTTCTTAGCCAGTCTGCAGTCCGTTTGTATCAAGTTCAGATCGTGTAAAAGTGCCCGTTCACCTCACCCCGACAACGTTTCGAAGCAGTTCGAGCATGTCCGCAGCCATTCTGAACCCGTTCTTAACCAGTTCAACCTCTTTCTACCTCGTTCACAATACGTCCAAGCCAGTTCTGATTCTTAACCCGGCCAACTCGTTCGCACTACGTCCTCATATCGTCCCAAGTGCTAGTGTATTCGCGTCCTGGTCCGACTTCTATGGTTACCGAGCGCGTTGTAGCCAGTCTTCATTCAAGTTTACGGCTCCGAGCTGTACACATCATGCCTCCAAAGAGAAGTCGACCCGGTGGGTGTGCACGCGTACTGAAATTTATGTCCGACTTCACCACGTCGTAACACGTCCATATATAGTGGGTTCGAACTACGTCGATTCCGTTCGTAATACGTCTTTCTCGTTTTAAGTACGTTGTCAATCAGTCTAATTGCAGAACGAGATGGACGGGATAAAATTTTGAGCAGGATTCAAAGTTCTAGAGCACCCTCCCCGTCCGAGCCCGTCCATGAGTTCGTAAAAAGACTGTCAATAGTTGCTACTACGTCCACTACGTTCATACACAGTTGGAGCCCGTTCGACAACATTTTCACGAACGTATTAAGAACTAGTTTGGTGTGATGGGACATTTGTGGTATGTGTAAATGCGTTTAGGTGCGGCAAGGGTTCCTACAACAGTTACCGTTCCGTGTCTTCATGGTCACTGTAAGCCATGACTCTACAATCCGCATAGTTTGGAGAGCTGCGCTAAGTCAAGGAGTGAGGGGTCTAACGACCGTTGCTCCAAATTAAATACAAAAGCAGTCATGTACCGGCGCCCCCACATTCAAGTATGAGAACAACACAAGGTTTGATAATCACAGTAAACTTCAGTCCATATCTCACTACACAACCAGGGCAGGACAGAGTGGGTGAATGGTAAGATCTAGACTCGACTTGATCGACCGGTTGTAAAACCCGCACGCCCTCCTAACACAAAGAACCTTCTTTTTAAAGTGTTCGACTCTGACCCGCTTTTGTCACGTGTCCTAATACATCATTCATTTAAACAACATGCCAGACCCTGAACACGCAATTGTATCGTGATGGCCACTTACCGAGACTTACCTACCGGTGACTAACCGTTTACTGATTCCCCCAATGATCTTATGAAATCAATACCGCATTGCTTCTTTCTTCTGTACTTTAAAAGTCCTCCTAAAATATATATCCTGTGTATACTGATATATTAACACGCAACCACAGTACCCCAGCAAGCCCACAGTAATGTGTTCTGTCTTCCTGTTGATTTATTAAATGGCAGTGATGGCATAAAAGCAATCAAAACATGTCATTCAATTGTTAAGTATGCCTAATGTGACATGACAATGAACAGTTTTCAGTGTCTTTGTACAACGACAACACGTGACTATCGAGCTCTAAAATATCATAGTTGTATCTATGATATTAAATTAAATATATCGACTTTATAAGGTACAATTAAGTTGCTAAAATTCCACCTGTGCGTTTCTTTTTTTGAAGTGTGTAATACTATATATAAGTCGTTTATCTCTGCGTCTCTGTCGTTGATGCAGAGTATAAAATTAATCACTGAGCTACGACCAGAATTTGATTACTGTTTAAATGATTACATAAGGCTAGGTTCTCACTCGGTGCAGTTCAGTTGGTGACCAGACAAATTTTAAAGTTAACGTAATGAGAATTTTATTTTTTGCTAACACAGTGACGCATTGGCATTTGGCTCTTTTTCTGTTCTTTATTTGTGTTTAGGGCTGTATTAAAGGGTTATTAGTTTTTGTGAAATTAAATACAAATATATTTTTCTAAAGTCTAATATCAAAGTTAAGTACGCAACTAATCATTGAAAAGTTGATAAAGAAAGTGATTTACGTGAGAAACCTAGATGTGGCGAGAAAACAGGTACATGCAATCCAATCTCTCCCTGTCCTTTTATGTTGATATGTTATCTATTTAAAGATTAGTGAACTAATGCTTTAAAACTCGAGCTTCGGCATGGGACTTTTAGCATTAACACTTCCTTCCGAGTTGCAAGTAGGTAATTCTAAATAGTACTCATTTGACAAAGAAAAATATAGACATTGTTGGTTTACTGACAAAATACTCCAAGTCGGTGAGTCTATTGCTTGAATGACGTCAGATAACAATCTGCTCTTGAGTCATGGATAATGAATGTTTTCATCTTCAATTATTTCCATCAAGGGCCTCGTACGAGGGCAAGTTATAAAGAGCAGAAACACCTGACAATAATGCCTCATTCGCCGTGAACGAGCCAGTAGGCATGAAGCGAACCTTGTACTTTCGGCAAGACTTTGCCTGATATGTGTACCACTGTGGAACATTTTAATTTCTCTTGAACGTTACAGACACTATCCCACTGTCACAGTCGTGTATAATAATGATTTCACGTATCTAGGTTACTCTCTCTACCTCCAATCTACGCTTTTTAAAAGGTTTATGACCTCATCCACAGAAACGCTGCCAAGCTGTCCACCTTCTCTGATTCTTTTTTCTGTCAATACTTGAACCATTAGAGACAAAAACGGTAGAAATTTAATACGATCTCTGTATATCGTTTGTAGTGTCTTCAAAGTTTTGCTTAGTATATTATACTGCCCATGCGTTCTAATATTTCGTGTCAGTATGACATAATTACTGCAAACAAAGTTACACCTGAACTCTGTCCCGATTGGAGGCTCAATGCAGGTGGGAGTAGTGAGTCATATTATCAGATACATATCACTTGAACATCACTATGTGTCAGTTGGATATATATGTATTAGTAATAAAAACAGTCCTGGGCATTGATTATCAGTTGTGCTATCATCCAGGAAGAAGATTCGCTTTTACCAACGACGAGATATACACTGTTACTAGCGAGGACATTTCCCAGAGGTCAGCACCACAATCTCAGTGACATTCCGACCTTGAATCACGCCATATAACTGACATTTTCCATGTTCTGCCCTCTACAGATATAACCATATGAACGCTTGTTTTAAGAATGACTCCAGTGTTCGTGTTGTTCGTGTTAATGGTGCACACAGGCTAACTTCAAACTCACAACTGTTTAGTGAAGGATGAATGATGAACAATTTATTTTGTTCATTATTTATAGCAAGTTGATATCGAAAATCCAAATCATATTTTTTTTTTCATAATATAACATTGAACGTTATTCAGATGGCTGCTATTATGTATATAGTGCCCACTGAACGTATCTTTTGAACATGTGTTTCGAAAACCAATAATTATTCCATCAGTTAACCGCAGGTCCAAAATATGAAGGTATTCTCATCACGTAGTATTGTACATGTATGCGTCTTATATTGCCATATATAATAGATGTCACTATACATGCAATGAAGCTATCCCAATGCGTGAGCTTTACTACGCTGTATGCCAATTCCACCGGCATCACAGCGGGCTATACTAACAAATGCAATAGGCTTCAGTTTTTTTATCCATTTGGTCAACATATGCCATAACAAACCCTCCTTTAAGTTCAATATTGGTTTCTCAAATATATATAGTATCCAGGAGCATAGAACAGTGAACATGAAATCCTTGTAAATAGTAACCGTTAAATACTGTATTTGTGATTTTGTCATAACAGATTACGTGACTTGAGACATGCATCTGTTGTCAAGCTGTCCCACTGCCTGCCCTAACGCTCACCTTCACACGTGGCAATCTTAAGCAGACACTCAATCATTGTTTCAAAAGCCTTGATACTCAAAATTAGATTAACCACTGCATACGAGTATTGATAAAACACTGATACCCCATTTTCGTATCCTTTTAGCATTAATCAAAGTGTAACTAAACATTTTGCAGTGGCAGCCTGGCTTCTGTAGATACCCTTGATGTAATGTACCGGCCAAATACCATACCCAGTCTTTAACAAACAAATTAAATTTACAAAGATGTTTGCCTATCACTTCGAGGAGCAGTTCACTTTCACACTTCGAGGTGGTGAGGAAATAACGCAAATGAGTGCTATTAACACCTATGAGACAAGATGGATGGTGATCGTCGTGATCGTTTGTGTTGTTTAATGCTGATGTCAGCAGTATTACCCTATGTCACGGTTGAATGTAAACCAATAGCTCGATACGATAACAAGTAATCAGCAAGATATTCGCCCACTCAGAGAACCTATAAGAAACAGCTTCGTAGATGTCTCTGTAAAATGATTCGTTTTAAGCAAAATCACACAACCGTTAGATACTCTGAATATGTTAGCGAATTGGCGTTAAACGTCGTTTTATATGTCATTTCAGTCTTGGTACTGTCAGTTTCTAAATGGCCCTTGTCTCGTTTGGAATTCAGGCATTATCTCAAGCAAAAGAGTATAGAAACACTGAGGATCATAATCAACTAAAATTCGAAACAAAAACAATGTTCACGTTTTCTCATTCTTTATTTTTTCCAAATTTGAAAATACATGCTTAGCAAGAACATATAACACGGGATATCGGCAGGTATACTGCTATACACTATTTGTATTACAATGATATTAACACTTTTTCTAGTTTTCGAATATGCCCAATTACAACTAAGTTCACGGGTCCATTTGATCGGAACAGCGTTCACTAGTTGCCAGGGATGTTATATATGATGGTGTACCAGAAAACAAAAACGCAAGAAGAATGTGTTCGGCTTCTTGAGAAAAGGTAATTCAAAAACGTTCTTGACAAGGAGAATAGAATATACTTCTTGGTTTCCTGGAAAGAAATAATGACCCGTTAAGTATAATAGTAATATAGACTGCCATCTATATATCTAACTTAAACTGTCAGAATACTACAATGTAATTAAATGTGCAGTTGCCATGACCAGAAATAGTGATAGATTTTACAAGATCTGGTCAGCATGTCATATGCTTTTCATGTAATTATAAGAATGATCTACATGCAAAACAAATGCACAGAAATAATGTGTTAGTTAGTTGGGTTTAACACTTCCTTGAACAATTCTTCTCGTTATTTCCAATGTACGTTAGTTTAATGAGTGAGAAAAACCCCAAGTGCCGTAAGGTATAAATGTTGCCACTTTGACACCATGAGTATGGCGCTGACAATGCAAGGCAATGAAATCATATTGAATCTGGGATATGTGGGATCCTGTCACTGAATGGGGCGTAACTCTGCCTCTCCTGGACCCCCGTGCCTAAATACAGAAATTGATACCTTACAAAAAATAGTGATTACATGAAATACCGTACAAAATCTGGAGATACATTCCAAACATTCCAATTCGATTTTTCAGAGCAGCATTGTAAAGTGCATGATATAACTAAACGTAAACCACATCTAAGGATTGTTGCAGGGGTGTTGTTGAAAAAACGGAAGTGGATAGCAAGCTGTAGGAAATCACTTATACAATATTCTTCGATTGGGTATAAATAAACTCGATCATCTTTAACCATTTGGATATAAACAAAATATAAACAACCAATATAAACTATGTCAATTATATGCTTGCATGGAAGAATATGATGGACGTTCGCCCCGGTTCGCCCCGTGTAATTACATACTGATCAAGTGAGGATGTCATTATATGAAAACATTCAGGATATCATGCTTATATTGACAATCTGTTACTGATAGCCTTCGCTGCATGTCCATGCATGTACCTCTATAGTATATATCGATGTATATGGCTGAAGATACATGTAGGTGTATCAATTATGTGAAGGTAATGGGAATTAATTCAAAAGCGATAAGGTTATAGTCAGAGTAGGGTCCCAGTTTATCACGTCCATGACAATTTTCTTTCTACAAGAGCCATTAACTTCCACTTAAAACGAATAACTTTCATCTTTTGATTCCATTTCTGTCAATGTTTTTTTAAGCATTTCCAGCTCAAAACCACCAAGGATAATCTTGATGTCAGTATCGTCATTAACATCAGTGTCATAATGGCACATTGTACCATCTTTAGCTAGGTCACGTACTACCTTCTCTGACTCAGGTTGAGATTTGAGCTTTTCAGCCAGCTTGTTGATGATATCATCCTTCGACTGTACATCCTCGTCCTTTGTTAGTATTCTGCCAACATCTGCTTGAATGTTTTCATAAGGAACATCATACGGATTATATGGATCAGACACTTTCCGCGGGACACCTTGATTAGCTCCTCTCCGACGGGCTGCTTGCTGGTTTCTATTGAGATTATTCGCCCTGCGAGCTTTCGTTGCACCCACCTGAGAGGCAGAGTCATATGGTTCAATGCTGTAGACATTGCTGGTGTCGTTGTTCAAATAGTTCTTTTTACGGGCAGGCAAAGGAAACTGGTCAGCGGTCGAGACCTTCTTCATTTCTAGAGTTTTTGCTTTTTTTGCTTTTTTTGCTTTTTTTGCTTTTTTATGCCTGCAACATGAAACACAGACAATTATATATCGACAAAGGTGTTGTGTTTTACTTATTGTGTCAATAGGGATTTTCTCGATAGCTGCTTGTTCATAAATCTGATCTATTGACGGAGCTGAGAAGACTACATTGAACTCTTTGTGTTGTTACAGAGGCGTATCGAACTTTCTAATGATGGTTACACATATCGTGTATTTCTGCGGTATGGCTTGGCAATTTAGATCTAGATTATTCTGGGTAAATGTACAGTGTAATACGTTACTTGTATAGATAAGTCAATGATCTCATAAAGTAACTGTTACTCTTGAAATAGGTGATACCATTTGTCGAGTCATTGTAACTTACTTCAGGCAGATGATGTGCTTTATCTATTGCCACTAACCTGTGATACATGGTATACGTGCACCAGCATATTGCAGTGAAGACAATGCCCCCCAGCGCAGATGCTGCCAGCTCAATGTCTGAAACATTTGGGTTAACCTGCTATAACATTGTACAGTTCGGTTATATATTTCCATTCTTTTTACGGCACATTTTGAAACGTCATCGGATCAGTGTGAATTGAAATTATGTTTCTCATCTCGTAACACCCCACACACCCCGCCTCTGACACATGTAAATATCAATTGTCAATGCAATGATTATCCAGTTATCATTACATGTTACAAAGACATATTGTCGGTGAATTATGCCTGTGTTACAATGAGTTTTGGAAACCGCCATGTCACTTACACGTTAACTACATGATGTTAGTTGATAGCATATATCCACGATCTAAAGCATGATGCATTCCGAGTCACCAGAACACTATTCATTACTTGGTAAGTTGCTCATATCCCTGAGGAATATACAAAAGGAATCAGATAGGGGGCTTACCATACATTATCAATTTTGACGTGGCAAGACTCAGTGACTTGTGTGCTTTTACAAGGCGGCTACTGTACTGTGGCCAATCAGATATGTTTTCTTGTTACCACTTGCTTGTGACGATGATATTGCTTTTATTTATCCCCCATCACAACCAATATCCTCAAATGATGATTCCTTATTTTTCTGCTTTTCTGTAAAACCACAGTAGAACATATCATCAGAATTTGTCAATTTTATATTAAGACTGTAACCAGCGTTTTAAGCGCAATCTCATTAAAATCATATCCAAGTTCCCACTGCCGCTTATAAATCCAGCCAGGGCCCATGCAGGAAGCAAAGGCACTGTAAGTCCCCATGGTCCCTGGTATGGTGATCTGCCTTTAGTTACTGACGATCTCTAGCCCATTTTTATATCGTGTTGTTGATTCTTTCTGCTTTTATCTGTTCTTCAACTAGTTTTAATACACTCCGTGATATTCTAGTTATTGTACTGTCCTTTGATGACAGGTATTTTTATAAAGTAAATATACTTATATGTTATTAATGTATTAATTCTCGTCATGATATGGCTGAAATATTGCCCATGTGACGTTAAATGATAACTCACTCACTCACTCTCACTGCCGCTAAACAAAACGATAGCGAGAACTAAGATCTGATTTTAATGAGATTGTATAAAGCGTAAATATATATCTTACACCCAATCTGTGCAACTGCCCACTGCGTGTATTGGGCAGGCCGTTTGCCTAATGCGTGCACTGTATCCCTTTTGTCATCCCCGAAGCATTAGTAAAGGCAATGTGACAACTAGTTATGTTTTTTCATATTTTTACAAACATTCTGGACATATATTATTTGCTAAGGTTTAACTTGTGCAATTGCGGCACAAATAGCTTTATCTTTGATATGAAAAAATATTACGTTAATATTACATACTCAAATTGAGAGAGTTTGTTAAAACATATGATGATGCTTGTTAAAACTAGCATAATAAGTTAGGTATAAGTTCATATGCCATTATGGATGGCTATGTTAATGAATGAACTGAGCGGTGATGTGATTCAGAGACTCTTTATAGGCAGATGACACTGCTTGATATGTGTTTTATTTAGAAATAACACACTTATCTGCTATCTATGTTTGATATGTGTTTTATTTAGAAAATAAAGTTTCCTAAGATCATATATTTGTTTGGTTGTTATCTATTGCATAATAACGGGAATCTATGTATGCAGGAGATACAAGCACAGTGGTGACGGGAATCAACTCTGAACCTGCTACTTATGTATGCAGGCGATACAACCACAATGGTGACGGGAATCTACTCTGAACCTGCTACTTATGTATGCAGGCGATACAAGCACAATGGTGACGGGAATCAACTCTGAACCTGCTACTTATGTATGCAGGCGATACAAGCACAATGGTGACGGGAATCAACTCTGAACCTGCTACTTATGTATGCAGGCGATACAAGCACAATGGTGACGGGAATCAACTCTGAACCTGCTACTTATGTATGCAGGCGATACAAGCACAATGGTGACGGGAATCAACTCTAAACCTGCTGTCTACGTAAAAAGGAACAATGCTGACGGGAATCAACTCTGAACCTGCTATCTATGTATGCAAGCGATACAAGCAAATAAACAGATATAGCAAAGTAGATATGAATAGAATACTTACAAAATAACTTCCTGGATAGAGTTGTTTCAGTTCCACAGTTACACAGCTTATCGTTGTTAGACTCCATATTGTTCTTGGTTTTCACTGGAGTACCCGAAATATATCACAGATCATTAAACACCGAACTCTCTTTGGCCGTAGCAGTTCCATAACTTTCCAGCACATTAACAAAGTTATAATCATAAGCCTTAAGTAAGTTATTTAGTATTGACTTTGTCATAGGCTGTCAGTCAATGGTTACAGTTGAAATGTGTACTGAACAACCGGGAAAGTAACTGTTTCACGCCCTGTTCAAAATCAACGAATCAACGTGAAAGTATATATGTAAATGACGAAACCAATGCGAAGAAATTGACTACATTGAATGACACTTGAAATTATTTTGGAAAACAAATATTTGTTCCAGTTTGTATACTGCAACAAATATTTATCCTCATGTTTCACAAAAGAAAAGTATAGCGTGTTTTGAGGAAAAGAATACCAAGATTAACTACAGCGACAGCACAATGCTAGCAATATAAGGGCTGACATAGGGCTGATCCTCGTCAATCCAGTCGCGGTGTCTTGTGGAGACAGTGTCTCCTTTCCCCATCTCTCCATACACTGAGTTGCTGTACTATATATTGATTTTTACCAGTAATTGTGGATTGCTGTTTTGTAGCAGCCGTTGTCGTGGTAGCAGGTGTTGTCGTAGGCGTTGTGGAAGTAGTTGGTTTAGACGGTGTGGTCGGTGTGGTCCATGTGGTCGGTGCAGTTGTGGTGGTGGTAGTGGTGGTGGTGGTGGTGGTAGTGGTGGTGGTGGTGGTGGTGGTGGTGGTGGTGGTGGTGGGTGTAGTAAAAGTCGTCTCACCATTACAAGTTAAGGTCATATCGGAACCTGAAACATTTAAACTCTTTATCAACAGCACGTCACGAGAGGCGTGTTCAGTGTAACTACAAAATTTGTAATGCTCTGAACTCTGACATATTTACCTATAACCTGACAACATTCGTTTCAATAATGGTTCATTCAGGCCTATATTCATGTATATCCAAACTGTTATAATATCACATCTCTCTCTCTCTCTCTCTCTCTCTCTCTCTCTCTCTCTCTCTCTCTCTCTCTCTCTCTCTCTCTCTCTCTCTCTCCCTCTCTCTCTCTCTCTCTCTCTCAATAATTACCTTCTGCATACAGATACAACCACAAATATAAAGCGTCTTTGGAATCCACATCTGTAAGTTTCAACGTCACGTCACCAGTTGCTGAAGCGCCGGAATAGATTTCCTTCAGTCCAACAATACCTCCAAAACCTGAGTACTCCTCCTTTGTGTTAGTGACACTAATGACCTTGGTGTCACCTATGTTGAGTGAACGCCCACATCTACCACTGCCAGAACAAAGTCGTAGATCAATCACTGCAACTTGCAGTACTTTATTGGCTGCAAACATAAGCTTGCAGGAGCAGTTAAAGCCTGTAGATTCAGGATTGTAGTCTGGATAATCTTTTGATGCAAGAAACAGTCCTATACCCTTTTTTGTCCCTTTCTCACACATTCTTTGAATTGAATGATCTGCATATAAGAAAAACATATGGTAAAAACCTATGTCCTGAATAATTTTGGCTTCCCTTCCAACTTAAGTGAGTGAGTGAGTGAGTGAGTGAGTGAGTGACTATGGGTTTAGGCCGCTTTTAGCAATATTCCAGCAACATCACGGCTGGGGACACCAGAAATGGGCTTCACACATTGTACCCATGTCGGGAATCGAGACCGGATTTTCGGCATGACGATCGAACGCTTTAACCACAAGGCTACCCGACTAGCCCTTTCAATTTAAGCTGTCATGGTGTGATATTACTGTAATTTAACAACAATTACAAAATGCAAATACAAACAGCATCTGATTATACAACTCAGTGCCATACAATGTCTGATTCGTATTTCAACTTCCGGAATCCGACCAATGAAATCCTCGTTTGAAAAAAGTAAGGGGAACTCAGCCATTTCCTCGCTAATTGACAATTGTTACTGTACATCTTTATAAATAATTGTCAAATTTCATTCTTAAGCAAAGAAATGGTTATGTTATTTTATATATAGCACACTGTCATGAATACATACGAGATCAGTAGAAGTATCTTTGGAGCTCAAAAAGAGGTGACTCTCGAAAGCAACATGGTGTGTATGAACAATTATGTACATAGCATTAAAGAATTTTGAATTAAGGTTACGGCCATAACAAAGTGTATCCATTTACAAAATGTCATGTAGATGTATGCGTGTCAGCGGTCAGCGGTTTAACTATTGGATATTTCTTATACAGACTTACATGGTACACACATGTACTCTGTCGTCACGTACTGTGTTGTCAGCATTGTTGTCAGTCCTTGTTGATATGGACAGTTCATATCGGGTTTACTGACATACACAGGGTGCCACGGTGCTCTCTGACCCGTGCAATAGGTCTTCCCCGAACACACATGTCTTATCTTGTCAAAGTCCTTAACACTGGTGAAATTGCAGTCAGTGGGATTCACATCACAACAAACTTTGGGGTATGTATTCTGGCCTGTGCAATTGTTAGCTGATGAAAACGCAGGGTCTTTAAGGGAAAATGTGTTTCTAATTGGTGCAAACCAATCCTTGCCGCACTGCACGTCATAGGTGTCTTGATAACACAGGGTTTTCTTGCAGACTTGGATAGCTGACCCATTCATGTGCACCAGCTTCACCTCTGAAACAAATGTACATGTATGTTTTGGGAGCTTTGAAGATGGAGGCAAATACCCACCTATAACTTGATGGTTGATGAACCAGGTACTATACAAACATGCTGTTGACAGCATGTGAACATTAATGACAAACACATTCAACATTTTGTCTTTGACAAACATTTTTGCCGTTTGTTTCATTCGTAACAGAAACATAGACAATCATATGTACATAGGAAAGGATCTGGGAGACATCAATACCCCCTTTTATTACGGTAGGGGCGTGAAGGTTCAGTTCAGCCTGACAGTTCAGGTCACAGATCAGCTTGTTTTGCACACATATTCAATTACATAAATGTTTTAGGCACAATATCAGAAAGAAAATGTGCGCGAGGATGTACCGTGTCAAGTGCTAGTCTGTATCCCAAACCATTATTGACAAAACACGTCGTTGAGTATCAATTACGATATGGGGGAACACCTGGAACGGGTGTTGGCTCTTTGTGGCTGATCATGTTGGGAGGTAGCACTAATGGTAAAATATGATTTATCTGATAAACAATACCGCGTCCAAGATGACAACGCGTCTGTGCATCGGACCCGTCTCGCGATCGCGGAGACATTCAGATATGGCCAGCTGAGCAACCTGTTTTGACTCTTATAAAACATACGTGGGCTAAACATTGAAAAAATAATCTCGGAAAACACATGCCAGGCCTCAACATGTACCAAAAAAAAACTGTTTCAGGACGTTCACGATGTACAGACTGAATCTAGGGTAGAAGTTGTTACGTAAGTACATACACAACTGAGTACAGATGAATTCTTAGCAAGCGTCATCTGACAACATATTGAGGCAGCAGTTGGCATTTCAATGCCCGAATGAGGAGTTTTAATATGTACACGCCCCTTGATCACCTCTACCATTTTGAAAAATATGAAATACTTAAATTACCAGTTTAGCATGTCGTGCCGTAGAATGATCGGTTGGTAATCAGTGTGTTTCGTAATGAAGCCAGTATTAAAGGGTGTTAGCATAAACTGACATGCAAAAACTTTAAATACTGCTTGCCCAACTGTACCCACTGCGTACATAAGTAACCCGAGAAAGATATGGCTTACCTGAAGATGCTGGTGTCACAAGTGGGACCCAAATCACTGTGAAGAGCAGTGAAACTATCCTCATCTTGATGTATCAAATACAGACTGAAGGTGTTGGCACAATACTACATGTAAAGCGAAGTCAGACAGAACATGTTTAATTTCAGCAGACAACCTTTGGAAGACTGTCTCGCTATCTGTTGTGTCCTGACAGAATTATATATATCACACACAGTAATTTGTAATCTTGTGCCGCTTGATATGTTATCTAAGGGGTCAAATATTCACAAAAGGATTATGCATGAGCATTGCATTTCTAGCAAGGATAAAATATAATATCTCATAGCCATATGTATGTAATGTTGTTATGTGCCAATTATTTACAGCTTCATTGGGTCATAGTTTATACATATATGTAGAATAAGTGGTCACCATGTGTTTGAGGATACATTGTTATCAGTGATATTTATACCAAGCCTGTGATGTGTGTAAAGACTGTTTCGATACACGCCGTGTAAGTCCTCGTTCTGCATTTGTACAACTTGTCGGCATGTTTTACGCTGAGGATTGTGCCACGTTTATTATCTCTCTGTTGAATTACAGACACTGGGTTGCCGAGTGCGGCGTCAAACAACAAATAAACTATGACAATGACATCATCCGTTATCTCTTCACTGACAACATAGCACATTTATTGATTTGTAATTATATTGTCATGTGTGAGCGTCAGTGTCTAATAATTGTAAAAACGTATCTATTTGTTTCATGTTTATGTTTCTGTTTCGAATTAAAAGCCAGATGTAATGCAGGTCAAAGACGTTTCACATTTGTAAAATCCTACGAGCATGGGTATGATGCTGACCAATCAAGTATCAGTAGCATGAACCAATTGTCAGCGAATCCTGACACGAAGAGGGGACGCAATTGTTTGTCAGTCAGTTATATTCAAGCTAAATAACGGCAGTCTGTATACCTCCAATGCCACTTTGTCTTGTAAGGGTCTTCCTTTCCCGGAATAAGCGCATGTACATGTCCCGGCGCCCAGGATATTCTTTTATTATATATCCCTGCAGTTAGGGACAGTGTATAGAATGCCTGGAGCACTCAGGCTACAGTTAAACTTCATTCACCACATTATTTTTCTAACTTTTTGTGAACTCAAAACATTTCCAAACTTCCATTTTGGAATTGATCGTGACATTGAAAAGCGTCTTATGGCTTGAGTTTGTCTTCCTTGTTCTTTGATTCTGTTGTCACTGTGGCCTCGGTTCCTGTCACCCCATTTGCAGATGCCTGAACGTGAGATATGGCGACTGTCTGTACGTCGGACATCGGCCTCACTCTGCACTGTAAAACAATAAACTACAAACTGATGCAGTTTCCCATTAAAGTTACAGATAAAATTATTAAATTAATACCCGATGTTATAACAATTGCACATATTGGATTACATGCGGTGAGTAATGGAATGAGTGAGCAAAGAGCAACAACAGTCAGTGATCATGTCGGTTATCGGTTGATATCTCGGGTTAAAAGATGCACGTACCCTTTCCTATCTTTGGGCTTGGCTCGCGGAGTAAGCCAGTCTTCTGTCCATCGTTGCCGCAAAATAATTAGATTCGGTATTCAACAGGCAAGAGATTTTCGATCGGTGTCTGTCATAAAGTTTATCTTTTTTTCTTAACTTGGATAATATCGAATCGGTTATAGGAGATTCAAAAGTTGATATGGTAGTTAAAGAAAATATTTGGTATTCCATAATAACTAAGCCGCTCATAAACATCCAGATAGTTTAACATCATTGTTTGATATTTGTTAAGATATTTCGTTAAGCTTGTACATATTACCACATTAGGCCTAAATATCGTATCGCAATATGACTAGCTATAAAAATTATACTTTGTGTCTCTAAATATGATACTAACTATAAAAACCTGTACTTGTCAAAGGTTTACCATCATATCGGACCTGCATTTCGAGGTCTAAATGTTCACGAAATATCAGGTAATTCCCCCGGAATAGTCAAGCTGTCATTAATAGCCCTCTGACCCTCTCCTCTTGTCATTTGATATTTGCTCTGTTGATCCGTGGTACTATTATACGCATTTTCTTTCGGGTTTCGTTCTCTCCAAATACAGTAGGGTAACTATGAGTGAATTACAAAGGAGTACAGAGGAGTGAGTGGGTATGGTTTTACGCAGCTTTTAGCAATATTCCAGCAAAATAACTGCGGGGGACACCAGAAATGGGTTCACATATTGTACCCATATCGGGAATCGAACACGGGTCTTCGGCGTGACGAGCGAACGCTTTAACCACAAGGCTACCCGACCGCCCTAAGAAAAGGGAAGGACTATCAACTGAACATGTTGGCGGTGTTTTGTAAGGATGCAAAGAACCAAGAAAGACGACAAGGGTGTGTGGTCAACAATAATCAATGATGGATCATGCCCCGACGATTGATCAAACATTCGTATATACGCGTGTCATGGTCTGAATTAATCTCCAACTAACAATTTGATTCAAACAATATTTATTTCAAAGAAAAAGGAATGGGATTGGTGAACATGTTCAACCTATTTTAACACCTCTTCCTACAAAGAACATTTAACAATTAATAAGAGTAAGCTGTACATAAAATAATAAATTTAGATTGATTGTGCCTACTTTTGCAAATATTATGATGATATACAAGTCACACACAAACACACAAATACACGCATACATATATCGGTACAAAAACAAACAGCATACCAGCATATCACACATACAAACAACTATTTGATCGATGTAATCGTTATGAAGACATATTTAGATTTTAAATCTTTTTGATTTTGCAATGAACAAATGGACAGATTGTACAATATTTAGGTGAGTATCAGTAGTTGTTGTAGCATTTCCATATGATACTGAATCCAAGTCGTATCCCTTTATATAGTAGTACATATTGTTCCGAAGATTACAGTAGTTGCAACATGAAAGGAAGTAATGTGTAAGATCCTCATAATGATATCCACAGGAGCAGGTAGTAGAATCATGAATATGTCTGATATTTGTGTGCATTTAAATCTCTGCATCCTAATCTGAGGGGGCAATGGATTATTTGACAATGACAATTTAAGGGAGTCCTTCCGACTCCTCTAGCAACGCATGGCCCATGCGGGCTTACGTAGCGGATAGCCTTTGATTTCTGGGTACTGTTCTCCCGATCATATCCCAGATGTGCTAAATGGGAAAGGTTTTCATGCTGTTCATTTAAGTCTAATGACGTTATGCTACTGGATATAGTTACGATACATGCACGGTGAGCACGAGCGCTATCGTACATATCGTTACAGACCCACCCCTAAATTCGTCGTGTTGTCTTGCGTTGACGTTGACGTTTCAGACACGTCCATGCCTGTACAGAAAGGTCAGAGTGAATTTGGACTCATCTGAAAACCATTACACGAGATCACCGGCGGTTCGCTTTCGTCAGTACGTTCACTTTCCCCGTGTGATCATGCGACTTTTGTCTTATTGTTTTCCGAATATATATAAGAAAATAATTTAAACATACACTGTTACCCAAGAAGGGAGAAGTGCACCCCAAGTAGGCGAGCTAATTTGCCCGGACCATGGAACACCCCTTCTTGTTTGGTCCTGGTGCTAGGGATGTGCGAGAGGTACAATGTCAAAATCCGAAGACCTTCCATACTATACGTTATTGTTTTATATTTACTTGGCGTGTTTTAGTTCGCCAGTTGCTCCCCAGTGATCTTCTCTGGTTTAAGACCGACACTTCTGTTAAAAAAACACATGTTCGGTTCTGGGTGGGAGGAGAGGCATTTGAAGATGGGATGGAAACTGTAAGATTGTATTCAGATAATCTTCATCACAGCCGATACTCCAAAGAATCAAAGGATCGATCCCACGAACACTTTCGTATACGTATTACATTCTTCAGTACTATTGTTGTTATAACATAATGTTTGAAATTATCATGATAACGCCTTCATAAAACCCAATAACAATAACAGGTGAGAGAGCGCGTATGGTTTTACGCAGCTTTTAGCCTTCTGCACGCAATAGCATGTAAGAACAGATGCAATGATGGCAAGTCTGGGCATTTCCTGGTCTTGTCTATTTTTCTGATTTGACCATAATTTGTTACATGTGAGCATAAAAATGAAATCAAACATCATCACTTTTCTGGGTACATGAATACTTATGTGTCTCTTACAATTGAACGTCTAAAGTGTTGGATGTACATCTTTGCCAGAGGTTGTATATTTTCCTGTTGTTCCATCGCGTACCGGTAAAACATGTTATTTTGATTACAGAAAGACACTGAATGACACACTGCACAAGTATATAATCAACATGCACGTTGGCTATTATCGTGATTTAACAAGCTCGCACAGTCGCATGGAGAACAAAGAGAAACCAGCACGATAAAGCATTTTCTATCACAGCTTTGAAAATACAGGTACTCAGGTTTCAAATCGAAATAATGACTTCTGAATGAAGCAGCTAATTTCTCAGTCATTGACGGTTGTCATTTTGAATAATGGTATGTACTAGTACAGGTGACACATTGCAAAGTTGCAATTACTACAATATTTAAAGCATATTCAGCAGAAAACAATGGAACGGGAGAGTGTATGTCAATTTTGAGCAACAACAGAACTTAAATTTGGCGCTTTGCAATATCCGACGGCGACGTCTTACATTCTACATCACAATGAACAGTGTGACTTAATAATAGTTACATGCGGGGCAAGTTTATACGTTCCAGACCTTTTTAGGTTTCTTCTTTGGGTTTACGAAAAGTGGTGATGTCTGATAACTGATATAACTCCCAAGACAGCGTTTATTTCTGTAAGGCAACCCTTTCACTATACACTACAAGCTGACTACAGATAAATTGTCATATGAACTGAACAGCCACCTCAGCGCAACGCTGAAATGGAATCATATCCAGATTCTAATGATACAACAGAGTTCCTCTTTAATTCCAATGCAGATACGTTGGTTCCTGACAGTTTCTTCCTTTTTCGAGAATTCCGTTGCAGCTCGTGCATCCTGCAACAGTACAAGGCATTGATATTAAACTCAAAATGAGTTGACCTGTCTAACTGATTCTTATACAGTCAAGTCCCGTTTATCCGACATGGTTGATGCATACGATTATGTCGGATAAACGAGTATGTCGGATAAACGAAATTAAGTAGTATCAACGTTCGTGATAGAAAATCGAACAACTACACGATAGATAACGATACAAACACGTAATAAAAAATAAAAATGAAATGTTCATATTGTTATGTTACATTGTTAGTGGAATATGTTTTCTAATCATACAACCTCTAAAGCTCGACTATTAAACGGACTGTATGACTTATTTAAAATACTTTAAAAAGCATAGTCTGGAATGGCAGTCGCAAGTTTGATACTGGAACCGCAAAGCTTAGGAAAGCTGCTTTCTAAGTGGCTAATAACGTTGACTTCCTGTTAGTCATTTCATTGGCAGGTCATAGTTCGCGAAAAGCTGTAATGGGATATCCTCGGCGACAGCGAGAACTTGTATCTGATTTCAATGCGATTGAGGTAATCCAAGCATGTGATTAATACTGTTTTCTTTATTTAAAGCATTAATTGTTTATTGTTAAGCAAGTTTATCTCTGGAGCCGTTGTTATATGAGAGATTTCGGTAATTCGTTGCAAATTAAGTGTGTCGGAGTCGGAGTGCGACACTGTCGGATTAACGGGTCTAAATAGTACTGATTTAATCGGTTCCCATCATTAGTGTCGGATAAAGCCGATTGTCGGATTAACAAGTGTCGGTTTAACGAGTCTTGACTGTACTTACGGTCTAACGATTAACCGGACATAATGTCACAAACTGTCAATATTCGGTGAGAAAACGATGTGCGAAACATGCTATTTCTTTAATGCGTTTATTCTTCGCGTTACGGTACTCATCTCATTTGTTTTGTTTTGGAACCCGCGCCCCTAAAATTGAAAAGGAAAATATTTTACGTGAAAATTATAATTCACGTTAAACCAAGGTTACTTGACACGCCACCACTAGCCATACTCTTGACATATGTGAAATCCATTCAATTTTTCTATTATACTCTTCAAAAAAGAAACTATACATCAGGATTGCAACTGGGTTTATTTTTCGAGTTTAGATTTCATAAATAGTGTAACAAGTGGTACTTATAGGTTAATTATTGTACAATATGCATGTAACAAATACAGGCACAAAAACACCCGGGGTAGGTGGAAAGTAACGATTTTGGCCTCCTCGAGCTGCTATCACCTCTTGGCAGCGAAGTCCGAATAACACTGCGGGGGATGTTCTGCCAATCCTGCTCAAGCGCCACAAACAGTTCCTGAAGTGTCTGTGGCGGTGGTTGACGTTGACGGACCCAACGATCCAGCACGTCCCGTAGATGTTCAATAGGGGACAAGTCTGGCGAGCGGTATTCGACGTAGTCTGGGTACTTGTGAGGCTGATGACAGGTATTGTCACGACAGTTCAGAAATTTGCATGATGCCGGTATATGGCATTGCAGCTGCGTTTTGGCAAATTGCTCCGTTGCGACGTCACAACATTACGTTTCGGCAATCTGCATGTTTACTCGAAAATTTAATGAAATTTAACGATTATTTAAGAAAACAAATTCTGCCATGCAAAAGCGATCAGGTCCAGTGTTATCAAATTTATGCATGTATAGTTTCTTTTTTTTTGGAAGAGTATATATACACAGGCCTCCCAACAACTAATGAAACGAATAGGTATATTCTGTACCCGGCTGGTGGTAATACCCAATCAGCCTGCAGGCTAAGTAAACCACGCCTCCTTTTGTATGGAATCCTAGAAGGGACACTATCACGTTGTCGCATTGTTGCCCTTACATAAACAAGTAAAAAGTGTCAAAATTAACAAAAGAGCGACAATGCGACAACGCGACATTTTGGCCATTTTTCGAGTTGTCGCGCTTTGAATAATATCATTTTTATTTTACCAAAGAGCGACAATGCGACATATTTTGACCTTGAAAAAATGTCACATTGTCGCATTGTCGCCCTTTTGTTAACTAAAAACTATATGATTCAAAGCGCGACAATGTGTCAACGCGACATTGCGACAAATGGCCAACATGTCGCAGTGCTGCTTTGGTTAGTTTTGACACTTTATACTTGCTTTTGTAAGGGCAATTATTCCATAGTTTGGGTTCTTACAAATAGAGACCACACAAATCGTATTTTTAATTACGCGCAACAGCGGTAACTTGATGTTTTTACACTTTGTTCCTAGGCAATCGTATTGTACATTATACTGCCTACATAATGGTGTGAGAAAAATCTATTGCTGTTTTCATGATACGGTCACTTTAACGCTGCAACTAACATGTCAGACAGAATTGCTATTCTATGGCTGCACGACTCTCAGCTTGGTACGCTGTGATTCAGCATGGTTATCAGAGATGTAAGTAGGATAATGTATCGCATTAACGTATATGTTTGTAAACCTTATTAAAATCGCATTCAATGTACAAGAAACATATTTTATAATTCTGTTAAAATCACTTGTTACTCTCGTACAAGGAAATGGACCTACACACAATTCGTAAATTAATATTGCAGCTCTTATTGATTGAGGATCCACGATCTTACAATGGGCAATAAATACTCTCTCACAAGATATATAATACCTTTTGTTGTAGCACAAGCACATTGCTGTAGTGATCACCATCAGAAGGAGGAGGGCTGCTCCCGTCAAGCTTGTGATCACCTCCAGTACTGGAACGGAAGGAATTCTCTTAGACGTTTAGCTCCCATGTAGTTTACTATATTCATCCCCGTCAACACATGAAACACAACTGCCGTAAACATTCAATATTCTTTATAAGTATACTTACTAAAGGCAACCTTGTCATCAGTGTTGTCTGATTTTCCTGGAAGGAAACGGCAAATAATTCACTATGTATGTTCTTATGTTTGATGATACTATTCAGTATGATTAAGCAATACAAACCTTGCACATTATCTTTGCGATAGGGGAATGATACAAAGTTAATTATAATACATGCAATAAGTGTTTTGGGTTAATGGTAATGTTACGTTTTATAGTCAGTACGAATCTGTCATTCCAAAAACTATACAATCATCATAATTATTTTATTCGATACAATATGTACGGTCTTTCCACAAATGTCAAAATCATTCTTCATTCATTCTCTTGGATGTTAAACAAGGGCATAATAGCAAACACACTGGCAGTCCAATCTTTGTTTCATTTTCCCATAATAGGTTATGTATATTACTTACTTGTGTCCCGTGTTGTTTCATCAACAGGTGGTTGACTGGATTTCACTGTAGTTGACGACAATCTTTGCCAAGATTTTGTTGAGGTTGATGCACCGAACATTAAAGCTGTTAGCATATGTTGGGTTGCTGAAGTGTGAGTAGAGATGTTGGAGGGCTTGCCGTTGTCAGTGATGGAAGATGAAGATGTGGTTGTCGAGTGCTGTATTCCACCCTGTGTTGATGGCATAGGCGTTGTTGTGGATGAGGATGTTTCCTGCCCGGTTTCCGAGGAAACGGATGTGGCTTTGGAGGACTGCATCCTTCCAATCGTTGACACAGTTGTGGAAGATGAACCTTTTCCTTCTGTGTCTACTGGTGAGAATGATGTGATGTTTGTAAACCTTAATCTTCCACTCGTTGACGTTGTCGAGGAAACGGCAAATGATTTACTATGTATGTTCTTATGTTTGATGATACTATTCAGTATGATTCAGCAATATATACCTTGCACATTATCTTTGCGATAGGGGAATGATACAAAGTTAATTATGATACATGCAATAAGTGTTTTGGGTAAATGGTAATGGTACGTTTCATAGTCAGTACGAATCTGTCATCCAAAAAACTATACAATCATTATAATCATTTTTTTCGATACAATATGTACGGTCTTCCCACAAATGTCAAAATTATTCTTCATTCATTCTCTTGGATGTTAAACAAGGGCATAATAGCAAGCACACTGGCAGACCAATCTTTGTTTCATTTTCCCATAATATGTTATGTATATTACTTACTTGTGTCCCGTGTTGTTTCATCAACAGGTGGTTGACTGGATTTCACTGTAGTTGACGACAATCTTTGCCAAGATTTTGTTGAGGTTGATGCACCGAACATTAAAGCTGTTAGCATATGTTGGGTTGCTGAAGTGTGAGTAGAGATGTTGGAGGGCTTGCCGTTGTCAGTGATGGAAGATGAAGATGTGGTTGTCGAGTGCTGTATTCCACCCTGTGTTGATGGCATAGGCGTTGTTGTGGATGAGGATGTTTCCTGCCCGGTTTCCGAGGAAACGGATGTGGCTTTGGAGGACTGCATCCTTCCAATCGTTGACACAGTTGTGGAAGATGAACCTTTTCCTTCTGTGTCTACTGGTGAGAATGATGTGATGTTTGTAAACCTTAATCTTCCACTCGTTGACGTTGTCGAGGAAACGGCAAATGATTTACTATGTATGTTCTTATGTTTGATGATACTATTCAGTATGATTCAGCAATATATACCTTGCACATTATCTTTGCGATAGGGGAATGATACAAAGTTAATTATAATACATGCAATAAGTGTTTTGGGTAAATGGTAATGGTACGTTTCATAGTCAGTACGAATCTGTCATCCAAAAAACTATACAATCATTATAATCATTTTTTTCGATACAATATGTACGGTCTTCCCACAAATGTCAAAATTATTCTTCATTCATTCTCTTGGATGTTAAACAAGGGCATAATAGCAAGCACACTGGCAGACCAATCTTTGTTTCATTTTCCCATAATATGTTATGTATATTACTTACTTGTGTCCCGTGTTGTTTCATCAACAGGTGGTGGCTTGGATGTCACTGTAGTTGACGACAATCTTTGCCAAGATTTTGTTGAGGTTGATGCACCGAACATTAAAGCTGTTAGCATATGTTGGGTTGCTGAAGTGTGAGCAGAGATGTTGGAGGGCTTGCCGTTGTCAGTGATGGAAGATGAAGATGTGGTTGTCGAGTGCTGTATTCCACCCTGTGTCGATGGCATAGGCGTTGTTGTGGATGAGGATGTTTCCTGCCCGGTTTCCGAGGAAACGGATGTGGCTTTGGAGGACTGCATCCTTCCAATCGTTGACATAGTTGTGGAAGATGAGCCTTTTCCTTCTGTGTCTACTGGTGAGAATGATGTGATGTTTGTAAACCTTAACCTCCCACTCGTTGACGTTGTCGATGTATGGGCAGTTCCAGAGCCTCCCGCGATCGACACTGTCAGTGGATGTAAAGATGGTTTTGTTGTTTTTATGAGACGAAATAGTGTAACGTTTGCAGACGATTGGTGATACTATTCAGTATAATTCAGCAATATATACCTTGCACATTATCTTTGCGATAGGGAAATGATACACAGTTAGTTATAATACATGCAATAAGTGTTTTGGGTAAACATATATCAATGACACTGAAGACGAAATACATGTGTTGTGCAATGGTACGTTGTATGGTCAGTACGAATCTGTCATTCCAAAAACTATACAATTATTATAGTTATTTATGCGATACAGTATGTACGGTCTTTCCACAAATGTCAAAATCATTCTTCATTCATTCTCTGGGATGTTAAACAAGGGCATAATAGCAAACACACTGGCAATCCAATCTTTGTTTCATTTTCCCATAATAGGTTATGTATATTACTTACTTGTGTCCCGTGTTGTTTCATCAACAGGTGGTGGCTTGGATGTCACTGTAGTTGACGACAATCTTTGCCAAGATTTTGTTGAGGTTGATGCACCGAACATTAAAGCTGTTAGCATATGTTGGGTTGCTGAAGTGTGAGTAGAGATGTTGGAGGGCTTGCCGTTGTCAGTGATGGAAGATGAAGATGTGGTTGTCGAGTGCTGTATTCCACCCTGTGTTGATGGCATAGGCGTTGTTGTGGATGAGGATGTTTCCTGCCCGGTTTCCGAGGAAACGGATGTGGCTTTGGATGACTGCATCCTTCCAATCGTTGACACAGTTGTGGAAGATGAGCCTTTTCCTTCTGTGTCTACTGGTGAGAATGATGTGATGTTTGTAAACCTTAACCTCCCACTCGTTGACGTTGTCGGTGTATGGGCAGTTTTAGAGCCTCCCGCGATCGACACTGTCAGTGGATGTAAAGATGGTTTTGTTGTTTTTATGAGACGAAATGGTGTAACGTTTGCAGACGATTGGTGATACTATTCAGTATAATTCAGCAATATATACCTTGCACATTATCTTTGCGATAGGGAAATGATACACAGTTAGTTATAATACATGCAATAAGTGTTTTGGGTAAACATATATTAATGACACTGAAGACGAAATACATGTGTTGTGCAATGGTACGTTGTATGGTCAGTACGAATCTGTCATTCCAAAAACTATACAATTATTATAGTTATTTATGCGATACAGTATGTACGGTCTTCCAAAAAATGTCAAAATCATTCTTCATTCATTCTCTTGGATGTTAAACAAGGGCATAATCATTTTCCCATAATAGGTTATGTATATTACTTACTTGTGTCCCGTGTTGTTTCATCAACAGGTGGTGGCTTGGATGTCACTGTAGTTGACGACAATCTTTGCCAAGATTTTGTTGAGGTTGATGCACCGAACATTAAAGCTGTTAGCATATGTTGGGTTGCTGAAGTGTGAGTAGAGATGTTGGAGGGCTTGCCGTTGTCAGTGATGGAAGATGAAGATGTGGTTGTCGAGTGCTGTATTCCACCCTGTGTTGATGGCATAGGCGTTGTTGTGGATGAGGATGTTTCCTGCCCGGTTTCCGAGGAAACGGATGTGGCTTTGGAGGACTGCATCCTTCCAATCGTTGACACAGTTGTGGAAGATGAACCTTTTCCTTCTGTGTCTACTGGTGAGAATGATGTGATGTTTGTAAACCTTAACCTCCCACTCGTTGACGTTGTCGGTGTATGGGCAGTTTCAGAGCCTCCCGCGATCGACACTGTCAGTGGATGTAAAGATGGTTTTGTTGTTTTTATGAGACGAAATGGTGTAACGTTTGCAGACGATTGGTGATACTATTCAGTATAATTCAGCAATATATACCTTGCACATTATCTTTGCGATAGGGAAATGATACACAGTTAGTTATAATACATGCAATAAGTGTTTTGGGTAAACATATATTAATGACACTGAAGACGAAATACATGTGTTGTGCAATGGTACGTTGTATGGTCAGTACGAATCTGTCATTCCAAAAACTATACAATTATTATAGTTATTTATGCGATACAGTATGTACGGTCTTTCCACAAATGTCAAAATCATTCTTCATTCATTCTCTTGGATGTTAAACAAGGGCATAATAGCAAACACACTGGCAGTCCAATCTTTGTTTCATTTTCCCATTATAGGTTATGTATATTACTTACTTGTGTCCCGTGTTGTTTCATCGACAGGTGGTGGCTTGGATGTCACTGTAGTTGACGACAATCTTTGCCAAGATTTTGTTGAGGTTGATGCACCGAACATTAAAGCTGTTAGCATATGTTGGGTTGCTGAAGTGTGAGTAGAGATGTTGGAGGGCTTACCGTTGTCAGTGATGGAAGATGAAGATGTGGTTGTCGAGTGCTGTATTCCACCCTGTGTTGATGGCATAGGCGTTGTTGTGGATGAGGATGTTTCCTGCCCGGTTTCCGAGGAAACGGATGTGGCTTTGGAGGACTGCATCCTTCCAATCGTTGACACAGTTGTGGAAGATGAACCTTTTCCTTCTGTGTCTACTGGTGAGAATGATGTGATAATTGTAAACCTTAATCTTCCACTCGTTGACGTTGTCGATGTATGGGCAGTTTCAGAGCCTCCCGCGATCGACACTGTCAGTGGATGTAAAGATGGTTTTGTTGTTTTTATGAGACGAAATAGTGTAACGTTTGCAGACGATTGGTGATACTATTCAGTATAATTCAGCAATATATACCTTGCACATTATCTTTGCGATAGGGAAATGATACACAGTTAATTATAATACATGCAATAAGTGTTTTGGGTAAACATATATTAATGACACTGAAGACGAAATACATGTGTTGTGCAATGGTACGTTGTATAGTCAGTACGAATCTGTCATTCCAAAAACTATACAATTATTATAGTTATTTATGCGATACAGTATGTACGGTCTTCCAAAAATGTCAAAATCATTCTTCATTCATTCTCTGGGATGTTAAACAAGGGCATAATAGCAAACACACTGGCAATCCAATCTTTGTTTCATTTTCCCATAATAGGTTATGTATATTACTTACTTGTGTCCCGTGTTGTTTCATCAACAGGTGGTGGCTTGGATGTCACTGTAGTTGACGACAATCTTTGCCAAGATTTTGTTGAGGTTGATGCACCGAACATTAAAGCTGTTAGCATATGTTGGGTTGCTAAAGTGTGAGTAGAGATGTTGGAGGGCTTGCCGTTGTCAGTGATGGAAGATGAAGATGTGGTTGTCGAGTGCTGTATTCCACCCTGTGTTGATGGCATAGGCGTTGTTGTGGATGAGGATGTTTCCTGCCCGGTTTCCGAGGAAACGGATGTGGCTTTGGATGACTGCATCCTTCCAATCGTTGACACAGTTGGAGAAGATGAGCCTTTTCCTTCTGTGTCTACTGGTGAGAATGATGTGGTGTTTGTAAACCTTAATCTTCCACTCGTTGACGTTGTCGAGGAAACGGCAAATGATTTACTATGTATGTTCTTATGTTTGATGATACTATTCAGTATGATTCAGCAATACAAACCTTGCACATTATCTTTGCGATAGGGGGATGATACAAAGTTAATTATAATACATGCATAAGTGTTTTGGGTAAATGGTAATGGTACGTTTTATAGTCAGTACGAATCTGTCATTCCAAAAACTATACAATCATTATAATTATTTTTTTCGATACAATATGTACGGTCTTCCCACAAATGTCAAAATCATTCTTCATTCATTCTCCTGGATGTTAAACAAGGGCATAATAGCAAACACACTGGCAGACCAAACTTTGTTTCATTTCCCATAATAGGTTATGTATATTACCTACTTGTGTCCCGTGTTGTTTCATCAACAGGTGGCTTGGATGTCACTGTAGTTGACGACAATCTTTGCCAAGATTTTGTTGAGGTTGATGCACCGAACATTAAAGCTGTTAGCATATGTTGGGTTGCTGAAGTGTGAGTAGAGATGTTGGAGGGCTTGCCGTTGTCAGTGATGGAAGATGAAGATGTGGTTGTCGAGTGCTGTATTCCACCCTGTGTTGATGGCATAGGCGTTGTTGTGGATGAGGATGTTTCCTGCCCGGTTTCCGAGGAAACGGATGTGGCTTTGGAGGACTGCATCCTTCCAATCGTTGACACAGTTGTGGAAGATGAGCCTTTTCCTTCTGTGTCTACTGGTGAGAATGATGTGATGTTTGTAAACCTTAATCTTCCACTCGTTGACGTTGTCAATGTATGGGCAGTTTCAGAGCCTCCCGCGATCGACACTGTCAGTGGATGTAAAGATGGTTTTGTTGTTTTTATGAGACGAAATAGTGTAACGTTTGCAGATGATTGGTGATACTATTCAGTATAATTCAGCAATATATACCTTGCACATTATCTTTGCGATAGGGAAATGATACACAGTTAATTATAATACATGCAATAAGTGTTTTGGGTAAACATATATCAATGACACTGAAGACGAAATACATGTGTTGTGCAATGGTACGTTGTATAGTCAGTACGAATCTGTCATTCCAAAAACTATACAATTATTATAGTTATTTATGCGATACAGTATGTACGGTCTTCCAAAAAATGTCAAAATCATTTTTCATTCATTCTCTTGGATGTTAAACAAGGGCATAATAGCAAACACACTGGCAATCCAATCTTTGTTTCATTTTCCCATAATAGGTTATGTATATTACTTACTTGTGTCCCGTGTTGTTTCATCAACAGGTGGTGGCTTGGATGTCACTGTAGTTGACGACAATCTTTGCCAAGATTTTGTTGAGGTTGATGCACCGAACATTAAAGCTGTTAGCATATGTTGGGTTGCTGAAGTGTGAGTAGAGATGTTGGAGGGCTTGCCGTTGTCAGTGATGGAAGATGAAGATGTGGTTGTCGAGTGCTGTATTCCACCCTGTGTTGATGGCATAGGCGTTGTTGTGGATGAGGATGTTTCCTGCCCGGTTTCCGAGGAAACGGATGTGGCTTTGGATGACTGCATCCTTCCAATCGTTGACACAGTTGGAGAAGATGAGCCTTTTCCTTCTGTGTCTACTGGTGAGAATGATGTGGTGTTTGTAAACCTTAATCTTCCACTCGTTGACGTTGTCGAGGAAACGGCAAATGATTTACTATGTATGTTCTTATGTTTGATGATACTATTCAGTATGATTCAGCAATACAAACCTTGCACATTATCTTTGCGATAGGGGAATGATACAAAGTTAATTATAATACATGCAATAAGTGTTTTGGGTAAATTGTAATGGTACGTTTTATAGTCAGTACGAATCTGTCATTCCAAAAACTATACAATCATTATAATTATTTTTTTCGATAGAGTATGTACGGTCTTCCCACGAATGTCAAAATCATTCTTCATTCATTCTCTGGGATGTTAAACAAGGGCATAACAGCAAGCACACTGGCAGTCCAATCTTTGTTTCATTTTCCCATAATATGTTATGTATATTACCTACTTGTGTCCCGTGTTGTTTCATCAACAGGTGGCTTGGATGTCACTGTAGTTGACGACAATCTTTGCCAAGATTTTGTTGAGGTTGATGCACTCGTTGACGTTGTCGATGTATGGGCAGTTTCAGAGCCTCCCGCGATCGACACTGTCAGTGGATGTAAAGATGGTTTTGTTGTTTTTATGAGACGAAATAGTGTAACGTTTGAAGACGATAACGCGTTAAACGAAGATAAAGATTGCCCTTGAGTGGGACGAGTCGAGTATGATGTGTGTCTGGAAGACTGTAGTCGACCTCCTGTGGTCGAATGTGTCAGGGAAGGGGAAAATGTTTCTGTTGTGGAATGTGATTGCGAAGACGTTGGTGGAAGTGAAGATGGCATGTTTGTAGATAATGAGGTTGATGTTGTACTTGAAGCCTGTATTCTACCAAACGTTGTGAGTAAAGGTGAGGAAGACATGGTCAATTGTAAGCCAGTAGATGAATGAGACATGGAGTTTGTTTTGCTCAAATGTATTTTCGTGCTTCCTCCAGACCCTGAGATTGAATGTGGGATCGTTAACCCAGTAGCTATAGCGGAGGTGGACAAAGTCGATGATTTTGAAATCCCCCTGCTATTTGTTGCCCTGATAGTAGCAGGATAATCTGATGTCGATTTTGAGTAAGACGTAGTCGTGTAATTAGGTGAACTCTTTTGAGTCGTCAGGCGGCTTCTTGTGGACTGTGTTGCTGAGGCTGTTGTGTAATCATCCGGTGGTATCTTCGTCCCACAAGCCACTGTCAGGTTACCTCCATCAGAAGCTACAAAAGACGCAGGTGAGGGATCATGCCTCTGACTTATATTTCATGAATGTAGTTGAGCAGAAAAAAACAAGATTTGTCAGGTTTTGGTAGTCAAACCTAAATGTAAAACTTACGGTAAACCGTATCAACATAAACAATAACACTTGGTTTACATGTGAATAAAAACTATTTCATATTGAGAATTCATAACAATAAAATTAATCATGCCTACCTGTAACAACCATCCACAAAAACTGGCGATCACTGCCGTCAGCAATAACTGTCATGGTCAGATTAATATCTACCCTGCTGGTGTTGCTGCTATACAGCACGTTATTGCAACCATTCACAATCTCTGTTTTGGCACAATTAATATTTGTACTCCCATACATTGAACTAGCGAAGGAGACTGTACACGCTCCCGAGGAAACAATGTTGTCTACGAGAGTGACGATGATGGATGACCGGGGATTTGTTTTGTAGGCAGCACATTTAGCATCTCGGACACTTCCATCCTTCTGATCGCTTATCAGGTAAACCTTTCTTCCATTAAGCACCTCATCGGAATTAAAATGGATTTCTTCTTTTACTGACAAAGAAGAAAGAATGAAATAAATAGTGATGAAAAGGTTGTTAATGAAACATGCAGTAGTCCGGCGCCAAGGAAATATTCTCACAGTTCAATTGCCCACACCTGCACTTTCAAACAACCGACAGTGACACAAATGCACAGGACTGCTCTATGCCATGGCTGTGGTCAGGCTAACCATTTAAATCACGGATGTTCAGCGCAGGAGCTGCTGTCCCATGCAAACCAAACATATTTCTTCAACGGTTTTTCTTTCTTAAGAAGCAGCAGAATATCTGTTTGCGTGCAGCAGATTTAAAATTAACGTAGATTTTGGCTTCACAATATCAGTGGATGTGCTATCGTACCACTGGTCCATGGATTACTTGATTGTCTTGTTTGTTCACGGGAGTACTGCTGTGTGACGTCACGCAACAAACACTTACTTTGTTATGAAACTCATTGTGAGTGGCGGTGCTACCGGAAGGGCAGGGCATGCTTTCTCTATTCGCTAACACTTGGTGTCATCGCTGATTTTCCGTGATCTATTCATATAATTTTCAGTTATTTTACGCCCAATGGATTGTGGTTCGGCGGATAATCGGAACTGGTTATTATCAGGCTCTGGTGTTTTTTATCGATGAGATAATGTATCTGTTAATGTTATAACACTTGTTATTATGTGTAGTGAAAAATAATGTTCCTAACAAAGACAAACACATTTATATGTAAAAGAGCGACGACGCACAGTTCAATTTTCACAGTACATTTTCTTTCAATTTGTCGCGAACCATAGATACGTACGTTTCATAAGAAATATTACTTAATTTCTACTTGCCATGTACACAGTCATATTCCAGAGACACATAGTCTCCTGAATGTAGTTCCTTGCTCGTCAACCGCTTCCCGGAATCACAGCGATGTCCACGACTACAGTACCTTGCCATGTGAGACAGGGGACTTGACAACCGCATTTTCTGTCCTGGAATACACACCTCCTCGATGACGGTATCCCCGCCGTGGAATTTGCAACAGTCACGGACAATATGATAGTCCCGTTGTCCGCTGAGTCTTGTGCGACATGTGCTATTTGGGGACAATTGCCCAAGCAGGAACTTCTTCGGTGCAAGATTCCCACTATTTCCACAGAGAGGGGAATCAATGATTAACTCGGAATTGTAGCAGGCTGTATGGTTTAGTCCGTGTAGAAGATATAAACCTGTAAGACAAAGACGATGGTGATTGCTGACTGTGTTCCATACAAATGCTTATGACATTGTGGGAATCGTACACTGGACTCTGCTTGTAGCAGAACTTTCTACTGATTATGACAAGCGTTTTGTCACTTTGCACCAATACTTATATATTAGCGAGTAATTATTACATCAAAATAGTTTAATCCGGCCCTTTCTGTGGGCGAAAAGACCCCTAATAACTCGTTCTTATACAGTATTTACTGAAACCAAAACGCGTAAAACATGTCCAGATCAAGGAGTACAATTGTACCTGATGGCGTGGATCGGTGTTCATGCTATGATCCACTGTAGTTTTTCGATTCGGTTCAGATGACGTGATATTGATGCTAACGGGGAACACGGGGGACACGGGTGGCCCAGTCGTCTAAGGCGTCGCGATTCGATGTGCAGAGTTGCGTCTCTTGGGCACGTCAGAAACCTATGATTGTGGGTTTGAATCCCGGTTCGCCCCGATTATCTTTCTAGGTTTGTTAGCACCATACCCGTGCTCGTGGGTTTCACCGAAGTGGTAAACGTCTGAGACCTGCATCACATCACTTCGGGCTTTCCTCCCACATTAAGCTGACACGCCACGATATAACTGGAATACTGTTAAAAGCGACGTGAAAAACCCAACTCACTCGCTCACTCAGATTTTATGGATCAAGTTCTCATGTTGCAGTTTAATGGGTTGTGTCGGCTCAATATGGATAACAAAATGGAAAATATCTCACTTACATTGTAATAATGACAAAATGAAGAATAATGGAGACATGTCCCGGGTTGATAATGGCGCCTGTAGACAAGATAAAGTATAATTAATTCATTGCATACTCTGATGTCAATATAAGTTATAATAAGGCTGAAAAAGCATAGATTTTTTAACAGAAAGAGTAGATATGAACATGAATATACGTGTCAGTTTGTTGACATCCAACTTATCTATTTATAACCGTATAGCCCGGTTCATAGTGTAAGATATCGGTGACTTATAAACGTGTTAAATGCTCGTATAAGCTAACCTCCACTTTTCCCCGATGTATATTGCTATATAATTATTCTTGAAAGAGTAGACTAGTATCAGATATTAATGAATTTCATTATATTGTGTTTCTCACCTTCACACACATGCAGATTGCTTGCTTGCAGGCCTAACGCAGCAGTTGAAATACATCACAGCAGCTGCTTCATCTCACCCACGCCTGATAGCTTATCGAAGGTGTGATAAAAACATATTCAAGTGACTAGCTATGTATTATTCATAGAAATGGAGTAACAATTATCATGTTTGAGCGAACACATGGCACATCTAAAATTGAGCAGAAATGTTTGTTTCATATGATTTTTACAAGATTTATTTCTGATTGAATAATCATGTAAATTCATTCTTTTTCAGCCCTAAGCTAATGGTTACTTGTATCTGTTGGTGATATGGTAGCGTCTACAAGGGCATAAGGGGAGGACTCTATTCTATGCGTCCAATTTGAGTCGTCCATGCTTCTTCCTTCTTTCCTTCACTCTCACTCGCTCAGTCACTCTCACTCGTACATATTGTCAATATTCCAAATAAACGTTCAATTGAAATAAATTGAAAAATACTTACATAGCATGTGTAGAAAGTTACCTTGACGCATATGTTCCGCAAGACTCCGTAACTCTGCATAAGACCAATCTATCGGTTATACATACCGAACCGCAAAAGAAACGTCACCCAAAGTAAAATTGCATGAAAAGTTGTCATTTAAATATCTGGGTAATGTTCGTCAAAATTTCTAAAATTTAACATTACCTTGTCCGGAAAAATGAAATTTGATGATAAAAAAAACAAAGGAGATGACAATAAAACCGATTGCCCAAACGCAACACGGCAACGGCCATGCGCATGCTAACCCGATGCACGTGGGTTCCGTGCAAATTGAAATGCACATGCGTTCCCTCATTTCTTGCCCTAATAAAATCCACCCAGATCGGATAACATTCATTCGTTTATGTGCCAAGATTGACAAGAAATCAGCGACACCAAGCACTTGGACGATTGCAAGCAGGACAAACCGTCCGGCAAGTAGCCAATGCATTTTAAGTCCACGTAAGGACCATATATAGGCTACCAGGTACCAGACCACCATCACTACTGATGAGCGTATGGAGCGTATACCACGTATTGGAAGACCAAAGGTCACCACCCGACGTCAGGATCGTCAGATTGGGCAACAGCATCCTCAAGATCGCTTTGTTACTGCTCGACAGACCATGGGGACACACCCGCGACACATCAGTGCGGACACCGTGCGTCGACGATTAACGAGCAGACGACTCCACTGTCACAGGCCACACTGACACCACGCCATCGCCACCAGCAGTCAGACGAGAGCCGTTACTGCATCTCAACAGCAGATTGCAGAGACGCCATGGGGAACGTTGTTCGGATGCACTGCGTGTGGCTCGGGCGTTATCATCAACCGCCTCATCCATTCCATGTATCGACGTTGCACGACAGTCATCACTGCATATGGCGGACACACGGAATACTGGCTTGTGACGCCATTTTCTCAGAGACTAGTGTTGCGTTTCACTTTAAAAATATTTGACACTTTAATTTCAACCTTGATGATCAGTTTTGCTAAGTTTCATCCTTTTAATATGTCTCAAAGTATGTTTACAGTGTTTGGACAAATAAGGTTTCTCATATATCTATCCATGGTAATGTTTCTTTTACGGTTCAGTATACATCTGTCGTTTATGCAAACCGTTTATGCTTTAGAGACCCTAGAACCTGTCTGTTGTTTTCCTCCGGGTTTGAGGGCGTCAATCATCATAATAATACCCACGGTCGTCTCCCCTCCGTCACTATATTGCCTAAAATAGTCATATCAGTTTACAACGTCATCACAATGTTCCCACAGTGCGCATCGATTCCCTTTCATCTTAAGTTTTCCACACCGTCATCTTTTTTGTCATTTTTTTCTGCTATGCGTCAAATTAAATTTAAACAAGCGATTGAACGAACGAGGTGAGAATTTTTAACTGAAATGCGAACGGCGTTGAATACGGCGTTGAATACACCTCACACGTTAATGAGGATTTTCCACAAAGATGACTCACACCTGTACTTTCGAAAACTACTGTACACAAGATAGTAATTAAGTAATAAATATCCCCATGACATCACAAGAATAAACAAGTTCATATATACAAACCAACCTTGACTTCAGGAATATTTCCGTTGGATGAAGATGTAGTAGATGTGTAAGTATTGTATTCTGTTATCATTGTGTATATATGAAGATAGGGGTTGATGTAAACCAATTGTAGTACTTGCCAATGCCAGCATATGATATGGGGGGGGGGGGGGGGAGATGTCTTCGAAAACACATATTTTAAATGTATCTAAAGTGCCGTGAACAATTGATTACAACCCACTATACAGAGTCTGCCGAGTCATACATAGGTTCATGATATGCTGAGCCCATGTAATAAAATACCCGTCTCTGTACTTTCAGTTTGCACGTGCAGTCGTGTCATGAATATGAAACCCTTCAGGCTTTGACTTTTATCGCGACCTATCAGACATACAGATGTCCTCATATATATCAACAACGCCAACATGAAAACCCATCTTTACTTCATCTATCCACCAGAGATGGACATGAAAGTTAACACTGAGAAACCATTTTTAGTGTCCCATCTACATAGAAACTTAAAAAGATAGAACCTTCCTTCTGTATGAAGCTGTATGACAAGAGTGATGGTTCGATTTTCAAATTGTGCGAGCAAAATACCATCGGCTACAGCTTCTGGCGTCTACATTTCTCAGTTGCTGAGGTACTTGAGAGGAAGTACATTGCATTCAAATTTCAAGGACAAATTAATTTTACTTTTTTCAAGATTTAATGATAGACATTCAGAAAACTTTACTATACATAGTATGTCGCTTGTCAACTGTTTGTTTTAAAACTTTCTATTTGTGTGGCATTTTCATTTCACTGCTGTGTACATTACCCACAAAGTTATTGTACTTTAAGAGAGGAGTAAATGGCAGCTTGGCCAGTACCTTGAATTCTTTTGTCAAATATGAGTTTTTCCAGCACGCAAATTGTGGAGTTTATGGTATTATTGTTTTGGAAAGTATACTCGAGTGAAAGGTTTTCTTTTGAAAAGTGAATTTTTGTTTTCCTTTTAGTGAGAAGCCAGTTTGCGATAATGGACCAGATGAGGAAAAATCCTCTCTGTGAAAGCCACGTCAACAGCCACGTCAACAGCCACGTCAACAGCCACGTCAACATCCAATCCCAGTTTTACGTGTAGCTGGCGCTTATGACAAACATAGGGAACTAGGGGCAAAGTCTGCCCATGTACCTACACGGGGAACTATTAAAATATGTGAGAAGGAGCCTATATGTTTTCAATGAACAAGTGATATTTTCAAATAACCAGACCAAGATGCACGTTTGACGATTGGTCAGGAGTGGGAATGAGAATTTGCTCAGTTGTCATTATCTGTGAAGTTTAACTGACTGTCACTTCTGTCTTACCAGACATCACCGCTATCTAACTGTTAACATACCAGCACTAGTACGTGCCAGAAAGATTGTACATTTTGTTGATACCGTATCTAAGTACTCAGAAAAACAAACTTCTAAACACCTGCAGTGTATCTGTGGAGAGTGGAGGTTTGTCCTAACAATGATTATCTAAATATTGAAGGTCGATGTGATGTGTACCAATTTAAATAATTTAAGGAATTGTAATATATTGAACACATTTGTGCACACTTACAACAAGCTAATGACCTCTGGCCATATTAATTCCGACAAGCATTGTAAGTATGTGCATTGACCGAGAGGAAGTCGCTAATTAATGACTACCATCGTTCTCGTTAACTTTCTATTTCCAGGTTCAGGTAGCCTAGTGGTTAAAGCGTTCGCACGTCATGCCGAAGACCTGGGTCCGATTCCCGACATGGGTACAATGTGTGAAGACCATTTCTGGTGTCCCCTGCCGTGATATTGCTGGAATATTGCTGAAAGCGGCGTAAAACCATACTCAGTCAGTCTAGTTCAAGGGACGCTCAAATGGCGTTCACCATAACAGCAATAATTTCAAAGTGTATCTAAACAACGTCCTAGATAACCAAAGAGCTATAAAAGTCATCTGCGTTGATGAGTTTAATAAATGTCTTCACCTTTCGTGTGGACAAAGATGTAGATAGATAGTCTTTATGAACATGTCGAGTGGGTCATGTGGTCGCCGTGCCCCCCAGTACGTGCACCGCTGTACGCTGGGAGGGGACTTTGGCCTGCTGCTATCATCAGGTGTCGGGCCACCTGGCAGAAGGAATGCTCTAGCATCCGGCGCACCTGCTCTGTACACTTTGTAGATATTTTTCTGTTCCCATATCTGTATGATAGCGCACCCTTAGGTCTGGTATCAAGTGTTCTAAAATAGCAAGCGACATTCAGGGAAACCGGCGTTCTCCTCACACAGATATTCTGTCTTGATGGTATGTGCTCAAATACATTAGTTCAAAAGTCCGTTGTCTAGTGGTAGAGCGTCCGCTCACAGGGTGGAAGGTCCGTGGTTCGATCCCAGGCCGCGGGATACCAAAAGACGTGAAAAGATGGTACTTGATGTACGCTGTTGTCTGAGTGGGGGATTCATGTTAAACTGCGGCATGGTGTCTCAGTGGGCTAGCACTATAAGTCGGCATCAGTCCAGAGGGTTAGGGGTGCAGAATCGAAACACACACATCTGTAGGTCAGTATTGGGGGCTGGGGTGCAGTCCTCTTGTCCCGCGTCACCACGGGCACTGATTCAGAATCTTAGCGAGAGACAAATCAAAAGACAAAAGCTAAAAAAAACATAATCTGAGCATATGCATATAGAACTAAACTGATTAAAATATAGGTTGTGCAGAAAATACTCTGTATAAAAGTAGGGGTTGACCTGGAGGGGATAAAAGGAGTTGTGTGTGTGTGTTTACTTTCATGTGTTTTGGGCACATGGTGAATAAAATTGATGTTCGACCTTATCAGTGCTTTCAAGATAAGAATGAATATGTCACGTATGAAGTATTTTACATATGCGTGAATCCCTATATTTCCTCTGACAACGTGTGCTTCCCTTGGGAACTTATGGGAGTACGTTAGACTAACGCTTGATCTCTGACTATATAACATTTTGATAGAAACCAGCAATTACATTGAAAGTGAAAAGGGGCCACAATGAGACGGGACTTGCTTCATTTGGGACTACAGCATAACAGTTAGACCCGGTTGTAAGGGTCAATAATATGGTTCGTGGACTGTGAAACAGACGTATGTGCATGTATGTATGTACACTGGCAATCTTCATTACTTTTACAGGACGTGTGTTTAGCTATTGATGTGTTTGTGATAAGGTTATAGAGGTACGGTAGTTTGTTTGTTTTTATAATTCAGTGGCAACTATTATGCATCCAAAACGTATATCTGTACATCAACTATCTAATTATGTTCTTTTCAGATTCAATTTAAAGATTCCTCGGACGCTGAGGGAATAATATCTGATCCCATTTGCAGTATATAACCGTTACAAAATATGTAGAATAAAAGTGGGTTTGTATTTTATAAAAGTATAGACGAAATATTTAGTGGGTTGCTATCGTCCTCAAGCTATTACTGTAATTGAAAGTATTCATGCAAAATAAACATCCTTCTGTTTAGACTAACATTTAGTCTATGAAATCTTATATTACACAATACCCTTCTCGACTCTAAAAAAATAATTTTCCCTAGCCTTGCTTTTGTATACGTTTTTCGATTGTTTTATTTTCATAAAATAAATATATTCCACAGTCGTGGTGCAGGACTAACATATGTTGTGTGGGTCTATTTACCTGCACGGATGTATGGGGAGTCCAAACTGTATTTGAACTCATTAAATCTAGTGATTGAAAGCTGGTTCCCCGCACCCTCCCCATCAGCGGTCGGCCCTGCCGTGATATTGCTGGAATATTGCTAGAAGTGTCCTTATAACCAACTGCTCAAGGAACCGCTGTCAAAAGATTTCAAGTATTTATAATTTTTCTGATCTAAGGGAAATAACTCGTATTATTCTATTTTGAATGAACCACCCCTTCAATTATGCATTACGTAGTAGGATGGGTGTTAATTGCTACTAATTCATTCCCGTAGATGGGGTATTGCGTCCAAGAAGACAACAACTGATATTAAGTAATGTGAACAGTAGGGGCATGCTATCTCACGGAGGATCCCACGATATTGCTGATTTACCCGCACGGTGGAGGTCATTCAACGTGTGCGCACTGTCGTGATGATTCAAGGTTGAATGGGCATTCAACGTGTGCGCACTGGCGTGATGATTCAAGGTTTAATGGGCATTCAACGTGTGCGCACTGGCCTGATGATTCAAGGTTGAATGGGCATTCAACGTGTGCGCACTGGCCTGATGATTCAAGGTTGAATGGGCATTCAACGTGTGCGCACTGGCCTGATGATTCAAGGTTGAATGGGCATTCAACGTGTGCGCACTGGCGTGATGATTCAAGGTTGAATGGGCATTCAACGTGTGCGCACTGGCCTGATGATTCAAGGTTTAATGGGCATTCAACGTGTGCGCACTGGCCTGATGATTCAAGGTTGAATGGGCATTCAACGTGTGCGCACTGGCCTGATGATTCAAGGTTGAATGGGCATTCAACGTGTGCGCACTGGCCTGATGATTCAAGGTTGAATGGGCATTCAACGTGTGCGCACTGGCGTGATCATTTAAGGTTGAATGGGCATTCAACGTGTGCGCACTGTCGTGATGATTCAAGGTTGAATGGGCATTCAACGTGTGCGCACTGGCCTGATGATTCAAAGGTTGAATGGTCAGTTAGGCTGGAATCAATGTTTTGTGTTTAGTGTAATCAATCGTGCTGTGTAGCTTTTGAGTGAGTTGGTGAGTGAGTGGGTATAGTTTAACGCCGCGTTGAACAGTATGTGAGGACATCCCTAATTAATCAAGATCTTAGACATTTACCACTTTGGCGAAATCCCTGAAGTTCCGAATTGATTCTGACAATCCAAGGATCATAATCAGGGCAAATCCTGGGTTATAAATTTTAAAGGAACATTGACAAAATAAAAATAGATTAAAATAGATTTAATTTCACATGTTAGTGTGGTGTTTTCGTTTGTCGGTGTTTGTTTGAAATGTATATATATCATGCAATTTCCTACGATAAAACTCCCTTTCTAGGTACATGACGAGTTTTGAGGGCACCATACCGAATGTTCCAGACGCTTATCAGTAAGACAAGGTATATCTGATCTTGGTCACTCGTTCTCTCTGCCAACCAAGATGTCACCTATAACAGCAGTCTTAGCAGTTTGTTTGGTCTTTCCATCAGGTAAATAAATTCTCAACACATATTTTAAATGTTGAAAGGGATCCAAAGTTTCTCCACACGCTATCAAACTCAAACTAATAATTTAACTTGACAGCCGTTACACGTAAAAAACTGTGGTGAAATGTGTTTCCTCGCGTATTTCAGTAGCGGCCGACTGTCTGAATGGCTGGACACGGTTTGACAACTCATGCTACAGAGTGTACCGAAACGGAACCGAATGGCCGCTGGCAGTGGTATGTCCGTGATACATGGATGAGACGGAGTAGGAGGGTGGGAGAGTTGAATGAGGTTACGTAACCTTCAGGGGTGAGAAAATATATCAAATGTTTGTGTGACAATGACACTACCAAGGGCCGCGATAACGGGAAGCCGATGTTAGCGTGTCTGTTTGATTAGAAACCCGAATTGTAGGTATTCTGAGCGCGTATATAAAGAATAAAACATATAAATATACAGAATATTTGTGAGTGGTATATGTTTCTAAAGAATGACCTCAGTGTCATATGTCATCTAAACAGAGCCAGCAAATCTTATTTTATATAACGAACATGCATAAATTATGAACAGAGTAATAAAATAGTAAAGTAGACACAACGTATGGATAACAACTTCTTTAATACTGTAAATGCGACGTTTCGGTATAAGATCAAGCTTGACAACGGTATAAGGAGCTATACCGAAACGTTGCCTTTACAGTATTGTGTCTGCTTTGTCATCCGTCAACTTCTAAGTAATGTCTATCAAACAATTCAGTAAAATAGTATGTTATGTATGTATATTGGAACTGTATAAAAGTTAATGGGATTGTGAGTACTTTAACATTATTCAAAGACTAATCTGACAACACAGCAAGACTCAAACAATAAAGATAAATCTTTTGTTCTACTTTAGTCGTACGTAGTTCCCAACATTGTGGTCACACTTGTACAACTGGCCGAGGCGATTGATGTCGAGAGGTGTGTGGGTAGAAGTGTAGAATGTGTATATATGTCGACGCGTGGAACAAAGTACAATGTTACATATGTATATTAGGTTTTGATCGTTTCTTACATAGTTTGACTGTGAGAAGAAGAGTGGCTACCTCGCGCAGTTCGAGACTGCAAGCAAGATACAAAACGCCCATGCACTGATGAGAGAACTCAATGGCAAAGGTCAGTTGCTGGAATATATGCACAAATGACGTCTATGTACCCCTGAAAGTAACATGTACATATCTTATACGAAAATAAATGTGGGTCTGCCTCATGTATCTTTTGGCATCAAGAAGTCAAAACAAAGTCGTGGTGACGTAGACCAAAACATCCAAGTGATTTTGATTATATTTATCTACATTAATGCAGGTTAAGCCTGAAGAGTTGGTGTTTGGACAGTATTCCAGTTATTTCACGGCGTGTGGGAGAAAAGCCACTTTGGTGAAACCCATGAACACGGGTACGGTGATGACAAATCTCGAAACATAATCGGGGCGAACCGGGACTCGAACCCACGATCAAAGGTTTCTGGCGTGTCCAAGGGACGTAACTCTGCGTGGCGAGGTGCGGCGCCTTTGACGACAGGGACACCTGTGTCCCTTTATGTAGAAAGAAATTGCATCGGAATATAATCGCATCATATTTGTGTTTCAGTGGATGATAAAATATGGATCGGAGCGTCGGACGTTCGACACGAGAATGTTTGGGTCTGGGAGAACAGTCGGCAGAACGTGACTATATTTGACTGGGGTGGAAAGGAACCCAACCAGGGCAGCAGCTCAACCCAGCAAGATTGTGTGATGATGTATGGCAAATATGACTTCAAATGGGCTGATGATATATGCACGTCTCATTTCCAGTATCTCTGCGAGAGACCGTAAGTAACAATGACGTAACGTTTGATGACTTCTTTCAACGCCATATCAAGAATGTTATGGATATTTTGAATATTGCGACATCTGTAAATAAATAAGCACAAAGTGTGGCAATACGTAATTGCTGCTGGGAGTTGCAAATACGTTCTCCAAAACAGAAAGAATTGATCGATCTGATGTGTGCAAACATGTGTGACGTCACTCCAATGTATGCTGTCCCGTTATTATTTTCTAGTTTAAACATATTATGATTTCATGAAAAGCATGAAAAAGGTATGTTTAAACTATCGCCCGTTATCTCAACCATAGAGATCATGGAGGTATGGTAATTCCAACACCCCAGTACCAAGGCCTCAGTCCCTTAAAGACTTACTGTATTACATTTATAGGTGTCGCTCCAATCCAACTCAATTTCTCCGTTTCAGACTTTCTGCAAGTCTCTGATCGTGAAACTCTGGATGCAAATAGGTTAATAAAGAATCAAACATCAATTATTGCCTGTTGTTAATCAAGAGAAATATACAGGTTTGTTTTGAAATAGTGTATTGATGATGACCAACGGAGTTGAACAACTGATTAGAACCCTTGGGTTGGCAGCTACATGGAAAATAGGAGGCAAGTGATTTGGTGAGTTATCTCCCTTGCCCACTTGAGGCATGTAAGCATAAGATCATATGTAACATGACGTCAGGACGTTGCTGTGGAATTAGCGCTATCCCGCAGAGAGGCAAGCAACACGTGACTCACCAAGACGCCGTCGGTCTTACCCCAGATCAGGGTCCACATATCAGGAACTTCCACCAATTGTTTGTTTCTACTGACGAGTTAGAACACCACAAGGGACCCCAAATGGACACAATGTGAAGCAGTCGTTTACATTCACAATTTGAGACTCATTAAAAGGATAATTGCTTTAACAATCGACAACATTTTGTGTGCTGCATCTCTGGTTGTATTTGGTGGGTTTTGATAACGCTGCTATTGGTTTCTAAACATGCTTTTATTATATGTATGTCGACAACATGTATATGTGATAGAAAGACAAGGTGCATGTTATTGTAGTGTACTACGTGTTGTGTTTTCCCAATATTTTTTTATACAAGGAAAATATATAATTTTAAGATTAAATCGGTTATTGTAACAAACTATCCGACAGAGATAAACGTCTATATAACGTTCGTTCTGTCTAATTACTAATCAAGGATATAAGTTTTTATTATTGCTTTCATCCGATACTTATTAAAACTTTGGTAACTACTGCCACGGCGTCCACGGCGTTCACAGTGTCTAAGTTAGATAATACCCATGGCATTTTTGTTTTATTATCCTAACACGTGCTGAGGCAAAGGTAGCGAGTTACCAGTATACCCCGGCCCTGTTCAATGCGCTGAATGACGGACAGTCTGCAAACTGACACCACACTGTCATCGGCATTATCTAACACGTGCCGAGGCAAAGGTAGAGAGTTACCAGTATATCCAGGCTCTGTTCAATGCGCTGAATGACGGACAGTCTGCAAACTGACACCACACTGTTATGGGCATGCGTGCCTCACAGGACACACGCACTGGGTTTAGTCTCAACCTGTAATGAAACATAATAACTCGGCGGTCCTTTATGTTTGTAGCACAAATGTCCCATATCATTTCAATCTTGCACTACTGCCAACTGTTGTATTCCTACACGCATAAACATAGCTGTTGAGCGCTTTCTGCAATGGCGACTCGAGTGTGACAACCTACAGAGGTAACCATCTAGTATATAATGTCTTTTCACAGCTGACACGTATTCGCAGGTTCTGAAAATCAGGAAGTCTTGACATTCCTCCTCAACCCCGACCGGCTATCTGACCCATGGTCCGTACGACATACTTCTGAAAATGAACGGACGTACCGCCACATTTCTGGCCATGTTCATCTGCTTTCAGGGTAAGTATACATAGGCCTGTATAATACCGTTCCTCAGAATTTGTCACGAATACAAGCATAATTCCTTGATCTTGTGTAAATACAGTAACTGCAGGATGTTGCGAGCTCGAGGGATATATGCAGAGTGGCTGAAAAGTCATGAGCCTGAATACGAATGGTATATAGTATTTCATCATCAGTGTGCACGTCTAAGTACAATAATTACGCAACTAACATGCTGCATTTGAACCAAATACACCACCAGACTGAATATCTCTGCAGTCATAAAAAGGATTAGGTATTCTATGTTGAACAAAACTGAGAAGGGAAGATGGGAAGTGAAGGGCCAGGAAGACATCATCTTCCCGAGGCAAGGGAGTTGACTGACTAGAAAAGTCCAGTTTCCACACTTGCCGAACTAGGCCGGAATATCTGGGTTCGATAGTAGCGTCATCAGTGGCTATTACGAGTTATGTCCCTTATATGTCCCTCCTATTGACCAGTTAGATTCCACCTCCCATATTACTTGCTTTTGTTTCAATCGAAATGGCGATCAATCCGATACATAATCAAGATTTATTTTGTAATAAAACGGGCCTTACTTAGCAAAGTGCATCAAATCACGTGACCACCTTGATTAAAAACATGAGAATATTTTGAAAATATCTGACGACGCTCAGTTGGCGAAGCACATGCTTTCCAAATCCTGCAGTCGACCGAAATCTGCACGGCAGTTTACCAACCGGATGTGGATTTCGTTGCGCGATTTCGACTGGACTATGCATCGACTCGTTAGTCCAGCCAAAATATAACTCCATAATTGCAGCCTAGTTCGGCAAGGGTGGAAACTGGACTATAAAAGTCAGTTAACTCCCTTGCGTCGGGAAGATGGGAAGACATTCACCTGCCACCATTAACGAAAATGTTGCTAAAATACGTGATATGATTATGGATGACAGACGACTCACGAAAAGTCTGTTCCATCAGCTGACAAAGTTATGGCTTCTTTTTTTCTGGGCTCTCAAAGGAATCCTACCTCCCTAAAGGTCAAATCATTAATGGCAAATATCCTGTTAAGCTGCTTTTCCAACTGCGGGAGAATATCAAGGCTTGAAGAAATGAATATCTGACAAGCAATATGCAAATAATCATGACGTAATTTCAGCTGTGGATGACGTTTTACACCACCAAGAGGAGGTCGTCATACCAGTTGGATCCAGACATTTATCAGTGTCGTTGGCAGACCTCGGATGGAATTATAAAGAATAATATATATAATATGATATGACATAATTAGCAACCAACTCTATCAACACAGTCCATCACAGATAGGCTCAGAAATGTTCAGCTACCTCTCGTCATCATGCTGACCCTCATTGGTATTACCGAAATACTGTTCAAAGCGACGTTAAACCAGACGCTATGCGTTTAACACCGCACTCAGTAATGATCATCCAATGATTGATGTTGCGTGCATCGACTCACATCATCGGGTCACCTAACCTGACCACCTGCTCCATTATACTGCCTCGTACGTCCAGTATAGCTATAGAATGCTGTGGACCAACTCTATTCCACTGCCAAACTTATTTACTTGACAGAGTATGTTGCTGTTTATGTACTCTGTGGAAGTGTCTATTGGTCCAGTGTATTACTCCACAACTATAGGCGGTAACAGTATTGTATGTTTAGTTTAGTTGACAAACTGATCAGTATTATTGATAACATGTGCAAAACTGATATATTCTCATATCAATCGGGTTTGGGTAATTTATACGTATTTCGTTTTACCCAGATCGTGTAATATACCTTAAACACGCTCATTCAGTGATAACTAAAGTAAAATATATTGTTTCATTTTTTTTAATTTTCAGAATCCTTCACAAATGAATTAGTGGGTTGCTATGGTGATGGGTCAGATGAATCGGATTTCTTTACACCTTCATGCGATAGTCCTAAAGTTATTGTAATCGAACATATTTACGCATTTGCAAAGAAAGCAAATCTTGGGTGTGCCCTGGCAGCATTTGGAGCTGATTATGATCGTGGGAAGTGTTGCACGTACGATGCAAACGACTACAAGTCTCTTTATAAGGGAATATCTCTCTCTGAATACCTATCTGCGTGTGTAGGGAAGTCAAGGTGCATGAGGCCAGTGACCCGCCAGGGAGTAAACATGACGTATGTGGACGCTGGTTACATGGCCTTCACGACATACATGGTCATGGATTTCTCCTGTGTCCTGGGTAAGATTACTCGTAAAGTAAATTTTACTTTGTTTCATTATTTAGTCTGTCATTGCTGATACACCTGTCATTGCTGGAGTTCGCTGACTGTGCCACGAATAATCCACGATTATTAGGAGCCATATGGTGATGCTAACACCTTACATGAAGCGTGTGCAGTATGCATGTGCCAAATAAGGAATAACAAAAGTAGCTTAGCACTCGCAATTTCCTGAAGTTTGGATGGAATGTGTAGTAGTACAGACATAAACATACTTCATCAAGACGAAATCACATGTTAATAACTACATTGATTATTTTTACTAATTTCCGACTCGTATTATGTTCCTGTTTTTCAGAAACGTATATACTGGATCCTACGTCTAACCAGACAGCAAGTCATACGACAGTATTTATTAAAAGCGAAGAGAACACGACCTCCAGGAACGATGTTTCATGTAGAGTAGCAGCACCCTGTGACACATCAATCATCATAGAAAGCATCCATTTCTATTCCAACGGATCACACACCAATCTGGAAATAACTGATGGGAACAACTCTCAGACATTGCTATGTCCCGGGAATAACTTCACTGGAGTCACCTACACCAGCGAGAATTCCTCCGTCCAGATAACACTATCTAACATGACTAAGGGAACATGGTTATGGGTACAAATCAAAGGTGATTTCAGTCATAGCGTCAAGGCATGTAATATATTTCTCTACTTCAGTCAACTGTAATTTTGTTGTATCACTTGGGGCAATATTTTGGTGGGGTTTTTTTCATTATTGTCTGGAACAGATTTTCTCCATTAAAACCTACCAACCCCAAAACATTTTTTTACACCACCCTCCCTAGAATATCTTCCTCCTATATTTAGAAATAGCTATTATACATGAAATACCCATGTATACCTGTGAAGTACACAATGATTCGTCATAGATCTCTAATATTAATTATTTAATTAATTCTCTTCTTATTGTATTCAAGGTTCAAACGGTGACGTGATCAATATCAGTTGCAATTCCGAAGAAGCTTCGTCTGGTGAAGCATGCACAGCTGGCACTACTCGCTCTGGTTCCTATGACGAAGACGTTGCTGGTTCCATCTACTCTAATAATGTTAACTCTGTCTGTGAAAACGATAAACGAGTAACCACCGTCGACCCCAGATCCACAGGGACATCAGCAGAACCATCCCAGGGTACAAGCACTCCTGGACCTACAGGATCAAATACCCCCACAGAACCACCCCAGGGTACAAGCACTCCTGGACCTACAGGATCAAATACCCCCACAGAACCACCCCAGGGTACAAGCACTCCTGGACCTACAGGATCAAATACCCCCACAGAACCACCCCAGGGTACAAGCACTCCTGGGTCTACAGGATCAAATACCCCCACAGAACCACCCCAGGGTACAAGCACTCCTGGACCTACAGGACTATCCCCAGATATATAAACAAAACACCCTAACGATATGCAATCTCCGGGTTATACAGAAATATTAAATTCAAATACAGGAGTCCCTGAGATAAAAAGGTCGACCCTGACTAACGGTACTCATGTTTGGTAATATTCTATTATTTTCGTCTTATTGAAAAACAATAATGACATGTACATTCAAAACGATCCTACATTTCTTCTTCAGATTCTTGGCAGATACCAGTGGCAGTAGTACTGGTCGTATTGGTTCTTGCTGTCATAGCTGGATACGTTATTAAGAGGAAGTTCAGAAAAACACAGGTATTTCCTAGACTATTTGGGACCATACTGCGTTTCATGAATATTTATGAACGGTATATGGTACTTTTCAACAGTGTTTCAACAAACATTTAGAGACGCCTTTGGCATTTTGTAAAAGACATAAGCATCCTTTTGTTTACTTAATGTGTCGCTTATTCCGAGATTATTGTCATGTGTTGCAGGGGGAGGTTATTCCCCTGATGAGTACAGAAGTACCCCCAGTAGCCCCTGCAACAACTGCACTAGTCCGTCGCCCCAGGCGCCTTGAGCCGCTGGATGATGACCCTTCACATGACTCTCCGGCGGCTCCTTCTGTGGACACAGTACCTAAAATGTGGCACACTGTCCGTTCAGCATACACTGTTAACAAAGCAGCGACGCAGTTGTCCAAAAATGGCGCAGTAAAGACAGACGTTTGGCATCTCGAACCTCGAGGGAAATAGTGTAACTCTGCAGTGACGACAAAGAAAAAGACAATCATGAAGGCAACATGCCTGCAAGCATTTGTCGTGTGACAACGCTACGTGTACATATGGACTTAGTCGTGTCAGGTGAACTGTTGTTTGGTGCTGGTTTCCGCCTAAAGATGTTCCGGTTCAACCCTATCTATGGTCATTACTTGATGGAATATGTTTCTCGTTTATATGAACTTATTTCGACTTATAACACAAATCTTTTCATAACATATATTATATGGATATAAAAGTCTAAGGCTCAGGTGATCGGCTGACAAAATTAATGCAAACACATAATGAGGCATCTGTAACCAAAATAGAGTGAGATAAAACATGATCATTCTCATGTGGCAGTACATGTTGTTGAAGGCAGTGATAACTGTTAGTGGCAGTACATGTTGTTGAAGGCAGTGATAACTGTTAGTGGCAGCAAATGAATGAAGCAGTCGTACAATATCTAGTGCCTTGACTACACCGAACGTGCACCGGACTTGCGACTTGTGTACATGCCAAATGGGGGTGGTATTTATCTGTCCCTGGCGGTTCCGGATCGTGAGTGCAGTGACATTTATTACAGGGCCAGTTATTAATTGCTGCTCCCACGTATATGACCCAATGTTTTGTCTTTTCTGAATGTAAACCTAAAACTGTGTGTTTGATTACAACTGGTTAACTATTTATGTGTGTAGTTAATTACTGATTAGACACGACACTGTGTACGAACCGATTCCTTGGTTAACCGATGCGTTTCAATTTTGAATGACCTTGTAACATAAAAATGAGCTACAAATAAATCATGTTTTTAAAAGTTAACCTTTCTGACGAGTTATCCTTTAATAGCATCAAGTGCAGTGTGAGTTGTTACAATGGATGTATTTCAAACAACATGAAGTATCATGATGACTTTTGCACTGGGTTAAGGAATCACAATGACACCCCATTCATCCGATCAGAAGATCAAAGAAATAGTTGGATCTGTATTTCATATTATATATAAAAATCAACTGTTACAACATCTACTCACTCAACGACTCATATTAGAGTTCCAATTTGCTATTCCGTAATTGTGAAGAGTTTTGGCAATGTACGTGCAGCTGCGAATTAACGACGATTGGTCCTCGAATATTTCACATTTTCTGATTTACTCCCCAGCACCTTAAACTATGTTGCGTCCAAATAATATCTGATGCAAGGCAGGAATTCTTTGATGTGGTTAATGCAGCATGGTAAAACATGTCTTTTCTAGATGTCTTATTGGCGCCTAGATGTAGTCATGAAATGACCCCAGCTACATGGATTTGACACGGGTCTGTACAACTAATGCAAGACTCAAATATGAAGATTATTCTAAGATAAATTTGGAAAATACTTTCATTTGGTCGACCAGAAGTATCAAATCGCAATAAACCCCCTCTGATTGAAACAGCCGATTTGACGGCCGCATCACCGTGAAAAGTAATATTTTTACAATAGTACTTCTGTCAGTGTCGGTAGTGGTTGACGGAAGAGGGCGTCCAGGTGATTTGAACTGATTAAATGTTGATAAACGGTGAGTACCTTGCTTTCATATAAATGTGCGTGCCGCTGCCCCCTTTACAGCAAACAGTTTATTGTCCAACTCCCCATTCACGCGTCTAACGTGTGATCACGATACCCTCGAATGTGAACAATGAGTGTATGATGTCTTATGTTGCTGTAACCAATATCCCTATTGCACTTCGAAAATATCGCACTCATCAACATTCTTTTTCTGTAAAGTGGAGGTACCACCAGACCGGGACTTCATTACCTCAAAACTAGATTTATCACATACTTCCATCACACAAATAGATATTGTATCCGAACCCCGTTTTCATGTTCAGTTCATAAAAACCTGGATTGTCAACAACAATATGTAAACACAACAAATAAACTATATAAGCGTACAAAGTAGACACAATTAATGGCTAGGAACTTCTTTAGTTACTGTAAAGGCGACGTTTCAATATAGATCCTTATACCGTTGTTAAGTAAGCCCTGCTTGACAATGGTATAAGGATCTATACCCAAACGTCGCTTTACAGTAATTAAAGAAGTTGCTATACATTAATTGTGTCCACTTTGTCATCCGCCTACTTCTAAGTAATGCCTATCAAACAATATATAAATGTAAACAGAAAACACGCACACACACACACACACACACACACACACACACACACACACACACACACACACACACACACACATTTCATCGATTTTTACATGTGGTCACTGGCAGTGAAAAGACCATCAAACATCTACCAAAGTGCTCTATCAATAAACTTGAGGAAATATACTCGGGTGACTGCCAAAGTAACAGTTTGTTTGGACATTATGTCACAGGTTTGTTTTGAACGGATTCAGTCACTGACTTCCGGACAGCCGTCATACAGCTGGACTATTGTGTTAAACAAAAAACAAACAAAATCCTATTGACTGTATTGCTTTTCATTCGTCATGAGTTTGGAGCTGATACTCAATCTACTAATATTCGGCAATATTTCAGCCATATCGTGACGAGAGAAAAATTATACATTAATAATGCATAAATATAGACTATATAACACATGTCGACAAAGGACTAGATTTAAAACTAGTACGTAACCATATATATTACCTTTGGAAAAAAACACAATACCATATTATTTGAATGACACCTCAATGGTTGCGATAAACTTTAAATTTATTTTCGTTCCAATTACCAATGAAATTATCAATAATCCGAGTATGATAGAACTGTGTATGCTGCGTCACTCGCCAACGGAACACCATTGAAGTATTGCAGGGAAGTGGTCAATAAAGTAACTAATTATTTGTGAGGAAAACATCGATATTCGTTTTCCCAGCTATCAGAAACTCATTATACACTAATAGTTAAGGGTATTGCTAAAACGATTGATTGCTGACTAATATGACTTTAATATCTCTGGACTAATAATTGTATACATCTCGATGGAGACCCCATTACACACAGTATATCAATAAGCACATACGTACTGGTCTGATACTGACAGGTGCATACTCATGCGTGTCATCCGATACCGCGTGCGCCCTGATTAAGATTCTTCGTTTTGTCTCCATCATATCAGTGTCCGTGGTTTTCAACAAGTGGTGAATGTTTGACATCTGGAATACACTTCCATATTAAGCTGCCTAACATACGGTTAAAAGTGGTGTTCATCATATCTCACTCACTCACTCACACGCATCATCTCTGTAGGGTCCAGGAAAGAAAAGGCGTTATATTCCACATTATAGAACTGATTATGAGGCGAACAAACATATCTCTGTCCGAGACACTAATGTCACTATAGGAGAGGCCATTTGCTTACAAATGAACATGTCTCAGATTATGTGTGATCGAGTTGAATGTATTGCCTTTTAACAATACTTCATAGCGTGTGGGCTTGGTTCGGGTTGAAAGTCCAATGTGATCACGGATATGGCACACATTTAGAGACACAGTCATGGCGAACCGACCTTCAAACGTGTACCTAGGCCTATACCTGTAAAACAACCTAATAAATACATTCAATTCTAACCCAACGGCAGAACATAATATCTGCTTCTGAGCTCTGAGGTTCTGGGAGTCAGATTAAAATTAATGATAACAATGCTTGTAAATTCAAGACAAGTCTGCAAACAAAGAGAGAGGTTTATAATCAACACGCAATGTCGTGCCACAGACACCCAGTCAGGCTGGAGACAGGGAGACTTCCATTGATCAATGGTATTAAGATTATAAATAACACTGACACTATCGAAGTAATAAGAAGGGTTTTAGTTTGGAGTTTTCAAATATGTATTACATTAAAAGCTGGACTTTCAGTGATCACATGTGGATAAGAACATACAGGAAGATGGTCAGCGCAATACGGGTTCTACTGCTCATGTGGATCAGTCCAAGGACAAGTGAGTATTTAACAATGTCCTTCCTACGAGATGTAATTAAGAGAAACATTTGATGATACAATGTAACCATATAATAACCGTACAGTATTCACAATTGTGCTGCATGTATACACGGCATCAAGGACCTTTGTCTTGTGGTCACGTTTTGGCAATATACATTGTCGAATTACACATTTATTTAACACATCTAGTGATAACTTCCCCTTGCTATCTGTCCCTGCAGATCCACTCCTATGGACACCAAAGCAATCTTCGGGCTGTTTTGGGACAGGGTCCTCAGATTTTGATTTTCTGTAACCGGAGTGCCAACCAGGGGAGATAATCGCTCTTAAAGATTTCTATGCTGGCTCTAAAAATAAATCTATCAACTGCCCCAGCGAATCAACAGACTTAAACAGGAACCGCACAAAGTGTTGCACACACGCAAAAGACGACTGTCAGTTTGAATTGCACGGACAAGCAAAGGCCTGGGGTTTTACACCAACTGTACTGGAAGAACTGACTGTATGCTTAGAGTTGACAGGGTCACTGCAGGGTGGCCATGTGACTTCCTTACTCACTTGACACAAACTAGTTACATGCTTATGAACTACTACTGCATACCTGGTGAGTTGGTAATAGACACAAGCAGTGTCACATTTTGATCACCTTTTCAACGCCCTGCACATGTCTCTGTTTGTAACTGGGGTACTATTCAACTGTTGTCGTGGTCGGCCTATGGTACGATACGTAGGGTTGAATTGAAAAGGAAAAGTTAATAAATGTAAATCTCATCAAGAACACCATACTGAAAATATGGGAAACTGATTCAGTGGGGAGTATCTCCGTTATATCACGGCGTGTCAGCTTTATATCAATAGAAACCCATGAGCACAGGTATGGTGCCGACAAATCAGGAACCATTATCAGGTCGAACCTTGTATTTGAAGACCCCGTCATAGGAATCAAACCACTTAGGCGACAGGGGCACCTGTGACCACAACATAAAGAGAAAGCCATTGCCAAAAGGCCGAAAAGCAATGGTCAGTGGTCAATACATTATACCACAATGCTATGAATTGGAAGAACGATGTCAACACTGTACGTAACCACATGCCCTCATTCTTACAGTCAATGTATATTGGTGGGAGCATGGATGTCCCGGTCGTCTAAGGCACAGCAATTCGTTGTGCAGGAGTTGCGTCCCTTGGGCACGCCCGAAACCTTTGATCGTGGGTCGAACCCCGATTCGTCCCGATAATGTTTCTAGGTTTATCGGCTGTATCGCAACCAAAGAGAGCGCATGCGTGTCCAACCGTGACAACACAGGCAACTCCAACAACAACGCGTTACATGTTGATATCTAGGTCACTCATGGCCTCAGCACCAGCTTATGCATCAAGAAACACTCCAGGAGGTATTTACTTTAATGTGTATTTTGTGCATACTGTAACATAATTTTGATAATCGGTTAATTCCATTTCGGTGCAGCTATGACGCCACGAGTTGCTTCCCTGGCTTATGTGCATAGCCCTTGTTAGTTATCTCCCCAAACGGGTTAACGGTGAATCAAGATGTTTAAAGGTTGCACAAAATGTAACAGAAATTATATTTTGATTCTATTTCGATGACAATTGGGCAGAGACAAGTTCAGAGAGTGAAGAACGTTGGACCATTATTTATTCACAACAGTTTGTAACGGGCGTTGCACGTCATTGAGGACAGTTATCGCTAACCAGATGTATAAATGAATGTATTGAAAGGATCTCCCTATTCGAGCAGTGATCACACACAATCTAGGTAAGCCTCCTGTGTAACTATGAAGCTATTTAGTACACATATGCATGAAGCTTTTGTACTTTAAGACTCAAGTATGCAGCCCGGTACGATTGCTGTGATTGCTGTTGTGGGAATTTGCTTCCTTGGGATAATCTTCTTGGTTGTTCTCTACTGCGTCAAAAAGAAAAAGCTGACGAAGGTAACTTAGAACCTTCACAGATGTGTTGACAGCTATGATGAGTTACTTTCAGTGTCCTTTGTCCTGACTAGTCGACAAAGTGACCAGAATGGCCTTCATCTACGGCACATATCTGTTGATCGAAATCTATATTCACGTACAGTGACAAAGTCCAGTGATTGATACAATTTGTACATTGCAGTTTGTATTTCTTAAACGAGCAACGTCCCTGTGGTTCGTCAGAGATGCGTCAGACCCCAAACCAACATGCAGTATTTCGGATTATTGTGTGTTTCTGCTCAGACAGAACCACGAGCACAACATGGGCCACCCGAACCCGAGATCCTTCTCAGATATCCAGAGATGAAGCACAGCATGATGCTTCTAAAACTGCTGGTCCTGCCAATCATGTGAACTTGGACGCAATGCTTGTTCCACAGAGGTGGTCGGAATTACCTCCCCTTCGTGAGATTCTAAACATCCCCCCAGTTCGTATGTCCGAGGACAGGTAAACACCCAGGTTTGATGCCCTCCTGGGAAGTCAGATTTCCCCTGACGTAAGGACGTCGGCTGCTCCACCGAAGCTGACCCCAATTATACCCAGAGCTTCCTGGTGATGGAGGCTCAAGCTGCCTAACTTAATTGACAGAGTGTACAGTCCAATACACGTCTTCTTCATCACGACCGTATGGTTTAAACTGAAGTGCAGTAACTAGATTTCTGTGTTTTGCAAAATATGACACCAACAGTCGTCATTAGTATACCGATTCCCGATGAGGCAAACTCATATAGTCCACGTTAATTAAATGTAAACGCAGTATCACGAATGCATTTGTTCTGTTCTCTGTGCTAGTATGTAACATTTACTCCATGGCGAGAGAGATTCTTTATTTCTTACAGATGTTATTCCGAAGATTACAATGAAAATATATTCAATAACACGCGGCTATGACAATACAGAAAGGCATAGCATCTTTACAATTCCGCACAGCTTATGAAATTCAAATATCAATACGAAGACAGATATCCACTTTAAGATACATATCAAGAGATGCTTTAGTTTGTAAAGATACTAGGCGAATTGTAGCATGATAGTTTCCCAGATGTGTTGATCCAGATTTTTAATAAATTCTGTTTCAGCCCCAAATAAGAATGATGACATTTCTGTTTCGTCTGACATTTCGAAATCAACAAATATTTGAACGTCAAGTAACTCAATGAGAGAAGAGAATAACGCAGTTCTTTCTGATATAAGCGTTTCACAATGTTAAATAATGTTGCTGTCAGGGTCGAAAGCATGCTTATTCCAGAACGTGCACCCTTTCGAAAGTTTACTGCGTAAAGAGACTTTCACACAAAGTTGTAAAGCAGGTCGATATTCCGGGTACATGATATGTTAATTTCGTATGAATTCTCTTATAACGGGACATGCTTGCTTTATTTGATACATGTGTGGGTCATAATGGTTCTTAGTATTTGCATAAATGATAGTTTCATTAACAAGATTCCTCCATAGTTAACGGTTTATGTTACATGACTGTACACTCTAGCTATAACCCTGTACATGTAAGACCATTCTCCGTTTTGTTTAAACACGTTATCGATAAATCATGTCACAGGTTTCATATTGACAATATTTACGCTACAAACATGTAATGTTTGTCATTCATGTGAGTGTACAGATGCAATCACAGCCATTACTGCTACGCTGTGATTGTTTCATAGTTTGATACTTACATGTGTGTCAGAAACGTTTGCGTTCTTTGAGGCAAATCAAAGACATAAATAAAATAGGGTTATAAAATTGCTGAATTGCTGAATTGCTGAATTGCTGAATTGCACGCACGTACGCAAGCACACATGAACACAGCTACCCTAATGCTTCCACTCATTTCTTATAAACAGCTAGTTATGCACTAATTAGTTATTCACTAACTTCTGTCCTCAACCCTTAACAGAACGACCGCCTCCGTGGTCTTGTGGTAGAGCGTCCGCCCGGAGAGCGGAAGGTCCAGGGTTCGATCCCCGGGCCGCGTCATACAAAAAGACGTTAAAAGATTGTACTTGTTGTTACCCTGTCTGGCGCTCGGCATTAAGGGGCTAAAACAAGGACTGGTCGGCTCGGAGTCAGTATACTGTGTCTGAGTGGGGTATTCATGTTAAACTGCGGCATGGTATCTCAGTGAGCTAGCACTATAAATCGGCATCAGTCAGGACTAGTACAAGCAGCCACACACAAACATACACGTGCATGCACGTCGCTATATAAGTGCAATAATCTTGGACGCGACGTTAAACCCAATTTCACCTCACCTCACCTTAACAGAACAATTAATGATCCAAATGGTTATTCAAGTTGTGATTCTAGTAAAGTAGATAGGCGAAAGGTGTAGGTATCTTGTTGTGAGCGATATTGGTGTTTACATAATATCAGTTGGTACTTTGAGGCTTCACATTGTTACCGTGCAATGCCTGCAATGGTACGACAAGGAATACCATACTACCAACTGACACGGGGACAACCTACTGATTAAGACGTTCGTGAGAATTTCAGAGCACGGGTTGTTTTATCAAAGCTAATCGGTGAGTCTAAATATATCAGGGTCAATCTTCCATTTAATCTTATTCACAAAACATGACATCTGACGCAGAAGGCTTAGTAATCGCCTTGGTTTGGGTATAGGTACTTACGTACTTAAATTCATGTGTCATAAACAAATGTAGTTGCCAAAAACTGCTGCTTTTGGATCGAATAATAATTTGAGTAGGTAGTAATGAGTTTTGTCTGTGTCACAGCAATATCACGGCTATACCGCGGTAGCGTGTGAATATTCGAAACTGTAGCAGACGAACCAGTGATTGAACCAGCATGACGACCACTCTCATCGTCGTACGACATAATATATGTACTATGCTTTTAAAACGTTTAATCCAACCTCTCTAAGAAATATTTTTAAAAGTGATATAAAATCTGTCTGCTTAACGTATCAGTGCCCTTTACTACGTCATAGTCCAGCTGGACACGCTTTGGTTGATACAGACTGTACCGAAATGGTAGGGTTTTAACTCTACGTACACTCAGACAGTATAATGACCGTAGACTTCAAGACTTCAAAAAGGGGAACACAATTGGTGTCCACGTGGATGCCTACTTCTTGCCTCAATGTCTTAGCCCCATTTTTTCTTCAGAAGAGATTTGTTTCAAAAGAAAAAGTTTGGAAGGAGCCATGTTACTCCATTTCACGATGTCACTGCTTTCTTCCATTATTAACGTTTCAATTGCCAATAAGCTCAATTGTAAAAAAAACGTGTATAAACTAAATTCATTTTCCCCTCGCCTGTGTTGGTTGAGAGAGAAATTCCAAGAGCATGTGCAATACAGTCACATGACCACCTGATCGGGTAATGACCGCACCACCTGTGTTCTCACACCCCCAGGTGTCACCTCTGTGTGTCAGGCAGCTATGGCGTCCATTGTGTTAGCATTCCTCTGTGTTTCAGTCGTTATAGGACCTGGTAAGTTATATGTAACTAATTCACAATAAGGTAATATAAACAAAGGAAACGTTACAAATGTAAGTGCAGATATTGTGTTACGCTGCACACATATGGAACACCTTAATTCCTTTAACGTCGATATAAGGCTCGCAAAATATGTTAAATGTCTGAAAGTTAAAAGATTAATGTATCCTCCCTGTTTGTTAATCTTGTTAACATTTACATACAAATTCTGAAAAAAACATTAATTCAATAAAACAAAACTAATCTTCAAATATTTCAATTTCTGTTTATTGGTTTGCTTCAACACGTCTTTATGTGACTCTGTGCTAACTTTCAATAGCTTGATTTGCCGCTAATGTGTGCATTAAATGCAAGTATGTCCCATCATGCTTAATTCAACACATCAGTTTGGTCCGAGTGTATCAATGGCTGGACACGGTATGATGACTCTTGCTACAGACTCTTTAGAGATTCCAAAAAGATTTGGCCGGAAGCAGTGGTATGTACAACCATTATCAGCCTGAAATATAATGTGCATCTGTTGAAGTGTGTGTTATGATTTTGCATTTAAAGTGAAGTCTCATTTATGGCTCATACAAACATGTGGACAAAGACAAACTGTGTACATAAAATTGCAATTTATATATCATTGTTGGCGGTTTTATAATTATAAATCCATACATTAATGAAATGCACACGCCATTCCATGTACAAACATTTATTTCTGTTGCACGAAAGTTTGAATGTGAAAAAGAGGACGCTTATCTGGCGTCAATAGAGACACAGCGTGAAAGCACAAACGTCCATGCGCTGGTTGCGGAGCTGAACCTCGCAGGTAGAGTTAGTCCATCGTTACTTGTATATCTAACTATCTGACAGTTGCAAGTAGCTTATTTGCATGTCCTCCATATGCAGGGTTTCAAGGGAGAGAAACATTCATGTGTATTGTTCTTAAAAGCTGCCATCGGAACATTTAGATATGTATTTTTTACTAAAACTTCATAATTTGCATCCTTATGTCTTTTTAAACTCGGATTCAGTATGTTTGAATGTAATGTAGACAATTCATTATTTCATAATATGGATTCCTACGTCTTTTTAAACTCGGATTCAGTATGTTTGAATGTAATATAGACAATTCATTATTTCATAATTTGGATTCTTACGTCTTTTTAAACTCGGATTCAGTATGTTTGAATGTAATATAGACAATTCATTACTTCATAATTTGGATTCTTACGTCTTTTTAAACTCGGATTCAGTATGTTTGAATGAAATATAGACAATTCATTATTTCATAATTTGGATTCTTATGTTTTTTTAAACACGGATTCAGTATGTTTGAATGTAATATAGAAAATTCATTACTTCATAATTTGGATTCTTACGTCTGTTTAAAATCAGAATCATTATGTTTGAATATCCTATAGATACCGACAACGTGTGGATCGGCCTGTCAGATGTCCGAGAGGAGAATGTGTGGGTTTGGGAGGTTGACAGGAAGAACGCCACGTTCTTCAACTGGGGGAGTACTGAGCCTAACCAAACAGGAACAACTCAACAAGACTGTGTCATACTGTACGGGAAACGCGGACATACATGGGCCGATGATAGATGTGAAATTAAGTACTACTACCTGTGTGAAAGGCCGTACGTATCATCATCATTAGTAAGAACGTACCATGCGGTACAAGGCACGTGTAAGAGCTTTTGATTACCTGAAATATGAGATTAGTGAATGAATGTAGATGAATTTCTGAATTCTCGATTGATATATAACGGGATTAGGTCCAAAACCTAAAAAACCCATTTCAACACGTACTGAATTAAAGTTTATATTATGAAATTACAATTATGATATTCGTCTCAATATCACTCATGTTCACTTTACGTTTCAGATTACAAGCAAGTGTGTCGGGATAATGTTTGAATTCCGTCACCAGCGACACCCGTGTATAATATCATGCATTGTTACAAGTCGTTCAGGAAATAAACTCCGTAACACACAATTGATATGTCTAAGTTTATTGCATTGGACTCTTATATAATGAAACATTTGGTGCATGTATGTTCATACACGTTTATCCTCCAACTCTCATGTGTGCATGAAATTACACTTAAAGCGTAAATAATCCTACTCCATACACGTGATTGAATAAAAACACACAAAAACAGTTTATGGAATAAAAACGTATCCTTGAGCCTGTGAAAAACATTTCTCAATATGTCCATGAAATCTTTATGGACTCGGACAAGTGCATTATACATAACCAGATCAATAAACTATTTGATATCCACGATTGAGTAAATATTGGAAGATCAACGAGCAAAAACAACATACAAGGACTTAAAACGTAAGGCATGTGTACTAAAGAAATAGAAAGATTCTGACAAATATTACATTTGTTGAATTAAATTTAGAACGCAATGTTGCAACTGGACACAAAATGAAATGTAACCCTTCAATGTTTAGTTCCCTTATTCTTGTCATCACTAGGAGTCGCGACTTATCTACAATACGAACAACACTCATCGTCATCATAACCCCTTTACATCACGATCAATGGTCGAGCCAATAGCACGGACGGGTGAATGTGCAAGCTGGTCGTCTCCTTTGGATACCGTTTTATTACGAGTGTATTTCAGACCTATCAAACTCGCGAGATACATGTACGTTTCTGAATATACTCGTTGTAACAAAACAGTATATGACGGGGACAACATTGAAAGAAGACCTTGTTCGTATAAGGAGGGCGTGTGATTACAACATCCGGAGTTGATTTTATATTTCGACCATATATATTTAATCTACACAAAAATCAAGCTTCAAACTCGGTTCAGCGTAGGTGAGGGGGGCTCGCGAGACGATCGACTCCCCCGAGTCAGCAGATGGTTTATCTTCAATGGAACTGGTTGTAATCACCATCACCGTCTGTTCACTCGCGGAGCACGAACGGTTCACTACACGAGATTGCATCGGTTGAGACGACATATCTAACAACTGTAAACTTGGTACAACACGAAGTTCAAGTTCGTAAGTGGACGCAACGATGAATATTGTGATGATCGTTATAACCCCATGACGCTTGCTGGGTACAAGACTTTTAGGCAAGAAGTAGGCATCCCCATGGGCACCAACTGTGATCCCCTTCTTGCTGATCTGTTTCTTCAAGAATATTTCAAACCTATTTGTTGTGTCTAGTTGTGTCTATCGGGACAGAGTAGTCATTGCAAAGATAAGTTGGACAGTGCTACCGACGCCCCATTCAAATGACCAACAGAATAGGGGCGGAGATGGACATACTGCGTATACACTTCCGGAATTGCTTCATACCTGGTAAAGGATGTATCAAAGCACTGTACTTTCAGAAACCAACACGCCAATGAACGATGTTAAGGACTGAGGACAGTTTGTGCGCCTCGGGTCCAATTTGAAAAGGCACCAGAAGTTTTAGCAATGGAATGCAGTCACTTTGATGGTAGTGTGATTATTCCATCTAGAGGCTGGTACAGATGTGATGTCCTTGATATGTACCACCAGTATGGGTCAGGGGTGAAATACATCACGCCCTCAACCAGGTCACAAAACATTTTATGTTCATTGTGAAAATGAATAGAATGTTTGATGGTGTTCATGATCAGTAAATAAATAGTTTGTTGGATATAGCTGGGGCAAAAATAGATTTTTCTCAAAATACACCACCACCCTCCCTACATATTAAAATGATGTTCCCTCAGGTGTTTTTTTAAACAAATATTTGACTCTAATGCATCTAAATGCTTTATACAAATATATGTAGTTGCAATTAGGTTAAATGTACAACGTCATCAAACTCATCGATCTCCACACCATGCGATACAGCTAGGAAAGAGCATGTTCACTCGTTTCACACCATGCGATACAGCTAGGAAAGAGCATGTTCACTAGTTTCACACCATGCGATACAGCTAGGAAAGAGCATGTTCACTAGTTTCACACCATGCGATACAGCTAGGAAAGAGCATGTTCACTCGTTTCACACCATGCGATACAGCTAGGAAAGAGCATGCTCACTAGTTTCACACCATGCGATACAGCTAGGAAAGAGCATGTTCACTAGTTTCACACCATGCGATACAGCTAGGAAAGAGCATGTTCACTCGTTTCACACCATGCGATACAGCTAGGAAAGAGCATGTTCACTAGTTTCACACCATGCGATACAGCTAGGAAAGAGCATGTTCACTAGTTTCACACCATGCGATACAGCTAGGAAAGAGCATGTTCACTCGTTTCACACCATGCGATACAGCTAGGAAAGAGCATGTTCACTAGTTTCACACCATGCGATACAGCTAGGAAAGAGCATGTTCACTCGTTTCACACCATGCGATACAGCTAGGAAAGAGCATGTTCACTAGTTTCACACCATGCGATACAGCTAGGAAAGAGCATGTTCACTAGTTTCACACCATGCGATACAGCTAGGAAAGAGCATGTTCACTCGTTTCACACCATGCGATACAGCTAGGAAAGAGCATGTTCACTAGTTTCACACCATGCGATACAGCTAGGAAAGAGCATGTTCACTCGTTTCACACCATGCGATACAGCTAGGAAAGAGCATGTTCACTAGTTTCACACCATGCGATACAGCTAGGAAAGAGCATGTTCACTAGTTTCACACCATGCGATACAGCTAGGAAAGAGCATGTTCACTAGTTTCACACCATGCGATACAGCTAGGAAAGAGCATGTTCACTCGTTTCACACCATGCGATACAGCTAGGAAAGAGCATGTTCACTCGTTTCACACCATGCGATACAGCTAGGAAAGAGCATGTTCACTCGTTTCACACCATGCGATACAGCTAGGAAAGAGCATGTTCACTAGTTTCACACCATGCGATACAGCTAGGAAAGAGCATGTTCACTCGTTTCACACCATGCGATACAGCTAGGAAAGAGCATGTTCACTAGTTTCACACCATGCGATACAGCTAGGAAAGAGCATGTTCACTAGTTTCACACCATGCGATACAGCTAGGAAAGAGCATGTTCACTAGTTTCACACCATGCGATACAGCTAGGAAAGAGCATGTTCACTAGTTTCACACCATGCGATACAGCTAGGAAAGAGCATGTTCACTAGTTTCACACCATGCGATACAGCTAGGAAAGAGCATGTTCACTCGTTTCACACCATGCGATACAGCTAGGAAAGAGCATGTTCACTCGTTTCACACCATGCGATACAGCTAGGAAAGAGCATGTTCACTAGTTTCACACCATGCGATACAGCTAGGAAAGAGCATGTTCACTAGTTTCACACCATGCGATACAGCTAGGAAAGAGCATGTTCACTAGTTTCACACCATGCGATACAGCTAGGAAAGAGCATGTTCACTCGTTTCACACCATGCGATACAGCTAGGAAAGAGCATGTTCACTAGTTTCACACCATGCGATACAGCTAGGAAAGAGCATGTTCACTCGTTTCACACCATGCGATACAGCTAGGAAAGAGCATGTTCACTCGTTTCACACCATGCGATACAGCTAGGAAAGAGCATGTTCACTAGTTTCACACCATGCGATACAGCTAGGAAAGAGCATGTTCACTAGTTTCACACCATGCGATACAGCTAGGAAAGAGCATGTTCACTCGTTTCACACCATGCGATACAGCTAGGAAAGAGCATGTTCACTCGTTTCACACCATGCGATACAGCTAGGAAAGAGCATGTTCACTAGTTTCACACCATGCGATACAGCTAGGAAAGAGCATGTTCACTCGTTTCACACCATGCGATACAGCTAGGAAAGAGCATGTTCACTCGTTTCACACCATGCGATACAGCTAGGAAAGAGCATGTTCACTAGTTTCACACCATGCGATACAGCTAGGAAAGAGCATGTTCACTAGTTTCACACCATGCGATACAGCTAGGAAAGAGCATGTTCACTCGTTTCACACCATGCGATACAGCTAGGAAAGAGCATGTTCACTCGTTTCACACCATGCGATACAGCTAGGAAAGAGCATGTTCACTCGTTTCACACCATGCGATACAGCTAGGAAAGAGCATGTTCACTAGTTTCACACCATGCGATACAGCTAGGAAAGAGCATGTTCACTAGTTTCACACCATGCGATACAGCTAGGAAAGAGCATGTTCACTCGTTTCACACCATGCGATACAGCTAGGAAAGAGCATGTTCACTCGTTTCACACCATGCGATACAGCTAGGAAAGAGCATGTTCACTAGTTTCACACCATGCGATACAGCTAGGAAAGAGCATGTTCACTAGTTTCACACCATGCGATACAGCTAGGAAAGAGCATGTTCACTCGTTTCACACCATGCGATACAGCTAGGAAAGAGCATGTTCACTAGTTTCACACCATGCGATACAGCTAGGAAAGAGCATGCTCACTAGTTTCACACCATGCGATACAGCTAGGAAAGAGCATGTTCACTCGTTTCACACCATGCGATACAGCTAGGAAAGAGCATGTTCACTAGTTTCACACCATGCGATACAGCTAGGAAAGAGCATGTTCACTCGTTTCACACCATGCGATACAGCTAGGAAAGAGCATGTTCACTAGTTTCACACCATGCGATACAGCTAGGAAAGAGCATGCTCACTAGTTTCACACCATGCGATACAGCTAGGAAAGAGCATGTTCACTAGTTTCACACCATGCGATACAGCTAGGAAAGAGTATGTTCACTAGTTTCACACCATGCGATACAGCTAGGAAAGAGTATGTTCACTAGTTTCACACCATGCGATACAGCTAGGAAAGAGTATGTTCACTAGTTTCACACCATGCGATACAGCTAGGAAAGAGCATGTTCACTAGTTTCACACCATGCGATACAGCTAGTTTCACGAACATTAGGTATCATACACCTCGTGCGATGTCTTTTTTTCTTTCCTACGAGATATGATTGAGTCTGAAAATATACATATGGTTTTGGCCTATTAATTGTCACTCAACTACCCTTTCCAGGTTAGAGATATGGTGATAGTAGTGCCTTAGGGGTGTTACTATCTCTTACTGCATGAGTATTAAAGTTGGTAGCCGGAGATATAATTCTGGAAGAAGCCAATTATTATAATTTATAATCAATTTAACATTACAATTATTCAAAAAAGGCCAATGTTTAAGTTAAGAGTATGAATACTTTACTCTGGTGAACGATAAATAAAATTTATTGATGTAGATGCCAGTCCAGTAGCTTATGCAAAACGGTGGAATAAATCAATCGGAATCTTTTTGGGAAATGTACCTCTGGAAACAGGCGGCGAGATAGTCGGTCACGTGAAAATATAGGCCCGGCTCATTCACATAAATCTGATTATATCGTTGTTGGGGACATTATTCCAACGGGAGAGCAGATATGAGTGTCTTTGTTTCAGCACTTTGTGTGATTATTATATCGGTAACAGGTAGGTAACACTGGCAAATGTGCATGGAACTGTATTATTTGTGTCGTAGTGAAGCATTTCTCTTTATTTGATCTTTATATATTTAATGTAACGTTGTCCAACAGTATCTGGCGAATGTCCAAATGGTTGGGTGAGGTATGACAACTCCTGCTACCGACTGTTCCGAAATCACCCTCAAGCATGGCCAGAGGCCGTGGTACGTACATGACATAAGAACATGTGTTAATTGAATATACTTCTGACCTATAGTCTCTATTAATTCGTCACCTTCCTCAGTAATTGTGTAGTGTCCACGCCACTAAATGTTATTGCATATGACATTAACGTATGCTTTACAACCAAAAGTAGGCGCTTCCTTATAATCATGACTTACAATGTCGAAGTACAAGTTTTCATGATTAAGCTGTCGCCCTCTCTACCAGTGCTCAGTCTGTTCCATTGTCATTCTTCCGTTTTTAGTTTATGTGCGAAGAACAAGGAGGATATCTTGCGTCTATTGAGACAAAACGTGAAAATGGCTATCTGCAAGAATTGATCACCGAATTTAATGTTTTAAGTAAGTATCTAAAACAAGACAAAGTTTCACCGATATTTATGTTTAAGCTCCACCTCTCTATTACAGCTTTAAGTGTATAAATTGGAATGCGCAATGTACACTTTTCGACCTTTCATTTAATTTCCTGTAAATGTACATGTACTTTCTTTTAATGGATTTACTAATTATGTACGCTGGTGTAGCTTCGTGTTCAAAGCTCTGAATTTGTGCCTGACTTCCTAACTTAGTAGTTCTTCATTAACTATCAAACGAAACACAAGGAAAATGTATTTGTATGTCTTCATTCGTTTCATCATCATTATTATCTGGCTTACGTACAAACTTAGATCACAGTCGTGTATGGCAACAAAGATACATTGATGAATGATATAACTCAAACTTTTAATGCTACACCTCCGTTGTTTCAAGCCACTGAAGACGTGTGGATCGGACTTGCTGACGTGAGGCATGAGGGTGTGTTTGTGTGGGAGTCCACCCGAAAAAATGCCACTTTCCTTGACTGGGCTCATGGTGAGCCTAACCAACCGAAGACGAAACAAGAGGACTGTGTCAAGTTGTATGGCAAGGGAGCACACAAGTATGCCGACGCTGAATGTTCACTGAAATATCACTATCTGTGTGAAAGACCGTACGTTATTTATACGCTTTTTGCATATTGCATATCATTGTTGATGATATCCAGTGTAAAACTATCACATTCGTTTTCAGCTCATCGTCCTGAGGCAAGGCTGTTAACTTACTATAAAAGTCCAATTTTCAACCTTACCGAACTAGGCTTGAATTCCGGAGTTACATCTTGGCAAGGGTGGCAAGGGTGGAAAGTGGACTTTTACAGTGAGTTAACTCCCTTGCCTCGGGAAGATGTGTTCAACCCTGCTAGTAAAGTTATGTGCATACATGTAAACATTTAACATCATAAGTATAACCGGTAACCTATCGAGAACATCAGGCAATTTTTCCGGTGTACTTTTGTTCCACTGAGGCATCAGTTGTACATAGTTAATCATGGATGTATTTAATGTTATATTCACACAGAGACATTTAATGCGGCATTTTCAACGTTGCAGAGTCAGTGAAGACAAAGTTGACATTTCTTTATTTTTGCAATGCGGTTTTTCGGTGCAGGTGCTAGAACTTCGCATTGAACGAATACAGAAATCTAAATTCATAAGTCTGCCTTCACTTACGATGTTCCTTGTCCAATAGTTCCCTGTACCTCACTGTACTTCATTAGTGTGATGATTTATTTGCAATACGAAATTTGTAACTGAACACAGACAAATCCTTAAAGCCTGAGATATTTTTGTTATAAGTTATAATGCTTTCGTTTAATTTGGTTTTTTTTCAGATTGAATGAAAATCTACCAGTCATCGGGTGAAAATATCCTTAAAATCGAAACATCATTTCGTTGTGTAAATACAGAAGGTTAATAAACATATTTGATCATAATCATTTCCAACTGGATCAGGTATCTTACGGTGATATAATATTTATATGTATGTTACATTATTCTGTCCTATTAACACATACGGTGCGAAAATGAAGCACTTATAGTGAGCAATGATCATACACAAGTAACCAATAACAAATGCTACGGGTATAAAATAAGGAACTGATGAAATTAGAGTGACGATATCCTGCCGATAAATGTCTGTGAAATGTTAGTTTCGAGCGTGTAGATCTTTACCTGGTGTGTCCACCATGTTCGGCGATACATTCACGACACCTCGATGGCACACTGTTGATTAACTTGCGTATGGTTGCCTTTGGCATTGCCCGCCATTCCGCCTGAGTAGCTACCCCAAGCTGGGCCACGTGGCTGAGTCCCTAAAGAAGCTTTATTTGAGGACATCTCAGTGGGCCAGTCCAATGTCCGGGTGCCTTATCGTCGGAGATAACCGATGACGACCTGAGAACAATGTGAAATGACATTGCCATCCTGCAGTTCAAAATTTCTGCCGATAATTCCAGCGAATGGATCAACGACAGGACGCAAACTTTCAACATATCGCCGGCCAGTCAAATGTTCATTCTCAGTAACCGCATACGTTCGCCTGTCATGTGTGATGCCGCCCTATAACCATGACTCCACCCCCTTAAATCCGATCAAGATCAGGAATTATTGTCCTGGCATACAGATCGCCGCTTGGTCGCCAACAACATTTTCTGCCATCTTTGCATCGGAAACAAAACCTTGATTCTACTGTAAAATGATGTACCGCCGTTGGCGCACAGCCCGTCCCTTGTTGTGCCTAGCAACCCCAATCTCTGTCGCCTCTGGTAAGCTAGGAGGGTCAAACCCTTGACAGGCCGGCTGCATAGAGCCGGTTTTATCGGTAGATTTAAGTTTGCCTTCCCGTTATTGTACGTAATTCTCAGTTGATACCAGGAACAGATTTGAATCTATTACGTAGTGCAATTAAGGTACTCAGAAGATCTCGGGCAATTTGGGTCATTATACGTTCCGTTTCAAGAGTGTATTTAGTGTAAGGGCGAATGCGGACCAAAGCGCATTGCACTCTTTTCTAAGGATAAACACAGTGTGTCCACGTGGCAGTTTACATTTATCTTGACCTCGACAGCCTTCCATTTGTCTATGACTTTTACTGTCATTACGAAACCATGCATTTGCGGTTTCTATACGAATGTTCCTTCGTGCTGACTCGTCAGAAATATGACATTCCTACAATACATACATACTCATAGTTCTGTTCCTTGGAAGTAATTATCGCAACTGTAATCGGTTTGCATATATATAGAAATGGATCGACGCAGTCAGTGCACCGAAACCGGTTTGTTTCTCACTGACGTCAGTCTCGGTGACTTGGCTCATTGCGTGTCATCGTTTATTTACAGGCTGTTGTGATACAGCTGAAATATGAATGACTGCTGCGTAAAACAACAAACAGTTTATAGATAATTACCAATTACCAATGAGTGATAAGTTGAGTGATGGCTTCCATTTGTCCATTGCTAATCACCTTTCAGCGCCAATTGTCTGTTTGCTTCTCCTGTTAAGTTTCCACTTTTGTTACCTTAATACCTTGTTTGGTCTTACAGGTACACATATATGTTCTCTGCCTCATAGCATTTATTCGCCTGATGAAGGAGTAAGTATATAGCCGAAATGTTGTGTTCCTTATAACTAGGAAGTCGACATCCATATATTCTCTTCCTTATTAGTATCACTTCTAAATGCCGTTCAAGGGCTTAACAAACAGTTGTGATCGCTATTCTCCCGAGTGTTAGTGAAAGATCACCATCCGTGCACCAGTAAAGTGTGTATGCTATTACAGATACCTGTTGTGTATTACGTGATCAAATATATCATGAGTCAGTATTACACACCAGTAAAACTGCTCTGAACTCCTTTCAGTCTTCTACGCTGATATTTGACACTGTGGTTTTGAGACTAACACCACTATGAAAATACATAATAAATAAAACATTTGGCTTTTCTCCTGAACAAAAATATGTCATGACCTGAAAAAGAGTTGTACTAATCAGGAACATGTACATGTATATAAATTATGTCAGGTCACATGTTGGAACATCTTAGAACATTTACTTAACCAAAGAAATATACCGCCACATAGACACAGCGTGTTATATGAACAAAGCAGCCGGGTGAAAATAATCCATGATTCGTCAATCTGAAAATTATAAAATGACTCAAGTTCACACGTTTCTATGCATTGACATTACAGAAAGTGGACATTAAAATATTAAAATATAAAGCAAGATACTTTTTACATTCTATGCCTGCATGTACACAGTGCCATTATAAAGGGTTTTGTATATATGCAGTATTTATGCTGACATCAACAGACGTCTGAAAGGTCGGGTTAGAAGGTAATTGCATCAAGGGCGGAACTAAGTGTCTAATTTTGTAAGCATATCGAGATAATACGCAAATCTGATACGTATGACGGTCACCTATCGACCTCTAAAACCTTTGACTGAAGGACTTCAACCTTTGTGAAGGTGGCACTGCTTTATCAACGGGGCATTCCTGAGAAGGACACCATGGTATCGTCACATGGCAAGATCGTGAACTGTCACTTCTATATGACAGCACTGGCTTTTCCTTAAGCATGTCTCGCGTATTGTGTTAATGCAACAGGTCCCAAATGATGTCAATGCATGATTAGTCAGAACCCAGCTGCATCACTTGGGAGAGAATTTTATCGTGAGCTTAAAGATGGTGGAATGTTATATGGCTTACCTCTGCCCTTGGCCTTCTTGAGTGTGGTTTGTGTAATGAACATGTTTTCAAATTTGTTTGGAGGTTTTATTTCACTGCCATATGTGTTGGCAATCTTAGAGGGGCACTTTATGATTTGCTGTCCATTTCCAGTCTACGTCTTGACGCTATAATTGCTGCTTCTGTTTAATGAGGACACTCGTTAATTGCTTCATGGATGTACATAATAAGGTTTAAGCGAGCGCACGCAAAGTGACGTTTGAGGGTCGCGAATGGAGTGTGCTGGGACTGATAATGTCCCGAGTCTGGCTCCGGCTATAACCCACAAAACCAGGTTCAACATTTCATCGTCATGATTTATTAAAATTGTCCTTCATTGGGATGGCCTAATTACTACATATTCGTTACGAAAACATGTTTAAAGGTCTTATTACAAATCATAACAACCTCGTAAACCCATTAGGGGTATAAGTAAGTCATCGAACCTGGGAATTGTACTTTCAGTAACAGGAGGCGACGAGAGATATTTGGTCACGTGAGTGGTAGGGACCTGGCCTATTCATATAAATTGGATTGCATCTTCATTGGGTTTAATATGCCAACGAAAAGAGAAAAGAGCAGTTGTGAATATGATTGCCCTAACGTTATTCCTGACTGTGATTATCTCACTTACCACAGGTAGGTTATCTTTGAGGGGTGTATCCATGACATCGAAAAGCGTGTGCACATCATTTAGAAGATACATGTTCAAATTCCGATTGATACTATTTTTACTATTAACTGTTGTAATAACGAGCAGGAAAAAACACAATCTTACTTAACATTGCCATACCTTTCCTAAAATATAAGCAACACTGGCTGCGACGTGTATTATGATGTCGTTTTAAACATTGGCTTATGTTTAACAGTATCAGGCGAATGTCCAAATGGTTGGATTAGATTTGACAAATCTTGCTATCGGCTGTTCAGACAAAGCCCTCAGTCATGGCCAGAGGCAGTGGTAAGTTTCCTCCCACCCATTTGGAGCGGTTATGAATTGATCGATGTAATTAAAAACTGACAGCATGTTGTTTTAAGAATCAACATTTTATCAAAAATGTCGTTTTCCAAAACAATCGTTTAATTGTTTGTTTATTTGTTTAACGCCGCACTCAGCAATATGCCAGCTATATGACGGCAGTCTGTAAATATTCGAGTCTGGACCAGACAATCCAGCGATTTACACCATGAGCCTTATATCGACGCAATTGGGATACGGTGACATGCATCAACCAGGTAAGCGAGCCTGACCATCCGATCCCGTTAATCGCTTATTATGACAAGCATGGGTTGCTGAAGACCTTCACGGGTCTCTCAGTTACAGTAAGGTATCGGGGAGATGATGGTGGATGTAACGGTAACTGCATATTTATCCTGAGTCGTATCAAATTGAATTGAAATTCATGTGATGGCTGCTGTTCATCCAACATGTCAATTGTTTCGTTTATGTGTCACTTACAACATGTCACAATTATTCTGTTGAACTGACTGATGTTATTGTCTTCAGTTTGCGTGCGAACAACATGATGCGTTTCTGGCTTCAATTGAGACCAAAGTTGAAAATGGCCATCTACAGGAATTGATAGCAGAATCCAATGTTCTTAGTAAGTATTATAATACTGACCACAAATGAATTCTACCATGGTGTTCCAATAACAATATTATAGTAATGTTTTTTTGTTGAAAGAGTTTGCTGCGGATCTATTCCAACCCGAGGTCTCACGGAATAATTAATTTTGTGTGTGTGTGTGTGTGTGTGTGTGTGTGTGTGTGTGTGTGTGTGTGTGTGTGTGTGTGTGTGTGTGTGTGTGTGTGTGTGTGTGTGTGTGTGTGTGTGTGTGTGTGTGGTTTGAATGAAGTATTGTAGTTACTGTAAATCCATATGTGTGCTATTTGTAAATAGTAGAACATTACATTGGAAAGTATACGCCCTTTGTTACCAGAGACTGACAACGTGTGGATCGGACTCTCTGATGTGCGAGAAGAAGGAGTGTTTGTGTGGGAATCAACCCGACAAACTGCCACTTTCCTCCCCTGGGGTAAACACGAGCCAAACCAACCAGCAGATTTACAAGAAGATTGTGTCATGTTGTTTGGCAGGCAAGAACACACGTTTGCCGATGCTGCCTGTGAAATAAAGTACTCCTATCTGTGTGAAAGGCCGTACGTAACCTCCACTGTAAACTCTCTCATTATTATTTAGGGATCTGGGGTAGGAACTATAAAACAATGATAGAAAGTCTTGATATTAAACGGGCCTTCATATTCACGCGTGGTTTCTACCAGTTTGTTTTGTATTCTTGTTCTCTTAGCAAATCTGAATAGCCCTACGACACTGACATTTGCAAGATTCGTCAAGCAGTTGTGCTTTCAAAATGTTCTTATTAACACTGCAACATCCTTAAGCTTAGAAAGATATTGACCGAGGGTTCTGTTAAAACTAATAAAAACATTTCCAATCATGCTTGATACTTAATCATATAGTTTCATGTTTATATATGGTTAATCCTTATTTTAGAAATGTAGTATCGTCTCAAATGATCAAACACCAACCATTGCAGTTAGATTTACATTATATGTATCTTAAATCCATCTTGTAGGAATATATTCCCTCTGTCGTTTTGTTTTGCAGTTTGAATGGGGTTTTACCTGTTGTCGGATGAAGACTCTTTCGATTGAAACAACATGTCATTGTGTATATGATCATGAAAACGGCAATTAAACTCGTATATTTTCCATATTTTCATGTGTTCCCTCTTAATGGATTGGAAGACACGTGACTTAAACACTATCAACATGTTCGTCCATGTGTCCCTTGTGTCCCACAGTGTACGTGACGATACATTGTGGTACAGTCGGCAAAAATAATAGAAAAAGAATTTTCATAAGAACATATCTTTTATTCATTGATTTGAAATGTCTTGAGTGTCGTACATGTATAGTCTCCCAGGGGGCTTTAGTCTCCCAGGTGCTTTATGATCAGCAGTCTTCCTCTGCTTGACTTTACTATTTTGTTCTTGAAACGACAGTAAAACATTTGGCCCATCCAATATAAAACCTAAAAGGTCAAATACACGTAAGCTAGTGCATTGAAAGGGGCGGGGTGAGTGTACATGGGGCAACATTGAAGGGACAACAAGTTTTCCTGTTATTATGGTTTGCAAAGATATCTAAATGTTCCCAACGAATTTAGCATTAAATGGTGATTACATGTTAATTACGATAACACAGAAATCTTAGGTTTTCGGAATCGTGGAAAACTTACAAGCACTGAAAATAGATACATGGGAATATAAACATGTAAACATATCGACGTATTATAATTATCAAGGGTTGCTGTTTACAAATTGGTTGTGTTGGTTCGAGGGAATTAATATTCTTGTTGATAAAGCTACTAAAACTTTAGTTTCCGTGAAACAGGTACACTACACGTTAAAGAAAATCTCTGTTATATTTAAAATAGCTGATGCGCATATTAAACCAATATTACTGTATACGTGTGAAGTGTGTGGGACATTGAATATATCGAGCGGTTTATACAGTTATACAGTTGTGAAAGTATACAAAATGCGTGGGTTATCATGAGTCAAATGTTGCTGTTCTTGGATGTGGCAGTTGCGGTTTATTTGTTGACTGTCACAAACGATTTCTGAGATATTGCGTGAAAGTGTTATCAACATCTAGTAACATATGTCCAAAGTGTTATGGGGTAGGATATATTGTTAAACACTATTTCTGATGATTGTTAATGGCAGGATGTAGTTAGCTATTGCGACTAAGCTAAGATTTTGTTTTGTGGCATGCCTATGCTTTTGTCATAGTTTTTTTAATAATAGCTTAATGTTTCAATATTCGACAGACAATGGTTGTGGCCATAGCAGCGACCATGTTTTCGGAACACGGATGTTGATTTTGTTAAACGTTCTGTGATTAAAATGGCAAGGGAGGAAACTAAACTTTGCCACAGTGGACACTCTTGCCTCGTGTAGATGTCATTAATGATAAACTTCGGAAGAAGATATGGTATTGCTCTTTGTAATCAAGTACATTACGTGTGCTTGGAATACTTGAAGATGAGTATGGTATGCCCAGAGATCATTGCCTTAAGATCACACTATATACCCTCCTGTCACAATAAAATGAAAAGGATATTGAATATGTTGTGAATAAAGCATCCAGCACGATGTTTACAGCATGTAATATAGGAGGAAGATATGTGGATTTTCCAGAACAAAACGAATTGATATGTGTCTAATGTCAACGTCACACGCAGAAGTTCATGTGTTCAGGGCAAAATACAGAAGTGATATGTTGCGAACTCTTGCAGGACGTTCATTGGTGGGGTGAGGTGAAATGGGGTTTAACGTCGCGTTCAAAATGTTTGCACTTATATAGTGAGGTGTATGCACTTGTGTGTGTCTGCTTGTACTAGTTCGGACTAATGCCGATTATATAGTGCCAGACCACTGATATAGCCTAGCTAGCGCCAGGCACCTGAACAACAATTACCATCTATGATGTCTTTTGGTATAATGCGTACGGGGATCGAACCCATGACCTTCCACTCTCCGGGCTGATGCTTCTATCCACTACACCACGAATGCGGTCGACAATCTGACAGTGTCACCTGAGATGTCAGCCCTGCAGTGTCGTGCTAGCCAGAACATCAACATGGCTCCGTCCATTGCACAGTATGGTACATGTCATATCCAATTTTGTCCAGTAAATGATCTGCGTTGTTTACGCGTATTAGATCAGATATGGTCATCCTGGCATCAAATGGTTCATAGTGTGATGAAATACGGGCATAGAACAAGTCAAATGTCTCGAAAAGCGTGATGTGATTATGAAATGGATAACTGACAGTGGGTTTCAAATGTCTTAATCAAATTAGCGTTGTTTGCATCTATTACACAAGGATAAGGGCATGTGCTATGTGTGGTATGAGTGTACTAATGCAGGAATACAAAGATTAACAGTTCATAACTACCCTTACGTAATATGTTGAATAGGTAAAGATGTGGTATATAAAGATTAAAACTAAACGAAGGCAGTTGTTTGGGTATTGGTGTATCGCAACGTTAATGCCCATTTTGTAGACGTGATACAGAAGATGAATACCATTTCTAGATTTACATCTTAATTGTGTGATATAAAGATTGGAAAAGTGACCACATGTATTTTACCCAAAGACAAATATCTACAAAATTATATATCGCATGTCTACAACAAACACTATACTGAGACATTTCGGTAAATATATACTAGTATATGGCCGTATGCATATGAACAATGAGAACCTTTTGTAAAACATGATATTCCTAACCACTTTGAATAGTAATGCAATATTTTTAATGTATATAAGATTATATATGACAAGTGGCCTACATCTTGTATAAAACACCTGACTTGACTTGGCATGATGAAATGATGAAATGATGAAATCATCCACTTTTCTTTTATAAAGTTCTCAAACTGAAACAAACATCAGCGAACAATCTCACAAGTTGTCAACTCATATGTACTATACCAAGGTTAACGTTGCAATAATTCACTATATATTTAGATACTACCATTTGTAATAATTATGTTCTATGTGGGATAGGAGGAATAAAACCTCAACAAAAGATCCCAATGTTTTATACATGCTGATCAGTCTCCTGCCCCAATGGCTAGCAGTCTTTATTCAAGTTGGGATATTCTTTTGTTAAATCTCCAGAACACTTTTGTTGCATGTCCTAGGTCCACTGCTCATCGTTAACTCATATAACTATACCGGGAAAAGATTTCTTGCACATACACCATATGAGTTTGGCGCACATGTAAGGTTAAAAAAGACAACTGAAAGGTCCAATTTTGTCATGACCCCATGACCCCTGATGGATATAACAACATTCTTTCGATCCTGGAGATTTGCTGTATATGTATTATATGAAATTGACTGATATAACGAACATGCCAAGAACGAAATAATGGATATAGAGAAATCGCGGCTGTTTACAAGTGATTAACTGGATTAAGTACTGACACTACTCAATCAGCAATAGTAAAACAATGATTTCTATAGCCGTTGAAAAGGATATATTCTGCCTGTAAAATGTGACGACTAGAGTGAAAAAATTCCGTATGGCTGACAGTCGAAAATGCTTAAAACGAACTACGGTTATAACAAACTAAAATAAGTGGAGTTCGTAACCGTTTACTGTATAATTCTTACATATATTTATCTAATCTTTACCTCCTATACTTAAGATTTGTAAATCATGATATATACGTACTTTCGTGTGACTATGCTTGTGTTTATCAAACGACCGATGGTGTGATTTTTCCTCTGAGGGAGTCACACAATAGTATTGGATAACAAAGGCATGACAAAGATCATAAGGATTTATTTTGTAACATTTATTTATATGATTTATATATTATGCCCGGCTGTTACAATATATAATTACAATGACAACATAATACTCCTTCTGTCACGCTTGTCTTTTGTGTCGGATCCACGTCATGTCTGTGTCTTATCTATGTAGACGCGACAAACCTTTTCTACTAAAAACATTCTCCTGAGAGAACGGGGTCGAGCAAGAAGTAGCTTCTCGAAATGATCTTGAATTTTTTCTTGTCATTAAGTATAATTTCCTCTTTTACATTCGCAGGTAAGACCTTGTCGCTGTCATGCTGTCTCGTTATCCCATTCTCATCATCATTATGGGTGTTATTGCCTTTGTAATGCATTTGGATATTGCATTTGGGAGATAAGTGTTTTTAGGTTTCTTTATATTTTTGTTATTGAATTCCATTTACTGTAGATTAATCGTTTAGTTGTGAACAAAACTGAAGTTATTTTGCAGTGTGTCCAGACGGATGGACGAAATACGACCAGTCATGCTATACACTGTACCAGGGTTTTACGTCGTGGTTGCACGCCGGGGTGAGTTAAGATGCATGTCAGTGTAAAAGACAATTAGTGAGATAATATATTGTGTTGTAAAATTTAAAATTCAGTTTTATATGTTGACACAAACATCTACAAATGTTAGGTATACATCAAATATTTCAAGCTTTACATGTACACTATTCATGGGTCCAATGCCGCCATTCACTGTTAAGAGTTGCGTCAAATAGGCGTGTCGGATCGTTCGCTCAGATCCGACATTGGCTCCGATTGTGATTCTTTTTGTCGTTGTTGTTATATTTTTGTACAGGATGCACATAGTTTCATTCTACATTTAATTTGCAAAGATAATAAAAAATAGTTTATGACACAATGACCAGAATTTATAAAAGTAGTCAAAACTGGAGCTTAAGATGGCTAACCATTTTGAAAGGACATTGTTTTTATAGAGTTAATGCTGTAAGAACCGAAACGTTAGTATACGCTTAGCAGATTTATAAACTAAACTACGGTTATCACGAACTCAATGGGGCCACTATTCTTTGTTCCTTATAACCGTAGTTCGTTACAAGCACATATACAGCAAAGGACCCCAAAACAATTCGTTATATCCGTCGGTTCGATAAAAGCGTGTTCGTTATAAACGTAGTTTACTGTACTTGAATATGATAGATTGTGGTTCTTAATCTGTCAGCACCATAACCCTGCTCATGTTAGCATCACAGTGGTAAACGTCAACACCTGTTCCCTTCGGCACAACTCACCTCAATTTAATGGCTCCACAGATCCGACATGCCATACAACCTTATCTGACAGTGGAAGTGCTATGACTGTTTCCGAAATACGATTTCATTGACGAATACTGAAATACTTTTGTTGAGAGGTTTTCGAATTCATTTGAAGTATATGGCCAAACCCAAACAGTCAACCATCACCCCATCTCCACTTAAGATGTCCCGATTACCGAGGGACCCGATTACCTTTAAATATGAAACCTTGAAACATATCTGTCTGACATATTACGTTCTGAAATTCGTCTAAAGATACTCAAACAAGCACAAATTACATTTCAGAGTTTCTGTCGTGAATTCGGTGGTCATCTTGCAACGTTAAACACAACTAGCAAAGCGTCTAATGTCCAAGCCTTCCTAACGTATGTTAACCGTGAGTATTTCGCCGATTGAACCTTACCTGTATATATATATATTCATCTACCCATGCGTCATTGATATAGAAAACAATCTAAATGAAAAGATACAAACAGCGCTACAATGTCTATCCAGATAACGCCACGGTGTGGGTCGGTGCTAGCGACCTCAGGTCAGAGGGCTTGTGGGTGTGGGACGTTGACCAGGCCAGTTTCACCAACACAAACTGGGCACCCGGCGAACCAAACCAAGGAGTGGGCGGTGTCACTACTGATCAAGACTGCCTTGCACTCGTGGCCCGCGACAACTATAAGTGGCATGATATTCCATGCCAAAGAAAATATGACTACTTGTGCGAGAGGAGGTATGACTAACGGCATTATATATATTCATCGTACTTGGACCTTGCAACTGTATCGCGTATTCGACTGATGTCCTTTCCATAACTGTCCAGAACACATTAGGGGGTATAGAGTTCGCTTAACATGCCCGAGCTCGATTTCCTTTAAATACAATGTTTTGATTGAATAACCGTGACCTCGTTCATGACAGTTCACATACGTAAGGTCACACTGGAACCTTTTTTCATTCATAAAACATAGCGTAACCTCTTCGCGGTTAACAATTTCTTAAGCCAAACAATCACATCACAGGCGTCAAATTCGCTTTGTAGTCTAGATTTGTTACACACGCACGCACGCACGCACGCACGCACGCACGCACACACACACACACACACACACCAAACTTCAGACATAACACAATCGAGTTATGTCCATTTCCCATGTACCTACACACCACATGTCGAAGGCGCCCGGGTCTGCTTCCTACCAGCCTGTTCACGTTATTCTCTATGTATATATCGAATAGATTAAGATCGCTGTTACACGTACAATAGTTTAAAGATACATGCAATACATAGTATATGATAAACAAATGTGATTCACTGTCATTTACTTGCACTTCTTCCAGATCTACAGCGACACTCTGATCAAAACGACTATAAACTGAACTGTAAAATTTTACTAATAAAAGAATAAATGATAATTATTATGTAGTTTCTTCATTTTATATTATGTTCATAAGAACTTCGTAGGACGCCGTATTTGGGGTTTTCTATACGTATGTAATTCTCCCGCATTTTGTGTGCATCTTACGCAATAATAATAATGTCTTTTGCTACTCGTTTATTGAACAACTTTAAGCCGAAATTCAGTGATTCGTAATACAACATTGATTTTCGCTGTGACAGCTTGTTCCGTATTCGAAAAGCAGCGATGTTAAGCAGTGTTGTCATGCTCATGGTATCGGCGTTTATTAAATGTCACGGTGTACACTGCCCTGACGAAATGTATACACTCTACTTCCATAAAGGTACATCCGAAATGTTACAGAGGTTCAAAACAATTGTTTCTGGGCATCCCCGACACGCATGATGTAACACGCGAACCGGTATCAGTCCCGCAGTGAAAGTCACGCTGTGACATAAATCAGAATCTATATTCAAGATTAATGTTTGTTTGGGTTTTTGTTTTGTTGTTTTACGCCGCATTTATCTACATTCCAGCTATATGACGACTTAAATAATTAAGTCAGGACAACACAAATACAGTGGGTACAGTGACACGCTGTATGGGTACGGTGACACGCCACATGGGTACAGTGACACGCTACATCGGTACAGTGACACGGCAAAAGGGGTACGGTGACACGCAGTAGGGTTACGGTGATACGCCACATGGGTACAGTGACACGCCATGTGTGTACAGTGACACGCTACATCGGTACAGTGACACGGCAAAAGGGGTACGGTGACACGCCGTAGGGGTACGGTGATACGCCACAAGGGTACAGTGACACGGGAAAAGGGGTGCGGTGACATGCCGTAGGGGTACGGTGATACGCCACAAGGGTACGGTGACACGTCATAGAGGTACAGTGACACGCCATATGGGTACAGTGACACGGCAAAAGGGGTACGGTGACACGCCGTAGGGGTACAGTGACACGCCATATGGGTACAGAGACACGGCACAGGGATACAGTGGCATGCCAAAGGGGTACAGTGATACGCCGTAGTGGTACGCTGACACGTCGTAGTGATACGCTGACACGCCACAGGGGTACAGTGACACGTCACAGGGGTACGCTGACACGCCACAGAGTCACGGTTATACGCCGTTGTGGTACGCTGACACGTCATAGTGATACGCTAACAATCCATAGGGGGAGAGTGACACGTCGTAGGGGTACGGTGACACTCCGTGGTGGTACGGCGACACGCCGTAGGGGTACGATAACACGTCGTAGGGGTAAGGTGACACGCCGTAGTGGTACGATGACACGTCGTAGGGGGGTACGATAACACATCGTAGGGGTACGGTGACACGTCGTAGGGGTACGGAAACACGTCGTAGGAGTCCGCTGACACGCCACAGGGGTACGGTGACAGGCCGTAGTAGTACGGTGACACGTCATCGTGATACGCTGATACGTGACACGTTGTAAGGGTACGGTAATACGCCATATGGGTATAGTGACACGCCATATGGCTACAATGACACGGCACAGGGGAACAGTGGCACCCTAAAGGGGTACGTTGACACGTCGTAGTGATACGATGACGCGTCGTAGTGATACGGTGACACGCCACAGGGGTACAGTGACACGTCGTAGTGATACGATGACGCGTCGTAGTGATACGGTGACACGCCACAGGGGTACAGTGACACGTCGTAGGGGTACGATGACACGCAGTAGTGGTACGGTGACACGCTGTAAGGGTAGAAAGACACGTTGTAGGAGTACGTGGACACGTCGAAAGAGTATGGTGACACGCCGTAAGGGTACGGTAACACGTCGTAGGGGTACATGGACACGTCGAAGGGGTACGGTGACACGCCGTAAGGGGTACGGTGACACGCCGTAAGGGTACGGTAACACGTCGTAGGGGTTATATACGTGTTAATCGCTTACTACATGTAGTTGTACTGCTCAGGCCCCCAAAGACCTCTAGTGGTAGAGTGTCCGCCCGGAGAGCGGAATGTCCGGGGTTCGATCCCCGTTCGCGTCATACCAAAAGACGTTAAAAGATGGTACTTGTTGTTACCCTGTCTGGCGCTCGGCATTAAGGGACTGAAACAAGGACGAGTCGGCTCGGAGTCAGTATACTGTGTCTGAGTGGGTTTTTCATGTTAAACTGCGGCATGGTATCTCAGTGAGCTAGCGTATAAAAATCGGCATTAGTCCGGACTGGTACAAGCAGCCACACACACACACACACACACACACACACACACACACACACACACACACACACACACGCACACACGCATACACGCACAGACGTGCATGCACTTCGATCGCTATAAAAGTGCAATACTCTTCGACGTTAAACCCCATTTCACCTCATCTCATCTTATCCCCAAAACTTTGTATCAGATTAATGACATTAATTAATTTTTATAAACGTCAAGAGGTTCAGCGACAACAGTCACGTAAATGCCTAGCATGAGTAACGCGTTAACACGCAATGTAATATAGGGAGAATAATATAAAGCAAGTAGAACTATGGATAGCTCGATGTATTGTCACTGCACTTCACCACCCTCCCCTCACCCCCACCCCAGCCACCCACCCAACACCACTTATAGATGTCCCGACACCCTGGATAGTAGGACTCACTGGTAACATGTTGAATCTGTGAACAAACACACACGGATATATCAAGATGCACGCCACTTTCTAATACAACTCGTACTCCTTACCTGGATATATTAGCTTTTAATCCTTATTTCCTTTGTATATGTAGGTTTCTATTATGCGAGTGAATCACCAACATTGGCTTCTTAAACCGATAGACAAGGCTCCACCAACGTGTCAACTGGTTTTAATTATTAATCAGGAAACCCTATACTCATGTTAATTACATGTCAATTACTTTCTACACCAATACATTATTATTGTTGCATCGAGTTAATCTGCAGGTAACATGGGCAATGAAAAGTGATTCGCTTGAAAAGGAATACGGGGCACAAATGTCCAGAGTGGTCCCCATATCAAATGATCATGAGTCTTCTCTGGATTATGGATTGACCTAGTGGTTGCAGTCACGTGCAAACACATGCACGCGCTTTTAACAATGATGCACGTTATACTAGTGCAATCTACGATGAAGTGGGTTTTTTAAAATTAATTGTTATTACTTTTTATATTTTATAAAAAAATTATGTTTTTACATTTGGTTTTTTATTTTTGTTATTAGTTTCATACTTTTTTTAACATGTTTAATGAGGAAGTTTGATTTTGCAAACCACAGTCTTAATCTGCACATGTCCTAGCCTACAGAAAAACGAAGTACAATTCGGCGACCCTGATCACGAAGCCCTTGATTTGCTATCTGAAGACAACAATTATTCGTCATTATAGACCAACTGGGCTCACAATGGAGTCGCTTCCTTGTTGGTGACACTCGCCTAGTTTGCAGACTCGTGTCGTCAACTCGGCAAATCCTTGTCTCCCCTGACCAGGACCAGTAAATAACGTGCATGCGCACAAACTCACATTAAACTTCCTGGTAGATCATAGCAACACACAACATGTTTAGTCACTGTCAGATATCTTATCTCTATACCCAAACAGAACATGTACGTTTGTGTTGCGAAGCGTCAAATAACCCTGGTCATCAATGGCGAATGCAGGGATGTGGTGTTGGGGTGTAGAAATGTGGAACACACCACTGTGCATTCACCCGTTGTATGTTTCTAAATAATTGTAAAGAATACGTTTAACGCTATTAGCCAATGTAAAGTGTTTGCATACACGATACATATGTAGAGTGTACAATAATTGTTGCAAGTATCAATACTCTCGTGAAGTTAACGGACACTGCACTTCATACTTGGTGGTATTTCTAGCCATAATGAGGTGACAGAATGGACAAACGTGAGGTGTACATATACACGCTGTTCTGCTGTAACACTGCAGATATTCCGCGGGTACACTGTACAAAATGTCTTTAGATCCTGAACACAAACCTATGCACGTCCCTTGTCCACAAATGTAACGCGTTTGGAAACCAAACCATGTTTTATGACCCTAGTTAGGTGTATTTTGGCGACTATCACGCCGTTAACGCGTACCGGGGCATGACAATACTCTCTAATTAAATCAGGCTAAACTCTACAGCTAAACGAAGGTGCTCTGTGAATGTAAGATATTCCAAACTGTAATTGTAAAACTGCTGTCCGTAAATATTCGCTTTGACATTAATATTTGATTTATGATAAACTTGCATTGTGTTTCTTGTCTTGCACACATCTACATGCATATGTACTTTCATATAGCAGTAAGTTAAATACCGCTGTGACAATGGCGTTATCCCAGTTGATACGTACTTGGGTAAAGCACACATATGGCCACACAGTTAACGCTGATAACAATATGAAGACTATTACTGTCCCCAAGCTGAACATTATACACGCAAGTGCATTAGACATATATACTTCAAATTCCATGTAAAGTAAAGAAACATATATATATAAACTATGGAACTTTCTGTGTGTATAACCCGCTAAGTGTCATTGTGATATAACAATAGAACGTTCAAACGTTCTGTATTAGTTTGTAATGTGTCAGGTACATCCATTGTTTTCTGTGCATCCAAGTAGTGTCCTACACCTTGTCATACCCTGTTCTCTATCTGTCACATGTGCCAACAAACAATTTAACAACTGTTGACTTAGATACCTGTGTGATGACATGTTACAATGAATCACATATAATTATTTCATTGACAGGGTTAAACTGAATTCAAAGTCGGTTAGTTATATCGTGTATTTTTGTATTAGATCGTTCGTATCACATGAGATATTAAACAAACTATTATTAAGTTGTATACAAGGGCCAGACAAATAATCGTTGTTTTTCTCTCCAGATATTAAACAGCACATACAAGTAATGCTATCGAGAACACGGGGCGTAATGCTGGCCTGTCAGTTGATGAATTATCTTGTGACGTTGAGATTCGGTTTGATGCCCCGTGCAACGTGAACCAGTTATCGGGCGCATGTATACGTACAGCGTCAATATAATGCTGGAATAGTTCCCTATTCATTCACTGACACAAAAACAAAACGTTGTACGACAAACAGTTTTAACAACGAATATGACACTTATAGAATGTTCAGTTCAGTGTGGCAAAAACAAGACAATGTATATTGTGTATAACATCAAGCAAACGTAAGTGTATGGTGCGTTAAGTTAAATATGTGTGTATATTTTGAGTGCTAGTTTATGTCATTGTATGAACCAAGTTCGATTATGCTGACGCTTGGTAATTACGTACAGTGTATGCAAGTAGATTACATGAAGTTATTACAACTTCGGAAATTTCGGAATCTCCCCGTTTGTGATTTTCCGTGTTGGGATAAGCCATTGGAGTGGTTTCGTCCCATCTTATCTACCTTACACTGAACATTTAATTTCATGAAAAACATGAAAACACACACACACACAGACACACACACACACACACACACACACACACACACACACACACACACAGACACACACACACACACACACACACACACACACACACACACACACACACACACACACACACACTAACACACTAACACTAACACACACTAACACACACACTAACACACTAACACACACACACTAACACACACACACACACACACACACACACTGTTATAAACTGTTATAAAAAGTCAAATTAACATTCCTAAATCGGACGAAGACGTTTTCGGCGTCAAGCCTAAATCTGCAAGATAACCGACAAGAAGCATTCTGTTGACAATGCAAACAATACAAACTGACAATCATTGATCATTATTATATACTCTATTTGTAATTCATTATTTGTTCAATCTGGTTCAAGGAGGAATGGTGTGGTATAATGAATAAAAGTAAAATATAAAGAACATGTTCAAACCTTAAGGGCATGGCCCCCCTTGGACCAAGCTGAGTGTGGATTGTCTGGATCTATTGAAAATTCCCTTACCAATTCAGGAGTGGGTTCTTCCACACCAAGATTGTCCATTTTGCCAAACCCATACAAGCATAGAAAATCCACATCGCCTAAGAACTTTTACCTATCTTAAAGGTGTAAATGAGGCGAAGCAGGTGAATATCAATGTAGTTTGTCGACGACTGGGAAGCATAAAACTAATTAAGTCCCATAAAATGCAATTACTTTCGCAAATATACCCTGTTAGTTCGGGGAAATTTTGCGTAGTGCGCGCGTAGCTTTGCAGAAATTTGACAAAATTCCCCTGGAGCTTCTGCTTAGTCTCCCCGGGAATTTTGCGACATAATGTAAATAAATGACTTGGACGTTATAGTGTACGCACAATACATCTATGAATTCAGTGTAGCAGCACACATTTTTACAGCGAGAACGTTAGAAAGGCCCTGTATAGAAAACAAATACGCTTGTACCATGTATATCGTATGGATATGTGATGTGATCTGGCAGACTTGTATTGATATTTGTTTCAGGCACTGTGCTTGCAGTTTTATAGAATATAGTAAATATATATATAAGTCCCCCAGTGTCGGTTGTTATCTGTTACCTCACACAATTCGGGCCGATGGCAATTTAAACAAAAACTCTTTGTCATCTTATTAAACGAAGTACATACATATAGGTACAGGTGGAAATGACATCACAATATACACTGGGGCATCGGCTGAGCGTAGCGGTCAATGTGTTGACTCACCTCGAAGACCTTGGTTTCATTACTGGGAATTGTACATTTCTGGCGTCCTTCTGTCGGGATATGGCTAGAATATTGCGAAAGCACAACCCACCCACTATCTAATAAATACCTAGAAACCTCGTGGCCAAGTGTATGTTGATTCAGTTAGGGTTATGTAGAGGTTTTGTATTAAGGACAACACTGCACATTTAACATGGACTGTTTCTATCGTCATCGTTGATTTCGTCCCTCGTGGTTTAATATGAATCTAGGCATCTTAATTCTAAATGAAGTTAACGTACAATTTAAAGGCATACGGTCCACGATCATGCCATTTCCCTTAACTCAAAGTACACTGCAACCGCTACAGTTGCTTGTTGCGACGTGACCACAAACCTCTGATTAACTTATCTGAGCTAATCGAACTGTGTATATTGTCATAACGTAATTATTTTTTTCCAATTCTCAGTTACCTCATCCCTTTGCTATGGCAATAACTCAGCATACTTGCATGGCGTTTGTATACACGTTAACGTTATGGCAGTTATTAGTTAATAATTGATAAGCAATCTAACGTGAAAGGACGGTGATCTGTGTACATCGAGTCTGGAGTGGACAAACCAGGTATGGCTTAAAATGACACAAACCCTGGCAACCAGGTTACACATTATATCCACCAATGCTGGTGATGTCGCTCTTATTGCACCTGAAGAGCACTCTTTACAACGGATGCTAGATAGTGTAGTCCACTGGTGTTCACAGTGGCATCCTTTTTTCAATGTTAAGAAAATTAAGGTTGTGCATTATCGTCCTATTGCCGTTAAAAGATCGGAATTTAACTTTGTTATTGATTGTGATCAGGTTGAAATAACGCACGCCTTTACATATTTTAGCGTCTGGATACATGAAAACCTCGTTTTGAATTTCAACGCTGACAAAAAAAAGTGAGTGAGTGAGTGAGAATGAGTGAGTTAGTGAGTTGATCTACCCGTGCTCTATTTCATATTTAGTGACTTTATTTCCACATCGAACTGCGGCGCCTTAGACGACTGGGCCACCTTGGTGTTACCCTCTTGATCTTGCTTTAACATATGCTCTGTTTCATATTTAGTGACTTTATTTCCACATCGAACTGCAGCGCCTTAGACGACTGGGCCACCTTGGTGTTAACCTCTTGATCGTGCTTGAAATGTGCTAAAACCTTGTTGGTCGATATTCAAGAGTTCTTTTTCGTACCCGTCTCGTGATACTTGAATAACAATCGATGCAAAGTCAATAATCAACAAAGAGAGATTGATATTCGTTGTCGCCTCATTGGATAAGACGACCGGTCCCTTTGTGTTAATGACGTGAAGAAAGAGCTCCTGGATACCATTGAAGTCTGGAGCTATCGGAATTCAGATTAAAAAAATAACGCAATATACTTACAGTTGTAGACTACAGCTAGTAGCACTCACTAAAATGCAGATAATTATACAAAGGGCCTGTGGTCTGTACTAAGAAGACCTTTACGGAGCCTTTGGACTGCATGGTAGGTACTTGGAAACTTGTATCACATAACGACTATTTAATAATGATTGTATACGAACCTCCTCTAAAGATGTGCGCGCTGCTTTGTTATTATTATAAGGAATTTGAATACTCATAATGTTTTAGGTTGTTGTTTTAATAGCATGGTCTTATGTAATAATTAGTTTGATAATTGGTCTCATTGCTGGTTATGTCGTAGATTATCAATATTAATAATAACCGTCTTTGTATGTATATAAATAGATTGACTTTTAAGCGCCACTCTCTACGTGAGCATACTGACGTTGATAAATGTTTAACAATTTGATTTGTTAGTCAAAACTAGATGTTACCACTGACAACGTCAGTGTTGATGACAAAAACATATAGAAAACTATATGACTTTTATTTGATGGGTTATGGACTGATCACTTCGTATTCCCGAATTCGGAAAACTTGACTTGACAAGGTGACATGAATATCATATAACAGCTCGTTGATTTATTTCTGCAACTCCTTATAAGGAGGATTGGTGTGAAATTAAAGTGTATACTTTTGTTGTTAAACGCCGCACACATTGATGTGACGGTGAGATATAGATAATCGAATCTTGACAAGGCAATGCATGGCCAGTGACTGATACTGTGAGCGTCGTGCCACGTCTTAGGGGCAGGATACAAGCAATCAACCAAACCACCGATGTCGCCTCTAACGACACATATAGGTTTCGGGAGATCTCATCTATCCCGGAATCCCTACGGAATATGTAATCATACATTGTCAGGTCTCGCAGCTGTTGGAACGTATGTAGGGATAGAACATTACCGATAAAATATGTAGGAACGATTTTAAAAGCTTTATTTTTGCCAGATGTTCGTGTGATATCCATGTGTAATTGATGTCAGTATATCTAAGATTGAATGTCACCCGCAAATCTAAAGCATATAATGTTGATCTCTCAACTAAATATATTTTATTTGCACTTACAGTATACTTTAACGTCTCTTTATCTTGCAAACTTGAAAAGGGACGCCCATATCGTCCATCGGAAACAATGACGATAACACAAATCACAACAAACAACACCGGAAAGATTACACAATGTGAGTGAGTAGTGAGTAAGTTGGGTTTAACTCCGCTTTTAACAGTATGCCAGTTCTATCACGGGGTGTCAGCTTAATGTGGGAGGAAAGCCCGAAGTGATGCAGGTATCAGACGTTTACCACTTCGGTGAAACCCACGAGCACGGGTATGGTGCTGACAAATCTAGTAACATAATCGGGGCGAACTGGGATTCGAACAATCATAGGTTTCAGGCGATCCGAAGGGACGCAACTCTGCACAGCGAATCGCGAGCCTTAGACGACAGGACCACCCGTGCCCCCACATATGAAGAAATTGCATAGATTCTTAAGGTATCATGTCCACGCTCCAGGTGCCATTGCAGCGGGAGGATCATACGGAATAAAGATGGTGTCAAAGACGTGGCTGTGGCTCCTTTATTCCTTCACCCTCCACGTCGTCTGTAAGTATGAACACTCAACTCAACAAGTACATACATAGAAGGGGATAAGTAGTGATGTGTTCGCTCTCTTGTTATATCCTTCTGTTTTCTGTTTGATGCAGCACATACCAAAATCTACACAGACTAGAAAACATTGTGAAGTCAGTCTCTGAATTCGAGGGAACATGTACATGTGCTTAATCATTATTATCATCAAAATAAATTAAACATATAATTAAAAACGATTGCGTTTCAAGATAATATGTTATGCTCAGCTTATTTCTTCTTCCACAATACAGATATCGTCGGGACTGAAATGCCTATAAAGGTAGTATGTTATAACAAGATGCTCATCACCGATCCACAATGTGATGCCACTCATGAAAAGATGTATCCGAAAACGTTCACAATCGGCCGCCTTCAAAACCAAGCGTGTTCCAGTAAGATTCATTCGCCTTCGCTAAGACACGATGAATACATACAATGTTGTCACATGAAGGATGGAGACACAGGTGAGACGTATCATCTTCCAGCTGAAGCATACAAGTTTTCTCAACATAACATAATGTACAAGGAGTTTGTGACACAATGCATAGGACAAGCTCGGTGTGAGTTACGCAATCCTGGCGTTGTACACGACACGAATCTACAAGACGGTGACTTAGCGGATTACGTTGCTTTTGAATATGAGTGTGTAGAGGGTAAGTACAGTTACCTAGATTGTTCCGTTCAGGAGTATACTCATGATCAGTACATGATTAAAATCATAATCAATGTGCGCTTTGTGGCACAACCTAATCCCTTGCCGAGGCAAGTTCGACAGGCTACAAGGCAAGGAAACGACCAGCCTCGCTGTCCGCTGCAGTAGGTGAAGGAAAGTGGACACATATTTTAATGTTTAGTGTTTCTATTGAACAATAGTTACAAAACAAAGTACGTATGACATGTCAGCATTGATATCTAGTTGATACCTCACGACCGTGTTCATGTGTTTGATTACCTCCCAGTGATTGTTACGTTCTTGTAGCTGTTTCTTGCAGATCCTGACACCGCACACGAGAATGCTCGTCCAAAGACTTACTTTTACTTCATGTGCGTTAATACATATGACCGTCACAGAAATGGGGCCAAATTGAGTCCATATGAATTTCAATGTTCTGGCCATGACAGCTGCCCCGTGTCCACTGGAAAAGTCAATATCGTGTGATCACATTTTATAATTTAATTCACGTCTATAATGATCGGGTTTCAGACACCAAGTCACACATGTATATTTAAGACCTAAACAGAACTCATCAAAGACCAGAGATGAGATCAAGTTTTTATTGAAGATGTTATCTAAGTGAGGATATCTAAGCAGACCATAATTACAAAGAGGTCAATGATGAATTGTTTCTTATTGCGAACTGTTATATGGAACAGCGGAAATTGTGTGGAAATTGAATTGTATGTCTAGCACATGGTTAAAAGCCGCAGCTAGCTAAGACTTTCATCATCATCGACATTGTCATAGTACAATGATTCCATATTTCTGATGTCCAGAATTCCTTTTCCAATCCCCTACACCGTTTCACGTGACATATGTTATGTTTAATGGAGACCTCAACAAAGTTGATGAATCTTTTGTACAAAAAAAAACAGAGTATAATTAAATCGTCACGTCAATGAATGTACTAAACGCATGGTAGTATATAAAACTGTACAAATGAGTTATGTATCATTTTCAGAGAAACAAATTTTGCATTTCACGGGGGATTCCACTCTAAACGACTCACAGATTTTCTTACTCCACGACCAAGCAGCGCAATCAGTTAAAAACTCTTACTGTGTTGCTTACACATGTCAGTCAAGTATCACAGTTACCCTTGTTGGGAACACTGTGAGCACATCTTCTTGCAACCTCGTCATGTCTGAGGAAGGCCGCACTTCCATCGCTTTCAACTGTCAAGACAACACTACCAGCAACACATTATTTCAAAGCAAAAGCAACAAGATAGGAATCTCCCTGAACATGACTGCAAACTTTGTGACAAGTGCTTCAGAAATGTTGTGGATTCGTGTGAAAGGTAATTTCCTTTCGTCGTGTAATTGGGAGTAACAACTGGTCTTAGTCTCAATTATGAACTGTTTGCATTTACTCTGAATGTATCATTACATGCTTAACAATAGTATGCTATGTTCTGTTCTGGGTATGTAATTGTTCACATGATATAATTTCTAATTTTCATGTTGATAGGTGGTGTGAGCGATCGTGATAACTTGAAATACGTCAGTGTTACAAGAAACACAGAACATACAAAAGTATCTACCTGTACCCTATTACAGTATTAACTTCGAACATTGACTAAAACTTACAAAGCACACGTATTTTTGTAATTTAACAGCTTCTCATGGAGGACTTGTGACTGTGGCATGTGGACCCAAAGTTCCAACAACCGTTACACAACATTGTCCTAAGATGACGACGACCCCTTCTGTCCCATCCGTGAGGCCAACTATCCCAAATACATCAGACATGCCAACTATCCCAGATACACCAGACATGCCAACTATCCCAGACACATCAGACATGCCAACTATCCCAAATACATCAGACATGCCAACTATCCCAGATACACCAGACATGCCAACTATCCCAGACACATCAGACATGCCAACTATCCCAGATACATCAGACATGCCAACTATCCCAGATACATCAGACATGCCAACTATCCCAGATACATCAGACATGCCAACTATCCCAAATACATCAGACATGCCAACTATCCCAGATAGATCAGACATGCCAACTATCCAAGATACATCAGACATGCCAACTATCCCAGATACATCAGACATGCCAACTATCCCAGATACATCAGACATGCCAACTATCCCAGACACATCAGACATGCCAACTATCCCAGATACATCAGACATGCCAACTATCCCAGATAGATCAGACATGCCAACTATCCCAGATACATCAGACATGCCAACTATCCCAGATACATCAGATATGCCAACTATCCCAGATACATCAGACATGCCAACTATCCCAGACACATCAGACATGCCAACTATCCCAGATACATCAGACATGCCAACTATCCCAGATACATCAGACATGCCAACTATCCCAGACACACCAGACATGCCAACTATCGCAGATACATCAGACATGCCAACTATCCCAGATACACCTGACATGCCAACTATCCCAGATACATCAGACACGCCAACTATCCCAGATACATCAGACATGCCAACTATCAGCGCAATACAAGTGAGAACCGGAACAGTGACAACGACCAAATCAACAACAGTTGGGGCAACAGCGGGAACAGCGGCAGCGGCAGCAGCAGCAACGACAACACCGGCTGTTATACGTAAATAGGATCTATCATACATCTACCTATTTGCTAAAGATCTGATACCTTTAGTATATGAGTAATTAAGGGATACAAGATTTAAAGCCAGAATAGATCACGGCGTCTGTTTATAACTTGGATGAAATAAACGTGAATGAGTAGTGTGCTCACTACAAATTAACTACCATATACAATGAGGATAATTCTTTGAACGGAATCTCAACGTATGAGATAAATAGTATTAATAGTTTACCTGATAATAACATGGTTACTGTTACATCATCACGATTAACCTTCTAAATGTAATATGTGAACTAAAATTACATTTAGTACTAACTACTAAATGACTTTATCGCGCGTATCCAAACCATTGGCTAATTACGCCCGTAACCCAATCACCACTTGTAACTCAATCACCCCCGGGTCACCACCCTGCACCGTGCCAGGGGATATTCCCGCGCAAGCATCCTCCCGCCTTTGTTATAGTCCATCATTCGCGCACCGTCTCTCTTCAAGTACACGCGTGTTTCGCTGTATCTAATCGCTTTCGCTTTGTAAGTTTCCTTGGTACGCAATCGCGACCGTTACGCCGATTATGCTTTGAATAACATCTATTTCAACACTCGCCGTATCGCATTTACACAATCGCGACCGTTTTGCCGATTACGCTTTGAATACCACCTATTTCAGCACTCGCCGTATCGAATTTATTTCGTTCTACTCCCGAACTTCATCCTCGTGACATTTTTACACTTGTGGAATACCAACTCACCACCTCGACCTTCAGTGATGCCTCCCAAGAGAAGATCAGCCGTCAACCACAAGCTTGTGAGGGGAGCCAAGCAGGCCAGGACAACCAGAAGACAAACCCCGGGAGTACACATTGTACAGGAGGCAACAGCTGATGGTGAGTCTTCCAATTACGGAAATATCGAAGGTGGCAACACAATTAACGTGCAATCGGCACAGCTCGTAAATGCCGCGCAGGCTGCCAAATCGGCTACCCAGCTAAACGAGCAACTGGAAAAAAAACCTCCAGTTGCTGGAACATTCAGCGCCCGGCCCGGTGAGCGCAAACCAACAGGTAGGGCTTGGTTTTAGTTCTCCCGCCATTTCGCCCAACATAGGGAGAATCCCCGATGCTCACAACGAGGCCGACGGTGACGCGGCTTGGCCAGCCAATCAGAATGCAGGATACGGGGATTCCCTATCCTTCCGTGCGGATGGAATAGACGCACACGTCAAACAGGTGAGGGGAAAAAATCTGGCGTGGCGAGTTTGTCCTATCCTACCAAACACCGAGGAAAGTCACGAGGATGGTACGATTACCATGGCGTACGATTCCTCAGGTAAGATCAATTTTAAACCAATAAAGCAGCAACCTACGACCAACAATTCCGACACAGAATGTCAAGGGACCCCTCACGACGCTGAGACAACATTGACGGGGAGTTGTGGCTGAAGTACATGGTCACACAGCCGGTACGACAACCAGAGGCAGGCGGACGGGGCGCAATGACACGCGTACAGGGGGACATCGCCAGTCAGGTATGCTGGGATTTCAATAAATTTGGCTGTAGCAGGGTCAACTGTAAGTACACTCACAAATGCGGTAAGTGTGGCAAACATTCCCACATCCCTAAACCTGCTTTCGAGGGAATGGGGTCCAACCGACCCCATACAAGCCCAATCAGCCTTTCCCTCACAGAAAACCAGCCGTCAAGGCAGGTAAATTCAATGGCCCCTTCCCCCGTGGATCTCAATGAAATGGCACCTGGTTACACCAATATGCTAAGGTCATTTACAGAGATGCAAATTATTTATGGGTAGGTCTTAGCTTTGGTTTTAAGCTCGAGTTCCAGGGAAGCCGCACTGGTCGCCTGGCACGAAACTTGCGATCAGCCACGCACCAAGACACGGCAGGCTACGTCAAACAAAAGGAAGTCGACCTTTGCAGGATGGCGGGCCCCTTCAAGGACACCCCCCTGGACAACCTCCAAATATCCCCAATAGGCCTGGTGCCCAAGAAGCAGCCAGGCTATGGCCAGCATCTGGGTAAGAATGCGGAGGAATTCCGCCTAATTCACCATCTATCCTATCCCAGGGGTAAATCTATAAACGACTTCATAGACACAGAGGCCTGCTCCGTTGTGTATGCCAGATTTGATTAAGCTACTCATATGGTTCAACAACTTGGAAAGAGAACTACTAGCAAAATTCGACATTTAGTCGGCCTTTAGAATTATACCAGTCCACCCATCCGATTTCGAGCTGCTAGGCATCAGATTCGAAGGTGAGTTCTATCTTGATAAATGCTTATCATTTGGCTGCTCCATATCTTGCGCCATATTTGAAACGTCTAGTACCTTCTTGCAATGGTGCATGCAATCACATCTTCCAACGTGTCAGATCATGCATTACCTGGATGACTTCCTAACGGGGGGCACAGCAGGCACCAGCCACTGCTCAGACAACCTCAACGGAATACACTAGAACAGTTTGGGGTCCCTATTGTGCACGACAAGACGGTGGGCCCCACGACTAAACTGAAATTCTCAGGGCTGGAAATCGACACCAATGCAAGCAGATCAGAATCCCAGAGTCTAAGATCAAGGAGGCGACAAGGGAAATCCAAGACATCCTGTCAACAGGTAACATCAAGGTCACAAACAGGGCTCTTCAGTCCCTCATAGGCAAGTTTAACTTTATGTGCAGGGCTTTACCAATGGCAAGGGCATTCAGCCGAAGGCTAATCGATCTGCTTAGCAAAGGTAAGCAACCATTTCACCACATTAGGATTACCAGCTGGGTCAAGGAAGACCTACAAATGTGGTTAACATTTCTTATGAGTTTTAACGGCATTTCAGTGTTTCAGGACCAACTATGGGTAGACAGCGATTTCCTCCAGCTGTTTTCAGACGCAGCGGGTGGTGCCTACAGTCCTACATGCAGGGCAAATGGTTTAACGGCGCATGGCCAACCCAGTGGGTGATGGATGGAACTACACGGGACTTGACGCTCCTGGAGCTGTTCCCCATCACACTGGCCATCCAACTCTGGGACAAGCAACTTGCAGACAAAAAGGTCCTCTTCTACTGCGACAACCAAGCCGTCGTAGCAATAATCAACAAACAGTCTACCAAGGACCCCAGAGTGATGAGCCTACTCCGTTGCCTAATCCTGCAGTGCCTCCGATATAATATTCTGTTTAAGGCAAAGTATGTCTGTTCCACTGCTAACACTATTGCCGACACTCTCTCGAGGTTTCAGCTCAAATGCTTCCGAGAGGCAGCACCAGCCTCGGACCAGAACCCCACACCTATCCCGTGCAACATATGGCTTATCTGAGGCAGGAAGCCGGCAGACTTCTACAACAATCTCTGTCTACAAACACATGGGCCACTTACCAAACAGGCATCAATGCCTTGCACCAGTACCGGTCCACACACCAGCTACAAGAGGTGTGGCCAGTCCCCCTGGATCAGGTTGTAAACTTTATTGCTTATCTGTCAGTCACTCACCACTCCCCTAACACAGTCAAGTGAGGTGAGGTGAAATTGGGTTTAACGTCGCGTCCAAGATTATTGCACTTATATAGCGACGTGCATGCACGTGTATGTGTGTGTGTGTGGCTGCTTGTACTAGTCCTGACTGATGCCGATTTATAGTGCTAGCTCACTGAGATACCATGCCGCAGTTTAACATGAATACCCCACTCAGACACAGTATACTGACTCCGAGCCGACCAGTCCTTGTTTTAGCCCCTTAATGCCGAGCGCCAGACAGGGTAACAACAAGTACAATCTTTTAACGTCTTTTTGTATGACTAACACAGTCAAGACTTACATTGCAGCGCTGTCTTCACAGCATAAATTCCACGGGCTCACCGACTGTACAAACCATTTCCTGGTGGGCAAGATTTTAACAGGCTTACACAAATCAGCGGCCGGCCAGACACCAGAAAACCGTTCACTGCAGATCTGCTGCAGGTAGTAACCAACAATCTGCCACACATATGCTCATCAGCATATGAAGCCAGACTGTTCAAGGCAGTCTACTGCACAGCCTTCTTCGGTTTCTTTAGGGTTAGCGAGCTGGTCCAAACAGGACCCTCAAAACCAGGTTGCGCCATCCAGAATTTAAGCTTCTTGGGCAACCCCCAGCAGCTTTCAATCCATCCACCACACTCAAAGTCTGATCAGTACAGGATGGGGACAACGGTTACAATGTCATCTATACCAGGAAATCCGCTATGTCCGGTAGTCGCCATCAAGCACTACCTGGAGGCGCGCCCCTCCGGCCCACAACATGCATTCGTTCATTTCGACCATTCCCCCGTTACAGGGTACCAATTCCAGGCACTCCTAAAAAAGGCCTTTGCACACAGCAACATAAACACGGCTTGCTATTCTTCGCACTCCTTCCGCATTGGGGCAGCCACATCAGCAGCCATGAATGGGGTGCCGGAACACCTCATACAGCAATACGGCAGGTGGAAGTCAGATGGCTACAATGCTTACAAATGCTGACCAACAAATTTGATGCTGCACAATTAATTCAAATAGTCTTTTCATGGTACTTACTTCACTTCTTATTGTTTACGGGGGCACGGGTGGGCCAGTCGTCTAAGGCGCGGCGATTCGCTATGCAGAGTTGCGTCCCTTGGGCACGCCAGAAACCTATGATTGTGGGTTCGAATCCCGATTCGCCCCGATTATGTTTCTAGGTTTGTCAGCACCATACCCGTGCTCGTGGGTTTCACCGAAGTGAAAAACGTCCGAGACCTGCATCACTTCGAGCTTTCCTCCCACATTAAGCTTACACGCCATGATATAACTGGAATACTGTTAAAAGCGGCGTTAAACCCAACTCACTCACTCACTCACTCTTATTGTTTAAAGTTTGGATGGTGGGATCCAGCTCCATGGCCAGAGCACGGCAGTACTTGTTCCTGAAGGGCACCAGTCCGAACCAACCGAGGATGCTATAGCTGGCACGAGGGGCGATGAGGTGGAAGGAGCTGGACACCATTCTAGATGCACAGGTCAAGGCGACACGGCGCAGCCCCAGAGCCCTCATCATTCACCTGGGCTCCAACGACCTGTGCTCGGTCAAGGGCAGCCAACTCTACCTTGACATGGTGGCATCAATCCAAGACACCAAGATTATCGTATCCTCAATGCTGCACAGGCGCTACTGGCACGATGCCAGGGATCCACTAAAGATCGAGGGGATGCGGAAGAATATCAACCGCCGACTGGCCAACCGAGTGAAAGAGCTCGGCGGTACAACAGTGCCACATCCCCAGATCCTGGCATCAGACACCTCAGTGACAAAGGACTGTGTTTGTTTACGGACAGTTTATTGCATGCCCTGGCGCTTGTTTTGCGCCAGTAAGGATGTCATCTCCACATGTTAGTGTTTCTTTTCAGTACATAGGCAAGCTGGGCAACAATGCTATCTCCGCGTATCACGTGGCCGTGGGTGTGGGGTAGCACTCTGGTGCTTTGTGGCGGGGTTCTTGTGGGCTACAGTGCTAGTAACAAATTAACTTGCTTCCAAATTAATACTCGTGCTTAAGGCTACCTGCTTTTCAGCGGGAACCTTTCCGGGGTTACCTGCTTCTCAGTGGAAACCTTGTCTTTCCCGACTTTTCAGCCGGGGAATCGTAAAATAGCATACGTTGGGGCAAACAATGGCCACGTATATGGGCCCGGCGGCGGAAGTCGTCTTGTCAAGCGGTAGCTGACAGTTGGGTCCGCGGCGGTAGTCGCGGAATGGTTTTGCTAATGGGGCCAGGCAGTGGGATCTGCTTTGGCCGGCTACCTGGGGCCGGACAGCGGTAGCCTGACTTAGGCCAGCAGCGGTAGCTGCTTTTGGCGGCGTGGTAGTTGCCAAGCAATGGTAGCGTTTAAATATGCTACCGTGGGGGCCGGACAGCGGTAGCAGTCTCAGGCCAGCAGTGCTAGCTGCGAATCAGCGATGGCCACGCTAGTGGCCATGGCAACGGTAGCATTTTGGTATACACAACTAACAGCTTAGTAGCCCACTAGTAGCCCTCGGCCATTTAACCCAATCTCATCTTGTGTTTTTATTATAGGCACGGGCGTCCACGGCTCGGTGGCCCATGCCTCTCCTTGGCATATCGCTGGATAAATGAGTATTAAGTAAAACAGTGACGGGTAGAAAGCGATAGTCTTGTTTCAGTTTTCCTATGGATAACATATGTTTTCAGCAATCGTCGGAACATTTATCGAAGGACGGGCTGCAGGGATTTGTACATGTCTATCCGCCCTTACTTTTGTCATACACAAGAAGTGCAAAACAAAGGTGATCTCTGCTTTAAGACATATCGTGTATTTCTAGAACATTAAGATCAAGTGACGTACAACTAAGGAAAGGCTCAGTTCATCTCGTCTTACAGTCAAATTGTCGCATATGAAATGCGAATTTTAGACATGTTCTCACTAGAAATGTTACTATCCTTCAGTATTATGAATGTATATGTATTGTAGGAGCGACGTGTATGTGGATTTCGCTGTGAACAGAGAACAGAGTTGGTGATCAGCGTGCCAAAGATATAAACGTGGACATGGCCGTTAATACCTTGCGGGTTGGTTTCATATACACAAACATATTGGTGACGTATATGGAGAATATTATTCTCATTCTGGTTAGATACCATAGGAAGTTCACGAGTTTCGCAGAAATGGTGTCAAACGAGAATGAGTGTGGTATTTTATTTATTACCCACGTTAAATATGTATTCAAATGCACATACGTTACAGCTTTCTTTCGTTAACAGACCAAACTTAAACAGGTCGCAAATCTGGTTGCATATGAATATTGATATATGCCCAAATAGGGGCATTGTTGACATTTCTATGCATACGCAGTAACAACATGTTCCTGTTGTTGTGTATGCAAACATGACATCAACGAGACTCAAGATACGTTTTAAAGATTTCTGTAACTTATTGTAGATCTAATTCAAACGCATTGTTGTTTGTACACAAGACAGCTGTAAGAAAACTTAAAAAGTCATTTAGTGTCGTGCTTTGAATCTCGGACCAGCACGTAGTCCTTCGCACCGACAAGTCCCGGCTGTGTATTGAAAATTGTTCGGTTTCCTGGATATATCAGCTGAATTTATAAAATTTGAAAGAGGGAAATCGGAGTGCTCGCCAAAGACGTTTATGTGAACTCTACGACATTATACTGAAGACGTGAAAATCAACAAACTCAAGTCTGCTGTCAATGACAGCTTCGAACGAAGGGCAATTTTGCAAGGTCACCATCAGAATAAGAAAAGACAACCGTGATCTACCCACAGCGTTTTACTCAAGAGATAAATATGGAATGTTATTGTTCACTTTTGAGATGTTTTAGGCCACAAACACAGAAGTCAGGCACATTTCGCGTGATCGCGCAGTCGTGTATGTTTATTCATGAACAAACACCTTCGGAAGCAATGTAACAAAATACGCTTCGAAAGGGGACACTGCTATAAGAAACCGGATTTACGTGTGTTTGGATCGCACAGGAGTGTGGCAGCATATCAAATTTTACACAATGTTTTAAGCAAAGATGTAAACACATAGAGATTCAGAATTGGCATGCTAAAATTATTTCTTCATCATTCTAAACCATTATTCTACATATAAGTCTGTACTCGAACAAGAGAAATATATTATGGAATTATGTCCAAACAAGGATCTTATCCGCATATCATTAAAATTCCGATGTTTGAGCCATAAGTTGGGTGGGTATTCAACACTTTCGTTACAATGACAAAGTCAATACTGATTTACTTAAGTGCAAGAAATGTAATCATAATATAAATTGAAGATGAATACCATTTCCTTTTAGTTTGTCCATTTTATATGGAAAACAGAAAGCTCTACATCCCAAGCTACTATTACCAGTATCGATCACGAGCAAAATTTAATCAACTAGTAGCAACAAAAATGTTAAGCTAATTTAAAATGTTGCTATATGTTTGAAAAGAAATCTGCCTGTATAATGTATTATAAATATTGCATTGAGATAGTATAACAGAATCCACCTGTCCATGTGCAAAGATTTATCTCATGTATTGTACTCTTGGCCATGCGGCCTTTGATACCGAATAATTTTCTTCTTCTTCTTCTTCTTCTTCTTCTTCTTCTTCTTCTTCTACAAATGACACAACCGGGGCATCCAACGTAAGTCTAGATTTCTGTCCGGATAATTTAAACTAACTGCATTTCACCACGCTTAACATTTTACTTTTAATCAAATAAAAGGAGGTCGCGAAAGTGCGTCACGCTCAGGAACCCACGACCTATCGGTAATCGTACATTGCATATGGATATAGCTGATATAGAATGAAAGGCGAACTTGATGCATGTGACGATCTTGTTTGGTTTAATAAAGTATGTGTAAATGTCTTTCATGAGATTCCTTCTGTTCTGCTTTCTTGGTAAAAAAGTGAATGACTTCTCGTATTGTTTTGAATGAAAAACATAGTACCGGTGTGACAGAGGTAACGGCTATCCAAACAAAACGAATAAAACGAGGTCAACCTTGTACGACACACATGTGACGTACGGATTCAGAATCCTACAACCTGTATCTTCACCATGTTGGTAATAAGATCGCATGATAAATATGAGTATTTCAATAATGATATTCATAACTTTAAGAACGAACAACATTTAGTCAACAAGGATAATTATAACATGAAGGTATTCATTACTATTATCAACTACATGTATGTCCCATGGTCATTTCAGAATACACTTGGTCATCCACCTGCCTGGGCTGGTTCTGTCGAAGGAGCAAGTGTGCCTCATTATTCTCAGCTGGATAGCAAGATGCCCCTGCCTGCGCAATTCGGTGCTGCGTCACATCAAACTCCGCATACAGCTAACTCATTACCTCCTATCAGACACATATAAAGTATTGCCATATAAGTATATATGTGTTGCCGTTAGTATTGTTAGGGCGAACTTATTCTAACAGCTACAGGGGGATAGAATAGGTCCGGACGGTTTCATCCTCACGAATGTTCGTTTTTTTCCCGTGTGAAATAATGAAAATTTCCTGAAACGTTGCTTTGTCTGAAAAATCATGATAAGAGGATCTTTTGGTATGCCAGGATAAGATTTGTGATGTGACAAATAACTCGGTATAAGTATCGGTATAAGGTTCCCCCACTGGCGCTTACCATTGTGAAGAAAGGGGTCGCGGGTGATCCACGACAAGTAGTACGATGGATATGTGCTTGTCCTGTCTCGACTAACACTGAGTTCTAGTGGCGAGCTCAATAGCACATAATGGTACGTGGATATGTCAGGCACCAGATCTACAGCAAATTAGATCAAAACAATGTAGAAGTATCGTGACAATGACACTTCTCTTCGTATTCTGATGCAGTTTCTGTATCTGGCGAACAGTGCGCTTGTAAATGTCGAAATCGCCAAGTTTGGATTTGATCACTTGACGATTTCGAAACTTACTTGGGCTAATGAAACTACTCTCACCTTTGTCACGGGCAATACCTTCTGTTATGATGCGCTTTAGCATAAATATACATACCAGTGGCTATGGTAGCTCTTGAGAGTGTATGAGATTAATTTGTACATTGTTTTTTTCATGTAATTATGACAGTATTGGCCCATTTCTCAAGCCTGAGAATGTACGATTTTGCCATGCTTAGCAAGCTTTGACAAGTTTATTTGTTTGTAATGAACAATTATCAAACGACGCTTAGAGAATTCTCGTATCGACTTGTCACACCGACCTCTTAATACTTTGAATATATATGGTATTTAAGTTTGAATATAAGTAGCACGTTATTAACAAGTAATGAAGCATTACTTGCTTGGGGTTTCAATTGTGTAATGCAATCCAATCAGTGGTTGACAAACTGTTTACAGACATAATTATATCCCATCCTTAAGTAATAAGGGGATTTTTGAGTAACATCAAACCAAAACGCGTGGTGAAAATACGTCGCCTCTTTTTTAATGCCGACAGGAATATGTACAGGTCCTTTCCCTTGTCAGTGGAGTAGATAGGGATTCCATGATGACACAAGCACAAAAAAAGTAAACGAGAACGCGCTTTATTGACCTAGGTCCAAATGTCGACTTCATTTTCTATAAGGGTATTATTATCTTATCTTCATAAATATGGTGGCACACCTTAATCTCTGCCTTCGAGTTTTGTATGAAGATATAGATCTGACTACAGAACGTGTTGAGAGTTCAACTTTCTAGCGACAATGATTTTGAACAGTTGCTTAGAATCATTTCTTCTGCTATATTTGTCATCAACAGGTTTGTACTGTCTTCTGTTATATTTGTCATCAACAGGTTTGTACTGTCTTCTGTTATATTTGTCATCAACTGGTTTGTACTGTCTTCTGTTATATTTGTCATCAACAGGTTTGTACTGACTTCTGTTATATTTTTCATCAACAGGTTTGTACTGTCTTCTGTTATATTTGTCATCAACAGGTTTGTACTGTCTTCTGTTATATTTGTCATCAACAGGTTTGTACTGTCTTCTGTTATATTTGTCATCAACAGGTTTGTACTGACTTCTGTTATATTTGTCATCAACAGGTTTGTACTGTCTTCTGTTATATTTGTCATCAACTGGTTTGTACTGTCTTCAGGTAATTATATGTCATCATCAGGTTTGTACTGTCTTCAGTTATATTTGTCATCAACAGGTTTGTACTGTCTTCAGGTAATTATATGTCATCAACAGGTTTGTACTGTCTTCTGTTATATTTGTCATCAACAGGTTTGTACTGTCTTCTGTTATATTTGTCATCAACAGGTTTGTACTGACTTCTGTTATATTTGTCATCAACAGGTTTGTACTGTCTTCTGTTATATTTGTCATCAACTGGTTTGTACTGTCTTCAGGTAATTATATGTCATCATCAGGTTTGTACTGTCTTCAGTTATATTTGTCATCAACTGGTTTGTACTGTCTTCTGTTATATTTACCATTAAATGTCCATTGTACTGACTTTATCTTGTGTTTTCCTGTTAATTATATTGTGTACAAGCATGTCGACAGAGAGAGTGGGTCCGGTTGTCTAAGGCACCAGCATTCGCGGTAAACAGTTGTGCACTTCAGGCATACTTGGATCTAATGATCGTGGTTCGAGATTCGCCCGGATTATGATTCTTGTCAGAACAACAATCCTGCTTTCACCGATGTGGTAAACGTCCGTCCGTCTGCCTCCCACACTAAACTTACATGCAGTGATGAAAGTTGCAGTACATATTGCTCAGTTGTTCAAGCGGCGTTTATCACAACTCACCTACTAACCTCATATTTATGTTGCCCTAATAAAAGTACTTATACATATGCTCCGTTTTGAGTCTACAACGACAGAATATCAATAAAGACTCATGTTAAACATCTGATATACTACAACTGATATGTATCCTAAATCAGTCTGTTACATTACTTTACAACCCGTGTGTGGATTAATGCTGCGTTGAACAGTGATCACATACCTTCTTGGTCAACACTTTATTGAATTTGTATTGGTGAATTGTTTTGCTTCTAGTCACCTCTATTTGCCCCAACGGATGGACAAAGTATGACCAGTCATGTTACTCTCTTTACAAGATGAAGGCATCATGGATAGATGCAGGGGTAAGTTTGGTTTATCATTGTTTCATACGGGTTTTTTATGTTTATATGAAGGCGTTCTTAACCATATTGTCGGTGAAACGGCTTTCATTGTGTAAGAAAATATCCAGACCAAAGGGGTTTCATTGTGTACACAGAATATCCGGACCAAAGAGGTTTCATTGTGTAAGAAAATATCCGGACAATAGGGGTTTCATTGCATGTGAAAAAATCCGGACTCAACAGATTACGATGTGTATAAAATTATCCGCACTAAACAGAGTACGTTGTGAATAAAATTATCCGGACTAAACAGGTTACGTTGTGAATAAAATTATCTGCACTAAACAGATTACGATGTGTATAAAATTATCCGCACTAAACAGATTACGTTGTGTATAAACATATCCGCACTAAACAGATAACGTTGTGAATAAAATTATCCGCACTAAACAGATTACGACGTGTATAAAATTATCCGCACTAAACAGGTTACGTTGTGAATAAAATTATCCGCACTAAACAGATTACGATGTGTATAAAATTATCCGCACTAAACAGATTACGTTGTGTATAAACATATCCGCACTTAACAGATTACGATGTGTATAAAATTATCCGCACTAAACAGATTACGTTGAGTATAAACATATCCGCACTAAACAGATTACGATGTGTATAAAATTATCCGGACTAAACGGGTTTCATTACATATGAAAATATCCGGACTGAAGAGGTTTCATTGTATAACTTATATTCAGAATAAAGGGGTTTCATGGTATATCAATACTATATATATTGATATACAGAGGTACGCAGAGGTACATGTATGTATGTAGGCCAGGTTGATTATGCATAATGTCCAGAAAAGGAACGGATGGCTAATCTCAGATCGTTTTGGTGTACAAGGTTTACGCCCTAGGACGATAAAACATGTATGACATAATGGATCATACAATTCGAAATTTCGTTTAGGTTGGTATATACCTCCATTATTGTCTCTTGCGGTATTCAAAATGCAACATCACAGTCACCCATTATGGAACAGTGTGACGGTACTATATAGCACAGTTGGTTGTACAATTGTTAGTAAGTAGAGTTAGTCGCTGTTGTACAGCTACACACTGGTCAAATAGTTGACTGAAGTACACGTATATTAAACTTGCAGTCTTTTCTTGTAGGGACCCGTAGGGATCCGGGGTAAGAATAGTTTTCCTAGCATATGCTGGCGACATATGCAGGCTCGGTGGCTTGGTTTATTACCTGGCATCGAACCTGGCGCCGTTGGAAGTTGTTCATAATATCAATCACTGGTTTGACTCGATTGTTTACAGATCGCCGGCATACAGCTGGAAAATATTTTTACCATGACGTGAAACAACAGTACAAACAAAATATTCTTGTGTGAGAACAACGTGGCTAAATACTTCCATTTGATTTCAGAGTTACTGCCGTGAATTTGGGGGACACCTTGCAACACTTAACACAACAAGCAAAGTGACCAACATAAAATCGTTTCTGAATTATGTAAATCGTAAGCCAAATACCGCTTTATAAAAAGTGGTTCCTTTACCTTATTGACATCAGTAATTGTATATTGACGTAATGTCATGATCGACGTTTGAATAATGAGTAGTTGATCACAAATATTGAAATAAATGTGAATTATAACATTGTATCATATCGGCAAGTACAGTTTGTACAGACATTAAATCTGCCATTCATATATATCATGAATTTCCTTTTTGTTCCTTCTAGAGAATGCGAACGTTTGGGTCGGCGGTAACGACCTAAGATCAGAAGGGATGTGGGTGTGGGACATTGACCAGGCCAGCTTCACAAACACTGACTGGCACCCTGGTCAACCGAATGGAGGCAGTGAACATTGTCTTGAGCTTTATCAACCCACCCATTTCACGTGGCACGACTCGACCTGCTCTAACAAATATGACTACATATGTGAACGAAGGTATATGTTCACAAACAATAAAGCAATACTCCTCACAACTTACACAAAACATATACACAGAACATATATTCGAGAATTAAACTTTCAAACTGTAAAATTAATTTAACAAAATATAATGACACAAAACCGTGTTTCTTCCAGGTCCGAAGCCTCAAGTTAATATAGTTTGATGTCCCTGCGTCAACAGGTGGTACACCATCAGCACCAAACTCCCAGCGTTTATATCATCGATACCTGTATCGTGTATATAGCCAATAAATGAGTCTCAGAATACTTCTAAAATCAATCTTTATTTTTATGTCACGTTTGTACGAACCATTAGATACTATATTGGAATGATATACTCAACAACAGAAGTTCCCGTGACACCAATATTTTAGTGTATTTTTCAAACAAGTTAAGTTTGGTTTTCAATATTGTAGTACATGTATGGAATCAAGTCACAAAAACGCAACTGCTACAGAAAAGCATGTATTCCATGCAAAAGTTGACTTTATGTAAGCCCCATGCATTTCACTACACAAGAATTGGTGTAAAAACATATGCGTTAACGGGATTCCATGTGCCATGTTTTGCATCGTGCTGACAACAACCACTCAGAAAAACAACAAAATTACGCAATTATTCAACAGTACGAAATGCCACGCCTGTCCGAAAATGAGCGTCTGCGAGGCATTGGTATGCTTGAATCACGATCAAGTCGACGTGATGTTAAGAGAATTTAACGTCCACAGAAACACAATTTGGTGTTTATGGTAACGTTAGCAACAGACGAATGCAGTCAGAGACCATCCTCGGAGTGGCAGGCAACGCGTAACCAATAATCGACAAGACAACTTGATGATCAACACATCTACGAAATCGATTCAAAACAGCAACAGTGACTGCAAGAAGCATCCCTGGCCTTTGACGAATATCTTCACAAACCGTACGTCGTCGCCACAGATGTGCAGGGATTGTCGCCAGAAGACCCTACAGACGTCCCATTTTGACAGGAAACCACCGTCAAGCACGTCTACAGTGGGTTTTTTTTGTCCGTGGGGACAAGTTCTATTCACTGACGAGTCTCGTTTTCACATCAGCCATGGCCACAGCGATGGACGGATTCGAGTGTACCGACGTCGAGGTGAACGTTACTTCAATCATTGTGTCATGGAAGAAGATCGGTTCAGGGGCGGCAGCGTTATGGTATGGGGTGGGGGTGGAAGCTATGGTTCCATCGTGGGATCTTCATTAGTTCCCTGTAGAGTAAGGGCGTTTGTAAGAATATGAATACTAGTATCTAAGGAATAACACATACAAACATAACAGTCTGCGAAATACAATTAAGTGGTGTTTATTTCCATTTTGTGTGGTAAGTTTCCCACAATTTCTACAATGCGTTAAGGTATTTGTAACAATCCAAAATGCTCATATATCCACCAATATATATCTGCGCTGTTTCGCTACCAACTTACACCTATTGAACTTCTCTTGATTGTCGACGTCATATAGCGTCCTTTTTACCTAATACAGTATATGTCCGACATAACTGTTGAATGGTCTATCGTATGGATATGAATGGTAGAGTCGACAAACTCCGCAATGATGACGTTCTTGACACTATTAATATCATTTTCGAACAAGAATAAATGATGCAAGGGCGGGAAACACTGACCAAATTACTAAAATTTCAGTTTTGTATTGATGGTACAGGTAACACCGGACCAAAAACAATCATTATCTACAGGTGCAACTCTAGGCATAGTCACAGTGTTTCCATCCTCATTAACGACAGCAGATTACAATAGACATTGGCAACAATGCGGCGATATCTGAGCATTGAAAATCGTGTCAGAGCTTTTAGGATGTTCCAAATGGTTGATGGTCAACGTCGGGTACAGAACGTTTTAACGTCACTCAGACTCCAAAACCACCGGAACCTTTGCAATTGTCGACCTACACTTAGGGATGATAAGTACCTTCTTACCCTGGTCCTGAGTAGCAGGTTTCTGACCTCACATCATTCATATGGTGATCATTTTCATGACACAAACGTTCACATTATGTTAAAAGCCATCATGAGAAGCAGTTGCCTTCTGGCAGCCTCCATTCTCAACGTTCAAAAAATCATCTATCGCTGACACCATGTCACAGGTAAGATCGTTTCCTTTGGTGCCTACATCAGCGTTGGAATCAGTTCTCTTGTGAGATAAGAGCAGGATCAGTAGATATGGTAGTAGTTCCATGCTGGTCCTGGTGGCATAACAGTTATTTCATTTACACATTCTTGTTGGCAATATCACCGCACAGCGCTACATTAATGATACTAGTATATAATATTAGTCTGAAATGTGTTACCATTAATTTCACGAGACCTATGCGTCGTTATATAGATCTTTCAGGATGGGTTCGTCCCCAACGTGGAACTGTGGTCATTGTCTTTATTCGGCAACAAGGCGTATGCAGTATGTGTTGGCCTGCTTGTTATCTTGACGTTAGCCCTATCGAATATCACTGAGATGAAGTTATAATTAGTCGCCCTGTTCACAGAAGCAAACCTGCGGCAACGTTTCATCCGGGAGAGCAAGGTCACACCATAGGCTGTTATTGCGATACCCGGTAATGATATCGAGGTGAGGGCCCCGGACAGGATCAGAAACAGTGTTGGTTTACACAGATACTGACTACCTACAATGCCCGAAGTATTGTCAGCTGTTGGTTTCAACAAAATGTTACAGGGTACCCTTGATCTGCTCCGAATACTGGCTTCCCTTTGGTTTGATAGCTTTTCATCAATAATGAACTTATTCAACCCTATTCATTCATTTTCAGAGAATATACCTTTACAACTTTCAGAAGTTGTTTTGCCTGTCCCTTATAATGGGAGTCATCCTTCTATACAGTAGACAGAAACCCCGTGGTGGCGTGTTTTATAAATACAAGAAATGAAATCGTATCATGGACACAAGGAAATTCATGCCTCACAGATGTTCTTGAATTCAACATTTACAAACAGCTCCTGTATTACGTTTGGTACTTAAACTTGCTGCCCCCTTCATTCAACATTCAGGATCATTTAACTTACTCTCTATTCCTCAATAAACCGTAAGCGTTGTAAAGCTTGCGCTATGTCATGATCATCTTCCCATCTTGTTGCTTAAGTGAGAATCGCTTGTCGATGTAACCAGCTAAAAGAGCTATGTTAACCATGATGCCACATCCATCCTCGCTCAGCGTCTTCGGCCCAGACAAGGCATAGTCAATAGAGGTTATCACGCGAGTGTGTTTGGAAATGGTAAATATCCTGTATTAGGAATAAACATTGTATTTAGCGAGGCTTGGACTTGTTGGACATATGTGAGGCATGAATTTCCTTGTGTCCATGATACGTTTTCATTTCTTGTATTTATAAAACACGCCACCACGGGGGTTTCTGTCTAATACAGGATATTTACCATCCCCAAACACACAAGCGTAAAAACCTCTTTATCATATAATGTCATTCTTTAATTCTGTGCGTGAAAATCGCTTTCCCTTTCTCACAAACATTACCGAAACATTGCGAGTTTTCCTGGAATGCGCGCATTAATATTTATTACGTCAAAGGGTAAGTGATATGTTAGTCGGACAGAGACAGTAGCCAATATAGTTCCAATTGAAATCTGTTTCTTATACAGTGGCGAAGCAACATATACGCAAAACAACAACTGTTGTTACTTGCCTTTCGCGACAATCCATCGGTCCGTCCGCCAGAGTAACTGCCCTTTGTCAAAGGGAAGCTACTCTTACCCTAGTCTATGAGACGTGACGGCCACGGTCAGACGTTGTTGACAGTCTGGCCTGTCATAACGTTAAGAAGTGCTGTCGGATGTACACACAGCGACAAAACGAAAAAGGGTAACAATTCAAACATATTTCGGCCAAATCCAACTATTTTTATATGTGGAAAAGGTTCCAAGCCGCAGAGGTCTACAAGAACAGATATGTAACGTGATCCCATGTTTGTTTAAAAACATTGAAAGTAGTCCCTACTTGATCTTTGATATTTGCATCTCTATCCGCATATGACACCAACGGATATCGTTTTTATCCGTTGGCTTTATCCGGCCGAGAAACCCATCCATTATATGATAAAGAGAGTCTATCTTACCAATCTCTTTCTTTTAGGTCATGTTTGTCTTCTGTTAAACGAAGCCTCACACTAACACAATTGCCTGCAATCAAATGCTTGAAAATGCGTGTGTTAGATATTTATATCTTATCATATTCGCAGATAAGTAGAAAAACGTGTATTATAAATATTCACAGTGTACATAGGTAGAGATAACCTCGTTCTACTCCGTGTACATTGCTCCGATACCTTCAGTATGCACCGCCTGCTCGCTTTCTGTGTCTGCGTTACACTCTCCAGTTTCACCGTTGAAGTGACAGGTATGACTGAATAACGACTTCCGTTCTAAGTATTAGGATGTACGCTTTCGAAATCATGTATGTCGGAGAGTAATATGTGTACTCTTATAACTGGCATTTGTTGTTGTCATACTACAGGTGTGTGTCCAAATGGATGGACCAAATATGACAATTCCTGTTACTCGTTATTTACCAACAAACATTCATGGCAATATGCAAAGGTGAGTAAGATCTTTCAACGTAAAAGGTAAAGAGACACACAAAGAGGTATTATAATTGGTTGCATAGATGTGCACAAATCAAAGTTGTTTTTAATAGCATTAAATGTGTATGTGTTTATATATTATGCAGGCGTTTTGCATCGAGTTCGGTTCTCAGCTCGCAACACTCAACACAAAGACCAACAATGACAACGCCAAGGAATTTCTCAACTACCTAAGACGTACATTTCTCTCTATATTGTTCATGATTAAGTAAAACGGATATGTTTTAACCAGAAAAGCATCTATTCATTATTGATGCATGACATATAGTAACAATATTATTTTTAAAAAGTGCTCGGTTACTTGTATTATTTACTGCATTAATTTCGACAATCTGTTCTACAAGCACGATAAAGGTACAATACTACGTAATACGTTCACCTTAGTTTCTTTAAGATTATATGTGAGGTCTTTTCTCCAGATAAATCCATTTAATACATTTTTTCTCCTACTAAGTGAACGAAAGTGTTTGGATTGGGGCCAACGACTTACACAAAGAAGGTGCATGGGTCTGGGACAGCGATCAGAAAGCAGTTACCTTCAAAGATTGGGCACCAACAGAGCCAAACCAAACATCTGATCACGAGCAAGATTGTGTACTCATGTATTCTTATCATGGATTCCAATGGGCAGATTCCGGTTGTGCAGTCAAGCACAATTACCTTTGTGAAAAACAGTAAGTGCGTAAATGTGAGCCATAAAACCATGTCTAGAATCCAGTTTGTCGGAACATGTGCATGATGTGATTGCAATTATCCAAGTTGGGACGCTACGATTGCATTTTAGTAAATCAAGGTTTTAAGCTATTGCGAACAGTACATATTGATCCGCGATTTAATGTAACATTTTGCAATGTCAGTGTTAACTGGCTGAATGTTTAGTTAGTAGTAGTTTTCTTTCCTTTCAGGTCAGTTCCACAGTAAAGTCATTACATACGGAACGCAGGACCTGAACGTATTGAAAGGAAATATTTGCCACCCTTGATAGATGTATTTACGTTAAAAGAATAAATTAGATTGAGTTTTCAATGTTTGTTTTTTTCATTATTGATATTATGTGTGTTTTAGGTCTGTCGTTCGTTATAAGATGTAATGAGTTTTGGCATACTTCGATTTTTGACCCAGTCACTGCCTTTGGCCTTTAGACAACCCTCTCTGTGTAAAGTATTGCTCCACTTCCGACATCTCTCCTGAAACGCGTGGCTTTATGAGGCTACAATTGTATGTAGGTGATACCATGTGATGTATTTTGTCCAATATGTCTCACAGATTTCTCATCCAACATATAGAAAATGTAAACTTCGCCAATAACTCAGTTATTTCTGCACATATGATTACGAAATGTGATGAGTAATTATGTGGTGTGACTATTAATAATAATAATAATAATAATAATAATAATAATACACATATATTTATGCAGTGTGATACTCTATATACCGCTGTGGCTTCCAATGGAGCTACGGTAACTATGATGAACAGTTATGCATGTATCATTCCGCCTGTTTGACGGAGACTTCTATTCGCATCCTTCTTTACTTCTTTGACTTCTCTTATCTGTGTACAATATTCAGAAATATTCATGTTAATTTCATCGCTTTGGTTTCACAATGGATTACAGCTACTACATCAAGGTTATATTTTGTGCACCGATACACAATTTACCAGTTTGTTACATACTAGTATATAATATTACACCGCCTTCATTTGATATGTACACTTTTACAAAAAGTTGGGGATCGTGACATGTAAATGTTAATACCAAGTATTAGAAATAAGACAAGTGTTGAAGAAAAAAACATCCTATACATGAACACCAAAACACATCCCATAGTTTGCACGTGCGTAGTGCCATTCCTTTCAAAGAAGGTCGATTAATTTCTGTGGACCATAATATCTGTGGCTATATTTCTAATCCCACTATTTCATTTGTGATTTATTTTGATTTCATTCATTGTTTGTGCACGAACTAGCGAACCGGTGCCTGCAAAGCGCGGAGCATCTACGGGCTATTGGCATGCTGAAAACTGGCAGAAGTCAGCGTGCGTGGCCAATACGTTCAATGTTTCAAAGTTTGTGATAAGCAGACTATAGACCAGGTACCAACAAACCCCAAATTTTGACGACCGACCCCGTTCAGTGCGTACCCAGGTCAACGACAAGAGTGCGAGATCGATTGATCGAAAACGAGCTCAAAATGCGAATCAAATTGCTACAAACATGCATCAGGCGATTGGAGTACGAGTACGCGTCAGACGATTGGAAATCGTCTTCATGTAGCTCATGTTCGACGGCCACGTGTGGTGCCACCCCCTTACAAATCGCCATATTGCCAAAAGACGCCAATGGTGTAAACAACGTCGAATCTGGGGTAATCGTCGCTGGTCGTGTTTTCAGATGATAGGCGTGGTCGTGTCTGGCGACGTCGAAACGAACGTCAAGCCATGTCAACCTGAGACCTCATGACAGATCTGGCGGTGAGGGGTGGAATCACTATGACTAAGCGAACCCCACTCCATATTGTGCAAGGAATGGTTAATGGACACTATCGGGACAACATAGTGACACCCATTGTTGTCCCGTTTGCAAGGCGCGTTGGTCGACGTTTTGTCTTTCAGGACAACAACGCCCGTTCTCGCCGTGCATGAATCGCCAATGCTCACCCTCAGCAGCACAACATCCCATCTTACTCCTATCGTCCTTCAAGATCGTTGGCGGTCATAACATCTACTGTACTGAACTACTGCCAATGTGTTCCAAATTCGTTCATTAGCATCACACAAATGTTACTAGAAAGTAATAATTTTAAGTTATTTCCGAGTATCCCCGAGTATTTCAAGAGTATAAGTCGCGTTCTAACTGCATCATAGACAAACTATTTTAAAGTAGATACTATGCCATACACTATACAGCCGATTGAATCAGTTAGTCGTATGTGTTACAATGTATTTTTTCATTTGTTGTGGTTCTTGTGTGGTAACGTAGAAAGATTAACACCGTCTCCCAACTCATTCTTAACGTGATGACAAAGTCCTTCTTAAGAGATCAAAACTCCTAACAATAATGCTTCCATGTGGCATCGTATGCTTCCGTAGTATGTAGACTACGATGAAGATACTACGTCAATATTTCTGTTGCTGGATTTAAGTCTCCGTGTAGGTTAATTTTGAATTGTGTGAAAATATCAAATGACATTCATTGGGATATGACCTCGATTGGCGAAAGGTGTACCATGGCAGCACTATACATGTACATGTACACAATGTACATGCATACCATTTCCAATTATAGTATATGATTTCTTGGTTTCGTGATAAACGATTAATGTTACCTTTGTTTTTTCGTAAGCGTGATATCCAAAAGTTTGATTGTCTAACTTTAGCCAGGTTATCCGTCAACATATACATTGGTCAGCACTTTCTTTATTGTTCCTCGGAAAGTAATCACTTTGCCCGCACACAACACATGCGATAAAAACTGCTTTTAAAATGTGTTTAAATTCGACTTACCAGAGCAAGTAGCACGGAGAATGTTCTTTTGTCTTCTGAACCATATCGGGGGCACGGGTGGCCCAGTCGTCTAAGGAGCCGCGATTCCCAGTGCAGAGTTGCGTCCCTTGGGCACGCCAGAAACCTATGATTGTGGGTTCGAATCCCGATTCGCCCCGATTGTGTTTCTAGGTTTGTCAGCACCATACCCGTGTTCGTGGGTTTCACATAAGTTGTAAACGTCTAAGACCTGCATCACTTCGAGCTTTCCTCCCACATTAAGCTGACACGCCGCGATATAACTGTAATACTGTTAAAAGCGGCGTTAAATCCAACTCATTCACTCACTCACTCTGAACCATATCTATAAAATGGAACTTCAATTGGCACAAATGTAGCAGAATAAAATCTTAATACGTTTAATTGATGATTTATGAATACACAAACCATGACAGCACACATATACTGCGATAAATAAAGGTTATTCTTTTTAGTTTAAATATATTATTAAAATTATTATTTCCATGTTTCCGTTTTGTTCGGATTTCTAATTTTGTTGTGGTGATTGTCACAAAAAGCTACCTGATATATAAACTTTTCTAAAAATCAGTGTACAAATATATTCTCGAGCTCAGCTTATGCTAACAATCTATAAGATGTTAGTATTGATATTCATTATACTGATAAGATATTAATATTTTCATAACATAAATGTGTAATTCATTAAAAATATGAAATTGTACATGCCTTCCATTGCCGTATAATGTGTATTGACGTTGGCAAGAACAATCCGAAGAACATACATTTATTTTGTGCGTCTGTGTCATAAACAGCGTGTCACGAAACTTCCAGATGTCTATGTATTTAAAACTCTCGCAAGGTTCAGAGAACCTCTGAGATCAAGGTAATCGTCTTAGCTCGACAGCATAGAAAGGTCAACATATAGGTCGCCATGTGTTTTATTCCCTGATCTTTACCTTGGAGTTTTGAAGTACAAAGCCACTGGTGCTATGCACTGAACGCCTCAATACAAAAGCATTTTCCATATCCTACAGTTAAGTACATTTAACATCACTGAAAAAGGCAGAATGTTATACACTAGGGTAGACAACACGTTAGATCGTTCGATCGTCGAGCCAGAGAACCGGGTTCGACAACCTAGTTACACAATGAATTGAGCCTAAGGACGCTTTGAAAATGTACTCCTACATGAAAATCTACTGAAATTCATGACAAATATTACTCAAGTTCAAGATAAATCACTTATATTCATGACCGGGTAAGAATAATGGATACCAAAAACATCGTTTTTTATATATAATAGTAACCCTTCATATATATAATAGCATCGCAACGTGTAGCATATATATTTTACTGCTTACTACTGTGATAGTGCTCCGTACAAATTCGACGAACCCAGTAGACAATCCCTATGTGTAACTATGTTTAACATTCACCTGATGATTTCCACGTGGAAATGGGCCTGCTGGCACAACCACATTATCAGCGGAATACAGCCGTTTTTGAGCTGAAGACAAGTTGGCATTGAACAACATGTGATCTACCAGTGACACCAGCATGTGAAAGAAGTGACAGTGTTTAGGGTCGGGTTTACTTAATTGTGTGTTCTAAAATTTATTTTATCATGTATGATAAGCTGTTCTAAAGGGTTATCGACAGCCATAGTAGAATATGTACTTCGGGTGACAAGCTACATAAACGACGTCTGCAATTTGTATACACAAACACCTTTTTCCACCGATAATCAGTTCAGGTTAATCGTTCTTCACCCTCGTAGTGAGGTTCAGTTTGCAGGTATAACATTGGAAGGTAGGAATGTTTTCAATTGATTTATGACATGATCGGCGCAAAATATATCCGAGCTACTAGAAATGGGAATTTATTTCTTTGTTCGAGGTATGGATTATCCAGCGGTCGATGGACCAGAACAGACATAACGCAGTGTTGCGCCTGTGCAAGGATTACTATACACGAATGTTTAGATGAGCAAAACTGACGCACCTGGTACCCCAGGAAATATATCCTGGCCAAACTACTTAGCTGTAACCAGATCAGTTAATTTTGTAAGGTCCACACGAAGTGTGACGGGGGGTACAGGAACGGAGTCCGTCCGTCCGTCCGTCCTTCCGCTTCTCAATGTTGTCAAGTTTTCTCAAAAACTATTCAAGTTAGAGAAATGAACTTTTAACACTGATGTAACTGATTACGATCTCAAATGAGTTCGAAACTTGGTGTCGTACATAGTGATGGCCCTTGCTCCATGCTTTTGAACTTAGTGCATACTGTGTGAAATTACAAGAATGAAAGTTTGCATGCTTATATATTTAAGGTATAAATTCGCAAACTGGTGCCGTACATTATTGTTTTGCAGAGTCAGTTTGCTTTTCAACTTAGTGCATAGTGTTTGCAATGTGGACAACTTTTTTTCAGAAACTACTGACGTTACATGAATGAAACTTTGCAATCTTATGCAAGAGATACTTGTCAAGACTTGGGTTCGACAATTGGTCCTGCCAAGTATTGTTTTACAGAGTTATGGCCATTGCTCCGTGCTTTTCAACTTGGTGCATACTGTCTGCAATGGGGACAAGTCTTCACAGGAACGAAAGTTTTGCATGCTTATCTAAGAGATACGTGTCAAGACTAAGTTCGAAAATGTTCCCCGTAAATTATTTGTTTTCAGAGTTATAGCCCTTGATCCATGTTATTTTACTTGGTGCATAGTGTGTGCAATGGGGACACTTTTCTCAGAAACTACTGAAGTTAGCTTAGCTATCAAGACTGAGTTAATTTCTGGTGACAAGTGGCTATCTCTTCTAAAGGCTTTATAGGACGCTCTCTCACAGTTTATGGTTTCACGGCTGCATGGATCATGCAGGTGGTCAGCGGCTTGGCTGATTGTATAGTACCCAGACGGCATGGGAGAGTGCGCATATCAACCACTGGCTTCTCGGACCCACAATACAATAGTTGCAGGCTATCAGAATGTAGCTGCATTGCTGCTGAGTGCGCGTCAGACAATTAACAAAACAAACAAATTGTTTCATATGATATTACAATTGATACAGTCAACGAGAGTCTGCGGATCTGGGACAGCGATCAATAGCCAGCCGTCTATACAGCCTGGGCATCAGGAGAGCCTAACCAGACACCTATTCATGAGCAAGACTGTGTTATCATGTATTTCAGTCAGGCATATAAATGGGCAAACTTGGAATGTTCTGACAAACGCCTCTACATTTGCGAAAGATAGTAGGTACCTACGAATAAGCTTCTGACCCTGAAAGTTAAAGTGTTTGCGAGCTAATGTCTGGACCTAATGTATTAAGGTACATGTTTTATGTGTGAAAGCTATGCTAATAATCAAGAAATATGGTCCATCATTAATTATATTTTGGAACGAAACACTTATACTTTTGAAATATAGCATATAAAAGATGGACCATATTTCTGTATTATTATTATTATAATTATTATTATTATTATTATTATTCAGGAACTGTCTAAATAGACACCCATTGGGATGAGAAAGGAACTTAAGTTTTTAATAAAGGTTCCATTTCATCAACTTTACCTGTAACTGTTAGTACATACAAGAAGTTTGGTTTGTTTCAGGTCTGTCCGCCAATGAGTGGATGTTCGTGTTTGTTGATGCGTGTTTAGTCAGTCATTGCTGAAGAGTATCAACAGCAGTTCAACATTTTCCATGGGTATGTTCATGTTCATGTATCATGTCCTTGTTATAATATATAAAGTGTAACATTTCACCGGACAATACTTCTGGCAAAAATATGATCATGACCATCTTTCACAAATCTATCTGAGCCATGAACCGGACAGTACTGTCTGTCATTGGTGGCTATTTGTCCACGAAAAAGGGTTACCAAGAACCAGTAATCATTTAAAACCTTCAAAGATAGTTGTAAAATAGAATCATCAATTATTCATATATTTTATTTGAAGAGAATATTTCCAATCAGTCCCTAAAGTCCGTTGGATGTTTTGAACGGTGGTGCAGGAAGATCGTTGTCCCTGCCATATACAGCGCACGACCTCAAAGGACATGGACTCTCCCACCATAGGTAACGGACATCGGCAGGATGGAGGTTGTTGTTGCAGCCCGATGTCGACAACGTAACTGACGCTATGTCGTGACTTACTATAGGAGCAGCTATCCAGACGTCAAGGGATTGACAGGTCTTGTGCCCAGAACAGCATACCTTTGGCAATGGAACACGTGTAGCACAACCGACCCTAGGATTACTATTTAGGATCGTGGACGCATAACACTGAATGAACTAATCATGCAGGTGATAGCTTTCATGAATCTCAGTGAATTTGATATAAAATAAAAATTATTTTGTGAATGAGTCAATATTTGTAGTTCATAATACATAATACTTGATAAGAAATGTGTTCAACATACCTCGTAACCGTGGTTGTTCCTGACTTCAATCGGCGTCTTCCCATTACTGAACTCAATAGTGAGTGTCTCGGCCGCATTGTCAACTGTATATGAAGACGGGAAGGGTCCTTTATAATCTAGTCCTGTCTTGTGATAGGCTACTGCTAGGGCTGGTAGAATCAGACGGGAAGCCACGTCCTGCTTGAAGCGAGGGTGCACTCTATAAAGTATGACAAATTCCACAAAAGACACAGACCATATAATGTAGTTATTGTTTATCAAAAATGCTCTTTATATCAATGTGCTTGAAAACATAGGAGTGAAGAGGTAGGGACCAAGACCAGGGCCCTGTTCACAAAGCGATCGGAGCGCTAAGATGATCGTAACTCCCATACCTTAACATAGGCTTACGACAGTCGTAGCGCTACGATCGCTTTGTGGAAGGGGGCCCAGGGAGCGATTGACCACAGTCACACAAAACGGAAAGTCATGTCCCACGCTGTGACGATGCTTAAATACTGCTTAAAGGAAAACTAGTATCTGTCCAGTTGGCAGTCCAAATTTGATTCACGTTATTCAAAACCCTAAATGTTTGTCTGCAAGCTCAAATTTGATGAAGCATATCAATCAATTAGTTGACTCTCAGACAATGTCACAGTTGCACCCGTCTAGATATTGACGAAAAATAAATACAAGATCCTTGAGTATCGTTCTCACTTAACATATACTATACCCATTCATAAAGTTTTCATTATAGTATTTACCAATCTAAAGCTATGCTCGATGGAGAGTTACGTAACTGACAATAATATGTTGATAATCTTATTCTGAGTTTGGAAATTCGAACTTACGGCCCCCAAGGGGATGAAAAGTCAGGTAAGTCCAAGGATACAGCCATGAAGACATTCTTCATCTTCGGGTTAGGAACATATCCATAGTTAGCTGTCTGAGCCCAGCGGGTGTCCGGCCAACCGCCGCGATAGTTGCTGTCATTTCTGAAGGCAGCGAGCTGTCGACATGCACACAAAATCACTCCTCATGCTGAGAGTGCATACTCCACACAATATCACGTATATATTCACATATATAAACTATTTATAAATTAACATGGGATATCCTGTAACTACTCGATACCGCGTTGCAGTTGCTGTTTGAGGACTGTGTGTATATTTACATCACCTGTACATATCCAAACGGCAGGTCGGCGTCGGTTTCCCCCATTGACTGTTGGTGCCAGTGTTTTCTCCAGTCTTCGATCATCGTTGGGAAACTGCAGGCGTATCTACTCGCATGGCCGGCGTCATTTTCTCCTTGAATCAAAATAACAGTTCATATACCAACTTTAATGTTATCGCAATATTATGGACTTAGCGTCAAATCCGAGAAACCAAGAGGTCCTCACCTTGATACCAAAGAACACCATATATCGACAGGGGGAGAAGTGGGCTGATCATGGCATTCCACAATTCGAAGTTCTTTGGAGACCTGCAATAATCAGTTAATGATTTCGTACGGATTTAAAGTGGGAATCTGGTTAAAACGTTTCAGCCCATATTTAAATGAAAGTCAAATTGAAAACCATACTCTCGTTTTCCCTGGCTGCTACACTTGGCAACTGCTTCTGGAGAGGACCACCAGTCGATGCTAGTGCCCCACCAGTCCGACTCCACTAATCCAATAGGGTAGTTCAGGTGAGGGTGCATGCGTTCTCCAAACATGAAACATATTGCTGAAAATCCGTTCAGGTCCTCTGCAAAGAAAGTTGTAAGAATGTCTTCTTTGAGAGGCATTTAGAAGTTGGAGTACTAAGTAAGGATAAGATATATGGATGAACAACTTCTTTATTACGAATTAGGAACGACGTTTCGGCGTAGGTTCTAACACCGTTATCAAGCAAGGGATGTACAGAGTATGGTTGACAAGTATATATACAGGATAGGAGGCAGGGTTTATATATAGTTCAGTAGGTTTAAGATGCAGTTACACTGGAGTGGAGAAGCCTGTTATGTACACAGAAGGGTAAAACATATTGGCTGGTGAAGCCAGTAATATAAACAACAAAAGGATTATGACTGATTGAGGTCTTTGATGAGTTAGTGTTACGCTGGTTGTATGTAGTAGCCTTGGTCACAGTTGATTGATTGTTGGTGTCTTGATGTTGATGGCTTCTTGTAGTTTTCTGATTTTGAAGTCTTTGAGGTTGGTGGTGAGGGCTTTGACTTTGTCCCACTGAATGTTGTGGCTTGGGTTATCACGGTTATTGTCTGATGGAGCTGATTTACAGTCATTTTTGGAGACTGAAACTTGATGTTCTTTAATTCGGGTTTTGAGGGGCCTCGGTGGTTTGCTAATATAAACTTGTCCACAATTGCACGGAATGTGGTACACCGCTCCTGATGGTTATTGCTTGTGGCTGGATGGTGGTTTTCCTGTGGATTTAATTGCGTTCTGAATGTTGAGACTTCTTTTGAAAACTACATCAATGTTGGCCTGTTTCTTTTAGAGTCTCTGGATGTTGTGGCTAACTGTTCCAAAGTAGGGGAGGCTGATCAAAGAGTGCAGATTGTTGAAGGGGAGATTTGAGTTTTCTTGGTCATGTTCTGTATTGTCGGTTGTACGGGGTAGTGGTTGTACTGTAAGAACACCTGTTTGAGATGGCTAAGTTCAGTGGTAAGATGTTGCTTCGTAGAACAGATGTTGTCAGCTCGTCTTGTTAGGGTTGAGATGATTCCTTTTTTGACTTGGGGTGGATGATTGGAGGCATAGTGAACCTATTGATCTGTGTGAGTTGGTTTCCGGTAAACAGTGGTCTGGAGTTTGTTGTTGTGGCCTTTCTGTACAATTACATCAAGGAAGGGTAGTTGACGTTTGGCTTCTTCCTCCATGGTGAACTGCATTCGTGGGTTTTGGGAGTTCAGGTGGTCCAATAGGACTCTGGGGTCATTGTTGGGATATAGGATGACAAAGATGTCATCTACTTTGCGGAACCAGCAGAGGGGGTTATGGGGATGTTTCCAGGGCTTTTTCTTCTAGGAGGGTCATACATATCTCGGTGATCAAGGGTGATAGTGGGGATCCCATGGGTTTTTGGATAGAAGTTATCTCTTCAGGTGAAGTATGTTGAGCTGATACAGCAGTGTATGAGCCGGATGATGCTGTCAGTTGTCTAGGTGTCTAGGGATCGGTAGATTTCATTGATGTGGGTTCTGATGATATCAGTGGCCTCGTCTCAGGGTACATTAGTGAACAGGTTGACAACGTCATAGCTGATTAAGGTGCCTAGTTGGGGAAGTCGTGGATCTTCTTGCAGAATTCAGACGAGAGTGCCAAAAAGGACTTGGCATACTTCCCAAGAGGCGGGTTAAGTACTTGGCCGTGTTGTAGTGGACAGTGTCTCTGGAGCAGACTAGAAGACGGGCTTTGACGGTGTCTTTATGAATTGTATGTTTGTCCGGGGATAAGGTGAGGGGTGATGAGTTTTCTATGGAGGGTGGGGACGATTTCATTGTTTTCCTGAAGTTGGTTGAGAAGGGTAATGTGTTCTTTCTGTAGGCTGTTGGTGGGGTCTCTCTTGAGCTGTTTGTAAGGTGGATTGATCATTGATGATGTTGTCGGTTGAGGCATTGAGAAGGGTGGTATTCATGATGACAGTTGCCTTGCGTTTGTCTGCTGAGGCGATGATGATAGTGTTATCAGATTTTAGGTTATTCAGAATTTTCCTTTCGAAATGAGTGAGGTTTGGTTCTGGGGTTGGTCTTTGTTCAGGATGTTGGCAATCTGGTGTCGTAGGAAGTTGATATTACCTCCTGGGGCCAGTTGTTGTAAGCCCTTCTCGATGTTGGCTATGAATGCATCGTTGTTGGTCAGGATGCTGGTTGGTGAGAACTTCAGCCCTTTGGCCGGGACTGCAGTGTGTTGCTTTTTGAAATTCTTGCTGCTTAAGTTGATGACAGTCTTGCTGTGGTAGTTTTCAATGGCAATTTTCAATGGCTTCACCCTTTTGTTTATATTACAGGCTTCCCCGGCCAATATGTTTTACCCTTCTGTGTTCATAACAGGTTTCTCCACTCCAGTGTAACTGCATCTTAAACCTACTCAGCTGTATAAACACTGAGGTTTTAATAAAGAGGTTGTTCATCCATATATCTTATCCTTACTTACTTGTAAGAATGTCGTTCTCCCTAATCAAACGTACATGGTACTGGTCCGACTAAGATTCTTGGTTAGAATAGGTGCAATTAATGTGTGTCGTAAGATTAGATTCATTCAATATGAGAGCGGCGTTTAACAACAAACTAAAACATTATAGAGGTACATTGTAACCAACATACTACTAGGCATACATCCATGTGCTCAGAAATGCTACATTGTAATACCATATTCAGATCTCCTTATGTCGAATTCATTGAAAGCAGAAATAAAAGTATGACACAACCGTTGTGGATGTCTAAATCAAGTATACATTTTCTTCGCCTTGTTTGGAGTGTATATTAAGGAGGAAATAATGTTGTCCATGTATTTTAAATATGTCACATATTGCGACTGAGATGAGACATGATTACATTCATGTTAACATACGGACCTTACAATAGCGAGACAGCCCCACGACAGTCTAATAGGACACATGACACGGAAACGGAATACAATTAATAAGCACGCATATTGGGACACGGAACAGAGGCGTACCAGAGATGTGAAAGAATTATCTCCATGTTTACATCACTTTATGTTAATGACACCAACAAGGGTGGAATTTTGGTAATGCACAAATATTTTGAAGAGATCTGATCTATGTACTTGAATTCGGCGTTGTCCAAGGTATCTTGACCTTCTGTATATCCACGAGTGGTGTTGATGATGTCACATGCTCCGTCTTGAATAGGCGTATGTCAGTGAACTTTAAGCCACTCTGTATTTCATTTGTAGTATTCATAACCTACAAAAATATGATACTTCATATATGGTCCAATCATTACAGAATTACTATCTAACTTCATCGGAATTGGATTAACAAGCAAGCGGTATCCAGCAACTGATACTGGGTATTATTCCACGTCCCAGAAACAGAATATGAGGTAATATTACCAATGCTGTGTTAATTCAAACTGCATTCCTTTGAGTGTCAAATGACAATGTGAAACGTCGTCAGCACATGGTAGGACACACTTGCAAAGACTTCAGTATTGCAATACAGACGAGACACTACGAGCAGGCATTCTTTAACCAGGATATGGAACATGTTATATATGATACTTAAAATATGTCCATGAATATGTAGAAGTACAGTTACGTTATGCGTCATATCACCGAATACCTGATACATGTTAAACTCCATGTTACTCTGTCCGGAACAGACCCAGACATCACCAAACAACACATCATGGAGACTCTTGCTTCCTTCGCTCGATGTGACAGTCACGGCAAAGGGGCCTTTCTGGGTAACCGCTGATAGCTTGACCTTCCAGAATCCTTTCCCGTCCGATGCCTTTGTTACCTTGCCGGTTCCTTGGGCAACACCGTTACCAACTGTTACTGTTACAGTATCGCCTATCCTAGTTGCTCGTCCAGTAATGATGGCATGTTTGGGACCTCGCTGGAGAACCATATGGTCGCCATAGTAAGAAGAGAATGTAATATCCCCATTCACAACTGAAAAGTAAGCATGTTAACCAATCAATATTCCTCCGCGTTTAGTTTTGTATCCTGCACAGGCATTGTACATCATGTACCACCAATATGGAGAATCGAAACAACGCCGCCGTAATGGTCACATTTGAGTCAGTTTAGTTACGTTGTACTTATAAACTAAACTCACCAGACAGAATTAGAAACAAAGGTAATAATCCATTACGAGTCCTCATTGTAACGTCCAAAACGAGAGACCTATTTCACCAAGGTGTGACTTATCTCACTGAAAGCACATGTCGTTTTCCCTGATGCAAAAATGAAAATATGATAGCAACATAATCGGAAGAAAAATCAAGTACACTGTGCATGTTAGTGTCATAGCGTGCTATTAATTCAAAAGGCTAAACTATAATGTCGCCATTTATATTCTGAGTCAAATTAAAAACTTCACATTTTTAAATGACACTTCCGCCTCGAAATCTGTCAACTTCCTGTACACAACACTGGGCGTAACGTTCATGACATCGCCTCCACACCCTCGCCCTACCATCAGCAAATCGGAGATTAAATCGGGATTCAACACTGAAGACGACTTGATTCCAATTCATCTGAGTCCATCGTAAGTGTCGCTGTGCCCACAATTGACGTTGACGTCTGTGTAATTGAGTCAGAATCGGCCCGCAGTATGGCCGTCGTGCTTGAAGGTGAGCAGTTCTCAGACGGTTTCTAACAGTTTGCGCTCTCAGTCTACCCCTAAACACACGTGGTCGACCTGGCCGAGGGCGATCAGCGGTGGTACCCGTTTGCTGTAGACGCGTCTGTAAATCATAAACAGTCCGTCGACTACAACCCATCGTCCTTGCGACTTCAGCTACGGACGTTCCCGTCTGCAACATGCCGATGGCACGTTCACGTTGCACATTTGAAAGGCGTGGCATGACAAATGGCCGTAAAGACTTTTGTTTTCTTGTCTTTTTCTTTTTTTGTTAATGACTGCTAACAAGTATGACTGAAAACACGTGCGGTATTATGGCCACGTGACCAGTTGCACGTGAAAAACCACTTTTGCCACTATAGTGCTGTGCACATGATTTTGATCGATTCACCTGCACAAAAACGGGTGTTATCTGAAGACAATACGTGGTCATTACTGTTTAAATACACAATAAGGGCCCAGTTTTTAATAAGTTTTTAATTTGGTTCAGTAAATATTTACATTTAGTACTAACTACTAAATGACTTTATCGCGCGTATCCAAACCATGGGCTAATTACGTCTGTAACCCAATCACCCCCCGTAACTCAATCACCCCGGGCCACCACTCGGCACCGTGCCCGGGGAATAATCCCGCGCAAGCATCATCCCGCCTTTGTTAGTCGGTCATTCGCGAACAGCCCTTCCCCAAGTACACACGTGTGTCACTGTATCTAATCGCTTTTGCTTTGAATACCACCTATTTCAGCACTCGCCGTATCGCATTTATTCCGTTCTACTCCCGAACTTCACCCTCGGGACAATTTTACGCTGGTGGAATACCTCGACTCACCACCTCGACCTTCGTGATGCCTCCCAAGAGAAGAGCACCCGTCAACCACAAGCTTGTGAGGGGAGCCAAGCAGGCCAGGACAACCAGAAGACAAACCCCGGGAGTGCACATTATGCAGGAGGCAACAGCTGATGGTGAGTCTGCCAATTACGGAAATATCGAAGGGGGCAACAGAATTAACGTACAATCGGCGCAGTTTGTAAATGCCGCGCAGGCTGCCAACTCGGCTACCCAGGTAAACGAGCAACTGGAAAAAATACTCCAGTTGCAGGAACATTCAGCGCCCGGCCCGGTTAGCGCAAACCAACAGGTAAGGCTTGGTTTTAGTTCTCCCGCCATTTCGCCCAACATAGGGAGAATCCCCGATGCTTACAACGAGGTATTCATTTTCATCGTAGTGTCATAGCGACCGAATTGGGACAAAGACTAATTACCCTGCAGCCATGATGTGTATATGTCTAGAATCTAGAAATGGATTAGTAAACAATCGAAGCGCTTATGTTAATACCACTTCATTACCCATAAGACACGATGCAATAAATACATCAGCGAACGTTAGATTAACAAATGAATTGCACATGCCAAGCTAGATGTGTGTATATGAGAAATATATTTGCAGTTTATGTTAAAAAATTCATTTAATTGAACATCTGCCAGTTTTTAATACGAAGTTTTGAATAGAAGCTAATGTTTGGATTTGCTCTTCTTTACTCAAATGCGAATTTCTGCACAGCACTGTGTGTAAAAAATAACCTTGTTGGTAAAAATACATTTCATTTCGAAGAACTTAGTAGTTTGTACACACAAAAGTGTAAAGCATGCTCGGTATGATATCCACAGGAACAGGTTTTAGTATGCAACATGTCTATCATACTGATCTGCATTAAGATCGCTGCAGCCAAGCCTGATGCGAATCTGAATAAATTGACATGCTAATTGCCATTGTTAATCCAGAAGTATTGTACATGGACTGTCTGCCATCCTGAACGAGCCGTGCAACTTTGACATTGTTTATTTCCATAAATAACCACTCACAGTGGTACATGGACATAAATACAAGAAATAGATAACGGAGGCATTCACCAAATTGCATCCATCAATATGTTAGCGATCGTACACCTACATCAGTATGTCCTTACCTGAGAGTTGTGCGTCGGGGTGCATGGCAGTATAGAATGGCAGTCGTTAGTTAGTTACTTGAATGGCAGTCCGGGGGTCCTGTCGCTATATACTTGTCCAACATGAAATGACAGGTTTTAGGGTTTGTGATTTAGTTAGTGTGGGTGATTTTAAGAGTGTTTGTTGAATGGGTGATAATTACTGCTGACGCTATAGATGTAAACATTCATATAATGATGGCAGCAAAGGACAGCCGAAGAGACAATGGCGTTGCCACCACGAGACATGTGTATGGCTTTTACGAGACGGCTAAGGGTATAATTCACTATGTCTATAAATGTTATGTAATCAGTCCTGTAGCGAATCCCTTTCTGAGCAACAGACCGTGTCATTGCATGATTTATTGTGGGCACAACGGAATGGGACTGTAGGCACGTGTAGCTCTTAATCCCATATGAAAACACCAACTTTAGATTCGCGTGGTATCTCTGGTACCACATTCTTTTCTGTAACGCAGATGGCCTAGGTTATGATGATAGTTCGGATAACATTCGTAGAAAATATAGACTGAATGACACGACAGAGTGAGAGCCGATTGACGCCGCTTTAAACAGCATGCCGGTTAGCGAGGCCGACGGTGACGCGGCTTGGCCAGCCAATCACATCGCAGGATACGGGGATTCCCTTTCCTTCCATGCGGACGGAAAAGACGCGCACGTCAAACAAACGGTGAGGGAAAAAATCTGGCGTGGCGAGTATGTCGACCTCGGCACAATCCTACCAGACACCGAGGGAAGTCACGAGGACGGTACGATTACCATGGCGTACGACTCCTCAGGTTAGGTAATTTTTAAACCAATAAAGCAGCAACCAAAGCGCCTGTCCCTGGCAAGCTGGACTTCAGCTTTCCACATTTTCATGTGTATATATGTTAGTAGGCACTCCGAGGTCCGCACAACCCAGGGGTTGCTGTCCTACATGGAAACCATAAGAACGGCGGCACTTCGATTCGGGGGGATGCCTGGTCAACCTACGACCAACAATTCCGACACAGAATGTCAAGGGACCCCTCACGACGCTGGGACAACATCGACGGGGAGTTGTGGCTGAAGTCCATGGTAACACAGCCGGTACTACAACCAGAATCAGGCGGACGGGGCGCAATGACACGCGTACAGGGGGACATCGCCAGTCAGGTATGCTGGGATTTCAATAAATTTGGCTGTAACAGGGTCAACTGTAAGTACACTCACAAATGCGGTAAGTGTGGCAAACATTCCCATAGCTCTAGGACCTGCTTTCGAGGGAATGGGGTCCAACCGACCCCATACAAGCCCAATCAGCCTTCTGCCTAACAGAAAACCAGCCGTCAAGGCAGGTAAATTCAATGGCCCCTTCCCCCGTGGATCTCAATGAAATGGCACCCTGGTTACGCCAATATGCTAGGGTCAATTACAGAGATGCAAACTATTTATGGGTAGGTTTTAGCTCTGGCTTTAAGCTCGAGTTCCAGGGAAGCCGCACGGGTCGCCTGGCACGAAACTTGCGATCAGCCACGCACCAAGACACGGCAGGCTACGTGAAACAAAACTACAAAACGAAGTCGACCTTGGCAGGATGGCGGGCCCCTTCAAGGACACCCCCCCCCCTAGACAACCTCCAAGTATCCCCAATAGGCCTGGTGCCCAAGAAGCAGCCAGGATATGGTCAGCACCTGGGTAAGCATGCGGAGGAATTCCGTCTAATTCACCATCTATCGTATCCAAGGGGTAAATCTATAAATGACTTCATAGACACAGAGGCCTGCTCCGTTGCGTACGCCAGATTTGATGAAGCTACCCATATGGTTCAACGACTGGAAAAGGGAGAACTACTAGCAAAATTCGACATTCAGTCGGCCTTTAGAATTATACCAGTCCACCCATCCGATTTCGAGCTGCTAGGCATCAGATTCGAAGGTGAGTTCTATTTCGATAAATGCCTACCATTTGGCTGCTCCATATCTTGCGCCATATTTGAAACGTTTAGTACCTTCATGCAATGGTGCATGCAATCGCATCTTCCAACGTGTCCGATTATGCATTACCTGGATGACTTCCTAACGGGGGGCACAGCAGGCACCAGCCACTGCTCAGACAACCTCAACGGATGCGCGAATACACTAGAACAGCTTGGGGTTCCTACTGCGCACGACAAGACGGTGGGCCCCACAACCAAACTGACATTCCTAGGGCTGGAAATCGACACCATTGCAATGCAGATCAGAATCCCAGAGTCCAAGATCAAGGAGGCAACAAGGGAAATCCATGACATCCTGTCAACAGGTAACATCAAGGTCACAAAAAGGGCCCTTCAGTCCCTCATAGGCAAGCTTAACTTTATGTGCAGGGCTATACCAATGGCAAGGGCATTCAGCCGCAGGCTAACCGATCTGCTTAGCAAAGGTAAGCAACCATTTCACCACATTAGGATTACCAGCTGGGTCAAGGAAGACCTACAAATGTGGTTAACATTTCGTACGAGTTATAAAGGCATTTCAGTGTTTCAGGACCAACTATGGGTGGACAGCGATTTCCTCCAGCTGTTTTCAGACGCAGCGGGTGGCGCCAGCTTCGGGGCCTACATGCAGGGCAAATGGTTTAACGGCGCATGGCCACCCCAGTGGGTGATGGATGGAACTACACGGGACTTGACGCTACCTTGACATGGTGGCATCAATCCTTCGGAAATACAACCCCAGCTTCCTGACACCAAGATCATCGTATCCTCAATGCTGCACAGGCGCTACTGGCACGATGCCAGGGACCCACTAAAGATCGAGGGGATGCGGAAGAATATCAACCGTCGACTGGCCAACCGAGTCAAAGAGCTCGGCGGTACAATGGTGCCACATCCCCAGATCCTGGCATCAGACAAGACATGGTACGCCTGGGAGGGCGTCCACCTCAGTGACAAAGGACTGTGTGTGTTTACGGACAATTTATTGCATGCCCTGGCGCTTGTTATCTCCACAGGTTTGTGTTTCCTTTCAGTACATAGGCAAGCGGGGCAACAATGGTATCCCCGCGTATTGAGTGGCCGAGGGTGTGGGGTAGCACTCTGGTGCTTTGTGGCGGGGTTCTTGTGGGCTACACTGCTAGTAACAAATTAACTTGCTTCCAAATTAATACTCGTGCTTAAGGCTACCTGCTTTTCAGCGGGAACCTTTCCGGGGTTACCTGCTTCTCAGTGGGAACCTTGTCTTTCCCGACTTTTCAGCCGGGGAATCGTAAAATAACATACGTTGGGGCAAACAATTGCCACGTATATGGGCCCGGCGGCGGAAGTCGTCTTGTCAAGCGGTAGCTGACAGTTGGGTCCGCGGCGTGGGAGCCGCACAATGGTTTTGCTAATGGGGCCGGGCAGTGGGATCTGCTTTGGCCGGCTACCTGGGGCCGGGCAGCGGTAGTCTGACTTAGGCCAGCAGCGTGGAGCTGCTTTTGGCAGCGTGGGAGTTGCCAAGCAATGGTAGCGGTTAAATATGCTACCGTGGGGGCCGGACAGCGGAAGCAGTCTCAGGCCAGCAGCGCTAGCTGCAATCGCCGTTGGCCACGCGCGTGGCCATGGCAACGGTAGCATTTTGGTGCTACGTTCACCTTGGTTCAGATTGGGGTTGAAAGAGAGACAGTCTTAAATTACCTACTGTTCACTGTACTCAACCAAGGCAAATTTAAACATATTTGTATATGTTATTAATTGATTTCAGGAAAACGATCAGACGATTTTATGAATCTCTGTTCATTGATTGTCGAAAATGATACTTTTCGTCAGTTATGTTGCTTCTTATTCGGAAGTTCTGATTGGACTGGGTGTCATATGCTCCATGATGATTGTGGGGGCCGTCTGAATTCGGTGAAATGGCGTAGTCATCACAACCTTGTGCCTTGTCTGATCGTTGGTCATTGACCATGGTATCAACCACTGATTCGATTACTTGCGGGTACAGGTCAAAACGGCCAAAACACGTAACGGCCATGGATGTCAAAGTCAAAACGGACAATGAAAAATGTCAAAACGACAAGTGAAAACTTAAAACGGACAGTTAAAAGGCAAAATTCAAGCAGTGTATATAACATTGTATTTAATGACATAACAAGAACAATATTCATCTGTTTCCACCACAGTGACCACCACACTGTTGTATACATTGCACTTCAATGGCCCATACATTTTCGCGCATATTTTCAGCAACTCAGAGGGTCTGATATCTACTTCTTTGTATAGGTTCAAGGGGGGTAAAGATTTCCTTTTTTTTAGTCGAGGTCTTCTTCACAGTTCACACTACGGGCTTCATATTGGTGAGTGGGGAGTATCTCACTGCGCTTTCTTAGATTTTGTAACCACTTCATCTTCATTGTAGTCGTCTCTTACTACACCCGTTCACCCGGGGTAGAATAGGTCTTCACCAACCCATGCTTAACGTAAAAGGCGACTATGCTTGTCGTAAGAGGCGACTAACGGGATCGGGTGGTCAGGCTCGCTGACAGGATGCAAGTCATTGTATCCTAATTGCGTAGATCGATGCTAATGATGTCAATCACTAAATTGTCTGGTCCAGACTCGATTAATTACAGACCGCCATCATATAGCTGAAATATTGCTGAGTGCGGTGTTAAACAACAAACAAACAAATACTACACCCGCCTGGCCCATTCTACCCCAAACCACTCAGGTATTCATTGTTGCATACATTACAGCTGACCGAGTGTTCTGTGAAAAAGACATAGCAGGGGGTACGTATTGTTTTAAGATAACTTGCATGTTCAGCTATGTTCAATATGGCAGTCAAATTGGCGTATGCAGGATATGGTATGATAAGTTTTCAGCTCACACTGTCCATTGTTTAATTCATATTTTTTTTCAAAAACGTTATTACTGATAGTTGAAACACATTTGAGAGCAGGTGGAGTCAGTTTTCTGATGGCATCAGTCATTTTATTGCATGTATGCATTATATATTCATCGTATATTCAACATGAGAGTAAAGCCCTTTATTGATTCCGGGGTAGTGATATCTACAATGGGCGACTAAAATCCGTCGTATTTCTTAAACGGTGGTGCAGGCAGATCGTTGTCCCTGCCATACACTGCGCATGACCTTAGAGGACACGGGGTCTCATACCATAGATAACGGACACCTGCGGGGTGGCTGTTACCGCACCCCGACGTTGACAACGTAACTGACGCCGTATGGTGACTCACGATAGGAGCTTCTTCCCAATGATCATAGGACTGACAGCTCTTGTGGCCGTAACAGCAAACCTTTCACATTTATTATTATGTAGATCATACAAGTCTGCAATCTGTTGAAAAGTCATACATAAATTGTCAGGTAACGAGCGCATGGTTAAACACGAGACCAACATATATTATGAACAAAAAAGGGAAAGACCATACATATTGTTGGGGATATTGTTATTTTAGTAAAGACTAAGCACACAATTTCATTAATATATCCCAAAAAATATTCAGGATCTTTAACCCTTTATTGTACATGAGTAGCCTTCTGAGTTAGGCATGCTAATATTCTATTGTATAAACTATCTTCAGGGTTGATTTGTATTGCAAAAATTACTTAATTTACTCGGCGGTCAAATATGCTTAATTGACATGTCTTATCTGAGGTCATCAGCGAGTCATTGTTTGTTGTTCTCCAAATCAACTTCACATGTACACAGTGTACCTCATAACCATGGTTGTTCCTGACTTCAATCGGCGTCTTCCCATTGTTGAACTCAATAGTGAGTGTCTCGGCCGCATTGTCAACTGTATATGAAGACGGGAAGGGTCCTTCATAATCTAGTCCTGTCTTGTGATAGGCTACTGCTAGGGCTGGCAGAATCAGACGGGAGGCAATGTCCTGCTTGAAGCGAGGATGCACACTGCCAAGTTCAACAAATACCAGTTGTTAGCAAACAGTGGAATCTTGACGTCATCTACATGTGCTACCATACCACATCTTCAAGGTTCTTCAATGCATCTAATATGGCAGTCTGTACATCATTAACACGCCATCTCACAAACACTATCTGTATTTAGTGTTTATTTATAATACTTTTCTTACACTGGACCGGGCAAATGTGGAGGCCTGAATCGTATGCCTAAACGGACAGAAAAGGTCAGAATTCGCCTCAACATAACCACAGAGGGCGTCTGACGTCAACAGACATTCTGCGCGCATGTACACGAATAGGAGTATCCTGTGTATCTCCTGCCGAAGATGTGTTATAGACAAATGCAAGATCTCCTTCCTTCCATATGCTTAAATATCCTAAATGAAGCAAAATCAAACATTGACACAATACCATCGCCACAATTCTATTGCACGAATATGTCAAGGAGGCCATGAACAGGCCGTGTATGAGACACGCCACCGCGGGAACTGGTTGATAGACTCCCAACACATTCGTGATCGCTTTACAACAGTTACCACTAACGCCTATCTCATTCCTGAAATGGACCCGTGACAATCCGGGGTAGAATAGGTCTTCAGCAACCCATGCTTGCCATAAAAGGCGACTTTGCTTGCCGTAAAAGGCGACTAACGGGATCGGGTGGTCAGGCTCGCTGACTTGGTTGATGCATTTCATCGTATCCAAATTACGTGGATCGATGCTCATAACGTCAATCACTGGATTGTCCAGACTTGATTATTTACAGACCGCCGTTATACTGCTGAGTGCGGCGTTGAAAAACAAACAAACAAACATTCCTGAAATGCGACGGATCTCCGATTAAATCGTGCTTAATCCAATGAGGAAATCTTGTATTCGTGTTCGACATCCTCTCCAACGAAATATCCTGATGCCTCGGGCACATCTAAAGTGAATTAATCGACATCCTGTTAAGTCATTGCTGGGGAGGAGGAAAGTCCTGTTTAGTGGTGAGCTACGAAGGGCAGATGGTAGGAAAAAGGATGTAACAAACACCCAACCTGTCGTTGGGCCTCTGTTGTACATCGTGGCGAGAACTGTTGCTGGTGAGATATGACCTGGATGTGTAGTCGGTGCACACATTGTCGTTACGGTTTAGTTACACATGATTGCATTCAATTATCTTAGTCGGCCTTTCGATGTCATGTTTCGTTTTTTAAGAGTAAATATGCTGATGTTTAGAAATAATTTTGTTCTCTCAAGTTGGTTTGTTCAGACATTTAGACAGGTTTGATTAAACATGTTCTCTTCAATTATCAATCCGGATGTATATATGAACTCACGGGGTATAAGGCGATTCGAAGTCCGGCAGGTCCACAGCTGTAGCCATAAAGACATTCTTCTGTTTAGGATTCGGAGCATACCCATAGTTCGCCGTCTGAGCCCAGCGGAGATCCGGTATACCACCTCGGAAATGACTGTTATTTCTATATCCAGCAAGCTGTCAGGGAATTGTCACACTGTCTCATTCAGCGAAAGAATAACGCAACTGTTTATCAAAACACTTCCGAATTAGTTAGTGAACATATACCTGAGCTATTAAGAGTGATGGTATTTGTAGCTGAGGCTTGATAAGTCTTACCTGGAGAATTGGCTATCAGTTTCCCCCATGGACTCCAGATGCCAGTGTTTTTTCCAGTCTTCAATCATTATGGGAAAGGTGCAGGCGTATCTACTGGCGGAACCAATGTCATTTTCACCTTGACAACAAGAATCAGCTGGCAGTAATGCAGATATATTAGCATATGGGTACAATTATATTTTGTCATATAAGTATGCTTGAATCAGTGCTTACCTTGATACCAAAGAACACCATATATCGAGAGTGGAAGGAGGGGACTTATGATTGCGTTCCACAGTTCGTAGTTCTTTGGAGGCCATCTGCAACAATGGACATGGTTGAGTTGAACGTCCGGCAGATTCATTCATCGTTTACAACCAACGTAAATCCAGATGCAACAAACATTACCCTCGTTTCCCCTGACTGCTGCACTTGGACACCACTTCTGGTGAAGACCACCAATTGATGGCAGTGCCGCCAACGTCAGCTTCCACTAATCCAATAGGTTAGTTCAGGTGAGGGTACATGCGCTCTCCAAACATGAAACATATTGCTGAAAACCCACTCAGGGCTTCTGAAAAGAAAAGGAAATCTGATAATACACCTCAATCAAAATAATTTAACTGGGGAATGTTTAACTTGATCAGTAAAGCTACCTGCCTTCGTTTATTATTATTCTCATACGACAATATAGACTTCAACTGAAATAATGTCTATTTCTGCCAACTTATTTTTTAAAATGTTATTTTGACCTTGCTGATTACGGTTCGTTGCCAAGGTTCGTTGCCAATATTTTTCGAAATACAACTCGGACATGTTAATAGAAATAAGGAATAACTACAATGAAAGTATGCTTCAAAACTTGACACTGAAGCTCTTTCAAGTAAAGTAAGCATAAATTGTGATTCGTTGCTATTTATTATATATGCTATAATTCAGACATGTTGCAAAATACACACATGTACTAATAACATTCTGTAACGTTTCAGTCAAGATAGTAAGGAAGGACGTGTAATATACTCAACAACAAAAGTTCCTGTGACACCACTATGTTAGTGCATTTTTCAAACAAGTAAAGTTTGGTTTTCAATATTGTAGTACATGTATTGAATCAAGTCACAAAAACGCAACTGCTACAGAAGAGCATGCATTCCATGCAAAAGTTGACTTTTATTCAAACCCCATGCATTTCACGACAAAGAATGGGTATAAAAACATATGCGTTAACGGTATTCCATATGCATTTTTTAGCATCGTGCTGACAACAACCACTCAGAAAAACAACAAAATTACGCAATTATTCAACATGACGAAATGCCACGCCTGTCCGAAAATGAGCGTCTGCGAGCCAGTAGTATGCTTGAAGCAGGATCGAGTCAACGTGATGTTGCAAGACAATTTAACGTCGACAGAAACACAATTTGGTGTTTATGGCAACGTTGGCAACAGGAGAATGCAGTCAGAGACCATCCTCGGAGTGGCAGGCCACGCGTAACCAATAATCGACAAGACAACTGGATTCGAACAGCACAACTACGAAATAGATTCCAGCCAGCAACAGTGACTACAAGAAGCATCCCTGGCCTTCGACGAATATCTACACAAACCGTACGTCGTCGCCTCAGATGTGCAGGGATTGTCGCCAGAAGACCCGCCAGACATCCCATTTTTACAGGAAACCACCGTCAAGCACGTCTACAGTGGTGCAGACAACGTCTACGCTGGACGGCCACGCAGTGGGGACAAGTTCTATTCACTGACGAGTCTCGTTTTCACCTCAGCCACAGCGATGGACGGATTCAAGACTACCGACGTCGAGTTGAACGTTACGTCAATCATTGTGTCATGGAAGAAGATCGGTTCGGGGGCGGCAGTGGGATTACAGCAAGACAGAGGACCCGTTTGATAGTGGTAGAGGGAAATCTCAATGGACAGCGCTACCGCGACGAGACGATCATCCCTGTTGTTCTACCGTTTTCAACATGACAACGCCCGGCCTCATATTGCTCGACTTGTTCGGGAATCTCTTCAACAAAACAAAAGGGAATGTCATCCCCTGGCCGGCTCGCTCCCCTGATCTCTCACCAATCGAGCATATGTGGGATGAGATGATTCGGCGCCTTCGACGTCAACCACGTGTTCCACAGACTCTCCAGGAACTTCGAAACATGCTCAAGCAGATATGGACAGATATCCCACAGGACTTTGTGTGACGCCTGGTCCATTCCATGAGACGGAGATGTGTTGCTTGCATCGCAACCAGAGGTGGACACACACGCTATTGATTTGTCAATTGACATTTTGGCATGTTCATGTTTTGTTTTTTTATGGAATCACGCATTTTCTGAAGTCAGTATGGCAAATTAAACCATTTGAACACTTACGGGAGTCTTTTATCTGTTGCAAACCGAAATTGATTCAGATTTGGTAAAAACAAAACTTTGCATTAAATCTTATTCAATGTCACAGGAACTTTTGTTGTTCAGTATATCATTAGGCGTATAGGTATGCTTTAAATGGGAAAGGAAAACATTTGTTTTATATAATGTTTGTACTTGTGTTAGGCGTTGTCCATGGTATTGTGACCCTTTGCAAGTCCATCAGAGGTGTTGACGATGTCACGTGAGCAGCCTTGAAAATCCTAATCTCAAGAAACGATAAGGCCCCCTGTATTTCCACTGACGAATTCAAAACCTACAACACATATGCAGTGCACTTATGCAACTATGTTGACACTTTATGGTTTGGAATATAAAGGCATATATTAAGTATTTACATAGATACCATTTAAACAAATAAAAGTGACAAAACCTTTTCCATAATCATAAGAATTCACTGCTTAAAGCATCGTCCTTTCTACGATGACGACAATATCATTAGCACGTGTTTACGATTCACTTTCAACTGGTCATGATACCAGTTTTTCGCGAAAGGGTGAGCTTATTCTGGCCCCACCGACGGTATCCGTCACAAACACATGCAAAGGCAAAGTAATTGGTTCACCTAAAACATATGGTAGAAGCCAGCATAGGGAATTGCAGCGGACATTGTTTTGGTTACCGATGCGTGAAATATGTAAATGTCCTTCACATGTCAACCATAAAACCTTTTGAAAGCTTTTCTGATGCCATGAATGTTGAAACTTGTCCAACAAAATGTTAGTTGTTTTACTGTCCTTCGTCGACAGAATTTTAAACAGTTTACATATATATTATTAAAGTCAAATTTTGTCTCGTCACGATATGGCTGCAATATTGCTGATGTGACGTTAAATATTAACTCACTCCCTCACCCACAAGTGTTGAGCATGAATCATATGACGCTCTTTGAAATCTTCATAGAAAGAGCATTCTAGATTGTATCTCAAATTTGTGAAACATATAAACCTAAGGCTGAAGCTGTCGTAGTATTATTCGACATAAATGGAGAGTTGACCATATTGTTACCATAGTAAGATGAGAATGTTATATCTCCATAACAAACTGAAAATATACATTATTGTGTTCTCTTGTAGAGTTGCTGATTGTATACAATCTCTGTAAAAGAAATTGTTGTCAGATAAGTATCAACGACAGGAAGTTTTTAACCCAGTACTTGTATCATCTAGACAATGAAACAATGGGCCCATACTGACTTGAACTAATGTTTGTTTCATATTTTATATGTGAACTTACCTGATAGAACTACGAATATACGGAATAACCCTACAAGAGTCCACATGTTGACACTCAAAGTGGCAACAGACATATGAGATTATATAGCCATGGCTCAGCGGCCTGCTTATAATGATCTAGGGCAGATGTAGCATTCTGGATTCTCCTGCTCGGTCAAGGTTATAGTGGGTGTTCAATGTCATGATGATTGACACGTACGTAGGTATCTGGAGAACAGGGGAAATGTGTAACTGATTGACAGTAAAGCATAGCACCAAAGTTATAGAGAGCGTTTGTTTCGTAATAATAGGTTGATTTGGTGCTTTTTAGTATGACCAGCTTGTAACATCAGATCAATGAAATCTTTCAGAGAAGGGCTAAAATAGTTGTTCACGTTTACATTGATGATTGTACAATACCGAGGGCGCGCCCCTGATCATGATTACTTTTATACATCATGTAGATCCAGTTACATATTCGTGTATACGATATTATTTCTCCGATAAAATACTGTATTTATTGGTTGAAATAAAAACCTATTTTCACCGAGGGGAATATCACTTTTGACCCGGACTACTGTATAAAGAAATACTTCCCCAAACTGAAAATGGCTTTATCCCTTTTGTTTCTTGTCTGCTGTTGATTTCATCAAGGAACTTCCCGACATCCCTGATGTTACATCGCGGTTTGAAGAGAAGCCTTGCCGATGATTAAAACTATTTTGTCCACGTTACAACTAACCATTGTCTGACCTATTTGTTTACAGGCATTTTCTTCCAACTCTGCGACCTGTATAGTACCGAATGGTTATAAGCGGCTGATAAGCTGTTTAAAATGTCGGTCCTTGTTTTGAGACAAGATTTCCTTCCCGCTCTCAACCATCGTTATCCTCAATTGTTATAATTTCAAATGGCATTAAATAGTATTCCAAAAATAAATATATTTGTTTTCATTATGGTTGTATAAAATGTCGTTTTGTCTTTTTCGTAGGCCTTGTTGAACTATTCATTCTATCAAATGTGTATTTGAACACCATATCATTAAATATTCCATTGCTTATAATATTCAGGTTGTTTTTGCGTGATTCTGCTTCTCATACTGATTACACGAGCCGACTTGTGTGTTTACGTTCCGATGACGCATTGATCAGACGGCTTGGAATATAACACAGATACAGCGAAATGGGGGATGATCATATGTAATTACATCACACACCCGTGAGAATTCCCAGTAAGAATAGAGGTCCCATCCAACCAATGCTCGTCAGAAGAGGCGACTAAATGAAGTATGTTGTCATCTCGGTGATTTGGTCGACAGTTAAGCTTTGTATCCAATTGCGTGGATCGATGCCCATGATGTTAATCACTGGATTAACAGACGGCCATCATATGGCTTGAATATTGCGAACAGCGGCGTTAAACAGCTCTCTATTATTCTGTTCACAGCTTATTTCCTGATATAACTATAAGTGAAATTAAATGAACGTTTGTTATGTCTGCTGTCAGCTGACAGCATTAACGTTTAAATTACCGAAACAATTGAGAAACAATACATATGAAGAACTAAAACCCTTCTGAATTACAGTGTGAGACAAAATGAAAAATATTTTAAAAATCTGTTTAATTTAATAATGTAATATCCATGGCACCATTCCTATAATGGGAGATGATTTTTTTAAAACTCTGCAGTGTAGCCCTAAGTAAACCGATTGACATCCAACTACCTTTCATTAAGGGATCAACAATGAACACCTTGGAGATGAGAAACTTCAATTTATGCACCAGGTGTATTTACATTTATTAACAGTTATGAGTTATAATAGCAGGGTACACATTCTGAATCGCGGTTTCATTTAAATCCATCGGTCTCCTAAAATGTCTGCGCGGTCAGCTCGTTGTCACGACCATACTGCGCTCTTCGTATCGCTCACGTTCTCTCCAGCCACTCATACTGAACCCCAGACTTGTTGCGGACACGACCAATGCCGTCTGGTGACTCACTATTGGTGCAGGTTTCTTGTGGCCGTAACTGTGATACAGTTTCTCACGATCAGAGCAGTAACCTGAAATGGATAATGTCACTGTAATATTAATAAATGTTGACTGAATTATTCATTTTCACAAGCATTTATTTTATAATTCCATTGATTATGTTATTAGGAGGTATGTTATTCTGCACGTTATATTTTCCAATGCTTACATCAAGTCTATTAGCACATATAAGTTCTTTGCTCATACCGCATAGCCGTCATTGTTCCTGACTTCAATTGGTGTCTTGCCGTCGTTTAATACAAGGATGTGCCTGTTGGGCTTAATATATCGTTATATATTGAGGATGGTTCTTGGTAGTCCAGTCCTATCTTGTGATAGTTATGGCCTAGAGGTGGCAGTGAAACGACCGTGAACACTATAATAGATAGAAAAAATGATTAATGTAAGTGTCCTAACGTTCAGACAATTGCATTGAAGTCCTGTGTAGGAAAAGTATTAAAACGTTACATTAGAGCAAGTTTTGACAGTCGATATCGATATGTTTTAAAGCGTGTTTCAAGTATCCCCACGGCCCAAGGTTCATGTCAACAAGCCATAGATACACTCTTCATGCCGGGACATAGCCATAATGATGTGTCTGGGCACAGTGCACATCTGGCCAGCCCCATCTCATGCTGGGGTCATCACGGAACGCCGCTAGCTACAACTGAAAAACATTACTGGGGTGTAATCATGATAGGAGTGCACATGAAAATCCATGAACTCAATTATAAGTGTATATTTTAACAATTTTTCTGATACTAATGCGCTTGAACAAATCCAAAGGGGAAGGATCCGTCCGTTTACTTGGGGGAGGAGTTATTGGCCATCTCGCTGAGGGTCAGGCCTATACCTACCTGCAGGTTAGGGACAAACTCCCGAATGCCCACATCAAGGGAAAACGTCGGGCAAACTATAAATGTAGAGAGGGCGTGGTTTGATTAACCTGGAGGCTCTTCCTGATAGAATCGTATAGTGCGCTTTTGTACTCATTGCAAACAAGGCATTCCACACTTTTCTTAAAGGTTTTCTGCTCAGGACCAGTCACTCCTCGTTCGAAACCGTCAATGTGTGGTTTTGTATCGAAATGTAAATAAGAAATGTACAATGTCATTATGCTATGAATTTAATAAGACTGTCCAACACATTGTCAGTGGATGCCCAGCTTTGGCACAAACGAAGTACCTTAAGCAACATGATGAAGTGGCACGATCCTTTTACTACCGTATTCGCCATGTTTTTGGTTTTGACAGAGAGGTCCATCCATGGTTCGACCCAGAATATGTAGAGGGCATCATGGAAAATGATCAACATAAAATTCTTTGGAACAGGCCCGTATACAGCCTTAGACGTATACAGCCCAACAAACCTTACCATGTCCTTTTTGATATATCCAATGAAATCATTAATATCTGTATTTTCTGTCCCTTTTGACACTAATGTGATTGACAAGATTCAGGAAAAACATGGCATATATATGCAGACCTCGCTTTCGAAATGTCACGCTTGCATCCCAACTACCAAGTTGTCCGACTCATTGTTCGCGGTGCCTTAGGTTTGGTACCTCCCAATCTGTTGACTGGCGTTGCGAGAGTACCAGGTTTGCTGCTAGGAATACAGCCCTTCTGACAATCTGGGTAATCCAGAAGGCTGCAATGGTGGGAGTCCTCACATTCTCCGACAGATTCTCGGTGGCCAGGATTAGGCAGCGCTTCCTGGGAGAAGTCCCATTCGCTGTCTGGGCTGCTTGTAGAAGGGGCAAGGGCCCTGAGCTGATGATGAGCCTAACCAGCTTGACTGTGTCAGGATCACCCAAATACTCTTTGCTGCATTTATTTTTTAAATCTGTATAATAATAATAATAATAATAATAATAATAGGTCATACATACTCACACGCAAAAAACCGCAAGTCGTGTATGCAGTATACATGTTATTTATTTTCAACAGTAAAGACAAGAAATACTAATAGGGCAAGATTGACAAAAATTTGATGAAGACAGTTTCATGGATTAAAAGGCCTTAAGGGCTTACACAGTTTCGGGTCAATACCCAAAATGTCAGTCAATACCTGGTGTGACCACCATTAGCATTGATCACTGCCACACATCTCCTGTACATTGAGTGGATCAGACGATTTGTGAACGCCCTAGGGATCCTCCTGCACCCATCCAGAGCAGCTGTGCGTAGTTCATCGGCAGTTGTAGGGACTGGGCGCACATTGTGCAGACGCCTTTGAACCTCATCCCGCAAGTGTTCGATGGGGTTCAGATCAGGGCTGAGAGCTGGCCACGGTAGAACACGGATGTTGTGTTGTTGCAGAAAGGCCATGGTAGCTCTGGCAACATTGGGACGAGCGTTGTCCTGCTGGAAAATGTGTTGTTGATGGTGTGCAAAATATGGAACAACGTGGGGTCTGATCACTTGGTCGATATACCGCTGAGCAGTGACGCCGTGTCCCCGACCTTGACCAACATTCACAAAGCACATGGGTCCAAGTCCAATCCCTGCCCATACCATGACGCTAGGTCCACCCCATGGACCCCTTTCCACAACGTTTCTGTCAGCGAAACGATCACCTCGACGCCGCCAAATTCTGACTCCGTCTGCATGGGAGACACAAAAGCGACTTTCATCAGAGAAGATGACACGCCTCCACTCACGATGACGCCAATTGCGATGACCCTGGATAACAGGACGACGTGCTGGTCGGCGACATCTGAGGTTGTTGGAACGGAGACGTAGGATCACAGTGTCCCGGCTCATGTGTCAATTATGTTTTCCTATGGTCTGTTGAGCACTTTCACTTGCAGTTAGGAACGGATGTCGCTGGTGTTGACGGGTAATCTGCCGATCTTGTCGAGGTGTGGTGACCCTAGGACGACCGCTCCGAGGAAGGTCATCTGTGGTCTGTGTAGCATTGTATCGATGCAGGAGACGGTAAATTGTGGTAATGTTAACGTTGAAATGATGGGCAACATCTTGGACAGACTCTCCAGCTTCCAAACGTCCGATAGCCTGGTTTCTCTGGATTTGAGTTAGGCGTGGCATTGTTGACCAAGGAGTGGTAGGTCCAAGATTCGGCCACAGTTTTATACCCACTTCAGTTCGTGACAGTTCGTGCATTTTCGATTTCGCGATAAAGGGGGCATGATACCCACATATTCATTGAAATGGTGCGTTTTGGCTATACGTTTTTTATGTTGCGTTTTTACTCGGGGCTTCCAAAATGCAACCAAAAATATTGATAACACCAACAGGCTTCACTACATGCTAAAATTCGTATCAATTTATGGTTCCGTGTTTGTTACCTATTTGCTTAAAACCACTTGCGTTTCTTTTGCGTGTGAGTGTATATTACGCATATTTCCAATCCACACAGGGGCATGGCCGAAGCCTGCATCTGTCGCCCCAATGTAAAATGTTTTCTCTCGATCATAGAAGGGAAAGCGCATACCATTCACCGTGGCTGGTGTCGTTTTCACCTTGAACATGTATTTAGACATGTTGACAAATAGCATGCATCTCTTCACAGACAAAAGTGTTTAGCCAAGTTCATCGAAGGATAATGATGATCTACTTAAAGAGTATTTGATTGTTTAGTGTACGTTTAAACAGTTTATATTCAGCTTAACCATGATTCCACAGTGCACCGTATTTAGACGAGAGAAGAAGTGGGCTGATCAAAGCATTCCAAAGGTCATAACTATTGGTTGGCCAATGCCCGCTGCAAACACAATATGAAACCAAATGTAGGTGTTATGAATGAAAAACGGGCAGGAAATAGTCATAGATTTATATTTCTTTTCTGTATGAAACAATCACGTCTTCTAAAACATCATCATGCATCCAGAAACATCATTTGATCTACAGTTCCGTACAAATGCTAATACTTCAACCCTCTCGGGCACACACCAATAGTAATGTTCCACTCTGCCCATAAGTCTAACTCACAGTTATTGTGTTTATCCATATTGTCAAACAGTTCACATGCATGTAACAAACTGTGTGCCTACAGAGCTTTCATTGATTCCTAGTTTGACATCACCTCTGGCGAGGACCACCAGTCAGCGCTGTCGCCGCCCCAGTCTGCTTCCACAACAGGTGCAGGTACAGGCGCTCCCCAAACATGAAATACATTGCTGAGAAAGCCTTTGGGGCATCTGAAAATAGCAAAGTATATTTTATATCATTCTTGTACACTATAATGTGACATTTTCAGCAATCATGTTAAACAATGATAGTTCAATATATGACACATCCCACTGACAAGCCAATTGCAGCAGAAATGTATCTGTCATTAGTGCAATAATCAGCAACATAATGGCTCGGTTTCGACTAGGTGTAACAGAAATGATATTGAACAAAGACACCACCAAAAATATATCTATCATTTTTTGCAATAGCTGGTCTCATTATGTGTCCTTCCCATCACCACGCATTAAGCCTTGTCTGTGGTTATTCGTGTCCAGGGCACTTTGGTCAAAAGGTTTGTTCCTTTCGCTTGCAACAATGTAGTTTAAGAGTACTCGTATTCAATTCTGAATGGATTTAACTATGTTGATTAGTTGTGTTATATAAGGAGACATATGTGATAACAGTCCAACAATGTATTGTTTAGAGTGTAGATAATGAATAGCATTGATTAAATCAACTATGGACTCCACTCCAAGAACATTAGGCTACTCAAGGCAGATCACACCACGAACAACTATCCCTGTGTTGATCTGGCGTCTTTGAAAGTGCAGCTAAGCGCTAATTGTAAGGTGATCGTAACTTTAGGATCATTAGACTTTGGACTGTCGTAGCGCTACGATCGCTTTGTGGAATGGGGTTTATTTTGTGCAGAGGTGAAATGCTAATGTGTGGCAATGAAAGTAAGTGATTTTGTGGCAAGAACATTTCCGAAGTAATCAAGGTTCTAAACACTGCACTGTGACAGTCAAAAAGCACGAGACCTTTGGCAGCACCTGACCTTAGACTCGATTGTGAGGAGACGCATATTGTTGTCCTTGAACCAAACGCTCAAAGACACTTTATCAACACATTTAATCATTAAGGAAGCAACAGTTTGGATCATGCGACGTTTGCAGCATGCTGAACGTTTACCTAACATTAACAAGTTGCAGGTGGGCGTACGTCAAACTATTGATGCCCAAACGCTGCAGTCGGCATATTGTTGGCCAGGTACCAACAGGCACATAACGTCGATGATCGACGCCGCTCTGGACGCCCACCACACCAACCGTTAGGAACTATGATATCTGATTGCCTCCTCCTCAACAGATAGGATCATATGATTTCCATTTGTCAATATCATATCTATATCAGAAGATGTGATTCTGATTCCCACTACCCCCTCCTTGTTTGGCATAATATAGTTTTGTCTGAATATTAGGAATGAAGCGCAGAACATTTTCTTATAATACATATACAACTGACTTATCGTTTAGTATAGTCCCGTATATAATCTGTACATGATGGTACATGCTGGATATTGATCTCAATGTTTCTCTGGTAGGAACACACCAACACATCCCCACAAAGGACATCTTGTAGACGATTTGTTCACTCGCTCGATGTGACGCCGCACTCAGCAATATTCCACCTATATGACGTCGGTCTGTTAATAATCGAGTCTGGACCAGACAATCCAGTGGTAACATCATGAGTATCATGCCACGCAACTGGGATACGATGACATGCATCAACCAAGTCAGAGAGCCTGATCATGACCACCTGATCCCGTTAGTCGTCTCTTACGTCAAGCATAGTCGCCATTTCCGAACATGGGTTGCTGAAGATCTATTCTAACCCGGATCTTCACGGGTTAGTGTCTTAGAGACTGTACCTATGCACGTCATGTACAGACAATATTAACCTCCTTTGATTAATTTCTAATTCTACTCGCTCATCAGAATATTCATACTTGAAAAGTATTTATTATCAAGTATTATAGATATCATATATGTTAAAATATGCTACGATAAATAGTCTACGAAGTATTCAAATCGCATAAAGCGCTTTCCATATTTATCAGAAATCTGTACCAAAAGTCGTGTGTAAGATTCCAACTATATCGGTCGTATCTGGTGTTTGCGAAAGGGTTTGCGTTACGTCGTATAACGGCACGGGGCGTTAAGCACGTGGCCACTAACGTGTGAAGAGAGGTTCCAAATAGCTAATGCCACAACGCTTGGTTGTATACCAGCGTGTTATGGTGCCCTGCTCTGATGGTCGTGGGCTGTGGGCATTGAACAGAGATCGGTGTTTTGCATTTGTGACACAGACAGTTATACACGTGCCAATAGTTGATCACATGTCAGAGAAAAAATATATTGCTTCACATTTTAAAGTGAGTGAGTAAGGTTTTACACCACTTTTAAAATATTCCTGCTTTAACAACGGGGGACACCAGCGAACGATGGAATATGTAGGGGTTTGAACATGTTCACGTGTTCTGTATTCAAACGACCTATTTGTTACTAAGTATACCAGTAACTACTTAAGTGAGTGTTTGACATTTCTGTGTGCAATGAGTACTCTTATTGACACGTTCTAAGGGAGCAAGGTTTGCGGCTATTAATCAGCGCTATTAAAATACTATTATATGATGAAAGCATGTGGGTCGGAGGGTATGGACCAGACATTCCAGCAGTCAAAAAAAAGGAAAACCAGCCTGTTGGATGTCGCCCTGTTAGATGAAGCACAGAGAGCAACATCAAACATTTCAACCAACCGTCTCCCCCAGCTTTAGTTCCCACGATACAACGATTTTGCCGAGTTGAACGACTGGTCCCAGTTGATCCCAGAACTACTATAATACGCATATATTTAGGGGATGACAATAATAATGAGCATTGTATATTTCTTCCAATGTGCACCAAATACATCATATCGATAGTGAAGGCTATCAACTGACTGGTGTGGCTATGTTCTTCTAACGTTTGTTTAACTAACAAAGTAGTTGATAAGGCAGCACATCATGCAAATCACAGTAATATTGAACGATAGAGTTGAAAACAGTTTCGTCCTGTTATGCTATTGGTACATATTGTTTGCAACAGCGAAATATAAAGTTGATGACAGTTAGGACAGATATGTGTTCAGCATTTATGCATATGTGTTGACTCGTTAGACATATTCAACTGTGAAAACTTCATCGCCCCAACATGTACTGATAGAAATGAATAAGATAACACGTTAGACACATTAAAACGATCTGCAGTCATGGGTTCCCAGCCCTGTCTACCAAATACGCGTTGGAAACAATGCACACAAACACATCTCAATATTTGAATCTGACATGTGTTGAATTTGTATGCAAGATTTCAAATGAACTGACAGTAAAGCTTATTTCCCTATAGTTTTCATTGTTCCCTTATTCGTGCCCATGAGTATATAATCATCTGGCATTAGCAACCAAGCGATATCTCACACGAAAGTCTAAAATCGGTGGGACAACTTTTACAGATTATATTTATTCCATTTGGCATTAGGAAAAATTGGGGAAATTAGTATGTAATCCGTGGGGTGGTTGATACTTTCTGAGCCCCACAAAGAAAGACTTGACCTAAAGAAATGAAAATGATTAAGGTTTACTTTTCAACATACTTCCCTTCCACAGAAAGAACTTTTGCAAACGACGATGGAAGGATAGTATCCCAGTTTCGTAGCAATCCTGTTCTTGTATTAGCTGTCCACAAAACGTTATCCACAGCTGCTCTTAAGTCTTCGTCCATTAGGAAACAGATAATGTCTGACAGACCTAGATGGATGCTGAATGAGTTCAAGGTCGCCCACTTGACTTGTAGCCATTGCAATAGTTGATTTGTGCACTGGCGCATTGTCCTGTACTCCTGGGACATGCCTACTGAATTCGCTTGTGGGCCATCCCCATTTCGTGGATGCTCGGGGTCATTTCTGGTGTTACTGACGGCACATATATACTGAACCGCAAAAGAAACGTCACTATGGATATATATATATATGAGAAACCTTATTTGTTCAAACACTGTAAACATACTTTGGGACATATTAAAAAGGTGAAACTTGGCAAAAGTGATCATCAAGGTTGAAACGAAAGTGTCAAATGTTGAATGGATGAGGCGGTTGATGAAGGCCATAGGCATTTGAGCCCACACTCTGAGGAACGCAGTTCAGCTGCAGTTGTCGGCCTTGGTCGGATGTCGTTCAGCCGTCTTTGAATTTCGTCCCACAGGTGCTCAATGGGATTTAAATCGGGACTGAGGGCAGGCAACTCGCAGTGTGGGCACGGGCGTTATCATCCTGAAACTCGTGGTTGCGTCGACGTGCCAAATGAGGTATGGCGTGTGGTCTCAAGACTTGCTCAATGTACCAAGCTGCTGTGACACCATTGCCTCTCCCTGGACCCATGTTCTGGAAGGCCACAGGGCCGACCCTTTGTGCAAGACCAATTCCCACCCACACCATGATGCTCGGAACACCCCACGAGTCTCTTTCAACAACACAAGCATCCGAATAACGTTCCCCACGGCGTCGCATAATCTGACGATCCTGACGTCGGGTAGTGACCCTTGGTCTTCCACTACATGGTCGGTCATATGTAGTGTTGGTGGTCCAGCTTGCAATCGTCCAAGGGCTTGGTGTTGCTGATTTCTTGTCAGTCTTGGCGTGTGGTAGCAACTCAATAACGAATGAGTGTTATCCAATCTGGGTGGATTTTTATAGGACAAGAAATGTGAGAACGCATGTACATTTCAATTTGCTCGGAACTCACGTGCATCGGGTTACCATGGCCGTTGTCGTGATGCGTTTGGGCGATCGGTTTTATTGTCATCTGCTTTGGTTTTTTTATCATAATTTTTTTTTTCGGACAAGGTAATGTTAAATTTTAGAAACTTTGACAAAAATTACCCAGATATTTAAATGACAACTTTTCATGCAGTTTTGCTTGGGGTGACGTTTCTTTTGCGGTTCAGTATATAGCAATACATGTACAATAGCGCGTGAAAAATGGAAAATTTTCTGGTGAACTCTGGTGTTAGACAAGGGGGTGTTTTAAGCCGCTTTTTGTTGTTTTATTAATGACCTTGCTTATCAGATTAAGTATAACTGTACTGCATCCTGAAACTGTACAGATGGTATTCATTTACATCCTGAAACATTTCAGATGGTATTCAGCTGCATCCTGAAACTGTACAGATGGCATTCAGCTGCATCCTGAAACAGTTCAGATGGTATTCAGCTGCATCCTGAAACTGTACAGATGATATTCACCTGCATCCTGAAACTGTACAGATGGTATTCAGCTGCATCCTGAAACAGTTCAGATTGTATACAGCTGCATCCTGAAACAGTTTAGATGGTATTCAGCTGCATCCTGAAACAGTTCAGATGGTATTCAGCTGCATCCTGAAACTGTACAGATGATATTCAGCTGCATCCTGAAACAGTTCAGATGGTATTCAGCTGCATCCTGAAACTGTACAGATGGTATTCAGCTGCATCCTGAAATTGTACAGATGATATTCAGCTGCTTCCTGAAACTGTACAGATGGTATTCAGACGCATCCTGAAACAGTTCAGATGGTTTTTAGCTGCTTCCTGAAACAATGAAACTACTCACGTTACTAATTGCAGATATTCTTGTAATGTTTTCAAGTACAGTCAAATGACTAAAATTCAATTAACCAGTTAAGCTGTATTGTGATGAGTGGAATCACGGTGCAAACAGTAGAAACGCAGGTAGTTTTGAAAAGGGGGACCAGACTTTCATATAACGAAATAGGGGTATTTCCAGATCCAGAGGTCGAATCAAATCTTCACAGAAATATTTGGGACTCACGTGAACTGCCGCAAACCCAAGCAAAGAAAGTATCAATTGGTATTTTACAAAGTTTAAAGGGTTTGTTTTTTTCAAAGAGTTCGATACACAAGCTGCGCCAATCATTCTGTTTTCATTTGAAATTTGGGGTTATAGCGACTTTTATTCAGTAGAAACGGTCAACGTATATGCATGTCAAAAATTCTTTGTGCTAAACAATGTGCGATAAAAGTCCTGGTTTACAGCGATTGCAGACGAGTACCTCTTTATATATTTCAGGATAACACTGCTTAAAATACCATGTCACAGATCACCTAAGAAATGTCTACTAAATGAATGTGGACTTGGCTAGATCAGCAAGTATCAAAGAATTCTAATATTTCTATATCGGCTTAACAGCGAAGATATAAGTTCTAAACAATGGTCGACAAATGAGCTAGAATCAAGAAAATGTCCTTTATATTATTTTAAATTCCCACATCAATATCGAACCATATCTCTTTGACATAAATCTGAAACGTTTAGAGTTGCACTGGCCCAGTTTAAATGAAGTTCTCATGGTATATTTATTGAACAGGGAATATAAATGACATCGTATACACAATGTGACTTAACTGTGACGTTTCTCGAACACCTGGCATCATCACTATTTGATAGTGATTCATAAGTGTATGCCTATGATATAGTCAGAATAGTAACATGGACTGTACTTTTAGCGGAGATTTCTTACGATTACGGCAATGATATTTGTCGCTTTTATGTAAATAGAAGACGAGTTTCACTTTTATTAGCCTGTATTCAATATGAGTGCCAAAGAAGAAATACTTTAAATGCAAATGGTATGAAGGCCGAACTCTGCATATATGTACTGTACTGCTTTTCTCAAAAAGTGCCTGTACTATCAATTCTATGTACATATATACTGATGAAAATGAATAATGGAACACTCAGGTTTAGACACAATATAATGATATATTACCATGGGTTCTCAGCCTTGTCGCTGTACACAGTATACTGAACTCTGCGCCTAGCAGTCCTTGTTTTAGCCCCTTAATTTTATATCATTGAGTCTTAAACATTGTATTGTATATTAATGTATGTATATTTTAATATTTAGCTTTTGCTAAAAAAAAATTATTATGTGCCTGTTTACAATGTACCGTCTCTCATAAATCGCTGTGCGATTGGTTGTATACAACTTTAATGTAACTATATTTTTAATTTGTTTTAACAAAAATGTGGTATACAAGTGAGACGTTAATAAAATCTTCTTCTTCTTAATGACGAGTGCCAGGCGGGGCCGTCCCTAGGTTCTTTGATAAGCCGACAGATAATCCGCATGTGCTTCTTTGATGTACCGGCTACAGTCTGTATGAAATAACGCCGGATATTGACATGATACACATTTATACATATATGCATCTATACAAACTTATCAATTTTAATTTATTGATATGTACATCAATATAAATTATTGACATGATAAACATTTATACATATATACATCAATACAAACTCATTCATTTCTTCATTCTGTCTCCGTTTCTTGACTTGAAACTAAATTTGTAGCCGAAATTCACCAACTTTGGAATACAGCGAGGCACTTGTGCGTTTGCCAGATTGCTATGCTATGCAATAGTCTATGACTATCTTGTACTGATACTCAAATTATATAAATCCCCTCATTAAAAATATATTAATTTATAATCAATATAAAATGTGTTCACTCACTGTTTATCATTGACATTAATTTCAGTTTCACCAGGGCCCCTTTCACGAGAATAGACTATAGTCGTCCAACTACCCATGCGCTACCGTTAATCCGGATTACCCCGGATTACCCGCCCAGCTACGTGGGACTAACCCCTGCCAGGCAGTGTCCTATCTACTAACATAGTTTGTCGTGACGCGGTCAAGGGTCGACTCACGGACTTCCGCTCTCTAGACAGACGCTCTATACAATGGACCACGAATGCGGCCGATTTCAAAACAGAAAAAGCAGAATGTAAATTGTGCTCATATTAACGATAATTACATGTAATTAAGTAGTTATCTAAATATAGTTTTCTGACAAATTGTTGAACACCAATGTCCTGCATGAAACATTTTGACATTTTCCCACTGTCTTAAATTGCCGTGCTTTTGAAATATCAAATGTCATTTCAGCAGTATAATATACATATGACCCTCTGAGTTCTCATCCTTCATTCCAAGTTCCAACTGAAACTTGCATGTTCGACATGATGCACGTGGCAACTCTTGTTGGAGCTTTGTTGGCTTTCAGCTGCACGTTTACAGGTCTGTACGACTCCTCTAAGTTTACAGTGAATGTAACAGGGTAGACACGTGACTACAGTACAGGGGTGGATACAGGTGTACATGTATTTAAAAGGTTGGTGTGTGAGGAGGAGAAACACTAATCCCTAACACCCGGGCTGGTACTGTCATGTTGACTTTCACCAAAGTCGGGGCGGTGGGGTAGCCCAGTGGTTAAAGTGTTCGCTCGTCACGCCGAAGTCCCGGGTTTTATACCCCAAATGGGTGCAATATGTGAAGCCCATTTTTGGTGTCCCATGTCGTGATATTGCTGGAATATTGCTAAAAGCGGCGTAAAACCATACTCACTCATTCACTCACTCATTCACATCCATGAGCCGCCTGTTGAGGTTCGGTATCACACTGAGGCGGACATATGTGTGTACGATATGATAGGGTCGAAGTTCCGTTACAGTGATCATTAAAACTGTCCTTTTTTTCCGAAACGAGCTTAATGTAAATTGATATGTATATTCTAGATTCGTTTCAGATGAACAATGAAACTTTGCCTCGCAGGAAATACATACCATGTTACTTCTTGTGTTTATGAAGAAATTCAGTTGCATTTGTGCATCTTCAAATTTGCTGCTATGCAAAACATTAAGTTAAACGTTTAAGTGAATAATTTGAGGCTGTGAAGCACAATCCATTATTGAACGTTGATTGAATTATCATTTGTTAGGTCAACCATATCCTCACATTTTCACATCGTCAATTAAATCTGCGTAAAACATTGTGCCCCTGAGAAGGTATGTCAGTTCTACGTCATTCCAAGTATGTTTATGTATGCCAGACTTTTAAATGTCTGCTATTGTAAGTGTTTGGTTAAACTTGCAAACTATCACCAGCGACTACAGGGATGGTGTAATTTCTGCTGGGGCTACATACATATCGGTGATGTTCTGTAATTCCTGCTGGGGCTACATACATATCGGTGATGTTCTGTAATTCCTGCTGGGGCTACATACATATCGGTGATGTTCTGTAAATCCTGCTGGGGCTACATACATATCGGTGATGTTCTGTAAATCCTGCTGGGGCTACATACATATCGGTGATGTTCTGTAAATCCTGCTGGGGCTACATACATATCGGTGATGTTCTGTAAATCCTGCTGGGGCTACATACATATCGGTGATGTTCTGTAAATCCTGCTGGGGCTACATACATATCGGTGATGTTCTGTAAATCCCCTTGGCCCCACGCATGGTCACCTCTCTCAGGTTGCTGACATCTGTAGCCCGTGTATATATTGTATTGTTATAGAGTCATGTCTTTTTACGCGTACATACTAGTATTAAATACAACTCTGTGATAGTCTTATTGTTTCACTGTCCTTTGTCGACATATTTTATATAATATCTAAATTCATTTATAATAACCGTATCATCGCTATATGACTGCAATATTGCAAATGCGAGTGCAGAGCATACTCCTGAAACTTTATGCTTTATATCTGATGATGTTTGCATCATGGAATTTACGAGAATTGTCATATTGAAAATTGAATAATGATTTTGAATAATTGAAGCCGTCAACATCTGTTGTTGACATTGACGGTGAGTGAGTGTAATATGTGCAGGCGAGTTCAGTCGCCATTGGACAAAGATATAAATATTCTTCTTTCTTGTAATGAATTTTTACATTCGTGATTCAAAAAGAAATGTTTTCTCATATCTATTAAAAGCACCAAGTCTCCAAGAAGGCGTTGATAAGTGCAAACACAATTTGGCACGCTTCGATTCAAAGTGGGGGTCGATTTAATATTGTGCTCACGAAAGGTAGGCAGCGTGATATAACACTAAGGTAATTGGCAACCAAAATTCTAGTACTGTCATCGCCTCCGTGGTGTAGTGGATAGAGCGTCTGCCCGGGGAGCGGGAGGTCGGTGATTCGATCACAGGCCGCGTCATTCCAAACGACGTTAAAAGATGGTACTTGTTGATACCCTGCATGGAGCGCGGCAGTAAGAAGATCAAGCAGGGACTGGTCTGCTCAGAGTGGGTATACCGTGTCAGAGTGGGGTATCTAAGTGGACTGGCGCTATAAAAACCGCATTAGTCCCGATTACTATAAGCACACACACGCGCACGCAAACACCTGCATACACGTCGCTATATAAGTGCAATAATGTTGAACGCGACCTCACCTCACCTCACCTCACTTCACCTCACCTCACCTGGGGGCACGGTGGCCCAGTCGTCAAAGGCGCCGCGATTCGCTGTGCAGAGTTACGTCCCTTAGGCGTGCCAGGAACCTATGATTGTGGGTTCGAATCCAGGTTCGCACCGATTATGTTTCTAGGTTTGTCAGCACCATACCCGTGCTTGTGGGTTTCACCGAAGCGGTAAACGTCTGAGACCTGCATCACTTCGGGCTTTCCTCCCACATTAAGCTGACACGCCGCGATATAACTGGAATACTGTTAAAAGCGGCGTTAAACCCAACTCACTCACTCACCTCACCTCACCTCACTGAAGGTTTACATACTTCTGATTTACTACAGATGCCAGTCTGGAAGAGGAGTTATGGGACAGGTTCCGACTGTGGTTCCACGCCATGGATCACAATTACGACAATATCATTTCCCTAGCGGACATAGCAAACTGTACGGCAAAACACGTGACCGGATCCGAGAACGCAGCTAGAGTCCAAGCGAAGTGTGAGGAGTTTCTTCCCAGATGGCTCAAATTCTTTGTCCTCAGAGGCCAAGACAGCATCACAGAAAACCAGTTCCTCCAGAACTTCATGGCATTGAGAAGTGATGACTTTGATAAATTTGAGAAAGTTGTTTACCAAGGTGCTAAGCTGTACTGGAAAATCATGGACATGAACAACGACAGGGTCATATCAGAGGACGAAGACGCTTGCGTGGGGGACGAGCCGTATGATGCTTTCGTGTTGTCTGTCAATTTCGCCAATTACATATTGTTGGGCGCGACAGTAGAGAATATCGCCGACCCCTTCTGTCCATGGATTTATTAATATACTGGTTAATGAGCTTGATGTTACTTTGAGAATAGTCCTTACTATTGATAATAGAAATGTCTCTTATGTAAAGTCTTAATAAATTAACGATGCTTATGAAATAACGTTGTTGATGTTTGTTTTTAATTTTAATTAATCGATACATTTTCAAATAGAACCAACTGTGAATGAGTCAATGCTATAAATATGAATTGATAACATTGAGCAACAGGGGACAAACACAGTCATCCACTCAGGTGAATGTTGGAATCTCAGGTCTAGGATAGATGTCAGGGTCGTCTATTTCGCTGCGTAACTTTACGTTCTCGGTGTGTATTACGTACTTCATCTTTTCCAATAATAATGATTTATGATAAACATGAAGGATGAAGATCCATGGCAAATTACCACAATGAGAACCGGCTCACTGGGGCCTACACTTAAGCATAGCACAGTTATGACCCTGTGTCTAGGTTTTGGAGACTATCTAAGGGCTAAGATTATTGTAAAGCTGTCCAAAGTAAATTATAGTCTGTGTTCTATCGTATACCTAAGATATCGTAATACAAGCGACAAAAACTTTTCCATGTTCAATAGAACACACTGCTTAAAGCAGAGTCGAATGTACGATTCCGACTATATCATGAGCATGGGCATAAAGAAAGAGACCCGCAAGAAGGGTAGCACAATTGCTGCCTAAATTCTTGCCTAAATGTCTTGCCCCATAATTTTACATTAATGCTATCAATGAGGAAGTCCAGCATTTTAAATATTGTTTTCTCAGTAAACTTAAGATGACATTTGCTTTCATTTTTGACAAATTCTCCTGAATCTCTGAATATAGCTACGTGACTGTATCTGTGGTCACCACGTTATGTAACATAAGCCCCACTGATCAAGGCATGAAGTTTTTCCTTAAGTTTGTCATGTGGGATAGTTGTGTACAAAGTTGAAAAATAAAATCTTTTGACAGAATGGAACTTGGTTCCTTTCTAAAAAACTAAATCAAGAAAATCATTTTGGTTTTTGAGAATCCAGATCATATTAATTCCACTTGTCTCAAATATTTTATGTGAAAAAAAAGAATGTCCTTCCTTGATTGTATTAAGGATTATGGTTAGTCTTTAAGCCTGGGATTTCATGATACATTTCTCTCTTCCATATATCTCTCTTTGTGCGGATTTTATGGAGCTTTGGAATCCAGTACAAAAGAGGAATGGACATGTCTCCAGGTATTAGAGTCAAATCAACAGTACTCTTGCATTAATTTGGCAGATTTGGCCATTTTTGGCAAATGCTTCGACAGGATCCATAAAGTTTTTAAACTTGTGATCCTAATTGGTAGGAGGTTGATCACAAGTCGTTTAAAAAACGGAAGGCAAGCAGGAATTGATGTACAGTAGAACATGGATATAAAGAACTACAAGGGACCAGAGAAATCAGTTCGTTATATACGTTGTCGTTATGTACGTTTTCGCTCGGAAACGTCCGCCATCTTGGATAAAACAAAACACAATGCACATAATTGCCGAATTGACTTGTATTAGCAGTGATCACTTCATAGCATTCAACTGATAACATATCATAACATTCATTTAATAACAATAAATGCATAACAGTGTTCATGCATGGTGTATACACCATTAGATTGTAAAAACAATATGCTATTTATCTAATAAAAGTAGTGGACCTAGTGGACCATTTAAAAATGTGTGTCAGCAAATTGAACTCAGTCCCCAGTGGTTTAATCTTCGAAACCTCATGACATGTATGGCATCTCATTATCTTACTAAATATTACATGTGATGCACACGCTTATTACTGATATATGCTTTTGTCAATGACACAACATATTTTCTAAAATGGTTATGTAGAGAGTGCTTAGTTAAGTGGGTGCGACTGCGCATTTTTAATTCACATTATTCAACTCATTTTTCAAGAGGGCAGCTTAATCGGTGTGAAACCGGTCTTCCGTGGATAACATTGACGTACATCGGTGATATCAATTACAATTGATCTAAAGGCGTCATTTATCAAACAAACAGCGACACGTTCGATAATCAACCAAATCATTCAGAGCTTAGTTATAATTTCAATTAGCACAAGGGTTCGGTGGGAAGTCTAGTGGTTAAAGTGTTCGCTCGTCACGCCGTAGGCCAGGGTTCGTTTCCTCACATGGGTACAATGTGTGAAGCCATTTCTGTGGTCCCCTGCCGTGTCAAATCTGCTGACCGACGCATCACATCAGGGTTGGTGATTTTAAAACACTTCACTATAAAACGAGATAACGAAGCACGTTAAAATACCACCTGTAACATTTCTGACTTTCAAGATATAGTCTCCGATACTCTTTACTGTAAACATTATAGTACAACTTCAAAGGCCGTCAAACACGTGAACACTCAGTCTGGCATGGTGTTGACTAAGCAAAGATCATTATTATGGAAAATCTTGGATTCGAACCCACAATCCTGGCAGATAGCGGCGCCTTAAACAACTGAGGCGCACGTGCCCGCTAATACGTATTTAATACTTAATATTGATATTGCACACAGGACAATTCACCACTCGGACACTTCCCCGCACTGACATTTCCCTCTCAATGACCCACATTTACTATAAATGCCATATCAAACTGGGTAGTATGAAGCATTGTATATGTATCATTTTTTAATTTAAAAAATAGTCCTTTTGTACCTGAGACGTATATAACCACTATATTCCATGAAATGTTTAATTGTTAGATTCGTGTGTTTTTGTTGTTTTGTTTTGTTTTGTTTTTGGTTTTTGTTGTTGTTTTGTTTTTTTGTTTTTTTTGGGGGGGGGAGGGGGTGACAGTGTTTTGGGCAGCATTTTATCAAAAGATACACCTTGGTAAGTAAACTTGTCTTAAATAAGAGAATGTGAGAGTAAGCCAAACTATGACAAGCATTCCTTCAATGATCCTTGATTCAGAGCAGAACGTTGTGGGATAGAAGGCGAGGGAGGCATCTGATACTATGCCGCTGGAACTGGGCATGGAAGCTCCTATTCGCGAAAGGACTTTCACATCGTAAGTATGGAGGACATGGTGACAATATTGAAAATGTCGTTTTGCCTCATTACCCAAGCATGTCTGAATTGCATGTGAAAGGCGATATGTTGTAAGCAAACGACGTGTGTAAGGGTATATGGTATTTTTCTTTCTGTACTTAAGTTTTGACTATACTATGAACATAGAATATTTTATACCCAGAGAGAGGTAATAAAACTGCATATTCCACCTCTTTTTTGAAGTCACCAGGTTTATGAATCTCACATTTTGTTCCCAAATCCAAACAATAATGACATTATCCGAATTGAAACATGGTCGCGCTGGCAGCCATATCTAAATATTTTGACTCACGCTTCTGCCATTTCTCCATGTTTCATGGTAGTGAGTACCTATCTTTTACGAATATTTCATGTATCGTCCAACCTTTACATTTAACCCATCCTTGTTAACGTTGATGCATTTTCGTCAAAATACTCAGACCATCATTCGTGATTCCTGGTTCCATGCGTTATCTGCTATGAACAGTGAGTGTGTCTGCTGTAAGAGTTCTTCCAGTCATGCCTGGGCTCAGTTACACGGTTATCCATTGATGGTGAAGGTACGGAGGCATGGACGGGAACTTCAGTCAAGTCCTGAAATCAGGTATCAGACATTCAATTTTACAAGTAGTACAAGTAGTACAAAGTTATACCTACTCCCGCAGGAGGTGAGGGGCGGGTGTGGTGAGGTGGTTGGGATTGTGGGTGATGCACATACAGTCATCAATATCAAGGGTATGCTTGACGTCAATGGTAAGGTTACTCAAAGGTGAACTGATCGGATTGGGAGTTATCTTGCGTACTTGCGTGGCTGAACCTGCGGGTCGAGAGATATTTTAACAGCTGATGGTTCCAGATAAACCGGGTTACTCACTACTTTGTGTTTAGCCTTTGAAGCAAATGTCATCCATGATGATACACAGATATTACACGAGCATGAATGTGAGCTTCTGAACCTGAAGCTTTATTTCTTGGGCCCTTAGGTTAACACATCCTCTGACCGGTTGAGAGAGTTATCTTTAACAGTATTTCAGCGATATAATTGCTGTCAGGGAGGAAAGTTATGTAGGTCTAAGATCTTTATCATCGGGTTAAAGCCTAGAGAACCGGCGTGGCACTAACAAAACAACACTCATAAATTGGGCCAATATGGGATTAGAAGTCACCCCACGACCAGAGTATTCTGCCACCTCCGAGGGATTTAACTCCGAGCATCCTATTGCGACCCTATGAGATTATACGTCTAGACCAACTGTACTCTCTTATCCCCCAAACAACTGGAACTAAAAGTTGCTTTGTATGTTCCAACCAATGATGACACATATATATTATATACTGGTTTCGGGCATCTTTAAGGAAAGAGCGAAACTATACAGTTAGAACTTCATAATATTACTGATATTATAGAATTGCTATTCATGCCAGTCTACTTGCTTCTAAACCGCAAGTTCCGAAGGGAAAACCTCTACACGTTATTACTAGGAAGAACTGGAAGCGGGAAGAGTGCCACTGGCAATAACATACTGGGACAAGAGACGTTTGAATATTGTGGGGGAGCCAAATCAGTTACACACAAATGCAAACTGGCATATCAAAGAGTCGATGACCGTGACCTCTATGTCGTTGACACACCAGGAACTATGGACACGTGCAACCCAGAAGAGGTGTTACGGGATGTAACGTATGTTTGAGTTTGCTTTAAATACCACGCTCTGTGACATTGAGCGGTATTCAGGTAGATGTAGATATAATAATATTCTATAGATGTATAATAAACCTTACGACCTGTATAATAAACTTTAAGGTTTATGTTGGGTCTAGGCTGATTATAATACCTACAATTTGTTGTCGGGGAATTAGCGTGGACCGCACACCTTAAAACAACCAAGAGAAGCATCTATTAGTGACCAGTCTTTATTCGGTGTATCTCATCAGTCTTTTACATATCACAATAACACATAAGCAAAGTACAGCCTAAGACAATTAAAATATTCCGAAAATTATGAATTCACGGTTACTGTATAAATCTTACTGACAATGTATCATACAATAAACAGTTGCATTTTAAACAATGAAACGAATACACTTTACATTTGGTTGAAAATAAAACACACGTGATATACCGCAATTGAGGACAATGTATTGAAAATAATTAAGATAACTCTTAGGTAAGACACGTACTACATGTGTTACCAATAAATTAAATAATCTTACATGATCTTTGATATTTATGAAGAACGTAATGAAAAGCTTTACCTTAATACAACCAAGCAAGGCACAACTTAAACCGAATAATAAAACTACATAAATATTAATATACAATTTCAATCTGCTTGTTCAATAATATGACTACATCTTTTATATTTAAACTACGGTTTATAACCAAAAATCATATGCCGAACGGCATGTCATTGAATGTGTACACTGTATACATAAATAGAACACAACAATGCTGAGAATATATAGCAATACATGAGCAGCTGAATAAAACAACAAGTGTTATGTGAGCACACGGGTTTTACGTGCACAGTATAGTTACCTAGCTTAATAAGTACATAGTGTAAACATTAATTACATCAAGGGGAGTGTGAATCAATTAAATTGAACACACACACTCATTATTTAAAGATTCATTTATTTACATAACTTTAATTGCAAACATTCCATAAAATATAAGATTGACAACAGGTGCTCAAGAATGATTTTGCTTCCACGAGCCCGATTATGTATGGGCTCCATTGCCAAGTACTAGTCGGACCAAACACTTGTGACAGATAGTTCAGAGTTTAGGGGAAAATGGCTTCCCTTTGAGCAACGTGTTTGTTTTAAATACAACGATCTGTGACATTATATAGTTGTATTAAGGTAGATATCTTCATTATAGTAAAACACATGCCATGACACATTTGTCAGGTGCAAGTAGATTTTGACAGCCCGGGCCACGTCGGACGTAACACTATTTTGAGAGTACAAGTATGGAGGAAATGTGATGGCTTCACTTTGGTGAACGAATTCGTTTTACATACGATTTACTGTGTCTTTTGAAGTAGCAATGGGTTATGTTAAAATGTAATGCCATAATTGGAATATTTATAAATGTAGAAACTACGTATGAATTCATGTTCCATTGTAATATGTATGAATGCACTTTATCTGTATATGGGCCAGTGGCTTTCATACGAATAAAAGACTTGACTTAAACTCAGCAGTAGTCTCAAGTATAGACTATCTTGTAGACAAGGAAGTCATTATATAGGCTTTACGACCTTACACCAAGCTGTCATGTGGGTTGTATTCTATCTTTACCAACCAACAACAGTAAACATAAGCCCGAATCACTCTGACATAAGGTGGGTATATTCATGTGTTTACATGTTAAATGTTTCATTCGGTAAAGATCATATATCTATCTATTGTATACCTAACTAAAATGACTACTTCAGATATTTCATTAAATGTTACATGTAAACATAACAATATTAACACAGCTATATGTTTTTCGTTAAACAGGTTATTTGGCCATATTTGATACGAAGAAACATCATGGTAAGTATAAGCATGTCTTAAGTGTGTGAAGCCCAAGCTTTCATGTTTTAGTGACTTAATTTCATATCTTGATAAATATATCGCCTGTATTGAAAAACACGCTTCTGCATTCTAGCATGTCACCAAACAACCGACATAAATAGTACAAGTATTTGGCTAGACGCCAAGACATGAGAGACATATGCTTTTGAAATTGCATTGCACGTATCGAGGTCGAATGCTATGGGATAGAAGGTGTTTGTATGGTGGCCGAGAGGTGAACGAGATTTTTCAGTCACATTTCAAATTATACCTATGGAGAGAACGTTACATTTGTCTCACTATTTACTTAAATATAAACAAACTGTACAGACGTGACAATCCACTGATTTCTGCGTAAAAAGTAACTGATTTATGTATGGTCCTATTTAGGAGTGTTATGGGACTATCACGCCGTCAGCGCGTGGCGTGACAATAATCTAAATACTAATGCAACACATTCATTTCTTGGAAATCGAACATGACATCTCCCATTGTAGGTTGTGGAAATAGCGAAATAAAGACAGCCACTGGGGTCCCCCACCACCCGTGGTATAGACATACATGTTACCCGCTTCGTGGGAAAGTAAAGGTCATATCAGTCATGACTGGATATATGTACCTGGTTAATATACATGTCTTTATGCATGGTCATGGTATGGTGGTGGTGAAGGGACGGCCGCTACAGTCATGGGAACTCCTGTCAAGTTCAGATATCCGGATTTATATCTCATTCAAATTAACACGAATATTTCATAACAGAGGCAGGTTTCCAGATAAACAGGGTTTCACGCTATTTTGTGTTCGTCCTTCCAGGTAACTATGATACAAATATTTTATAAGTTGCATGACCCCGTGGTGATTCTAGGTTAGAACAGACCTCAAACAACACATGCTGGCGTAAGATGCTACTAAATGAACCGGGTGGTCAGGCACGGTGACGTGGCTGATTGTGAGCTCCGTACGGCCTATTTTGGATTGTCTTGTCCAGACTCGATTATTCACAAGCCGCCATCCTATACATGTAATGTCGCTGAGCGCGCTGAGTGCGTCGTGAAGCAGCAAACAAGCATTAAGTTTAACATCTCCCCTTAGTGAATGAGTGAAGAGTATTTCAGTGATATTGCATGTAAGTTTAAGCCTTAGGTAGTTTCAGAACATAACATGTATAACCCTGATATTTTGGTTTTTACCCTGCGTACAATAAATATGGATTCAATAAGTAAGTAAGTCAAAGGTTGCTTCAGCGATATGTTCATCTACATGTACATTGAAGGTTGTTTTCATTTCTAACATTAGTTAACAGGCATGATCGGTTGTCTAACCGCCAATACACCACCAGCTTGATGAGGCCACGTTCCAATACAACGGATAATGGGACATACTTCTGTCTCTTTACGGCTCTTAATTTATATATGGAATGCACGTGATCAAACTTAATAATTCTCATAAACGTGTTTCAAACGTGCAGTATAGACTGGTTTCTAAAATATTTCAGACGAGCGTGAAATCATGCTAAGAAATGGTAAACCTTCCAACAAAAACATTTATGTGTAAATTAAAATTATAGTTCTTCCGTTTGCTATTCAGGCCAACCTGCCTTCTTTATCAAAACCGGGAGTTCCGAAGGGAAAACCTCTACACATGTTATTACTAGGAAGAACTGGAAGAGGGAAGAGTGCCACTGGCAATACGATACTGGGACAAGAGTCGTTTGAATATTGTGGGGGAGCCAAATCAGTTACACACAAATGCAAACTGGCATATCAAAGAGTCGATGACCGAGACCTCTATGTCGTTGACACACCAGGAACGATGGACACGTGCAACCCAGAAAAAGCGTTACGGGAGCTCGGTAACGCAGTCGTGTGTCTACCGGAAGGGTATGATGCATTTGTTATTGTGCTGAAACAGGGAGATCGGATGACAGAGGAGGAGAAAGATGCCCTGCAAAAATTGGAAATTATTTTCGGACCAAAGATGATGCAGTATGCTCTAGTCGTTTTCACTCACGGGGACAATTTTTATGCTGAAATAACGAAGAAAAAACAAAACATCACTTTCGATCAGTTCATTGAAACGACGGGAGATGAATATTTGAAAGGATTTCTATCACGTTGTGGAGGAAAGTACATACTCGTCAATAACATGTGTAGCACCGATACTGAAACGAAAAAGGAAACGGTGCGAATAATCAAACATATCGACAAAATGATCCTCAAAAACGGGTCCATACGGTATACAAATGCCTTCTTTGATATGGCAAAGAATTTGACTGGAAGTGAAAGTTCGAGAGTGGACGAAGTAGTAAAGGAAATAAAGAAAACGGGTGAATGTTTTCCAGGCAGATCCATTGTGATAACTGCTGACGCTGGAAGAATATGCATCAAGGACCTAACCGTGGGTCAAAATGTGCTTACTTTCGGGCTTAAAGGACAGCGAATCTGGACCGAGGTTTATCTCTTTGGCCATAAGTTAGAATGCTACTGCTCGACGTTTGTCTGCCTGAAGACCAAGTCTCATGTACTGAAGCTATCTCCGAAGCACCACGTATATGTTGTGACATCAGGCGGCCTGCAGACCATGTATGCCCAGGATGTGAGGGTGAACCATTGGCTGCCTGTTCTGGACAAAGGTGGTCAGTACCAGACCAATGAACAGGTGACCGATATCTGGCTGTCCGAGGAGGAAGGTATCTACGCCCCCTTCACTATGACTGGCACCATAGTCGTTGACGGTGTCCTTACGTCATGCTACGTCGGTGTCCCCCATGATGCCGCCCACTCACTGCTGTGGCCCGTGCGACAGTTGTACAAGACGTCGCCGACAGCACTCGCCGTCATCAGCAAGACTCGTGAGGACGGTATGCCGTGGTGGATCAAATGGTGTCTGGATCACAGAATAATGGACTTGACAAGTTAGCTGTGAGCTGTGTCATTGGATGTATGCTGTAGATGTCAGTGTACAATTACTTTGTTAGAGTATATGTATTGTTAGAAGAGTTGTTCCAAATGTTATAGAAATAGAAATGATACATACTGTTTATGTCAATAGATGGCGTGTTAAATTTACATTTGCATTGTAATAGTGAGTGAGGTAAAATTTAGCATCACACTGCGCGTGATGTGGATTCAATGATGTTGAAGTACATATCACCATTAGCCCCCTGGATGCCACAGGGACATATATGCCCTCCTCTACAACCCTCACTTTGAAGTCGAATAAAATTCAAAATACATCATCCACACAAATACACTTCACAGTTTTAAATAAGATGGGAAATTCTCTGTTCTGTGCTACCATACACTGGCATTTTAGGCCAAGCAAAAGTACTGAAAATGACCCCTGAAAATTAGGTACATCGTAAATGTCGCCATTTTTTACACATTACTAAATCACCACTCACGGCGTTATTTACAGCATATGTTTTGAAATCTAAATTTAGGATATTTACTCGGAGAAATTAATTTCAAAAATAGCATATTAGTGATCACGGGTATCTGTCTTTCATGAAATCACCCATGATCATTCCAAAACGTCTCCGATAACCCTAGAATCGTTTAGAATGTTTTGGAAAATACGCAAACACGAACGCCGAAGTGAACTTTCCGCCATATTGGATAGTGTTTACAAAATCACGTTTCAGGTACACCGGTTATGAGACGCGTGTAACATCACGTATATTTCAAACTTAGCTGCGATACATACATCATTAAATTCCACATACATTTTAGAATCAAATGACTAATGGTCTTTGTCACCAATACAATGTGGCTGGGTGAAATCAAGCAAAATAAGTGAGGTGTGAAAACGAACGCTGTGCTCGAAAAACTGCACCTGCTTGAAATGTAAACAAAGCAAAATTCAAATTGTACACATTGTAGCAGTTTCTCCTATTTTGAACTATCCATTCGTCTATTCGTTCAAGATATTGGCTCAACATTTTCAGAATATGCATGGGAAGAGAATCGTAGGAAGAAATTAATGAATTTGAAATAGATACATTGCAATGATTTGATATTTTCAACAGAAATTGCCAAAGTTACCGTTCTCCGTGACGCCATAACTAACGCAAAATCACGCACATCGACAACGGCATTTATCGGAATTTCTGACTATTTCCGTTGGTTTCAATTAAATATATAACAACAAATAACAGTACATAGATTGTCAGAATGTTTCTGATTACTTACATATCACATTTATGTATATGCGATCCCTGAATCAACGAAAGTCCCCTCGTAAAATCCGGCGTACTGTTGACAGTGAACACGACATTTTGTAAAAGTGGGTTACAGGTAGTGATGTCATACATCAACCTTGTTGTACATATTTGGTAATTTCTTTGAGGTGAAGGTCCATGAACATGTTGAATGAGAGTGCACGCGATCATTTTATCATGCTGTTTACAGTTTCTGTTATGATGTAGATTTTGCATATTTTTAATACATTTTTGACACAATTAATTTCACTTTGGATATTTGTCAATATTCAAAATGATATCATACATACATATAGGCCACAAGATGTATGAACGAACCTGTGATAATCTCCTGTTTGTTTGAACATTGTTTACATAACAATTGATAGGTTTTTGTGCCGAATTCGATATTTCTTTCCTTTGGACAAGTGTTACAAGATGAAGTGTAAATGTAACTGCAGCATGTACATATTTCTTTGGATGTGTAATAGTCAATATTATAAGTTCATATAACCAATGTCCATGAATAGCCGTTTCATTTTATTTTATAACTAAAACTGAATATATTAATCACTTCGACAAAATGGATAATATTTTTCGGTAAAATATATGCACACATTTCTGAAAGAATTGTCTTGGTCTTGGAATTGTTTTTTATGTCGTTTGATACACAGAACAGTGATATCTAACGATTCGCCAGGTGCGCGTTAGTCACAAACAATTTCCGAATTATCCGTTTTGCATTATATAATCAATGGGTTCATTCTTTTTTCAATATTGTGATCACAGGATATTAAACTGTTTACTTTATTTCTCCAGGAATTGTAAAATGTATAAAAATAAAACCCATGCAAGGTACCCCGTTGGTTCAACCTTATACGATTATCCTGATAATTCTATACCAATAGAGCTTTCTTCGCATCTTTTATTGTGTAAATCTGAGACGAGATGAAGAGAAATAATAGCATAATAATGAACAAACATGTCCAATATTGAATATAATTTTGGTTGTTTTGAAATATTCTTTTGGGTATTTCATTACGTAAATTGATGCCCAATTAAGATACACGATAAACTATCTAATTGTTAACATATTCAAGACATTATTTACTTGGTGAAAGCAGTCATTTTATGTTGTGTCGAAAAATCGTCAAATTCCGTTTTACACATGGCGATTTTCGATACCATGAACGAAAATTAGGGGAGATATATATTGATCAAAATACCAGTGTCGTCTTTCCCCGACGTTATCAAAGACAAAAACAGCCATATGACGTCAAAAGGAATGGTACTATTTTGGGGGTATTTCATTACATTTGATGATAAAGCTAGTACTCCATTAGTAATGATGCAACATTAGTCAAATTACACTTACACAATCAGGATAAGGTTGGAATCTAAGGACTAAGTTATATCTTAGATAGGGCCATCCTTTTATCTATTACCTCTTTTTTTATGAAGTACGATTTCCTCATTTCTTATGGGTTTTGTTTATAACTAAACTGGCGCTCGGCATTAAGGGGCTAAAACAAGAACTGGTCGGCTCGGAGTCAGTATATACTGTGTCTGAGTGGGGTATTCATGTTAAACTGCGGCATGGTATCTCAGTGAGCTAGCACTATAAATCGGCATCAGTCCGGACTAGTACAAGCAGCCACACAAACACACACACGTACATGCACGTCGCTATATAAGTGCAATAATCTTGGACGCGACGTTTTAAAAACCCAATGTCACCTCACCTCACCTCACCTCACCTCACCTCACCTCGTATCGTGTATGGCTTATGCTCAGCGGCACACAACAATGGAGGGTGCTTGACGATAGCGCCATTATTTTATTTGTTTGTTTGTTGTTTAACCTTGCACTCGGCAATATTCAGCTATATGACGGGAGTCTGTTAATAAACGAGTCTGGACCAGACAATCCAGTGATTGACATCATGAGCATCGATCCACGCTAGTGGTATACGATGACATGCATCAACCAAGTCAGCGAGCCTGACCACCCGATCCCGTTAGTCGCTTCTAACGACAGGCATAGTCGCCTGTTATGGCAAGATCTTCACGGGTCGCCATTATTTTTACAGTACTTCCGAGTGTCTATGCAGAGTCCGCGTCGGTTTGGATTCATGCATAAATATTGCATAAATGTGCATGTTCCGTATTGGGTAGTATAGCTTTATGAGGCCTTGTTTTACTATTTATGCCTGATGTTATTATATCAATAATTCATTTATTGACATCAAAAAATGAATTATTGTTATCAAAAATTCGATTTAATGATATCATAAAGTTATTATTGATATCATGAAATAGTTATTTATGTCTCAAATTCGAATTTTAGATAGCATACATTGAATTTGTATCTAAAAATGAGTTATGATGTCAATAAATCGAATTCGTGATATCTATATGTCTTACGCAATTGTTTTAAATATTTGATCAAATTCAGTTTTTAGATATCAGCAACTCATTTTTCGCCATCAAATTATCGAGTCTGTGATGTCAATTATTCAATTTGTGTCACAGGAACTCGTTATTGGTCAGTAAATAAAAATATATACCCCCTATATGTAAGTAGAAACTTACATATAGGGGTATATATTTTTATTTACTGACCTCTACTTACATATAGGGGGTAAATATTTTTATTTGCTGACCAATAACTAGTTGTACTTACATATAGGGGGTATATGTTTTTATTTACTGACCAATAACGAGTTGTACTTACATATAGGAGTATATATTTTTATTTACCCACCAATAAAGAGTTGTACTTACATATAGGGGTATATATTTTTATTTACCCACCAATAACGAGTTGAACTTACATATAGGGGTATATATTTTTATTTACTGACCTCTATTTACATATAGGGGTATATATTTTTATTTACTGACCTCTGCTTACATATAGGGGTATATATTTTTATTTACTGACCTCTACTTACATATAGGGGTATATATTTTTATTTACTGACCTCTACTTACATATAGGGGGTATATATTTTTATTTACTGACCTCTACTTACATATAGGGGGTATACATTTTTATTTACTGACCAATAACTAGTTGTACTTACATATAGGGGGTATATATTTTTATTTACTGACCTCTACTTACATATAGGGGGTATACATTTTTATTTACTGACCAATAACGAGTTGTACTTACATATAGGGGGTATATATTTTTATTTACTGACCTCTACTTACATATAGGGGGTATACATTTTTATTTACTGACCAATAACTAGTTGTACTTACATATAGGGGGTATATATTTTTATTTACTGACCAATAACGAGTTGTACTTACATATAGGGGTATAAATTTTTATTTACTGACCTCTACTTACATATAGGGGGTATATATTTTTATTTACTGACCAATAACGATTTGAATTACATATAGGGGTATATATTTTTATTTACTGACCAATAACGAGTTGTACTTACATATAGGGGTATATATTTTTATTTACTGACCAATAACGAGTTGTACTTACATATAGGGTATATATTTTTATTTACTGAACAATAACGAGTTCCTGTGATTTGTGTACACATAATAGTTTTGATTACTAATGTAGTGACTGCGTGCATGTATATTTACGTATAGCTTCAGTATGGCGAGGACACATAACCCGAAAACAACGCGCATATCCCGACAAGTGCCTGTGTTGGTTCAGTATTGCTGTGTGTTTATCACTAATAGAGAGTCACGAAAAGAAAAGTTTCAGATGTGAGGGTCACGTGATGAAATCACGTGATTTACATGTGATTTATACACTAGTTCAAAATGACGACCAGTTTGTTTGGCCGTGCGAAGAAGTGCTATTGCTATCTTATCTGTGATTGACACCCCACGTACGCACAAAACACCACGTCGGAGATGGCGGCGAGAGAGGTGAAACTCGGGACAAGGACAGTACAGTTTCCATCAACGTATCTGCAAGAGTTGCAAGATTGCAATGATAAACTTGATGATGTGGACGCTCTGCACAAGGAACTCGATGATAAAGGGTATGTTAGAGGTGAAATAGGGTTTAACATCTCGATCAAGATTATTACACTTATGTAGCGACGTGCATGCACGTGTGTGGATGCTTTTTTCTAGTCCGGACTAATACCGAGACACCATGCCGCAGTTTAAAGGGGCACTGATCTAACGGACTGGTTGTTGCCTTTGTTATTGTTTTTCCCCCGTGAGTACCCGGATGATACGCAACGCAACTGAGCGTGACCAGAGACTGGGGTACCGTCTGCAAGGACAGCTAAATAAACTTGGAGGCTGGAGGCAATATTTGTTTTACGCATTTTTGAACACTGATTGGTTAACTGTGATCTATAAAGATTTCGACAAAGGGCGCATGTTAATTCATTTCTTCAGTCTAAACAAACAGACAAAAAGAACAAGGGAGCTCATGGGATGTCGTCATTTGGAAATACCCCAGATGGTTATAGTCTAATACTAAAAACAGTATCCATGCAGTGAAAGCATTTTCGGATTTCGGCTTGCGTCGATAATACGATTACTACTCCCTTGTTGTCATCCACGTTTTCTCGTATAACCCTACACTTGTGTATTTGTCGTCATTCACTTGATGCTCAGTTAATGAATTTATTACAGGTACAATTAGTGGTAGCACCACTTATATTACCTGACAAAGGTTCCCATTTGGCATTTATTGTGTCTGGGGTAATTATTCAATCTAAATCCAGGTTTGAAGTGAGGTGAAATGTGTGTTATGTAATATGCACGTGGCAGTCCAGCAAGAGATGAATGATCAGTTGATTTACTTTTTTTTGTAAATCAACGGATCGTTCCTAGTCATCAAAGGATTAACAGAAAATACGTTGATTGATTAATCACTGTTATCTTGCACAGTGGATATGTCAAGAGTGAGTGTTTACATGTCTAGTTTTACTAAAACAAAGGGAATACACTCATATCATGGCGCGAAGTGCCGATGTAAAAACAACATACTTTGTTCAAAGGGTTAACTGATAATACGTTGATTGATTGATCATTGTTATCTATCACTCAATGGAATTTTTAGGAACCGTGGACGCTATGAAAATAGTTGTCACGTGGGCTTTCTCAGCCGACCATTGAGACTTGACACCTATGTAAAACACCTGAAACAATCCAAGCGATCAGTTGAGAAACAAACACGGGTTATAATATCCCGAAACGATATATATCTTTTAAAATATTTGATTGTTACTGAGACACGTGACATCGAATAAGTTTCTCTGTACAGCTGCAGACGAGTGGGATATTGTTCCTTTGTGTGGATATTCACGGATACATTCCTCGAACAAGGAAGCTGCCTAAAACTTATACACATAAATTTGGTAGGTTGTAATTATGATATCTGCATTTTGTTTTCCAGACCTTCATTTGAACCGATTCGTTCTTGTTTCTCTACGTCTTGGTTGGGAAATTCTTCAATGCGCGATAGTCGTTGTTGTCACAGGTCTTTTCCTTTGTAAGCGTGTATATATTACCGTCAATTTGTAAAATGTGATTCTCTCAGGCAATTTATAAAATGTGTAAATATTTCAGTCATTTATGTCCAGATTGATCAAGACGATCAAAAGGGCCTACACACATCACAACAGATTATTATGTAGGATTAAAAGCCAAACAACTTAGAAATGTACTTTTCAACGTTACATTTTCAGTCTCTTGGTGATGACATTAAACATCAAAATGTTTGGAATTCGTTGTCATAATAATACAGATGGAAATGTTTTTCAGTCACTTTATAAAATAACTGAATATTTAGACGTTTAATAAATGTGTTACACATTTGACAGTAAAAAAATATACACACTATAAAAAAGCATATGCTCAGGTGAAATATATACTTTGTGTTGCAAGTCAAAATAGTGTAAACGAAAATCGCAAAATTACCAAGCAAGTGACTTATCAAAACTTCGTCACCATTACCGATGTTACTCACAAAGATACCTACATTTCTTTATTATCTCGAAAACTGTATTTCATTTTGTTGATCAATGTGACCATACGCCCTTATTACTACCCATAAAAGTGACTAATGCGCTTACGAATGGCGCAGCAGAGGTAGCGAACTAGTCTAGATTTCTGCTATACATCCGGGTACTCACTGGGAAAAAACAATAACAAAGGCAACAACCAGTCCCGGGGAATTGCGTTAGATCAGTGCCCCTTTAACCAGTTAACATAAATACCCCACTCAGTATGCTGACTCCGAGCCGACTAGCCGAGAGCAGCGATGGGGTCTTAGGGTAGACCAGACCGCGTGCCAGGCATCGTATCAACAAGTGTCATCTTTCTACGTCTATGGTATGATGTGGCCAGGGTTCGAACCCCGGACCTTCTGGGCTGACGCTTTACCACTAGGCCACGTAGGCGGTCTATTCATGTTAGCCAGGCACGGATCATTTTAAGGTTCCCAACGATGATTACTTTATTTACAGATCCACCGAGCCACAATTCAACAAAAATACTGCTGTTAAAATACTCAGGCAAATTGACCAACCTTGTCAACCGATCTATAGCCAAGTGTAGGATGTTTAAATGCTATCACAGTCTTATCGACTCCGTTACCATGGTAACAGTATTTAGATATATGTACTGAAAACATATTTTAAAAAGTGAAAAATAGCCATAGTTCAGTCCATTTTCTTCCCTTGTCATCCCTGTTAATTTATTTCAGAGTAAAAAAAACACAGTCACAGGTATATATATGTATTTGCACAGAAAAATTTCTTTCACTTAATGACCTTAATCTAAATTTGTTTGTTTGTTTGTTTGTTTGATGTTTAACGCCGCACTCAACAATATTCCAGCTATATGACGGCGGTCTGTAAATAATCGAATCTTGACCAGACAATCCAATGATTGACATCATGAGCATTGATCCACGCAATTGGGATACAATGAAATGTATCAACCAAGTCAGCGAGCCTGATTACCCGATCCCATTAGTCGCCTCTTACGACAAGCATGGGTTGCTGGAGACCCCGGATCTTCATGGGTCGACCTTAATCAAAACATCAGTTAGTGGAGTGCTTGTAAACCAGCACAATGGTATGATTGTGTGTTATGGTGATGTGTTTTTCAGGTATCTGTTCATCCGTGGTCTCCATGATCGGGAAGAGGTTCTGGCGGCACGCCTGGCAGTCCTACAGTACTTAAAGGACCAGGGGGAGGGGATCCTCCACCCCTCGGAGCCAGTGGAGAAGGGGGTCCTCCAGCAAGGCTGTGGGGTAGGGTGTGTACCCACAATGGAGGTAGGTCATATATCTGCTGTCTCTGTGTCAAACTGAACTGACAGAATGAACAACGTCCCATGCCTTGATCACCCTGCAAAATTTAATTGCCTCCTGTAACTAGCAATAGGGTGCTGATGACCTATTCTTACGCCAGTTTGACTTAAGCTACAGTCACACAGATAATGCGACCGCGATGCAACCTCTTGGCAACTGATTTCCTTTGCGACCGACTGGCGATCACCGAGACCGGTGCAACTACTTCTGCCCATATTTGGTATTAGGGTATGATCACCGATCAATCAGTGATAGGTTTTCGGCAACTGTTTACCGCAGATACGGCGAAATGTTTGCAACTGGCTGAGACCGATCGGTTCACTAGTCACTTTTGATAAGTCAGCTAATCTCCGGTGACTTGTTGCAACTGAACGGGGACTGGTCGGTGACTAGTTGTCGATCGATCACCAATAGACATAATGCATAAAAAGGGTGCTTTTCTGAATCAAATCATTTGCAAGTTGTCAATATGTTAACAGCAGAACAGTAGCAGTTGCTCCACCTGCAAAGAATAAATCAAAATGCTGCAGTTGCTGCCATGATGGTGTACAGAAGATTGAGAAGGACAAGGCAGTATTGGCAGAAACCTTGGATTACAAGAAGGCCACAGCTGGGAGACTAGGAGAATCTGATGGCAGAGTCGGAGAGAGTAACGTCGTGGTCATTTCGTTGGCTACGTCAGAATGGAGCAGACTTGTGCACCACAGCAGTTGTCTCTATTGTATGTTCTACAATTTCTGGTTCTTTTGTATTCCTGCCTTTACGGACCATAGTGATGAATGGAAATAATTGATGTGAACTCTCTGAGTACTTATGACAAAATGATGCTGTAATGCCCAGACAGGTCTTTTATAGATGGTGACATGTTGCAAGCCCAACTGGGAATGATCGACGGACATTTGGAAACCACTTTGCACCCAATCGACAACCGGTCACCAATGAAACGACTGCCGATCACCGTCTCATCACTGAATAATTAAATTTTCGTTGTGTTCATGGAAATTCCTGCATTCTGATTAGCTGAATTTGTCACGTGTTATTGCATTCATTTCCCAATGAATGTAAAAAATTAAGCCACGCCCACCGCGGCGCACTACTTTTATTACTGTGGAATGTCGGGGAATCTCAATATTACAGTCGAGGGAATTCCCTTTCTGCTCACGTGTATCATCATGCACAGGATATTTAGCGACTTTCATGCATATTCATTGTCTAAACTACCCTTTGAAACCGAAGGCCGAGAATGAATGAAACAGCAAACGTGCAGGCTCGCTCGCCTTTTTTTTTCCCGCTCACCTCGGTTCAACTTTCATGTCTTCAGGTTTCATTTCTAACTAGCATTTCTCCAACTGTGTTTTACCCTAATCAGGGAAGTAATGTTTGAATCACGAAGTAAATGACCATGTTATTTGAAACAGCCGCCTTCTCTCGGACATATTTCTTCCGGTTCGTTACAGTCTGACTGTGCCAGTTCTTTCGCCTCTTGCCTTAATTGACAGGTCCAATGAACATTCTTTTAATCCCACTCTCCGTTGATTGGCTACTGATTGTGTAGGCATGTCAAGTTATGTGCATAAATTAAACGATCACCTGATTCATGTCACGCCACTGTATGTATTCCTACACCTGGAATGTTTATCAATGTCGTCATTTTTGTCTGTTTTGATATATGCAACTGTTTGGGGTTAAACTATTGTAGATAAAACATGTTTTACCTTGTCAAATTTAATTATAAGCATTGACTGTATATTTTTTTCGGTTCATTGAGGTATGAATCGAAAAACCGATGTGCAAACTTGTGTAAGAATCCGCTATGCGGATTCATACAGTTTGCACATCAGTTTTTCGATTCATACCTCAATGAACCGAAAAAAATACACTGTCAATCCTTAATTAATCACCGATAGGTCACCACTAGCTTGCAAAGAGTCAACACACTTGTGGTGTAGACAAAACCAATCGCCGCACAGTGGAAACCAATCTGTTAAAATAACACCACTTAGGGACCTGTAGGAGACCAATGAAACCTCCGTGCGACCAAATCGGTCGCAGCCAATCTTTTGTGCATGTTCCAAAGACTGTTTGAGACCGAATGGGTTTTGCGACCGCTCTGAAAACTTTTAGTGACTTCGGTGAAACCTTTCAGAGACACCAGAAACCTCATTGCGATTGTCAAATATTTTAGCCGCCAGGAGGTTGCATCACAATCGCATTGTCTGTGTGACTGAGGCTTTAAATAGATATAGGCCTATCATGTTCTTTGGATGGCCAGCACTTTTCACAATCAAGTATGTCCCATGCACATGATAGGATGTCTGGACTGAATGCTGATGTTGGTGCCCAATAACAATATCATTCAGCATAAATGACTACATGAACTGTTTGACATGTTTGATTTTCTCACATGCAGGGCGTCCCGAGTATCACCCACCGAGATCCTGTCAAAGCAGTCATTGAAGGTCCTAGACGTAAGTAGGAGTAAACAAGTCATTTCACTGTTACATGCTAAGCGGCAAGCAGGGGAGCAATAGGTGCCACAGGGATTTATCTGGACCTGCTCACAGGCCAATATTTGGCACCCAAGTCTGCTGCAATTGTCAGTAAAGATGGCCAAATGGTAAATAAAAATGTCCTTTTCATGTAAATATAGTTATAACTTAAGTGATGGTTGGCTGAGGTCACATCTAAGCCAATGGTAACAGAAGCACACCCCCAAAAATGACAGCAAAGGGGCGGGGGTGCCACAGACACATGAACACTATTATACTTCTGGCAGTGTTTAGAGGCATCTTAGGTTGTATACTTCCGAGGGAGCTGAGAATGACACATGAAGTGCACACTAACCCATTAATAAATATGCAGAATTTCAATCGTGTATTGTATATGGAATACCCAAATCTCATTCCTATTTATTTACAGCTTTCAGTTTCTTCAAGAAGTTCTTTGGTAAAGATGTTACAACACTGGACTTCAAGTGGTTACGGTAGGCAAGAGTTTGGGTCACTTACTGATGCAGTGATAATTAATTACCATTGATTGATAAAGCAGCAGGGAAGAGACAGACTAGTTTCTCAGCTGTGGTGGAGTGTACATTCAATGTCAATATTCCTATAGAGGGATTTGTCTTAACCTGCTCAGTGGCCAATATTTGGCCCCAAGTTTGAAGCAATTGTCAGTTAAAAAATCATCCCAAATTTGAATAAAAATATTGCCAAGTCATGTTATGATAGTGATGACTAATGTTATCACTTGCAGAGCCAACATACATTTCACTGATAACAGGACCAATGAACAAGAAGATGTTGTCATGTTTAGTTTACATTTTAGCATTGAATGAAGTATTAAGATAACCCTCTATTTCAGAAAAATAGTACTTTCAAGAAAATACCAATTTTGAACAAACTTATTTTTCTTCCCCAAATTTGTCTGTCCCTGATATGGAGTCCCAACAGGAGGGAAGTATGAGATGAACCTATAATTGACCTGCATGCTCCTGCATCATATATAGCAGTGATGTCTGCAGTGTACAAGCAAGTTGACCTACTGGATGTAACCCATGAAGATCTGGGTTTGAACTGGCCTTCAGCAACCAATGCTTGTCGTAAGAGGCGACTAACAAGATTGGTTGGTAGGAGTCACTGACTTGGTTGATGTATGTCATTGTATCCCAATTGCGTAGATCGATGCTCATGATGTCAATCACTGGATTGTCTGGTCCAGACTCGATTATTTACAGACCGCCGTCATATAGCTGTGGGGGACACGGGTGGCCCAGTCGTCTAAGGTGCCGCATTTTGCTGTGCAGAGTTGCATCCCTTGGGCACGCCAGAAAGCTATGATTGTAGGTTTCGAATCCTGGTTTGCCCCAGTTATGTTTCTAGGTTTGTCAGCACCATACCCGTGCTAGTGGGTTTCACCGAAGTGGTAAACACCTGAGACCTGCATCACTTCGGGCTTTCCTCCCACATTAAGCTGACACGCCTCAATATAACTGGAATACTGTTAAAAGCAGTGTTAAACCCAACTCACTCACTCACTCACTCATACAGCTGGAACAGTGCTAAGTGCGGCATGAAACAACAAACAACAAACAACAACAATGTACTGGACGAATAGACCATTTGACATTCTCGATATCAAGCATCTTATATCTCCATCCTATAATGATAAACACCCTGGACCCATTTATCCCCACAGCTGCATTGTGGAAGTGCCATCATCATCTCAATCACTGTAATCTCTAACATTGCTCACAATTTCTCTCGCTTGTGAGAGTTATTTCATTGGATAGCTATTTTGAACATTGTGCTATTCCATACAGGCTCAGTAGAATGCTATGGCAGTGTTTAAAACAACCGCCCGAGATGGTCTATTTTGCTGACAGTCTTTACTTACTGTAAACGTCAAACCCATTATTCTGTCATTTCCTCATATGTTGATATCAAGTTTCTGTCATCATTTTCTATGGGCCAAATGCTCGAAATTATCCAATCAGAATGCATGTAGTTAATGTTTTAGGCTCATATTCTTTATAATGGTGAATGTGCTAGTATTCTATAAAATTGTGAAGCTTACTGGGTAATTTTGCCAAAATTTTAAAGTTTCAAAGTTGACAATCTACCAGTTTATTGTTATTTTCTGAGAACTAACATTAGACAGTACAATTCTCATGTTTACTCTCTTGTCACTTGTGATTGCTTGTCCAGAAAATTCTGGACTGGCAATATTTTATCTGGTAACTTTGCAAAGTTGTCAGTCCTGTTGTCTGCAGTCCTGCAGGGCTGTTCCCACCGATGCCTTCACCGGGGTCCAGGGATACTCACGTTGTTGTTGTACATTCTGTCTCTTGCAGGGCTGTTCCCACCGATGCCTTCACCAGGGTCCAGGGATACTCACGTTGTAGTTGTACATACTGTCTCCTGCAGGGCTGTTCCCACGGATGCCTTCACCGGGGCCTAGGGATACTCACGTTGTAGTTGTACATTCTGTTTTCTGCAGGGCTGTTCCCACCGATGCCTTCACCGGGGTCCAGGGATACTCACGTTGTAGTTGTACATTCTGTCTCCTGCAGGGCTGTTCCCACGGATGCCTTCACCGGGGTCCAGGGATACTCACGTTGTTGTTGTAGTTGTACCTTCTCTCTCCTGCAGGGCTGTTCCCACCGATGCCTTCACCGGGGTCCAGGGATACTCACGTTGTTGTTGTTGTTGTACCTTCTCTCTCCTGCAGGGCTGATCCCACCGATGCCTTCACCGAGGTCCAGGGATCCTCACGTTGTTGTTGTACATTCTGTCTCCTGCAGGGCTGTTCCCACCGATGCCTTCACCGGGGTCCAGGGATACTCACGTTGTTGTTGTAGTTGTACCTTCTCTCTCCTGCAGGGCTGTTCCCACGGATGCCTTCACCGGGGCCCAGGGATACTCACGTTGTTGTTGTTGTTGTACCTTCTCTCTCCTGCAGGGCTGTTCCCACCGATGCCTTCACCGAGGTCCAGGGATCCTCACGTTGTTGTTGTAGTTGTACATTCTGTCTCCTGCAGGGCTGTTCCCACCGATGCTTTCACCGGGGTCCAGGGATACTCACGTTGTTGTTGTTGTTGTACCTTCTCTCTCCTGCAGGGCTGTTCCCACCGATGCCTTCACCGAGGTCCAGGGATCCTCACGTTGTTGTTGTAGTTGTACATTCTGTCTCCTGCAGGGCTGTTCCCACCGATGCCTTCACCGGGGTCCATGTGGACAGTGTGTATATGAGTCGTGGCTCCCAGTCCCTCCTGACCATGTGGACTCCAGTGGGGGATATCAGCATTGAGATGGGTGTCCTGGCCATGTGTGAGGGATCACATCAACTACCTGGGTCAGTTGAGATAGTGAGGGAGTGAGTGAGTTGGTTTGATGTGGGAAGAAAGCCTGAAGTGATGCAGCTCTAAGACGTTTACTACTTTGGTGAAACCCACAAGCATGGGTATAGTCGTAAATATTGCAAATACATAACGGTAAATTGGATTACAGCGTACATGTTAAATAAACCCTTAAAGTGTTTTATACAGTATTGTTGGGATATAATTGTTGGATTATACTTAAATAATAAGTAGTTTCATTTGTTTTATTGGCTTCAGTTCAGGGATGTAAACATTCATCTTAAAGATGTTATATGTGATCACGTCTTAATGAAAACGTGAAATACTTACATATTTAGAACCACCACCTACACCAAATGATAGTAAATGTCTACACTGTGTTAACGGCCCAGATAACCTGTTATCAATTGTGAGAACTGATTGAGAATATGATCAGTATGATTGAGCATGTCATAGATTATTGTTGTGGGGATTATTGACTCACTGATAACACAGTCACGAGAGCCTATTAGATTATTAGAATGAGCATTGTTATTGAATATTTCAGGTTTGCTCAATTCCAAAACACATATGGCAATCTTGACGCAGAGGAAGCAAGGCTCAAAGGTAGCTGTGGGACTGTTGTTTTATCCATGCTGAGACAAATACACAAACAGACATTATTATCGTAATAGTATCTCAGAACAGTTTCTGGAACATTTCTACAGAATCACTATTGAATAAAGTGTATTCACATATTGCAGTGCTTTCACAGTGTATCCACATATTGCTGTGCCTTCACAGTGTATTCACATATTGCAATAACTTCATAGTGTATTCACGTATTGCAATAACTTCATAGTGTATTCACATTATCAAGGCATTGCAATATTGCAGTGCCTTCATAGTGTATTCACATATTGCAATACCTTCATAGTGTATTCACATTTTGCAGTGCCTTCACGGTATATTCACATATTGCAATACCTACATAGTGTAGTCACATATTACAGTGCCTACATAGTGTATCCACATATTGCAGTGCCAACATAGTGTATTCACATGTTGCAGTACCAATATCGCGTATTCACATGTTGCAGTGCCTACATAGTGTATTCCCATATTGCAGTGCCAATATAGCGTATTCACATTTTGCAGTGCCTCTATAGTGTATTCCCATATTGCAATGCCTCTATAGTGTATTCACATAGTGCAGTGCCTCTATAGTGTATTCACATATTGCAATGCCTCTATAGTGTATTCACAGTGCAGTGCCTACATAGTGTATTCCCATATTGCAGTGCCTACATAGTGTATTCCCATATTGCAGTGCCTCTATAGTGTATTCACATATTGCAATGCCTCTATAGTGTATTCACATAGTGCAGTGCCTACATAGTGTAGTCACATATTGCAGTGCCTACATAGTGTATTCCCATATTGCAATGCCTACATAGTGTATTCCCATATCGCAATGCCTCTATAGTGTATTCACATAGTGCAGTGCCTACATAGTGTATTCCCATATTGCAGTGCCTACATAGTGTATTCCCATATTGCAGTGCCTACATAGTGTATTCCCATATTGCAGTGCCTACATAGTGTATTCCCATATTGCAGTGCCTACATAGTGTATTCCCATATTGCAATGCCTCTATAGTGTATTCACATAGTGCAGTGCCTACATAGTGTATTCCCATATTTCAGTGCCTACATAGTGTATTCCCATATTGCAGTGCCTACATAGTGTATTCTCATATAGCAGTGCATACATAGTGTATTCCCATATTGCAGTGCCTACATAGTGTATTCCCATATTGCAGTGCCTACATAGTGTATTCCCATATTGCAGTGCCTACATAGTGTATTTACATATTGCAGTGCCTACATAGTGTTTGCCCACATTGCAGTGCCTCTATAGTGTATTCCCATATTGCAGTGCCTCTATAGTGTATTTCCATATTGCAGTGCCTACATAGTGTATTCACATATTGCAGTGCCTACATAGTGTATTCACATATTGCAGTGCCTACATAGTGTATTCCCATATTGCAATGCCTACATAGTGTATTCCCATATTGCAATGCCTACATAGTGTATTCACATATTGCAGTGCCTACATAGTGTATTTTCATTTTTCAATGCAGGCACTGGGTGGTTTACAACAGATCCTTTTGAAATAACAGACAAATTTGGAGGCCAATGGAAAACCACAGACTTTAAGGCGGGTGACGTCATGGTATTTGGAATGAGGTGAGTGAGTTGGTCTTATCTGTCGGGAAGTACTTGCATTCTACAGACCATAGTGTAGTACACAGAATAAAACATAAGCTCACTTGTCTTTAAAATTCCTGTCTTTCAGGTACCACCCAGCTTACAAATAGTCATAATAAAACAAGATGTATGTGGAATAATGAAATTAGGATGCATGTTGGAAACACTTGTTCACACCTATAAAACACTGTCCACCCATACTATTAATGGGCTGTGTTTCACACATGGTAAACATAGGAATTAGGATATTATTTTTATGACTTGATCTTGGTTTGATGTACAGGACGGTGCACATGTCTACCTGCAACCTGACGAACCTTGCCCGCATCAGCTGTGATACACGGTACGTCCCAAACATTTCCCCTCCCTTTACTCTCTCTGTCACTGACCCCAGCATCCACACTTACAAATGGACTGTAGTGTATTCCTGAGACATAATGATGATGCAATGATCACTTTTGAAGTATACAATATTAAAATGATTAAGTCTACACAACAGTGTTTCAGTATTATTTATCAATCAAGTTTTGGACATTTTGAAGCATGATGTCATCACACATTACAAGAGAACAAATAACTGTAATGTGCTTATTTGACAGCAGTAGCCAATTTTTCAAGGAATTTTATTGAATTTTAAGTCCTTTTCGAGAAATCTTAGATTTTAAGTCATTTCAAGGCCCAACAATCAATTCAAGTCTGAATGATTTATTTTATGGACAGTAAAATATCATCTCGCCCAGTACAGCCACATTACTGATGTGTCTGTGTCTACAGTGAAATATCATCTCACCCAGTATAGCAACATAACTGATAGGTCTGTGTCTACAGTAAAATATCATCTCACCCAGTATAGCAACATAACTGATGGGTCTGTGTCTACAGTGAAGTATTATCTCACCCAGTACTGCCACATTACTGATGGGTCTGTGTCTACAGTAAAATATCATCTCAGCCAGTATAGCAACATAACTGATGGGTCTGTGTCTATAGTGAAGTATTATCTCACCCAGTATAGCCACATTACTGATGGGTCAGTGTCTACAGTGAAATATCATCTCAGCCAGTATAGCAACATAACTGATGGGTCTGTGTCTATAGTGAAGTATTATTTCACCCAGTATAGCCACATTACTGATGGGTCAGTGTCTACAGTAAAATATCATCTCACCCAGTATAGCCAAGGTTTATGAAAGTGCCCTGTGTGGAGTCCAGGGCAGAATGTTACCCTGAATCCTATGCTTGTTATAAGGTTGGACTAGTGAGCATTGGTAGGCTGTGTCACCATACCCAAAATGCCATGGACTGTCATCCACCCCAAAATGTCATGGACTGTCATCCACCCAAAAATGTCATGGACTGTCATCCACCCAAAAATGTCATTGCCAGTCATCCACCCAAAAATGTCATTGACTGTCATCCTCCCTAAAATGTCATGGACTATCATCCACCCCATCCACCTTAAAATGTCATGGACTGTCATCCTCCCTTAAATGTCATGGACTGTCATCCACCCCAAAATGTCATGGAATGTCATCCTCCCTAAAATGTCATGGACTGTCATCCACCCCATAATGTCATGGACCCTCATCCACCCCAAAATGTCATGGACTGTCACCCACCCCAAAATATCATGGACTGTCATCCACCCAAAATGCCATTGACTGTCATCATACCCACAATATCATGTCATGGACTGTCATCCTCCCTTAAATGTCATGGACTGTCATTCATCCCAAAATGTCATGGACTGTCATCCTCCCTAAAAAGTCATGGACTATCATCCACCCCAAAATGTCATGGACTGTCATCCACCTTAAAATGTCATGGACTGTCATCCACCCCTAATGTCATGGACTGTCATCCACCCCAAAATGTCATGGAATGTCATCCTCCCTAAAATGTCATGGACTGTCATCCTCCCTAAAATGTCATGGACTATCATCCACCCCAAAATGTCATGGACTGTCATCCACCCCATAATGTCATGGAATGTCATCCACCCCAAAAAGTCATGGACTGTCATCCACCCCAAAGTATCATGGACTGTCATCAACCCCAAAATGCCATTGACTGTCATCATACTTACAATATCATTTATGGTCTGTCATCCTCCCTAAAATGTCATGGAATGTCATCATACCCATAATATCATGGACTGTCATCCTCCCTTAAATGGCATGGACTGTCATCCACCTTCAAATGTCACGGACTGTCATCCACCCCAGAATGTCATGGACTGTCATCCACCCCAAAATGTCATGGACTGTTATCATACCCACAATATCATGGACTGTCATCCACCCCAAAATGTCATGGACTGTCATCCATCCCAAAATGTCATGGAATGTCATCCACCTCCAAATGTCATGGACAGTCATCATACCCACAATATCATGGACTGTCATCATACCCACAATATAATGGACTGTCATCCACCCCAGAATGTCATGGACTGTCATCCACCAGAAAATGTCATGGACTGTTATCATACCCACAATATCATGGACTGTCATCCACCTCCAAATGTCACAGACTATCATCCACCCAAGAATGTCATAGACTGTCATCCACCCCAAAATGTCATGGACTGTCATCAATCCCAAAATATCATGGACTGTCATCCACCTCCAAATGTCACAGACTATCATCCACCCCAGAATGTCATAGACTGTCATCGACCCCAAAATGTCATGGACTGTCATCCACCCCAAAATGTCATGGACTGTCATCCACCAGAAAATAACATGGAATGTCATCCATCCCAAAATGTCATGGAATGTCATCCACCTCCAAATGTCATGGACAGTCATCATACCCACAATATCATGGAATGTCATCCACCCCAGAATGTCGTGGACTGTCATCCACCAGAAGATGTCATGGACTGTCATCCACCCCAGAATGTCATGGACTGTCATCCACCCCATAATGTCATGGACCGTCATCCACCCCAAAAAGTCATGGACTGTCATCCACCCCAAAATATCATGGACTGTCATCAACCCCAAAATGCCATTGACTGTCATCATACTTACAATATCATTTATGGTCTGTCATCCTCCCTAAAATGTCATGGACTGTCATCATACCCATAATATCATGGACTGTCATCCTCCCTTAAATGTCATGGACTGTCATCCACCTTCAAATGTCACGGACTGTCATCCACCCCAGAATGTCATGGACTGCCATCCACCCCAAAATGTCATGGACTGTTATCATACCCACAATATCATGGACTGTCATCCACCCCAAAATGTCATGGACTGTCATCCACCCCAAAATGTCATGGACTGTCATCCACCAGAAAATGACATGGACTGTCATCCATCCCAAAATGTCATGGAATGTCATCCACCTCCAAATGTCATGGACAGTCATCATACCCACAATATCATGGAATGTCATCCACCCCAGAATGTCGTGGACTGTCATCCACCCCAAAATGTCATGGACTGTCATCATACCCACAATTTCATGAACTGTCATCCACCCCAGAATGTCATGGACTGTCATCCACCAGCAAAATGTCATGGACTGTCATCCACCCCAAAATGTCATAGACTGTCATCCACCTCTAAATGTCATGGACTGTCATCATACCTAAAATTTCATGGATGGTTGCTCATTCCATCAACCACTGGGTTGCCTGGCCTGATTATTTGCAAGCTGCAATGACTTGTAGCTCAAATTTTGCTTTCATAAAAGAACATTCAGTCATTAATTTGGGTAATTACTGTCGATTTATTCTCTTTAAGTCTTGTAACTCCATGCCTATTGACAAATTTCATCTGATGTAGATGGCAGCCATCCGATGAGCCAGCAGACAGTCGCTACATGGAGGGCAGTGAAGGACCAGAGTTAGCATTTGGTCTCCATGCGAAGGACGAGAGCTCTGCCAGCGAGACCACCATGGAATCACTCCGACTCAGATGGGGGCTGTGAGAAAGGCTCATCTTCAAAGTTTTCTCTGTTTCAGACAATATTTAGAAAATATAAAGCTAATTGAAGTGCTGTAATTACTCAGATCTTTCAACCCTTGTGGGTAAAATCAACCATTATGTATGTAATATGTACTTGTACTTTGTACATGTTGTAAGATATTTACTGGAAATGAACTAGTTTCAGGAAAGATGTACATGTGGATAAATAGAAGGGATCACAAGAATGGAACAATCAGTGGTCGTGACGTGTATGTATAATACTTGTCATAAGAGGCGACTAACGGGATCGGGTGGTCAGGCTCGCTGACTTGGTTGATGTGTGTCATCGATCCCAATTGCGTGGATCCATGCTCATGATTCACTGGATTGTCTGGTCCAGACACAATTATTTACAGACCGCCATCATATAGCTGGAATATTGCTGAGTGCGGTGTTTACCAACAAACCAACCAACCAACCAACAGTTATGTAAAAGACTGTTCATGATTGTGACCCCTTTGGACCCGGACAACTACGGTACCTGACTTTGTTGTTATTGTTTCAACTTGTAAGCCACATAACCATAACACAGTACTTGCTTGTTCAAGACCAGAGCTGAGGCAGTCTAGACTGGAGTTAGGACTCCTTCTTGAAATTATTCTCTAGGGTCTGGGAGACAGACTTTGGTTGTTCCTGTAATTGTAAAACCCTCAAGAAGTGAGCTTTGGTCTTCCGTTTGGTCATACAGAGTCATGGGGTCGCCTCGTGGTTACATCATTGCATCTTACAGTAAACGCCAGAGTTTCACATGTTTCATATGAGCTGTTCTGTCTGAGTTTCGTGTTATCATGTTTTATCTGGCCAAAAATGTGAGATCATGGCAATCTTTGATTCAACATAGTCTTTGGCTGTGCTTTAAGTAATCTAAAGGCTCAATGCTTCCATTTGAGTTTTAATACAAGACAAAGACGGTTTGCTGGATGGATGGATTATCTACTGAGCTGTGGCTGAAGCGTTTAAATATTGTTAAAATAGAAATAAAGGTGGGTCTTTTATGCCAATTCTATCACCAGCAGGGGAATCATGGTAATTGTTACTTATATGACCAACACACTACTTAATGTGCTCAAGAAGAAAGTAATTCAATGGCACAACGAGGATTATCCCCCGTCATGAAGAGGAAGGGGATATAGGAACGGAGTTCATCCGTCCTTCCGCTTCTCAAAGGGGACAAAGTTTCTAAAAACTATTTCAGTCAGAGAAAAGCAATTTTACACTCCGATGTTACTGGTCATGATTCAATAATCGGTGTAAGTTCCATTTTTGCAGAGTAATGGCCTTTGCTCAGTTTGCTATTCAACTTAGTGCACACTGCGTCAAATGTTTTCTCAGAAACTACTGAAATTACATGAATGAAAGTTTGCATGCTTATATAAGAGATACATGTCAAGATTAAATTTGAAATTGGTTCCATAATTAGTTTTTTTACAGAGTTATGGCCCTTGCTCCATGCTTTTTTACTTTGCCCATGGTGTCTGCAATGGGGGCAACTTTTCTCAGTGACTTACGTTAGATGAACGAGTTAGTGAACTGTGTGTATCTGCAATGGGGACATTTCTCAGAAACTTCTGAAGTTTCATGAATGACAGTTTGCATGCTTATCTATGAGATACTTGTCAAGACTGTTTGAAAATTGTGTGTATCAATTTCACATTTAATAATTGTTTCTGATGACATAAAACAACCAGAGTGTCCATCTCTTCTTACTGTTTAATAGGACTCTCTTTTTTATAGTTCATATTCAGTACTATATGAACAAAATAATTCTAATGTGCCCCATGGCGAGGGATAGTGATAATGCTGTTTTCTTGTTTTTACATGTTTTTCTCATAACTGGGTTACTAAACATATTTTGCTGTCCTGAGTTAAATGTACCATAAAACAGGAACTTGTTTCCATTGTCGCTGTGCACGGACAATTCTTCTGTAGTTGTGGATACATTCAGTTAAGACAGTTGGGGCATTATAAAGCCATATCCTGAACACAAAGACTGTAAACACTGCATCCAAGTCCTTGATTGTGTCCACATGCTACTGAGCTATTCAATCATCTCTTTAAGATTTGGGTACAAAATATATGAGGCTGTTTGTTATTCTGCTAATAAAGGTACCTGCTGCAATGAGCAGGTTGGTTTTAGCGCCACTTTATGCAGCATTTCAGTGACATCACAGCATGGCGGCTTGAAATGGATGGAAAGCCCAAAGTGATGCAGACCTTACATTTACCACTTTGGTGAAACCCATGAGCACAGACGTCGTGCTGACAAACCTAGCAACATAACCTCGGGAGACTGGGATTCGAACCCATTATCTTATGGTTCTTGCTGACCTTGGGGACACAACTCTGCACAGTGAGTGCCGGCACCTTTTCATCTACCACATTGAGAGCATGAGCTGGGGATCTTCATATGTCTTTTGACTGATATTTTGAATTGAGTTAATACATTACACTTCAGGTCATAATTGTTAGATGGGTTTTTTCATGTATTTTAGTAGTAATTGGCAGTGATTTATAAATTATCAATTTAATGTACCTGTAAATGCTTGGTTTTTACAATTATTTGTGCTTGGATTTCCTTCATTTAGTTGGGTTGTTTTCATTGGAGCAAAATGCCTCACACATCCATTTGATGTATTTTTACATGTATGTTTAGACCCTATGCATCTTCTCTCTTGCTATCAGTCTTTGATGTCAGCACATTATTATCCTACTCTGACTATTCACTCTTTTTCAGTAACTCCAGTGTCAGTGTATTTCTGGCTGGCGACCCTATATTTTACAACTGCTAAGTGGTATGAATGGTCTCAAGTGTCTTTCGTAAGTTTAGTAAAACAAAATGTAATTATTATTTTGAACTTTTATATATAAATTTGTGTAAATACAGGTTTTGAAAAATTCCCATAAATTATTCTTATTATTCTTATAAAAACAGACTATTGAATACAAAATCTGAAATATACAATGGTAAAAAAAGCATTTATTTCATACAGATCAGTTAATTCATGTTTACTGTGAAAAAAGTTTGAATTTGAAGAAAAAATAATTTTGGACAATTTTATTAATGTTATTATGACAATTTTCTCCCAAAGGAACAAGGGGACTACACTTTTTAAAAATCATTTTAAAATAACTTTAATCTAAAGTAGTTACATTTGCAATTCTTTCCATTTCTACATAGGATTTGTCTGCAACAATTTTAGTAATTAGCCTGTGCTGAATGCTAGACCCTGGTGTATGACCAACAGTCCCCAGTGCTGAATTGTAGACAAGGTTTTTTAGGACTCTTTGTCTTTTGTCTATCATCCAATCACCTGAACGTTTGAGGTATTTCAATGGTCATAACTAGATGAAATACAGTGCCCACAAAAATGTACATACTCTCCCAACACACAGCACATACTCCATCAACACTTATTTACATGTAAAAATGGCTGTAACATGAGCAGAGTTTGAACTCAAGTCAGAATGTAGCTCACATTTTCCTTTCAAAATTCAAATCTAATTTTACATGGCTGCTATGTACAATGGTAATTTTTAAAGTGACCTTATGCAATACTCGGGTGCAGTATCATTCTAACAGTTTGTTGTGTGTTTTGATTTTACAACTTCTTGAACATCCATACTTGTTACTATAGTGGCCATGACAAACATGGGTTGGCCCTTCACTATACATGTACCACACATTCATCAGTTTCAGCTGAAGTGTAATATAGTAAGACCCGGGACAGAATAGGTCCGCAGCAACCCATGCTTGCCACAAGAGGCGACTATGCTTGTCGTAAGAGGCGACTAACGGGATCAGGTGGTCAGGCTCGCTGATGCATGTCATAGATCCCAATTGCATGGATCGCTGCTCATGAGATTAATCACTGGATTGTCTGGTCCAGACTTGATTATTTACAGACCACCATCATATAGCTGGAATATTGCTGTGTGCGGTGTTAAACAACAAACCAACCAACCAAATCAATATGAGTACCATATTCTTTTTCTGAACTTAATAATTTAATAATGCATTTATTCAAGAAAGCTATGGATGCACACACAACAGAACCTTGTGGCTCTATGTTATTGACTATTCTGCCTAGATTTCGTCTACTTCGAAGAGCATATATAACAAAACAGACCATACCAAGACTGATGATTGAAACCATTTATTACTGATGAAATGACAAAGAAACTTTTATGAATGTTCAATCAACAGCTTCATCGATGAAGGATTTTCTCAATCTCACTGTGAATATTTGACAGTCCAGAGTCATCACTCACTCCTGTTGTGAGATAATGGTGTATTGATATGGAACACCACTCTGCAATAATATATACAGTAACGAAACAAGAACATAGTACAGGGACATCATGATCACGTGACTTGCTGGACAACTACTGGTCACACACTCTTCATACACTACACAGCATTGGCCCACAATACTACATTGGTAATAATCTCCATCGGAAATTTTCTACATTTAAATATAAATGTATGGTACCTGTCTGGAACTGAGTGGTGAAAAGCATGCGTACTGTAACCATGGTAACCTTTCCTTGTCTTTATAAAAAAAACATGGCCATACCAAAGAGTTTTATCAACACTCATGAAACAAACATCAATAATTTGAGTTCCCTCACAGCATGTTCATAGTGTGTTTAAGACCTTTAGCTGACTTATTAACGTGGATTGGTCAACATGGTCAAATTTAAACGTAATTAATTTTTCAGTTATATTTGTCATCCAGTTGATTGGGATAAAAGAGGGCAGGAATTTTCATGTTTATATCTCAGTGTAAAACATACGATGCATTTGATATTGAAACTTAGTTTGCATCATTATAGCAGTTGTACCTTTTTTTTCCAAGCATTTAACATGATTTAAGACAATGTAAGATAGAGCAGTTGGAAAATATAATTGATAATTTTTTCTGAACATGGTTTTCAGCTGTGGTTGGTTAATTGCTTTGTGTGACTTCGATATTTCAGTGTCTGATCAAAGTCATGAATAACAAAACGGACAACAAATATATTGTAACAAATCTCCAAAATATCAAAACCACGAAGTTAGACTGCATAAAATATCCATTATCACTGGTTCTACATAAACCAAAATGTATCACAAACATTGTCATATCTACCGTATTTAATGTGAGTCTTATTCAGAAAATGAAGACGACATAAACATGTTAAAGGAATGGTATGCATTTGAGGGGGTGACCACTGAAACAACACGTTCAATACAAATGCTGGTGAACAGCTGGTTTTTCCGTCACAACACAAAGACAGTTTTCATACAAAAATTGGTGTAAAATGGAAATGTGTTGTTGATCTGTATGTACACGAAACAAGGAGTTGTTGATCACATTTGAGATGGTTGAGTTATCAGCAGTGTTTATCATGTAAATTTGCACTTGGAGAAGTCCATTTCAGGATGTTGTGTCATGAACCTGCAACATGAGACAACAATGCATGTAATTATTGTGTACAAGGATGATCGTCAACATGGAGAGAAACTCGTACCAATTGGCAGTCCTGGCAAATTTGACCTATACTGGTCAGCAGACTGGAACATAGCATCCCGTCATCATCACTCATCAAATCTAGTGAAAATCTGCCTTCATTGGGTATATAGAGGCACACCAAGTTACAGCCATAACCATAACCATAACCAGTCAATCTACGACTAAATAGTACTTTAGTTATTTTTCGTGTTTCTTGTATGTGAAGATAAAGCACATAACATATCAAAAGTTCAGCAATATCTAAATAGGGGAAAGTTTTCTATGGCAGGATTTTTGCCCTCTTTTCATGTTTCGTTATCACTAGCATTTCCCTAGAGTTATTTTTTTCAACATAATGTACAATGTTATGATATTGATGGAAAGCTGAGACCTTCATGCTGCATGATTGATTCAAAATACTTTTAATAAAAGTCCCCAGTTTAAAATTAGTACTGGAAATCTCAAGAAAGCTGCCTTCTTATTGGCTAATGTTGACTTCTCCTGTCATTCATGTCATTGGTTGGTCAAAGTTCACGAAAGGTCTTCCTGACCTGCAATGGGATGTCCTTAGCAGTTGTGAGAGTGAGTGAGTATGATTTTACGCCGCTTAGCGGTTGTGAGAACTAAGATCTGATGTTAATGAGAGTGAGGTAATCCAGACATGTGATCAATCCTGTTTTGTTTATTTGAAGGAATAATGGTATGTTTTACTTCTCCTGCATTACTCCTTAATTTGTGATCACAAGAACCACGGGAATGGATCCAGGGGTTAGTGTAGGTTTACTGACATGCGAGCCCTGGCGATATAGAGGATGCTAACTGGATTCTAATATACTACCGAAACATGAGATCGTTGACATGCCAGATTTGCAGTCCCCGCGACTTACTTGTTGAGGATATCCTGTTTCTTCTGCTCATCTGATGTGGGTAACCCCATCTCTTTCTGTCTCTGATCAAACATCATCTTCTCCACCATCGCCCGCGTCTCTCCATCCAGGTCAGACAGCTGCAACAGTCAGGGTTACATGTCTTAACTCAAAAATCATTCCTGGTTTTCTTTCTCTGGACCAAACTGATTGAATATCAGTGTCGACCAGTGTGTATGCCTGACTCAACAGATCCCCACCTCCAGGATAGGGGAAGAACTACTCCCCAGGCAACAGAGTTTGTCGTAAGAGTCGACAATGGAATGGGTGCTCTGGACTCGGGGACGAGGTAAATTGCATTCTTCGATAGTTGCTCATGTTTACTGTTCTAACTGGTCAAGACTTGATAATGAACAGGTCTCCGGAATACTGCTGACTTGTATGTAACAGATAATCTCACCTGATTGTCTGTTGATATTAATATTTATTACTGCTGCTCGATAAATCGAGATGTGGATAATATAGTTGTTTGTTTTTATATTCAATTAGGTATTTCCGCTATCAAAAGTGTGCAGTGAGGCTGTCTCATTGTTGGTAGTCATTTTGGAGACATACATGCAAAGTTTAATAATGTGAGCAAAGACAACTCACATTTTTCACATTTAATTCACAGTCATGTTAATTTCAAGTTTCACAGTATTAACATCATCTACGCAATTGTGTTACGATGACCACCCAATCCTGTTAGTCACTTCCTATGACAAGCAAGGGTGGCAAGGGAGTTAACTGGCTAAAAAAGTCCAGTTTCCACCCTTGCCAAACTAGGCTGGTATTATGGAGCTACAACTTGGCTGGGCTAACAAGTCTGTGCATAGTCAAATCAAAATCGCATACTGAAATCAACATCCGGTTCGTAAACAGTATGGACTTCAATGTGCAAAACAAAAATCTTTTCATGTATTTAATCAAGGTGCTTACATGATTTTATGCACCCCGCGAGGTAAGACCCGTTCTATTACAAGATAGATCTTGATCATCGATCATATCGTCTTGACTGGGTGACGCCATTTTGTTTAAAGCAAATGCAAGTGATATGCTAGGTGGAATCTGATTGGTCAATAGGAGGGATATAGAAGGGGCATAACTCACAATAGCCACTGGTGGAAATTTTTACAAACCTGTAGAGGTTATGAATTCTCTGATGAAATCCTCCTTGGGGCACTTATTGCATTTTCCTGGCTCAAGAAAATCTACATGACATAGTTGTAACCATTTTCCTTAATAAAAATGTTACCACACAAAAACTTCGTTTTTGTATGATATACGACCACCCTTACGGTGCCTCACCCTCCACGGCGCGTCACGCCAAGGGAAGCAACCCTCACCCAAATCACTTTCCATATGTCTAATGCTGACGGAATGAGGGGAGGTGGGTGGCCGTGCCCCAAGGAGGATTTCATCAGAGAATTCATAACCTCTACAGGTTTGTAAAATTCTCTTTCAGATTAAATCCTCCTTGGGGCACTTATTGCATCCAGACAGACTCCTAAAGATAATCTAGGAAGTGGCATCCGTCAGCAACAAGCGTAATAAATACATCGTATTTTGAATATTCAGTGAATAGACTAAGAGTTCAATAAAATGGAACCAACCTTGATCGTGAGGCACCACCGTCGAGAGGCGGGGGCTGGAGACAGGCGTGGTCGACCATATACTATGATATAAGCCTTCGTGGCTGATCATATTTTGAGAACTCAAAACACACACCCCCCCCACACTTTTTTTAGCGAGTGATATAGGGGCGTAGAACACGAGAGACGTATAACCGCGCTGAGCTAGGCCAGAGAGTCTCCAAGGATCTGAGGAGTGCCGTGCAATACGAGTATTATCGATTAGTATGGACGGATAATTAATCGACCGTAGAGGATATAATCCGGACCGTTACTGAGCAGTTGTATAACTGGTCCGGGCGAACTAAAATCTCGAAGGCTCAATCGGCTAGAGATTAGAACTTTGCCCAGTTCGGAGAACTGACTGACCAAACCGAGCACGCTCGCTTGAGTGCTTGTCGAGTTGGTAGTGTTTTATGAACATGCTCGGCTGGCTCCAAATAGCCGCGGAGCAGATCTCCTCAATGGGCAGAGCCGCAGCAAACGCTTGTGACGTAGCTACCGCTCTAACCGAATGAGCCTACAACCTGGTAGGGGGGTCCCTGCCTTGAAGTGTGTACGACGTACAGATAGAAGAGACTATCCACCTGGAGATAGTTTGTTTGCTCGCAGGTGAGCCAGCCTTCCTACCGCCATAACAGCAAAATAATTGGTTATCCTTACGGATACCCTTAGTTCTGCTGATATAGGACTTGAGGGTCCTGCGGACATCCAAGACATGAGCATGTCTTGCAGTGGTCCCCGACGAGGAAGGCTGTGAAAGAGCAGGTAGCTCAATAGGAGCCGTCACGTGGAAGGCGTGTGCGACCTTAGGACGGTAAGAATTCGGCAACCAAATACTGACCCTGTCCCGGTGAAAGACAGTTAGTTCGGGATCGGCTGACATTGCGTGAATGTCGCCTACCCGTCTGCCGGACATTACCGCCACAAGGAACGCCGTCTTCCAGCTCAACAGCTGAAGAGAGAGAGACGACAGATCCCGAAAGGAAGGACCGGACAGCCAATCAAGAACGATTGACAAGTCCCAATGGGGACTGATCCGCCAGACAGGCGGTCGGATCCTGTCCACACCTGCTAAAAAACGCTGTACTAATGGGTGCGGACCCAGAAGTGCCCCGTCGACAGGGACGTGAAAAGCTGCAATAGCTGTAGAGTACCCCGGACTGTTGATGCGGCCAGGCCGTCATCTAGTCGTGACTGGAGGAACTCAAGCACTGCTACGAGATCTGCAGAAAAGGGATCTGCAATCCCTCTATCGACACACCAGCGCGCATAGCAGGCCCATCTATCCTCGTACTGAACGTTCGTCGAATCCCTCCGCGAAGCCAGTATTGTGTCTGCAACTCGTGCAGGAATACCGCTCTTCTGGAGGCGATTCCTGACAGTAGCCAAGCCACCCACTGAATCCTGGGATTCGGGTGGAGGGCCTCGTTCTGGGATAGAAGGTCCGGTCGTAAAGGTAATAGAACAGGAGGCTGAGCCAGAAACCTGAGTATTACTGGAAACCAGCTCTGCGCCGACCAAAGAGGTGCCAGGAGCACAAGTAGTCGCGCAGGCTGAGTGGCTAGCTGAGATAGGACCTTGGGGATCAGAGGTACTGGGGGGAATGCCCATAGTATTCTGTCCGTCCAATCTAGCTGGAAGGCGTCCGCTGCCAACGACCTCGGGTCGGGGACTCGGGAACAGAACGTTGGTGTCTGGAACGACCCGTATAATTGGGAGATAATCCCGAATATCCCCGGGTCGAGCCTCCACTCGTGAGGAGCGAGGATCCGGCGAGACAGAGCGTCCGCACGGACGTTGTCCACCCCCGGGAGATAAACAGGTATCACCCTGATATCATGTGAGTCGCACCATAGGAGGAACTGTCACGCCTCTTGGAGAAGCGACAGTGACACCGTTCTGCCCTGCTTCCGGATGTAAGTCATCGCCGTTTGGTTGTCCATCTCTAGACGAACCACTTGGCCACGAAGCAGATCCAGGAAGCGTTGGAACACCAACCTGACCACTCTCAGTTCTAGCATATTGATATGCAGTTTGATCTCCTGCTGGGACCATAGTCCCGAGGCTGTGTGATCGTTCAGAACGCCTCCCCAGCCGGAGAGTGACGCGTCTGTTTGAACTGTGAGAGACGGAATGGGAGTGTCGAGGGGGAGCCCCCGGGACAGATTCCCGACCTCGGTCCACCACTGAAGGTGTGTAATGAGCCACTGCGGGGTCTCGAGAACAGTTTCGAGATCTTCCGAGTTCACCCAAAGTTGGAGTAGTGCTTGTTGAACGGGTCTCATTCTCAAGCGCGCCCGCCAAACAACATCCACTGTCGCCGCCATGTTGCCCAGTAAAATTGGAGCCATGTACGAGCAGTGTGTCTCATGGCCAGAAGAAACTGGGAAGTAACCCTTCTGACCTTGAGTATGCGGTCTTGTGATAGAGATACAAGTCCGCTCACTGTGTTGAAGTTCGCCCCTAAGAAGACAAGATTCTGAGTAGGGCTCAGCTCTGACTTCTTGAGATTGACTATCCACCCTAGTGTGATCAGAATGTCTATCACAGCTTGTGTAGCTATCTGACTGAGGGATTGCGATAGAGCTCTTAGTAACCAGTCGTCGAGGTATGGGTGACAGAACCGACCCTTCGACCTGGCTACTTGGGCAGTAATCAACATCATCTTGGTGAACACCCTCGGGGCCGTGGCGATCCCGAATGGTAGAACCCTGAACTGATAACACCTCCCGTCGAAAGAAAACCTGAGGTATTTCTTGAACTCGGGGTGTATGGGTACGTGGAGATATGCGTCTTTTAGGTCTATTGACGTTAGCCATTCTCCTGTCTCGACCGCTGAGATCACTGAGCGCAGTGTCTCCATCCGGAAGAACGGTACCTCTATAAGATTGTTCAACCTTCTCAGATTGAGAATAGGTCTGAACCCTCCGTCTTTTTTGGTGACTAGGAAATACGTCGAGTAGAATCCCTCGCTTTCCTGTCCCACGGGAACCGGTTTGATCGCCGCCTTCATAAGAAGTGCGTCGATCTCGGCACGGAGAAATTCCGCCTTCTCTCGGGTAGCAGGCACCGGAGTGTGCTTTATCCCGGAGAAGGTGGGCGTATGATGTTTCCACCGAGGCAAGTGGCCATCCCTTAGAGTGGACAGTGTCCAGGGATTTGAGGTGACTTTCTCCCATTCCCTTAGGAATAGAGTCAGTCGGCCGCCTACAGGGACATCCGGTTTTAGGCAGTGGACCCCTACTGTCTGCAGTTCGATAACATGCGACCGTGGGTCCGCCCAGGGCACTTCAGGGCGCTAATGGGTTCCCGGCCCCGCGAAAAGGCTGCTGGCCTCGACCAGCTGCCTTGCCCCGGCCCCTGCCTCGCTTGCTCTTCCCGTACCCTTACCTGAAGGAAGCGGCTGCTTCCAAGCAGGTGCTGACTTCTGAGCCGGCGCATCAGCGTGGGAGAAGTCAAGCGGAGAGGCCCGCTTACGCGGTTTGACGCTAGGTATCTCCAACAAGGCCTTAGAGTCCTTGATAGAAGCATACATTTGAGCGGCCTCTCTGACCACCTGCTGAGCCCCAGGGAAGAGGGTAGAACCCATCTTATAAGGCAAAGCTAGGAGATCCTGGCGTGTGGACGTCGAGTACTTAGATACTGACATCCACAGCCTGCGCATGCCCATGACTGCGCACATCATCTGCGAGGCACAGCTACGAATAGCGTCCCTCGCGAGGGGACTATGGACCTCTGTCAGTTGCACCGCCAACTCCGACAAGTCGGCCGTCCCCTCTCCCACTAGCTCCCTCTGTACAGCGGACAGATACGCGGAGTGTACGGATATGCAAAGCTGTTGGCATGCATTACGGTATTGCTCCTCAAAGCAAACGTAAGCAGCCTTCAACTCCGCGCCGCACATGGGAAAGGGGGGCAACCGCCGGCCCTGCTTGGCCTTAGCCAAGGCGGGGGTCGAAGACCCCCCCAGGGTGACAGAAGTCCAGACGCACTCGTCGACCACTGGCACCTCAAAATCACCGTCCTCCGCTAACGGGTACCGCTTATTAAGTTCGGGTAGGTCGAACTTCCTGCGGGCACCCGAGAGCAGAGGGTCCATGACCTCGTGTGTCAGGGAGGACAAGATACGGAGCCGCACCTGGGGCGCCTTGCTAGGAGCAAAGGCGTCCCCCGGAAGGCGGAACTCAGTCGGATCCGACTCGGGCATAGGCGCAGCCACCTGAGGCAGTACCTGGACAATCTTGTCCAGTACGTGCCTCAACGAGGATGCGATGGAAAAAATTCCCGAAGCCTCCGAGTCATCCCCTCCCTCCTCCATCCACTCCTCATCTCTCGATTCCGAGCCGACCGTAATCGACTAGTCCTCAAGAGAGTAAGCGGACGAGGTAGGAAAAGGATGCCCGAAGGCCTGGGCCTTTGCATCCCCGGGCTGCCCCCGGCCCGAAGCCGAGTCCCGGTCCCGAGGTGCAGGGGGTTCAAGAGAACCGACCCTTCGACCTGGCTACTTGGGCAGTAATCAACATCATCTTGGTGAACACCCTCGGGGCCGTGGCGATCCCGAATGGTAGAACCCTGAACTGATAACACCTCCCGTCGAAAGAAAACCTGAGGTATTTCTTGAACTCGGGGTGTATGGGTACGTGGAGATATGCGTCTTTTAGGTCTATTGACGTTAGCCATTCTCCTGTCTCGACCGCTGAGATCACTGAGCGCAGTGTCTCCATCCGGAAGAACGGTACCTCTATAAGATTGTTCAACCTTCTCAGATTGAGAATAGGTCTGAACCCTCCGTCTTTTTTGGTGACTAGGAAATACGTCGAGTAGAATCCCTCGCTTTCCTGTCCCACGGGAACCGGTTCGATCGCCGCCTTCATAAGAAGTGCGTCGACCTCGGCACGGAGAAATTCCGCCTTCTCTCGGGTAGCAGGCACCGGAGTGTGCTTTATCCCGGAGAAGGTGGGCGTATGATGTTTCCACCGAGGCAAGTGGCCATCCCTTAGAGTGGACAGTGTCCAGGGATTTGAGGTGACTTTCTCCCATTCCCTTAGGAATAGAGTCAGTCGGCCGCCTACAGGGACATCCGGTTTTAGGCAGTGGACCCCTACTGTCTGCAGTTCGATAACATGCGACCGTGGGTCCGCCCAGGGCACTTCAGGGCGCTAATGGGTTCCCGGCCCCGCGAAAAGGCTGCTGGCCTCGACCAGCTGCCTTGCCCCGGCCCCTGCCTCGCTTGCTCTTCCCGTACCCTTACCTGAAGGAAGCGGCTGCTTCCAAGCAGGTGCTGACTTCTGAGCCGGCGCATCAGCGTGGGAGAAGTCAAGCGGAGAGGCCCGCTTACGCGGTTTGACGCTAGGTATCTCCAACAAGGCCTTAGAGTCCTTGATAGAAGCATACATTTGAGCGGCCTCTCTGACCACCTGCTGAGCCCCAGGGAAGAGGGTAGAACCCATCTTATAAGGCAAAGCTAGGAGATCCTGGCGTGTGGACGTTGAGTACTTAGATACTGACATCCACAGCCTGCGCATGCCCATGACTGCGCACATCATCTGCGAGGCACAGCTACGAATAGCGTCCCTCGCGAGGGGACTATGGACCTCTGTCAGTTGCACCGCCAACTCTGACAAGTCGGCCGTCCCCTCTCCCACTAGCTCCCTCTGTACAGCGGACAGATACGCGGAATGTACGGATATGCAAAGCTGTTGGCATGCATTACGGTATTGCTCCTCAAAGCAAACGTAAGCAGCCTTCAACTCCGCGCCGCACATGGGAAAGGGGGGCAACCGCCGGCCCTGCTTGGCCTTAGCCAAGGCGGGGGTCGAAGACCCCCCCAGGGTGACAGAAGTCCAGACGCACTCGTCGACCACTGGCACCTCAAAATCACCGTCCTCCGCTAACGGGTACCGCTTATTAAGTTCGGGTAGGTCGAACTTCCTGCGGGCACCCGAGAGCAGAGGGTCCATGACCTCGTGTGTCAGGGAGGACAAGATACGGAGCCGCACCTGGGGCGACTTGCTAGGAGCAAAGGCGTCCCCCGGAAGGCGGAACTCAGTCGGATCCGACTCGGGCATAGGCGCAGCCACCTGAGGCAGTACCTGGACAATCTTGTCCAGTACGTGCCTCAACGAGGATGCGATGGAAAAAATTCCCGAAGCCTCCGAGTCATCCCCTCCCTCCTCCATCCACTCCTCATCTCTCGATTCCGAGCCGACCGTAATCGACTAGTCCTCAAGAGAGTAAGCAGACGAGGTAGGAAAAGGATGCCCGAAGGCCTGGGCCTTTGCATCCCCGGGCTGCCCCCGGCCCGAAGCCGAGTCCCGGTCCCGAGGTGCAGGGGGTTCAAGAGAACCCACCTGGCTCTGGGCCATAATTCCGCTAGCGGGAGCCTCGGCCTCGGAGAAGGCGTCTGACTCCGCTAGGGAGAAAGGTGCGGAGGTAGTGAACGAGCCAGCGCTCGCCACCCCTCCGCTGGGGAGCGACCTCGAGCCGGAGCCGGAGCCGAAGCCCGGTCTCGGGTCGTCCCCGAGGTCAAGTGGCCTGCCTCGGCCGACGCCGGACATTCCGCAAGACCTCGAAACCGCGCCCGGCGCCGACGACGGGGGAGGCCCAGCCCGCATCTCCTCTCGGAGCTGGGACTTGACCTCCTCCATCATCGACGGGGGGGAAATGGCCTTCTTAGAGTGAATATCCACCCCCGCCTCGAGTAGACTTTTCTAGTGTATCAGGTCGGCATGTCGCCTTTTCATTGTTTTGGGCGTGAAAGCCATGCATGTGGAGCATGTCTGATCATCATGCCCGTTCTCAACCAAGCACTTTAGGCAACACGTATGTTGGTCTTGGGGCGGAATATTTAGCCCGCATCCCGTACAAAGTTTGAAGGTCTGTAAAAAAAAGACCGTAAATTTTGAGTTGGGTTGGGCGGGAAAAGTGTATCAGTGCGATTAAAGATCGGCAAGATACGTGCTTTTAATAAATTGTGAAAACAGAAGCAAAGGCGTAATGTGTAACGCGATTGTAGCGCGATACTAATAGCCATTGTTCGTTGTATAATTTTTTTAAATACACCAAGTGGGCGTGTTACGCACTAAGGTGTAAAAACCCTTTTAAAAAAGGTATGTGTAGTTATAATCTAGTACAGCACCTTGGGTTTTGTAAAGGAAAAAATGTGCAGGTGTAATCTGGATGATTAACCAAACCCCAAGCCATTTTGTTGGCTTTGGGTTTACATGTGTCAGACAGTGGAACCGCACAATGGACGCCATTACGGACATTTGAATTCACATGCGCCGTACACATGGCGTTTCTTCTAAGAGAATTACATCGTTATAATTTTACAATGTGAGGTATTACGCCTTTGCAAGGTAATAAATGTACCATACATACAGTTTGGTCAGCCATGCTGTCTCAGGTCACGATCTTTCGTACTTAGAAACTTTTCTCAGAGTTGCCACACGTCTTGTCAGAATGAATGACATAAAGGAAAGTGATTTGGGTGAGGGTTGCTTCCCTTGGCGTGACGCGCCGTGGAGGGTAAGGCACCGTAAGGGTGGTCGTATATCATACAAAAACGAAGTTTTTGTGTGGTAACATTTTTATTAAGGAAAATGGTTACAACTATGTCATGTAGATTTTCTTGAGCCAGGAAAATGCAATAAGTGCCCCAAGGAGGATTTAATCTGAAAGAGAATCCAGCCTAATTCGGCATGGGTGGAAACTGGACTTTTATAGTCAGTTAACTCCCTTGCCCTGGGAAGTAACCTTTTACCATGCCTACGCCAAGCATGGGTTTGCTGAGGATCAGTTCTTACCCCGATCTTCACAGATCGGTTGGAACAGGTAACACAATCAGCCTGTTCAAGCAACAAGCAGTGACCTGGTTCTATATAAACTTAAACAACAAACATGGTCTCTCACCTTCGAATTCTCTGGTTGCACTTTCTTTGTGTTTATTTCTGGGTCTGTTGTGACAATTCGACTCCACCATTCCATCTTGTTAATCTGCAGACAAATGACAAAAACTCATCTGAGACACAGAGTAACAACTGCCACAACATGACAACATTCAGTATCTGAGCACTACGGCAAATGATAGTAGAAAATTTATGATTGTCGGTTTGTGACCGTGTCTCAGTCATAGATTTAGTGATCCGACTCATTCATTTTCTTGTGATTTAATGGCACTCTCATACCATGTATTAACTTGATGTATGTTATCTCGTATATGTTTGCTACCTTATTCATGTATTGAAAATGTTTTTGTAACTATGATTTTCACACATTAGGGGAATTTTGTAGAATTTTCCTATTCGGAATATTCTATAAGTAATACGTTACCACTGTTATACCGAGGCTGTTGTCTCCCACAACTGCTGCTATAGCGAAATTTACCACAGAGATCTCAATTACCTCATGCAGCATGTGTGTAGCCACCTAGCTGCCATGCGACACCCTTCACTCTTGTCTCTTGCGAGAGCAAGTGCTCAGGGGACGGACGGACGGGCGGGCAGCAGCCCAGTGGTAACGTATTACTTATAGAATATTCCGAATAGGAAAATTCTACAAATTACTTTAAGTAATACGTTACCACTGTTAAACTGAGGCTGACTACCACAGTAGGCGGCGGGGAGCACCTACAACCCGAATCCTCACTGCTAGCGTTCCTTCCGACCAGCGGAAGTAAACACCAAGGCGGAAGCACTCGATGTGCATGCACCTAGCTAGGCGTTACCCTATAGGAATACCAAAGCACTGTCAAGCGCATACCGTAAGGCTCAATCGTCATTGCCAAAACGATTGGTGACTCCAAACGGCCCCACTGGATAGGTATTTCATCACCGCAGCGGATGAGAACACTGTATCTGCGTGAGCTAAATCTTAGATCAGGTTAAACAGTCGAAAAGAGGGAAATTAATTTCATTCGGACCGTATATCCCAGAGCAAGCCTACTGAAAGTATGCATTAGGCGCGTGACCCAATTCCAGTATTTGTAAGCATGCATCACAAGGTTGGGATACACGACAGACAATTAAATACATAATTGTCAAAATACAAATAAGGACAAAGCACACAAAAAGCCGCCCTCACCTGTGGTGTGAGTGCGCTGGTTTGCGGGACCCCAACTCCTGTACCCACGGCAGTGGGAACATTGGAGTCGACCCAGATTGACCACCGTGCAAGGTCTGACGCCTGAGGAGTTCGGAATTGCGCTGGGCACACCCCTTAGGTGACCGCTTGCGCCGCGATCAGCGGCCCAAGACGGTGCACACCCCCCACGTCGTCATCAGCGACCTGTTTGAGGAAATGATTGGCAAATACCGAGTCATAACGCCAGTAACAACCTTGTAATATTCTGCGAACAGAGATATTCGAGTGTAGGGCAAATGTTGCCGCTAGCGCCCTGATCTCGTGCGGGTTTGACCCCGCTACCGGTAACCCCCGAGACCGGTACGCCAGATTGACGACAGAACAAAGCCATAACACAATCGAGTTGCGAGTTATGTCAGCAGTGCGATTAGGGTTACCCGATATGAACAGACGGTCACGCCCTTGTCTGTGTTCATTCAAAGCCTTAAGATAATACTTAAGGGCCCTAACCGGACACAGCGACCTGTCCTCAGTATCAGTAAGATGTAAGATTTCCTTGAGTGATCTTACAGTGAATTCTCTCTCCGTTTGGCCCATGTCAAAGGAGAGGAGAAATGCTGTTTACCAAGTCACATGCCGGAACGAAGCACTACTCAAGGGCTCATACGGAGCTTCCGTAAGTGATTTAAACACTAAGGAAACATCCCAGGCCGGTGCCCGAAGGCGGCCTTTCTGAAGATCTTGCTGTTTGAAACCCTTGATAATACCCCGAATCACCAGCTCTTATGAGAGACTGGTACCCATAGCAACGTCCCCTACTGTAGCAACGGAAGAGACATAGTTGGCAATGGAACCCCCGGAGAGTTTCCGGGTCTCTCGTAAGTAAGACATGAAACGAGCAATATCCTGCACAGATACCTTATCTGGCGAATGAATGTGATGTTTACAACACCACTTCGTGAAAATAACCCAACGTGCATTATACACCTTCTGGGTAGAATCACGATGCATTCAACGTATGCCCGAGACGCCCGACGAGAAAAACCTTTACTCCTCAGACGCTCGGTGACAACATCCACGCGTGCAGATTGAACTGCCCTACGTTTGGATGAAGCTGACGGGTGGATCAGGAGATCCGGTCTCACAGGCAGTGGGAGTGGCGACTGCGTGACCTGGGTCGTGATCGATGGTCCTTGGGTCCGGGACTGGTGATACAAACAAGGAAGTTAGGATCGGCACCCAGGCGCCTATGCAGGGACCCAACAAGAGCAAGTGTGTGCCGAGAGTCCTCGGCAACGTACTCCAGGGAAGCATTTAAACTGAGCAGGCAGTTGTAAATGCGCTGGTCATGGTCCGTGAGTTGATTGTTGAACCCGGTTGCGAACAGGTCGACCATCGGAGGACCCAAACGTTCGCACAGCCACTGAAACACTACTGGGTTGAGCATCCACTCTGTGGGGCTCGGATCCCATGCCTCGATAGAGCGTCGGCCAGTACGTTCCGCACACCTGGGATGTGACGGGCGCGTACCTGGCACGGGACACTGTCCACCAGAGCGTAAAACTCGAACGTGAGATCGAGTAGCGAGTGACTGTGGGTTCCCCCCAGTTTGTTCACATAGGACACTACTGTCGTGTTGTCGGTCGCCAGCATGAGCCAGGTGTCGACGAGACGATGCTTCCAGTGATTGACTGCGTTTATCACTGCCTTGAACTCGAGACAATTGATGTGAAGACCTAGTTCGTCTACGCACCACAGCCCCGAGCTCACCTCCCCCTCTAGATGGGCGCCCCAGCCCACTAGAGAGGCGTCTGTATACAGGTTCAACGTGGCCCGGTAGGGCCGCATAGAGACTCCTGATAAGACATTGTCAGGGACCGTCCACCACTCCAGATGCGGGCAGAGCCGATCTACGAGGGCTACGGTCGCACTGTTCTCCTCCTGTGCTAACAACTGGATTGGAAACCGTTGCAGCGGGCGGAGTTGGAGACGACCCCGATCGGTGCAGTCCAGGGCGGACACAGGTAGCCCTAACAGCTGTTCCCAAAAGTGAACAGTCTGTGGCACCGCTAAGACTTTGGCAATCATCGCCTGAATCTTGTGCCACCGATCTGGGGGGACAAAGAGGCGATGGGTCACCGTGTCAGTCGACAGTCGGTTAACTCGCTCTTGGGGAGATTGACAATCCACCCCAATTGCTCCAAGAGCCAAAGTGCAAAATCGAGCTAACGAGACAGCATGTCCGTCATTTAATTTGCAACTAGTGAGTCGTCCAGGTACGCGAAGTACCTGACACCCCTCCTGTGGAGGAACCCCACTATGGGGGTGGTGAACCGGGTGAACAGCCAGGGAGCGGACGTATGAATTATTCTGAGTTCGACACTGTCCTACTTGGGAACGAGAAATATCCTGGAGTAAAACCCCGGTGTTATTTCTGGTAGAGCTAACTCCCGTACTGCCCCTTCTCCACCAACCTGCCGATGGCATCGGCGAGGATGGGAAAATCGGTTTCCGAATAGAAACCTGCCGACGGGGCAACGGTGAGCGGCGGATTCGCTTTGAGATCGAGCCGATAGCCGTACCGAATCGTGTTGACCACCCACGGGTCGTCGAACCCTTGTTCCCAATTCTCCCAGTAAGTCTGGCTCCCACTGGGGAATGAGAGGGGGGCCCGGACAGGCTGCGGCAGGCGCAACTGTCCAGGGCCAAGTGACTCGGGTTCGCCTAAGGGCCAACCGAAGTTGGCGCTGTCGGCATACGAACCCCTCCAATGAGAGTCACCTGGAGGGGCCCTTGCCGTCCTTAGATGACTTGGGCTTCCCCCAGTTCCCCGTCTTCCCGCGAAAGCGCAGCTGATTGCCCATACCGGAGCCCTCAGGGCGGGGCTTCTTCCGAGAGGAAGAAGAACCCGACCCCTCAGACCTACCGGCCGCAGCAGCCTGGGGCGCGCTCCGGTTAGGAGCGGCACCCAGGCGCCTATGCAGGGACCCAACAAGAGCAAGTGTGTGCCAAGAGTCCTCAGCAACGTACTCCAGGGAAGCATTTAAACTGAGCAGGCAGTTGTAAATGCGCTGGTCACGGTCCGTGGGAGAACCTTCGACCAGACTGGCCGCTGCAGCCAAGTGAGTGTCTCCGTGAGACATGGCAAGCATGGAGTGCCGAGCGAGGGCGCCAGCTGGTGCAAGGTAGCTTGCGTTACCGTAGCAGCCGGTGGGGCACGGACACCCAAACGCTCAACATGGGCCTCCGCGGTAGGACCAGTCTCGGGAAAGGCAAGGTCATGTACCGGGAATAAACCCTTTCTCCACGACGTCGGAGGCAACGGGAGACCCCGACCGGAGGCCGCCGCGAAGGCGTTCTCCAAGGAAGGCTTGATACCGCGCAGCAAGGTTGATGCGGGGAAAGCCGTGTCGGAAGGCTCATCGTATACCTCGGAGGAACCCACAGAGCCGTGGATTCCCCGCGGTACCGGCCGGGGCCGTGGCATGTCCTCAAAGAGGTCATAAACCATGGCCACGCGGTCCTTAACCGATAGCGGGAGCAACGGTTCGGGGGAATGACCGGTGACCACGGGAGCCGCCGCCGTACCGGTGGACCCCGCGTCCGACCTCGCTGCCACCAAAGTGGCCAGGGACGGAACAGCCAGCGGCGTATCCTGAGATAAGGCCGCCAGCTTGGAGTCCACAAGTTTTGCAAGTAATGCAGCGACGGAATCCCCGGACAGCCCATGGGCCGCCAAGGGATCCGCCGCTGCCGTGGTGGTGGTACCCGCAAGGGGACCCCGACCGGACGAGCCGGCCACCACAGGGGTGGAAACGGACTGCACATACAGCCGGTAGCGCTCGCTTGCGGCACACCCTGCAGCTCCTGGTTGCGGGGGTAGAGGGGGTGGAGGACGGCGAAACATCCATGTCAGACATTTTGTTTGTACTATGAACAAAGAGCAAAACATGGTTACAACACACGCACCACAAATAGTCACAAACGAGTATTTTCACCAGAAAATAAACGAGCAATGCGAATATAGAACATACACATATAACATATAGAGGAATAAGTGATGTAAAAACCCCAAGATATACTAGAACAGGGGAACGTAAGACGCAACGTGCATACGAGACACCCCGCAAGTATATAGAAAAAAGGGCGGGAAAAATATTTCCTTTTGGCGGGAAATATATTTCCAAGCGTAGTTACAGCAAACCCCCCGTAAAAGCACAGTTTATTAGAGAGAATAAACAGTAATAAATATCACCGAATGGTCGGAGAAACAGGAACGCTTGAGCAGTTTATTGTACGTCTTGCTAGAGCAAGCGAAGAGACGAGTGAAGGGTGTCACATGGCAGCTAGGTGGCTACGCCAGTGCTGCATGAGGTAATTGAGATCTCTGTGGTAGATTTCGCAAAAGCAGCAGTTGGGGGAGACAACAGCCTATAGGTATAACAGTGGTAACGTATTATTTAATGTAATTATATGTAGATATATGAAGATTAATAGTTCTCATGTATTTATATTAATTTCTGCATCATCACTAATTGTACATAGCTTGTTAATCTTTAATGGTACCGTTGGATAGCTTATGTTCAGCACTGTATCTGACGTCTGCGAGCAGTGTATATGTATTCTGTCAGATCTTGTGTCTTTCGCCCCCGGGACTCGTTAGGCCATTTGTATGGGTCGATGTGCTACGAGGTGGTCACGTTCGAAACTCAGGTTTTGTTAGTAAATGGTTACGGGACACCTTTGATCTATTATTGACTTACTCTGGTTGTATTGATCTAAACTTAGTACTGTATTTTCTTGAGTAAAGTGAGCACCCATTCATTCATTCAGAGCATTGAGTTAATTGACTCAGGTTTTAATTGTAATCTGGACGGTATCTTGACAAAGTGTTCTTTTAACTACTCTCATTTTATTACTGTAATACATGAATATTTGCTCTGATGTAATTAATCAGTAATTTGTCTCAGCCCAGATTGGGTTTATAGGATTCTTTCATTGTCATCTATTGGTACCAATTGTTGTCAATGATTAACCTGTGAACCTATTACCACGTTTTTTTTATCACTTTATTCTTGTTTAATGACACCCCTGATAATTGGAGCACAACTCTGTGACAGGATCAAAATACAATCTCATGAAAATCAAATCTTAGTTCTCGCTACCCTTTATCAAAGACCTGAGGACATCCAATTATGGGTCATGTCAGAACATCCTTTCATCTGACCAATCAGAGTATCGCTTACCAGATCAGGAAAGTGACAGTCTGAATGTGTTTTCTAATCAGGCAACCTCGAAATCGTTACCTACGACAGGAAGGGACTGTATGACTGATTCCATTAAAAACAATGTCAATCTCTCGCTTAAATATGCTCAATGGGATAAACATTACAAACGGAACTGACTTTCCATAGCCCGAGGAAAGTACTGCCATACAATCTCGGCCATCTATTTATCATTTTTGTTTGTTCAGTATTTAAATTTTGAATCAGTATTATTCAAAGCATTGTCTGGAATGGAAGTCGCCAGTTTTAAACTGGTGTTGTAAAGCTTGAGAAAATTGATTTCTGATTGTCAACTTCTTGTTAGTCATTGTTAGTCTTGTTAGTCATTTCATTGTTCGGTCAAAGTTAGCAAAAGGTCATTCTGGCGTGACCCTTAATGGGATGTGTCTCAGTTCAAAGTGTTGAACCAAACTAAAGTTTCACAATGAGTTTGGGTTATCATTTTTAATGAAATTGCATTAGATTGATTTTTGTCCTGTTGGATGCAATTTCAACTTGGAACATACTAAATCACTGTGAATGATGACATACAGGCTTGATCTGAATGAAGTGAACCACTTTCTGTCAGTCTCAGCAAATGCTCAGTGACCATGTGGACACTGTGGTTTTCACAAGAAATCAGAAAGAAAACATAACCCAAAAAACTTTGCTTTTCTTGTCAAAAAACACATTCATCTCATTTTGTGACCTTAAAAAGTTGACATGTTCTGCTCCTGGCTGCATCCCCCATGAAACGATGGATATTGGATATTCACTGACCTTCTCTATGTTGATGACCAGTACTTTCTTGTCCTGGATGACCCAGGTGGACTCCTCCATCTTGACACTGTTGTACAACTCTCCATCAATAACAGGGGGCTGACCTTTCAGGCCTGCCTTTAGGTGCTGCAATCAGTTCAGAATAATTACTACTTAGTGGAGAAATTGAGAATCTGTTGATTCTGGAACATGTTTGCCATGTCTTCCTCATGGAATAATTGAAAACGACAGTCTGACTGTTTCACGTGTAACATTCAAAATTATGACTGGTCCCACAGAAAATATTCTTGTTAAATAGAAACAAGAATTCTAAACAATTTTTCTTACATTTACCAAGGATACTGGTCCAGATTATTGTTAACTGGCATTTTCCTATTGGGGCACTTATACAAATGGCAAATATATTCATCTTATAGCAGCCTGTTTGATGAAAGTCAAACAAGTACATACAATCACATTATACAGGTAATGCAAGGTCGTGCTGCTAATGTAATCATATTAATAAAGATTGTATTTTGGTAATGTGCCCTGTCACTAGGCAACGGATGCAACTGAAGAATACGGAAGATATGAACCCCAAACTATATATGTTTACGTGAATGAGACTTTGTGTACATGACACAACATAGCTTGATGAATAGTTTTCATGACACTGCTTATATTACAAAGAAGTCTTCATCACGTTAATCATAACTACCTGTCATATACAGTACATGATACATACTTGAATACAAGACTATCGTGTTTGATGTTGTGAATGAATTGAACACTAAACCTCCTGTGTGTGTGTGTGTGTGTGTGTGTGTGTGTGTGTGTGTGTGTGTGTGTGTGTGTGCACACACAGTTTGTGGTGAGACTACTGTCTCTCATAATTTCACACACTTGCATTTATTTAGGTCACCGGTACACATGCTGTAAACATGATTAAATCAATACACTGACAACAATTACTTGTAACTTACCTTTTTCTGAATGTCTACAACCAAATCTTTCCCCTTGAGATTGAACTTAACATCAAACGGAATCTTTATCTGAAATCCAGAGTTTTCTCACATTATCAAGCAGAATTAATCATATGTATAAAAGATGATGAATGCAACCATTCTGAAGAGATACAGTTTCTTACATACATGATAAAATACAGATTCACATTTAGAGGTAAAGCTACTGTGTTTTGAAATTTGATGTAGTCCCCCGATAGAGAAGATACCTCTTATTTTTATTTGGCGCCGAGTGCTTTAGCACCAGGTTTCAAATGTCTAAATATGTCTCTTTAGAGAATGTGTAAAGATCCGGGGTAGAACAGGTCTTCAGCAACCCATGCTTGCCATAAAAGACAACTATGCTTGTCGTAAAAGGCAACTAACGGGTGCCGTTATACAAAACAACCTTAGCACCATGACTGTCATAAGTCTATGCTAAGGTATGTGAGTTATGATCACCTCAGTGCTAAGATCGCTTTGTACAACAGCACCCTGGCTTGTGAAAGAGACCCAGCGTGTAACAGAGGAAATATTGATATGTTCCTATGGGGGATAAATCGGCAGCCCTTTTTTATGAATCGATATGTAGGCTAAGGATGTATTCATACGCACGGTTTTTGTGTGTAAAGGTTTAATATATTTCAAAGCGGTTTCCGTAGCAAAAGGAAACCTCTCTTTAACCAATCAGAATCAAGCATTCTTCAATGTCATGGTAGAATGTACATTTAACATGATTAACAAAGCAGGGCCCATTCCACAAAGTGATCGTAGCGCTGAGGTGATTGTAACTATTTTACATAGACTTAAGACAGTTATGGCACTACGATCGCTTTATGGAACAGGGGTCAGTAGCAAAATTATCACAGTGCTCCAGATAACTTTTCAACTATTTGAGTACAATACTACTGATTATTATCAGAGTTGACAAGTACCAGATATATTTTTGAAACCAGTAAGTACTGTACTGTTTGTTTGTAGATTTGATGAGTACTTGTATGATATATAGGCGAGGTTAAATGGGGTTTAACGTTGCATTCCAGATTTTTTCACTTATAATGAGTGAGTGAGTGAGTGAGTGAGTATGGTTTTACGCCGCTTTTAGCAATATTTTAGCAATATTTTAGCAATATTCCAGCAATATCACGGCAGGGGACACCAGAAATGGGCTCACTTATAATGTGATGAGCATGCATGTGTGCGCTGCGCGTTCCGTTCCAAATTCAAATTAGCGAGGTTAAATCTACAGGTAACCTAGCTCTACAATGAAAACACAGTACCATATTTGACGTAAGAAGCGCCTAGGGCTGTCTCAAAAATAGAAATAGGGGTCTCTTATTAGAATATTATTATGGTGAAAAAGTTGAAAGATAAATTTCATGGTTTATGCTGACAGCCTGAAATGTTTATGTACGACAGATGTATTTTTCAAGAATTTAATTGCCAATAATAAAGGGTGCATATAACACATGAGTGCGTATTATAGGTGAATAGGGGAAGGAAGGGGTGCGTATTATATGAGAACAGGGGTCAGAAGGGTAGCTAATTGGGATTGTTCACTAGCCAATATATTAGCAAATCTCGCCGTGGGCGCTTATTAGAGCGGAGCGCTTATTACGTCGAATACGGTATGTTAATCTCCTAATTAGACACTCTATAGTATATTCTTGATGACTCACACTTGTGCACCTTGAGAATATAAACAATAAATGGATGACCAGTGGTTACCTCAACTTCCTCCAGCGTCTGGGTCCAGCGATAATGCTCCATGTCAGCTCCATTTTCAGAGTTGGGTTTCAGCTTGCCTTTGTCCTTTTCATCCTCATCATCATCATCAGACTGCAAGGTAAACAAGGTAAGTATCAAGCAGGAATCTCGGATGCAGCCTGATAGGACCACCACACATAATTTGTTGTATCAACATTAGAACCATCTGAGTAAGTGAGTGAGTGAATCGGGTTTAACGCCGCTTTGAACAGTGTTCCAGTTATGTGAGCCAAATTTGGAAGGAAAGCCTGATGAGATGCAAGTCTCAGACATTACCACTTTGATGAACCCCTGTGCACAGGTGCTGACAAGCCTAGACGTACTAGATTTGTTTGTTTGTTGCTTAACGCCGCATTCATCAATATTCCAGCTATATGATGGCAGTCTGTAAATAATCAAGTCTGGACCAGACAATCCAGTGATTGACATCATGAGCATCAATCTACACGATTGGGATATGATGACCATGTCAGCATGTCTGACCAACCGTTAGTTGCCTCTTACAAGTATCAGTTGCTGAAGATCAATCATAACCCGGATCCTCATGGGTAGAAATGCTGGTAACATAGGGAATCCAAGTAATCGGAGGGTGTTTTGGGGTGAATGTTCTATTTGTTCTACGCTGTTTCACGATTGAAGCAAGAAAGAATATTGCATAAAAATATAAGATGCATTGGATATGAAACACTGGGAATCAGAGTATTCCCCTTATATAAATACTTATCCTGACACAACAGTATGCAATATTCCTTCTTGGTTTCGATCATATAACAGTGTAGAACAATGTAAAACAATCACCGGAACACACGCTCACGCTCCTAGCATGCTCCTGTACTACTCATCACTTTTCCCCACGATTGCCAGTACACAGGTAACAAGTTAAGTTGGTGCATTTATCCCACAGTAGGGCAGTTGGTTGGATCAACTGCATATCCCTATTAGCCATTTAGTGGTTGGGTCAGAGCACAGACTAGACTAGACTGCCACTTTGTCTCCAACCCCAGGGTGTGTTCAACTTTCACAAGTCCCATAATACATGCATGATTACAGGTAAGGCTGGGTCTGAAATTACATTGCAACTGGAGACACTCGAAATATTGGAAACCATAGTTGCCCTCACGATACATAGTATCATTAGTACTGAGTTAAGTCAATCCGCAGAAAGCATGCAGGAGTACTGGTATGGTTGTCCTTGATAGCAGTCCTGTTCCCACCAAGTCACAGCGATGTGGAGGGGCAACAGGTTGTTGGGCTTGACAAGAGGACCCAGCTGGTGGACTCTGTCGATATCCTCAACAGACAGATCCCAGAGGTAGAAGTTGGCAAAAGTAGTATCGGTACGCCAAAAACAAACCTAGACGATGTGTATGATGGAGCTGTTGGTGTGGATGGCCATCATGGAAGCCAACACCTGAATTCCATCGGATTGGAAGCTTCAGGCGGATCCATACTGAAATGGGTGTAAGCCTGAACAGTGGAGCAGCGTGACCAAAATGACAGCATATTTTGGAGATATTCCTGCGACCCTCCTCAAATGTCGGTAGGAAAAGGCGTTTATGTTGGTGCCAAAAACAATACGTCAATATAACAGGGTAACTCACAAAGAGGGCGGATGTGTCACCAGAACCTACAATGTTAGTCAGCAGGGTGTTTGTGAAGGTGTGATCAGACTGACCAGGCAATTGATTTTTGGCAATAAAGTCCCACATTAAGCCAAGATGTACCTCCTCTGGTGGTGATACAGGTAGATCGGGAGGTGCCAAGGACCGAGTTAATATGGCTGAAACATGACTGGCAAATGGTGCCGCCTGACAGCTGTTCAGTCTGTCAGAAGTAGCGAAGGAGTCTGTCATGAGTGGAGTTGTCGCCAAAGTAGGATCCATATCGTATTAATGGCAATAAGTCTGGAAACACAACAACTTCAGGGCATACAGGGATGTGGTAGAAGGGCAGTTGTGTCTGGCAATTGCCACTCCTTGGGGCCATGACTGACTGGGGTGAGAGAGAGTGTCAGCAAGAATGTTGGAAACACCCAGAAGTGGCGAGCTCTCACCTTCAACAGAATGTAGTCTATGAGACGGTAGAATGCGAACGTGAGATCCAGGAGACTGTGAGTGAGTGGATCCCAACCGATTGATGTAATGATAAATTGTGACATGAGTTCCCAGCAAGATCGGCTGCCATGTCTGAATGGCCAATAAAACTGCTTGAAACTCCAAACAGTTGATGTGCAAATGGAGAAATGGGGTGGATCACAGTCCTGAAGCCCAGAGATTCCCAAGATAGTCTCCCCACCCTTCATTTTGATGCATCCATCAATAGGTGACGAGTTGGAATGAAGTTGGTCAAAGATATCCTGTTAAAGACATTTGAATCAAGGGTCCATCAGTGGAGGTAGGGTCGTAGTGGGAGAGAGATAAGACGTCGTCGGGTGTGTCTTGATCGAACCACAGCTGGAGAAAATCTGCAGACGACATAACTGCTGGCATACACAGCAGTTTTGAGTCCTGCGCCAGGCGTTGCCAACTGTGTATCTCAAGTCCAGATGACAAGCCTGTTTGGACCAGAAGTTCCACCGTGGCCATGAAACAAAGAGGAGGCTTTGATGTGTCTTGAATAGTCACTTGATGAAGTGAAGGGTCCAGGAAAGAGTCAACTCTGACTTGTTGAAATTAATCTGCCATCCAAGCTGCTGAAGGAAACGGAAATCCAATCTGTCTGAAGCAGCCGAGACAAGGAATCACTCATAAGGCAATTGACAATGTACAAGCTGAAGGGGATCCCCTGCTGGTGTAGGAATGTCCCTAGGCTTTTGGTAATAGGAGTGAAAACCAACTGGGTTGCAGAGATGACAAACAGTAGGACTTGTCAGCCAATTTAAAATGGAGATACTGACGATGGGCTGGAAAAGTGGAGACATGCAGGTAGGCATCCTGGAGGTCGAGTGAGGCCAGGAAGTCGCCAGGTTGAATGATAGACCGGGGCAGCGGTAGCATAACCATCCAAAACCATTGTGGCGTGTCCAAGAAGTTGCGGTTGAAGACACACAGATTGTGAATAATACGTATCTGGGGACGAGCTCCAAGTGTTATTTCGGGCACGGTAGTTGGAGCAGCAATACAGTGAGAGGAGGTTGCGCTAGTAAGGGTAAGCGAGGTACCGATATATAGCAGAGTCTGAATGACCCAGCGGTCAGAGAAAAGAGTTGGTCATAGCTTTGCCAGAACCGATGGGGATGTCTGCCGACAGGAGAGTCATAAGGAATGAAGACCAAAGGCGGAAGATCCCAGTCACCCACCCTGGAAGGAGTATCTGCCTGCCGTGCAGGGAGCCAGAGTGTTGTCTTGTGGCCCTGTACCGAGCGCCCGAGGAGGAGGGCTGAGTGTGGCCCCTTGCCGATCTGGCCTTAGAAACCTGAGAAGTTGTGGCCTGCATTGAAGGTTTGGAGTAGGTGTTTAGCCTTAGGTTGATAGGGCATCCTCCATGTGTATTGGGTACCCAGGCGAGTTATACACATCGGCAAAGTCTGAACTGTAGCTTCAGCCTAGGCAATGGAGAAAGATTTTTCATAAACCTCCTGAACCTTACTGTTGAAGAGTTTCATAAATGACCAAGGTTGGCAAAAGAGTTCAAACAAAAGGGATGGGTGCTATCCAGCCTCCTAAATATAACATAACGACACATAAGGAGGAGGGAGCCCGTAGCAAGCATAAGAATTGAGTCAAGTCCTCGAAGTCTCATACAAAGTTGAGAGCAAGTCCCTCAAAAGGTATGTCTTCCACTGGCCAATCCAATGCCTGCATGAAGATGGTAATGAGAGAGGGTAGCTGTAGTGTGCCCTCTAGCGTAGTATAAGTAGGTAAAACTTGAAAAGGTCATGGATACGTGTTCACAATCAGTGCAATGCTGGTCAAAGGTGCAGGAGACCATGGTGGTCCTGTGCTGATTTCTTCCAAAGCAGTCCACGAACTTTCGAGGAGAGCACAGAAAGGACCAGTTTGTCCATAATTTCTCAAAATCTAAAACAGAAGAAGAGAATTAATATTGACAAAAATCATGAACATTAAACAAAATGCAACCGGCTTTCACGTGCCTCAGGGAGCAATGGTGGGGAAAGAACGCCTGTGAGGAAGAAAAGGAGCCATTTAATTATATTTATCGATAAATAACAAACAGGGACCCTGATAATTATGCACTAAGGATGATAAATCGAAGTCAAACCCAAATGACAAAACCAATCCATTCATAATTGTGGGATGGAAGCACAATACGTCCATTCACCACAGGTGATGAAAGAAAAAGTGACGAGTAGTACAGAAGCATACTGGGAGTGAGGTGGTCAGAGGGTGTGTTCCTGTGATAATTTTACATTATTCTACACTGTCATATGATCGAAGCAAGAAGGGGTGTGTGAGTATTGTTTTACGCCGCTCTTAGCAATATTCCTGCAATGTCACAGCAGATTACACCAGAAATGGGCTTTGCACATTGTACCCATTTTGGGAATTGAACCTGGGTCTTCAGCATGACAATTAAACACTTAAACCACTGGGCAACCCCACTGCTCCAAAGCAAAGAGGAATATTGCATACTGTTATGGAGGGATAAATTACAAAAATACATATTCATAATATTTGGTTATGATCACAATAGCCAGTGGTTAGAACATAGAGTCAATACATCAGTGCTGTCTTGACAACCACCTAACCTACTGGCATGCCTCTCTACAAGGCACATACAGATCAGGTACAGTCCCTGTCTAATCACCTCCTTGTCACCACTCCCGCTATCATCTTTCTTCGATTCACCATTAACTTCAGTGCTTTCAGCCGGCTTGGACTTCTGTAATGAAAGCAGTAACACTTAGCATGGTTGACAACCAAATATTTGCTTATCATCAGTTTTTGTTGGTTAATATATGAAGAATTACTCATATTCAAGAGATTCTAGATTGGTTTGTCGCACAAACGAAACATACTGTTAGTGTTATGTTGCAGGAACCGACGCTCATGAGCACATCACTTGTAATGTCATAGATCCATGACTGGAGATGCACCGTTTGTCTCGTGCAGGATTAACGTGTAAAGTTTGGAAATCATGTGCAGCATGTCGTGATAAGAATAAAGACACTCTGTGGTGACACTTGACTGATTGTTAATTGGTCATGTGGTACACATTGGAAACATCTCTTCTTGACATGCATAGTTCTCTATATGTTTCTATGGTTTGCGTTTCTTTTGGCGGTGAGTATATATATATATATATATATATATATATATATATATATATATATAAAAATGAGGTAAATGTTCACTCGGTGTACATGTAATATATAATTGCGCGGAGAGTATGTACCATCGTGTCGGAAACGGATAAAAGAGATTTAAGATTGAAAGAATTAATGGGGTATCTCAGGAAGCTAGGATATCCGCTTCGCGTCATAAATGACGCAATAGAAAAGTCTTTAAAAATTCCAAGACATACTCTCCTGAAACCTAATGAAAAATCTGTGGGCGATCAAATTATACCGTTTGTGTCCACCTTCAATCCTAATAATTGTGATATCATGCCAGTCATAAGGGACAACCTCCCAATTTTACAGCAAAGCGATAAAATGAAACAAGGACTGAATAAATTTAAAATTATAAAAAGTACCAGGCAACCAAAAAATCTCAAGCAGATTCTTTGTCCATCCAAATATTCTTGTACAAAGAGTGTACCATGTGTAAGTAGATGTAACACACCAAGATGCGGCACGTGTAACATCATAAGTGAAGGTACTACTTTCCTTTTTGCAAATGGCAAGGGTTTCAATGTGAAAGCCGACATGAACTGCCGCAGCAAAGATGTGGTGTATGTTATGAGATGTTCGGGATGCGGCGAAAACTACATCGGTGAAACCGGCATGGAATTAAAAGATAGAGTCACTGTACACAAACAGCAGATTAGAGACCCTAATGTTCGATGCTTAGGTGTCAGCAAACACATTGATGATTGCGGAAACGGGAAATTTACTATTTTTCCGTTTTATAAATTGTATACAAGTAACAAGCAGCTGAGACTGGAAAAAGAACAAATGTTTATCCAATTGATGAAACCAAAGTTGAACTCTAGAATGTATTAATAGATTTGTCATTTCAATCGTAAATGTTGCACTGTTACTTTACAAATACTGTATATTTAATTCAAAAGTCTCCCTACAATTGTTAAATTACTTGGTGTCGTCGCTGGAGTGTGTAAATACATTGTGACGTCACAGTTGTAATTTATGACGTCATCATAAGTATGACGTCATTATATGTCATTGTCAGTTACACTGAAGAGCTGTCATGAGACAGCGAAAGTACTATGTATGAAACTGATATAAAGAAGATGGACTAACGTGGACTTTATTATTTTATTATATATATATATATATATATATATATATATATATATATATATATATATATATATATATATATGCTTCAATTTGCCACAGAGAGGACTACTTGACTTTATATAACACTATGCTGCTGACATTGAAACACATCGGAAATAAATATGAAAGTATAACAGCCGCATCAAACCTGTGCAATTTCTTTCTGTAATTTCTCAGCCTCTTCATCAGTCAGTTCTTTGATTTTAGGTTCCTCTTTCTGACCTTCCTGTTCTTTCTCCTCTGTAGCTTTCCGTCTTGCTATTTTCTCTTGTCTGCGTTTCTCTTCGGCCTCCTTCTCTGCTTTGACCTCAGCAGCCTTGGCTTCAGCTTGAGACTGGTACTTCTTAAACTTCTCCTGAATCATCTGAAAAACACACTGGAGAATACAGACTGGGTTCTGGCAGCAAAACAGCATCATGAAGTACAAAATATCTGAAGACGAAGTGAGTGAGTTTGGTTTAACACCGTTTTTAACAGTATTCCAGTTATATCATGGCATGTCTGCTTAATGTGGGAGGAAAGCCCAAAGTGATGCAGGTCTCAGGCGTTTACCACTTCGGTGAAACCCACAAGCACAGGTATGGTGCTGACAAACCTAGAAACATAATCAGGGCAAACCGTGATTCCAACCCACAATCATAGGTTTCTGGCATGCCCAAGGGATGCAATTCTGCACTGCGAATCGCGACGACTTAGACGACTAGGCCACCCATGCCCCCCTGAGGACCAAGTGAAAGTTGAGGGTATAAACATTACTAACTACTGCTAAACAAACATCAGAGGACATCCTTTCATCCAACCAATCAGAGCATCGCTTACCAGATCGTCAAATCATGCAACCTTGAAAAGGTAAACACGGGGTAAGCCCAACGGCAGGTACAGGCTGTACTACTGATTCTGTCAAGATCATCTAACTTTCGCTTGGAACGGAAGAGTCTTTCCATAGCCTTGGGAAGTACTGCCTAACCATCTTGGCCATTTGTTAGACATTCCAGATTTACTTTCCTTTGTTCAGTTTTCAAATTTTGAACTGAGAACTTTGACAAAATATGTTTACAAAGGGTCAATCGAGTCTAGAAAGGAAGTCTCCAGTTTCAAACTAGTGCCGCAAAGCTCAAGCTGCTTTCTGATTGGCTAATGTGGTCTTCCTATTGGTTATTTCATTGGCCAGTCAAAGATCACGAAAAGTTGTTCTGACGAGACCTGTAATGGGATGTCCTCCTATCTGTGTGTGGTGATAGCAAGCACTAAGATCTGATATTAATGTTATTGGGTGTCATGGATCAATACCATGACGTAACCTCGGCCAACAGTTACTGCCCCATGTGCTGCAACTAGAAATGTTATTCTAGTCACAAAATACACAAGGGAGTGTGGGTGCATATGGAATATTTTAACCAGATCTGCTGTTGAACAAAGTACCTTCTCGGCTGCTCCTTCCCCACCACCCATGTAGAAGTCGGTTTTCCTCGACAAGAAATTGAAGAGCACATCCAGCAACTGCAACCAGAAATAAAAATGAAAATAATTTTGTTGTTGGCTACTATGGTTCCTGTTCAACAAACATTAACACATACATACTGACAGTGTAGTGACAACCAACAACATATTTTTCACACACAAGGCATATTCAAGCTATTGCAGTGTTTAGCAAATTGCAATCAAGTTTAGCAAGGTTTGTTTGACACACTGAATCAGCCATAAAAATTTGTAGTTGAAATTTTTACAAACCTGTAGAGGTTATGAGTTCTCTGATGAAATCCTCCTTGGGGCACTTATTGCATTTTCCTGGCTCAAGAAAATCTACATGACATAGTTGTAACCATTTTCCTTAATAAAAAATGTTACCACACAAAAAACTTCGTCTTTGTACGATATACGTCCACCCTTATGGTGCCTCACCCTCCACGGCGCGTCACGCCAAGGGAAGCAACTCTCACCCAAATCACTTTCCATAAGGCTAATGCTGACGGAATGTGGGGAGGTGGGTGGCCGTGCCCCAAGGAGGATTTCATCAGAGAATTCATAACCTCTACAGGTTTGTAAAATTCTCTTTCAGATTAAATCCTCCTTGGGCCACTTATTGCATCAAGATAGACTCCTAAAGATAATCTAGGAAGTGGCATCCGTCAGCAACAAGCGTGCATAAATACATCATATTTTGATTATTTCAATGAATAAACAAGAGTTCAATAAATGGAACCAACCATATCGTGAGGCACCACCGTCGAAAGGCGGGGGCTAGACACAGGGCGTGGTCGACCATACACAATGAAAAAAAGCATTCTTTGTGGCTTATCATATCGAGAACTTGAGACACACACACACCCCATCCCCCCTTTTTTGAACAAGTGATATGGGGGCGCAGATCACGAGAGACTATAAACCCTCGCAGAGCTAGGCCAGAGGGTTCCTGTGAATCGAAGGAGTGCTTGTGCAAATACAATTAAAATCGAGTAGTAATGGCTGGTATTGTTATCGACCTTAGAAGATATAATCTGGACCGTTACTGAGCAGTTTTATAACCGGTCCGGGCGGTCTAAAATCTTGAAGGCTCAATCGGCTAGAGATGCAGAACTTTGCCCAGTTCGGAGAACTGACTGACCAAACCGAGCACGCTCGCTTGAGTGCTTGTCGAGTTGGTAATGTTTGATGAACGTGCTCGGCTGGCTCCAAATAGCCGCGGAGCAGATCTCCTCAATGGGCAGAGCCGCGGCGTACGCTAGTGTCGTAGCCACTGCTCTAACCGAATGAGCCTTCAACTTGGTAGGGGGGTCCCTGCCTTGAAGGGTGTACGAAGTACAGATAGTAGAGACTATCCACCTGGAGATAGTTTGTTTGCTCGCAGGTGAGCCAGCCTTCCTACCGCCATAACAGCAAAATAATTGGTTATCCTTACGGATACCCTTAGTTCTGCTGATATAGGACTTGAGGGTCCTGCGGACATCCAAGACATGAGCATGTCTTGCAGTGGTCCCCGACGAGGAAGGCTGTGAAAGAGCAGGTAGCTCAATAGGAGCCGTCACGTGGAAGGCGTGTGCGACCTAAGGAAGGTAAGAGTCCGGCAGGCGAATACTGACCCTGTCCTTTTGAAAGACAGTTAGTTCGGGATCGGCTGACATTGCGTGAATGTCACCTACCCGTCTGCCGGACATTACCGCCACAAGGAACGCCGTCTTCCAGCTCAACAGCTGAAGAGAGAGAGACGACAGATCCCGAAAGGAAGGACCGGACAGCCAATCAAGAACGATTAACAAGTCCCAATGGGGACTGATCCGCCAGACAGGCGGTCGGATCCTGTCCACACCTGCTAAAAAGCGTTGCACTAATGGGTGTGCACCCAGAAGTGCCCCACCGACAGGGACGTGAAAGGTTGCGATAGCTGTAGAGTACCCCCGGACTGTCGATGCGTCCAGGACGTCATCTAGTTGTGACTGGAGGAACTCAAGCACGGCTATGAGATCTGCAGAAAAGGGATCTGCAATCCCTCTATCGACACACCAGCACGCATGGCAGGCCCATCTATCCTCGTACTGAACGTTTGTCGAATCCCTCCGCGAAGCCAGTATTGTGTCTGCAACTCGTGCAGGAATACCGCTCTTCTGGAGGCGATTCCGGACAGTGGCCAACCCACCCACTGAATCCTGGGATTCGGGTGGAGGGCCCCGTTCTGGGATAGAAGGTCCGGTCGTAAAGGTAATAGAACAGGAGGCTGAGCCAGAAACCTGAGTATTACTGGAAACCAGCTCCGCACCGACCAAAGGGGTGCCAGAGCACAAGTAGTCGCGCAGGCTGAGTGGCTAGCTGAGACAGGACCTTGGGAATCAGAGGTACTTGGGGAAATGCCCACAGAATTCTGTCCGTCCAATCTAGCTGGAAGGCGTCCGATGCCACCGACCTCGGGGTCCCCCCTGCTTCCGGATGTAAAAAATCGCCGTTTGGTTGTCTATATCTAGACGCACAACTTGGCCACGAAGCAGATCCAGGAAGCGTTGGAACACCAACCTGACCGCTCTCAGTTCTAGCACATTGATATGCAGTTTGATCTCCTGCTGGGACCATAGTCCCGAGGCAGTGTGATCGTTCAGAATGCCTCCCCAGCCGGAGAGTGACGCGTCTGTTTGAACTGTGAGAGACGGAAAGGGAGTGTCGAGGGGGAGCCCCCGGGACAGATTCCTGACCTCGGTCCACCACTGAAGGTGTGCATTGAGCCACTGTGGAGTCACGAGAACAGTCTCGAGATCTTCCGAATTCACCCAAAGTCGACGGAGCGCTTGTTGAATGGGTCTCATTCTCAAGCGCGCCCGCCAAACCACATCCACTGTCGCCGCCATGTTGCCCAGTAACTGGAGCCATGTACGAGCAGTGTGACTTGCGGACAGAAGGAACTGGGAAGTAACACTTCTGACCCTGGTAATGCGATCTTGTGACAGAGATACAAGTCCGCTCACCATGTTGAAATTCGCCCCTAGGAAGACGAGATTCTGAGTAGGGCTCAGATCTGACTTCTTGAGATTGACTATCCACCCTAGAGTGATCAGAATGTCTATCACATCTTGTGTAGCTATCTGACTCAGGGATTGTGATAGAGCTCTTAGTAACCAGTCGTCGAGGTACGGATGGCAGAACCGACCTTTTGACCTGGCCACTTGGGCAGGAATCAACATCAGCTTGGTGAACACCCTCGGGGCCGTGGAAATCCCGAATGGTAGAACCCTGAACTGACCCCCCCTTCCATCGAAAGAAAACCTCAGGTATTTCTTGAACTCGGGGTGTATGGGTACGTGGAGATAGGCGTCTTTTAGGTCTATTGTCATTAGCCATTCTCCTGTCTCGACAGCTGAGATCACCGAGCGCAGTGTCTCCATCCTGAAGTACGGTACCTCTATAAATTTGTTCAGCCTTCTCAGATTGAGAATAGGTCTGAACCCTCCGTCTTTTAGGGGGACTAGGAAATATGTCGAGTAGAAGCCCTTGCTTTCCTGTCCCACAGGAACCGGTTCGATCGCAGCCTTCATAAGAAGTGCGTCGACCTCGGCACGGAGGAATTCCGCCTTTTCTCGGGTAGCAGGCACCTGAGTGTGCTTTATCCCGGAGAAGGGGGGCGGATGATGTTTCCAGTGAGGCAAATGGCCATCCCATAGAGTGGACAGGGTCCAGGGATTGGATGTGACTGTCTCCCATTCCTGCAGGAATAGAGCCAGTCGGCCGCCTACGGGGACATCCGGCTTGAGGCAGTGGACCCTGGCTGTGGGCAGTTCCATAACATGCGACCGTGGGTCCGCCCAGGGCACTTCAGGGCGCTAATGGGTTCCCGGCCACGCGAAAAGGCTGCTGGCCTCGACCAGCTGCCTTGCCCCGGCCCCTGCCTCTCTTGCTCCTCCCGGCGCTCTTACCTGAAGGAAGCGGCTGCTTCCAAGCAGGTGCAGACTTCTGACCCGGCGCGTCAGCGTAGAAGGAGGCAATTACGCGGTTTAACGCATGGTACCTCCAACAAGGCCTTAGAATCCTTGATGGAGGCATACAACTGTGAGGCCTCTCAGACCACCTGCTGAGCCCCAGGGAAGAGGGGGGCACCCATCTTATAAGGCAAAGCAAGTAGATCCTGGCGTGTGGAAGCCCAGTATTTGGATACCGACATCCACAGCCTGCGCATGCCCATGACTGCGCACATCATCTGCGAGGCACAGCTACGAATAGCGTCCCTCGCAAGATGACTATGGACCTCTGTAAGTTGCGCGGCCAATTCCGAAGAGTCGGACGGCCCCTCTCCCGCTAACTCCCTCTGTACGGCCGACAGATATGCGGAGTGTACGGACACACGGAGTTGCTGACATGCGTTACGATATTGCTCCTCGAAGCAAACGTAAGGAGCCTTCAGCTCCGCACCGCACCGGGGAAAGGGTGGCAACCGCCGGCCCTACTTGACCTTAGCCAAGGTGGGGGCCGAAGACCCCCCCAGGGTAACAGAGGTCCAGACGCATTCGTCCAACACCGGTACCTCGAAGTCACCATCCTCTGCTAACGGGTACCGCTTAATAAGTTCGGGCAGGTGGAACTTCCCGCGGGCACCCGACAACAGAGGGTTGATGACCTCATGCACCAGTGAAGAGAGAATACGGAGCCGCACCTGGGGCGCCTTGCTCCAGGGCGTCCCCCGGAAGGCGGAACTCAGACGGATCCGACTGGGGCATGGGCGCAGCCACCTGAGGCAGTACCTGGACAATCTTGTCCCATACATACCTCAACGAGGAAACGAAGGAAAATGTTCCCGAGGTTTCCGAGTCGTCTCCGAGTCGTTCGGAGAGAAGAGGCAGACGAAGTCGGAAGGGGACGCCCGAAGGCCTGGGCCTTCGCATCCCCGGGCTGCACCCGACCCGAAGCTGAGGTCCTGGTCCCGAGGGTTCAAGGGAACCCACCTGGCTCTGGGCTAGGAATCCGCTAGAGGAAGCCTCTGCCTCGAAAGAGGCGTCTGGCTCCGCTAGGGAGAACTGTGCGTCGGTAGTGAACGGGCCAGCGCCCGCCACCCCTCCGCTGGGGAGCGACCTCGAGCCAGTGCCGAAGCCTGGACTGAGATCGTCCCCGAGACCAAGTGGCCTGCATATCACGAGGTCTCGAAGCCACGTCCGCTGCCGACAATGGGGAAGGCTCGGTCCGCATCTCCTCTCGGAGCTGAGACTTTACCTCCTCCATCATCGACGCCATCTGCGACCTCAACAACACTGGGCATGAAAGCAACACTGGGCATGACCCATCGTCATGCCCGTCTTCCGCCAAACACTTGAGGCAAGTATCATGCCTGTCTTGGGGGGGGGATAGATGCCGAACACCCCGTACACAATTTGAAGGTCTGTAAAAAAGACCGTAATTTTTTAGTTGGGCGGGAAGGGTAATAAAGTGTATCAGTGCGATTGAAAGATCGGAAAGATACGTGCATAAATTTGTGAAACTAGAAGCAAAGGCGTAATTTAGAATGCGATTGGTAACAAGATACTAATAGTGGGCGTGTTACGCGCGAAGGTGTAAAAAAACCGTAAAAAAAGGTAAGTGTGATTTAAATATAATTAACACACCACCTTGGGTTTATTAAAGGAAAAGATTGTAGGCCAAAGTCTGATGATATAACATTAAAAACCCCAAGCCGTTTTTAATGGCCCTGGTGTTACATGTATCATACGTGGCACAACAATATGGACGCCACGACGGCCTTTGTTCAAAGGTATCGTACACATGTCAAATAATTACAACTCTATAACTTTACAATGCGAGGTATTACGCCTTTGCATGAAAGAAATGTACCATACATACAGTTTGGTCTGCCATGGTTCTTGTACGAACGATTTATCTTGTACTTTGTAAGTCTTGAAAAAAACAGCACGTCTGTCTTTGTCAGATGACATAAGGAAAGTTATTTGGGTGAGAGTTGCTTCCCTTGGCGTGACGCGCCGTGGAGGGTGAGGCACCATAAGGGTGGACGTATATCATACAAAAACGAAGTTTTTTGTGTGGTAACATTTTTTATTAAGGAAAATGGTTACAACTATGTCATGTAGATTTTCTTGAGCCAGGAAAATGCAATAAGTGCCCCAAGGAGGATTTAATCTGAAAGAGAATGGTCATCTTCCGTGATTGCTGTTGATTCTGTAGCCCATAAACATGGTAATTTACCCTTGTTTAATAATATAACCACGATGACAATTTGGGCTGCCTATGGGTATAAATCTGGGGAGATTGATAATCGTCAACTAAATATTGATCAATTATTGCTATTCGCCAGCCCTAATGACAATACAGTGCTTCAGAGTGCTTTAAAGGAGCCTATGCTTGACCTGATGCCCACTTCCAGTCCTGGTACCCGTTCCACAGAGCGATCTTAGCACTTTGATTATCTGAAGTCCATGTTGAAGCATGGATGATCGTCTCAGTGCTAAGACCGCTTTGTGGAACAGGACTCAGGACTAGATGTTGGAAATATCAAATGCTGTGTAAACCATCACCTCAGTGTAATGAGGGTTGTAATAACATTTTCTTAACATGATCATGATGTTTTATTACTGATCTAATTCCGAAAATCTAAATTCCCAAAGAAACACAATGAACACAGTGCTGGTAATCACGTTCCTGTGGTGTCAGAATGACATGAATCAAACTTGCATGGACTGACAATTTGTTGAAGCCTTGTCACCCTTTAATACTCATGTATGGCTGAAGCAAGTGAATACATATGAACATGATGAAAGATGGGTCAAGCATCATTGCCCTCAGAAACATGGAACTATGCACTCACATCATGCATATGACCAGTGTTAGAAATTGGCAGTAGTCCTGTGGTCCTCGCCAAACTGTCCAGTAGGTAAAGTATTATAAGGACTCATAGAAATTTGCCATTATTAATAGTTTTGCTATATATTATTATTATAAGGACTAGTGCACTAAAAATATAAGTTTCTATTGCCATGATTGCTGATGACTCAGAAATTGACAAAAGATAGTGTTTGGCATGCTGCTTTTTTTCTGGGGTTAACATTGTCAATGACAAGGGCTCCTACTAAAGTGCCAGTGTGAAGCACTGAAAATTGCAATATACCATTCTTGGCTGCAGGAAAATCCTTGTATAATTCATTTGACAGGACATTAGCCGAATCATGGTAATACGATGTCAGTCAGCATGATCTGTGAAGGGTATAGCGTTCTACAGCTATGTTTAATGGATGCATCAGAATGAGGCTGCCAACACCCTCTTCAGTCCTGGTGCATGTAATTCATAGGTCTTACTTAGAGGGTACTTAGGATTCAGCATGTTCATCACGGAACACAAATAAAATTATATTTGGCATAATGATTCAACATATACATGGTGTATTTATAAATTTACTTTAGATATTTGACTTTTTCAATTTTTTGGCAGTAGTTGTGTCTATGATTAACATTCTGCCTTTTTAGAGTGAATTCTGAGATGCTTTTGAGACTTGTGTAATTATTATTCAGGATTCAGGGGTGAGCAAAAGTAACACAAGAGTGAAAAATAAGATTTGGCATTAAGGGGAGGGGGTTGGCACTCTCCAGAATGTATGAGCATGTGGACAATAGTCTTGTATTTGGTCAAAAGAGTGAGTGAGATCATATTTAATGTCCCATCAGCATTATTTCAGCAAAATCTGCACTACATCTACTCATGTACTTGTCATGGTGGTTACCAATTCACTGAACAATTAAAAAACCTCCAACCAAAATCATAGTGATTAGCAAATTTTGTACAGCTGGCCTCTGTATTTTTCAGTCAACAGTCACCCTCCCCTTACGTGTCTATCTGAGGCACTGCCAGTTACCTCATGTGCTTTGTTCAACATATGATTGGATAAGTGTGTACCCCACTTTTCAGAATCATGTAACTGTTTATCCATTGTATTCCATCCGCCCTAGCCCATTTTTCAAGACACCAGTGTCTAGTCTGGTGCAGGCAAAAATGGCACCTCAGCAAAATGTCACCGATTTCTAAGACTAAAACGTCACCCCTTTTGGCGAAAAATGGCTACTAATCATGCTAATTGTCGGGCGAAAACGACACCTCAATTTTTAATAACAATAAGAATTATTTATGCAGTAGTAGTATATATGCTTTATTATGTTATGTTGTAGTATATATGTTTTCCTTGGGCGGGGACACAGTCTGTTATCCAAAGGAACATTCTTGGCTGCAGACAGAAAGGGGAGATATATATATATATAAAATATCCATAAAATTACTTTTGTATTTCCTACTAAGTAAAATGAATATTTCCGCCAGGCTCAGTTTCATCTTCACATTGAGTTAATTGACCTACGGTCTCCCAATCAGAGTTGGTGAGTAAATTGGACATAATTTAATTTAACAATTATTTGTGTTTGCAAGTGACCATGTAAGTTTAATTTCATTTATTTTACTTCAAAGCATGTGATGTCTTCACATATAAGTATAGATCTAGTTGTGCCTCCAAATCAGAGTCGATGAGTAAAGGCTAGTTTGTAATGTACCAGTAAACATTTTTTAACATTTCACAAAATTATGTTTGTGTTTGAGGTTGATTTCATGTATTTCAGTGCCAAGGTTAAAAGAATAATATGGTGCCGTTTTCACCATAGACAAGGTGACGTTTTCGCCAATCGATGCCATTTTCGCTCAGTGAGGTTTTGCTGAGGTGCCGTCTTAACTAGGCCTATAACCCGTCTACTCCATGTGTTTTGGTCCACTTTGTGGTGCACCCCCTTTTTCACACTCCTGAATCTGTCTGTTTATACATGTTATCCCACTGAAAACGAAAATAACAAATATACACCATGTCATGATACATCCATATGGCAATAGCTATCATGATCCTATTTTAGAGAGAGGGTTCATTTTGTCTGAATATTGTAGACGGTTCCAGATCGCAACTAAGATCTTCGCTTCGTGCCTTGTTTGACAATACTCAATAGCACGTAATGAGCACATTCCACGATTTTACCTCTTGAACACCTCCTTCACATTGTGAGGCCATGCCGAGAAGCATCCCGTCAAATCTCTCAGGGTCTGCCATTGTCGTCTTTGGTTACTTTCGCTTTTAGTTAACCTAAGTCTTGAAAGCACAACCTACACTAGCAACTTTGCACGCTAATACCCACTTCCGGTTATTGATACAGGAAATTGGCAGATACGCATGCGTCGTATCCAGCATAGCTCACATCCGTAAACAATGTCGGCGTCTCTGTTCTGTAAGTGTGACAGCTAGGCCTAAGGAAACCTCAGTGACAATGAACCCCGACCCTGATTTCGTTCTCCGTGGGAAATCCCCTTCGTACTGGTATGTTTCTTTCCTAGTCAGCTTGCATGCGAATATTTGCAGTTTCTGGACTGAATGACTGCTTCGATGAAACGGCGGGCGGTCACAACAAAACAAGTGTGAACACGACTTAGTCACAGTTCTACAGCACAAAGTTCACGAAAGAAATGAAAAAAAATAATAGTTTGGGAAATTCATGACAAACACTTTATAAGATAAGATAAAATATCTATACTGAAATTAAAACGTTTTATAAACTTATTATGAAAGACATCAGAACAAATAATATCCCAATACTGTTTTCAGTCTTATAGCCTGCAACCTCAGGGTATCGCGGTACTTGTCATGTACGCTAAACGGAACAAAATGCACTCACTAACCTTTATGATTATTCGTGTTCTCTATATCAGATATCATTTATTTTATCAAATAATGCATATTTTACTGATAAAAGTTCACTATTTACATCAGTAGTAAAAGCCGGGCCTCGCGCTCTGTTTGACAAGGGAGAGAACTCCATTGTATCGCGGTACAGAGAAAAGTTGTGTATGGAGGTCCGAATTGGACAAAAAGAGGACATAATTCTACCAACCAATGGTATGATGCTGCCAGACATCAGTGATTTGTCCAGACAAGTGCAAAGACAGCACAAGTAAAATTCTAAATGTGTTATCAGTAATAGGTATTCAATGCATATTTACCGAAAATTAAGACAAAAATATTTTTATAAGTCAACAACAAAATATCAGAAATGATATTCTAAGATTCTTTATAAAAAAATTGGATGACAATAATTTGTCACAAAATGGAAAAGTGTTTAACATCAACAATAAATATATATAAAGCACTTCTAGTATGCCCAAAGTATGTATTTATCTTTTGGCTACTAGTGAAGAACGTATTTCTAAGTTTGGCATTATGGCCCTTATGATCTCCCAATAGATTCTTGGCACAGAGCGGGAAAAAATATGCGGACTACGTAACTTCCGTTTCCTTATTAGTCGCCATGAATATGCAGATGATCTAGTTCAGGTCGATAGAGAATGTTTACTAGGGGAACTGCTTTCATATTGCTCACTGAGGCATAAATGTATCATATAATAATATTCACTAACCATGCTAACTTTGCATTAAACATATGGAACATTGTGTTAGATAAAGAGAAATATTTAACGTCTAATGTTGTGTCTGACACTTAATTGTCAGAACAAGTATAACTATGGATTATGTTTTCAGGTCCAAACCTGGATATCTTAGCAACAGTCAACTAACCACCACAACAAGCGGAGTGGGGAGGTATTCTCCAGAGTGTTACCATGACAATTATGACAACCAGAAATTGTCCCAGTCATTAAGAAGCATGAGTCATAATCTAAACAGAGTAAGCAGTAATTTAAAACAAACACTACTTGGAAAAGATTCAGAAGCAACTAACTTATCTCAATCTAAGGATTTCCACAGCAGTTTACATACAAGTGCTACAGAGGCTGAACTGGCTCGATTAATGCATCACAACTTAGATTTGGAAGATTCCTATGCTGGTAGGCCACGGTCAAGAGAGGAATCTCAGTGGTACACAAGCCCAGTCCACATGTCTCAGACGTACCTCCGGCCATCTCGGTCCACTTCGCCTATACATAACACAACTGGTACCCTTGGAGCATTACTGGATGAAGAAATAGCTTCAGACAAGCAGGTATATAGAGAAATTGCCTATAAAGCACAAGCCAATGAAGGTGGTCTTGCAGCCACATATTTTCCAGTTACTCTCGGTGCAGGTTATTACATGCAAGCAGCAGACAGGCAGACTGGGCCTCCCCTGTCATCCACCAAACTTGTCAAGACTAGTCCATCAAAGTCACGGTCAAACACTGGAATATTGAAGAAATCTAAGCGTGCAAAATCTGCAGCCAGAGCGGATGAGCTTCTTGGTAACAGTGAATACAGGAGACATGATAACATGCACTTCCTGGTGAATGAGGCCCCAACTATTGGTAAGCTGGAGTTTAGGGTCAGCAAGTTATGGAAATGTGGGATATAGCTAAATATCATTCAAGAGTTTTGTAGGTTCTTTAAATGTTGTCTACATGAAGGACACTAAAGAATGCTCTACATGCACAGTTTTTTATATTTTCATTTCTCATGTTCATGAACTATGATTCAAGAATTGGCTTCAATAATGTCTGTGGTTATGAAGATATAAACATAAAAAAATGATGTGCATGCTGCGTGAATCTGCATAGTATTGAACCTTGAATTACACACAAGGGCAAGACTAGATATCCTGTTGTTTTAGATCCTTGTTAGATCCATTACCTTTGTTCAAACAGTTATTCTTTTAGATGACAGTGATAGAAAATTCTTCTTTTTAAGTGTGCACTTCAGGCACCAGGAACATATTAACCATGATGAATATAGCCATGGCATTATCACTCTAATACAAGGAACCCTGGATTATGTGTTTAATATAAAGAGGGAGATTGTACGGATGTCAACTAATTCTGATGAGGAACACAGCGTTTCGGAGTATGTACTTACTCCTTCAGGTGAATGAATGCAAGGATGCAGAGGGCATATATGTACCTGTAAGAAAATAAAAGCAGTAAGATAACAACTTGATGGAAGCCAACAGTTAATTAGCGCTGATTCAGTGATTGGTTATGAGCAATGGACAAATGGAAGCCAACTAGATTAATTAGCTTTGATAGAAGAATAAGGTGACAGATAGATGGTGACACAGATTAATAAATCAATCAGTCCCAAGCACGTTGTGTTCCTCATAATAAAAAGTTGACATCCATAAATTCTCTTTTTTTATGTGTATCACTTCTAAAAGACATTTGAAGACTTATTATGTTCAATGTTGATTCAGCGTCAGCAGTGAAGTTGATAACAGTGACGCCCTATCAGACTGAGCTGGCTCGACTGCGGATGGAGAGACTGAGGATGGAGGAGGACAGGTTGCTGGAGCTGAAGAGACAGGAGGAGTTGGAGAGAATACGAGGGCCCAAGCAGAAATGGTAAGGTATCTTTTGGTACTATGTGAGATTGGACATGCAAAGGGAATAATTTTTTCAGGTCTGTGTTATTGCATATTCAGATAAAGAAATATTTTGGTTACATTTTTTGTTTTTCACTTAGCGATAATAAAGGTCGGGAATCAGTCAAGGGCTAACAGAGTTGTGATGCCAGTACTCTGGGTAGTCCCTGCATGCTTGCTTCAGTGACTTTGTCCAAGGAAGCACAAATCAGAGTTCTGTAGTTGGAATTGAAAATCAACATTGTCAAGAGGCTTAGAACTGTGTCTGGCAGTTTCATAACATGTAGAAAAATATTTCTGATTAAAAGTCATATACCTGTTAGTATTGTCTGAAATGTCAGTAATATATGTGTTAAAGAAGGGTAATAAATGCCTGGGTTTTTTTTCCAATGTCAGTAAACAACAATGCGATTACTGTTAATCTGATATCTACATATGGTACCAATAACTTTTAAATTGGGGAATGCAGATGTTTTATTTTGTGGTTGAATTGTTTTCATAACTGACAGATGTTGAAGCGGTGTTGATGTTGGTGGTGTCTTACTGATGTGAGGGTTGGGTGTGTGTGTGGTGTCTTACTGATGTGTATGGTGTTTTACTGATGTGAGGGTTGGGTGTGTGTGTGTATGTGGTGTCTTACTGATGTGTATGGTGTTTTACTGATGTGAGGGTTGGGTGTGTGTGTGTGTGGTGTCTTACTGATGTGTATAGTGTTTTACTGATGTGAGGGTTGGGTGTGTGTGTGGTGTCTTACTGATGTGTATGGTGTTTTACTGATGTGAGGGTTGGGTGTGTGTGTGGTGTCTTACTGATGTGTATGGTGTTTTACTGATGTGAGGGTTGGGTGTGTGTGTGTATGTGGTGTCTTACTGATGTGTATGGTGTTTTACTGATGTGAGGGTTGGGTGTGTGTGTGTGTGGTGTCTTACTGATGTGTATGGTGTTTTACTGATGTGAGGGTTGGGTGTGTGTGTGTGTGTGGTGTCTTACTGATGTGTATGGTGTTTTACTGATGTGAGGGTTGGGCGTGTGTGTGTGTGTGGTGTCTTACTGATGTGTATGGTGTTTTACTGATGTGAGGGTCGGGTGTGTGTGTGTGTGTGTGGTGTCTTACTGATGTGTATGGTGTTTTACTGATGTGAGGGTCGTGTGTGTGTGTGTGGTGTCTTACTGATGTGTATGGTGTTTTACTGATGTGAGGGTTGGGTGTGTGTGTGGTGTCTTACTGATGTGTATGGTGTTTTACTGATGTGAGGGTTGGGTGTGTGTGTGGTGTCTTACTGATGTGTATGGTGTTTTACTGATGTGAGGGTTGGGTGTGTGTGTGGTGTCTTACTGATGTGTATGGTGTTTTACTGATGTGAGGGTGTGTGTGTGTGTGTGTGGTGTCTTACTGATGTGTATGGTGTTTTACTGATGTGAGGGTTGGGTGTGTGTGTGTGTGTGGTGTCTTACTGATGTGTATGGTGTTTTACTGATGTGAGGGTCGGGTGTGTGTGTGTGTGGTGTCTTACTGATGTGTATGGTGTTTTACTGATGTGAGGGTTGGGTGTGTGTGTGGTGTCTTACTGATGTGTATGGTGTTTTACTGATGTGAGGGTTGGGTGTGTGTGTGTGGTGTCTTACTGATGTGTATGGTGTTTTACTGATGTGAGGGTCGTGTGTGTGTGTGTGGTGTCTTACTGATGTGTATGGTGTTTTACTGATGTGAGGGTCGGGTGTGTGTGTATGGTGTCTTACTGATGTGTATGGTGTTTTACTGATGTGAGGGTTGGGTGTGTGTGTGGTGTCTTACTGATGTGTATGGTGTTTTACTGATGTGAGGGTTGGGTGTGTGTGTGTGTGTGGTGTCTTACTGATGTGTATGGTGTTTTACTGATGTGAGGGTTGGGTGTGTGTGTGTGTGTGGTGTCTTACTGATGTGTATGGTGTTTTACTGATGTGAGGGTCGGGTGTGTGTGTGTGTGTGTGGTGTCTTACTGATGTGTATGGTGTTTTACTGATGTGAGGGTCGGGTGTGTGTGTGTGGTGTCTTACTGATGTGTATGGTGTTTTACTGATGTGAGGGTTGGGTGTGTGTGTGTGTGTGGTGTCTTACTGATGTGTATGGTGTTTTACTGATGTGAGGGTCGTGTGTGTGTGTGTGGTGTCTTACTGATGTGTATGGTGTTTTACTGATGTGAGGGTTGGGTGTGTGTGGGTGTGTGTGTGTGGTGTCTTACTGATGTGTATAGTGTTTTACTGATGTGAGGGTTTGGTGTGTGTGTGTGTGTGTGTGTGTGTGTGTGGTGTCTTACTGATGTGTATGGTGTTTTACTGATGTGAGGGTTGGGTGGGTGTGTGTGGTGTCTTACTGATGTGTATAGTGTTTTACTGATGTGAGGGTCGGGTGTGTGTGTGGTGTCTTACTGATGTGTATAGTGTTTTACTGATGTGAGGGTTGTGTGTGTGTGTGTGTGTGTGGTGTCTTACTGATATGTATAGTGTTTTACTGATGTGAGGGTTGGGTGTGTGTGTGGTGTCTTACTGATGTGTATAGTGTTTTACTGATGTGAGGGTTGGGTGTGTGTGTGTGGTGTCTTACTGATGTGTATGGTGTTTTACTGATGTGAGGGTCGGGTGTGTGTGTGGTGTCTTACTGATGTGTATGGTGTTTTACTGATGTGAGGGTTGGGTGTGTGTGTGGTGTCTTACTGGTGTGTATAGTGTTTTACTGATGTGAGGGTCGGGTGTGTGTGTGTGGTGTCTTACTGATGTGTATGGTGTTTTACTGATGTGAGGGTCGGGTGTGTGTGTGGTGTCTTACTGATGTGTATAGTGTTTTACTGATGTGAGGGTTGTGTGTGTGTGTGTGTGTGGTGTCTTACTGATATGTATAGTGTTTTACAGATGTGAGGGTTGGGTGTGTGTGTGTGTGTGGTGTCTTACTGATGTGTATGGTGTTTTACTGATGTGAGGGTCGGGTGTGTGTGTGTGGTGTCTTACTGATGTGTATGGTGTTTTACTGATGTGAGGGTTGGGTGTGTGTGTGGTGTCTTACTGATATGTATAGTGTTTTACTGATGTGAGGGTCGGGTGTGTGTGTGTGGTGTCTTACTGATGTGTATAGTGTTTTACTGATGTGAGGGTTGGGTGTGTGTGTGGTGTCTTACTGATATGTATAGTGTTTTACTGATGTGAGGGTTGGGTGTTGTGGTGTCTTACTGATGTGTATGGTGTTTTACTGATGTGAGGGTTGGGTGTGTGTGTGTGTGTGGTGTCTTACTGATATGTATAGTGTTTTACTGATGTGAGGGTCGGGTGTGTGTGTGGTGTCTTACTGATGTGTATGGTGTTTTACTGATGTGAGGGTTGGGTGTGTGTGTGGTGTCTTACTGATGTGTATGGTGTTTTACTGATGTGAGGGTTAGGTGTGTGTGGTGTCTTACTGATGTGTATAGTGTTTTACTGATGTGAGGGTTGGGTGTGTGTGTGTGGTGTCTTACTGATATGTATAGTGTTTTACTGATGTGAGGGTTGGGTGTGTGTGTGGTGTCTTACTGATGTGTATAGTGTTTTACTGATGTGAGGGTTGGGTGTGTGTGTGTGTGTGGTGTCTTACTGATATGTATAGTGTTTTACTGATGTGAGGGTTGGGTGTGTGTGTGGTGTCCTACTGATGTGTATGGTGTTTTACTGATGTGAGGGTTGGGTGTGTGTGTGGTGTCTTACTGATGTGTATAGTGTTTTACTGATGTGAGGGTTGGGTGTGTGTGTGTGTGGTGTCTTACTGATGTGTATAGTGTTTTACTGATGTGAGGGTTGGGTGTGTGTGTGTGTGTGGTGTCTTACTGATATGTATAGTGTTTTACTGATGTGAGGGTTGGGTGTGTGTGTGGTGTCTTACTGATGTGTATAGTGTTTTACTGATGTGAGGGTCGGGTGTGTGTGTGGTGTCTTACTGATGTGTATAGTGTTTTACTGATGCGAGGGTTGGGTGTGTGTGTGGTGTCTTACTGATATGTATAGTGTTTTACTGATGTGAGGGTTGGGGGTTGGGTGTGTCTCATTTTACCCCCAAACAGTTTGTGGGTTGAGCTTTGATCCCAATCCCACAAACTTATATCGCATTTCCTCCCAGGAGAAAAGGAATGTTTCACAGGCTGCAATATAATCTATTGATCAGAACGATCTTGACGTTTTGTTAATGTTTATGTTGGTTATTAATCCACTAAACAACATTCAGAGAGTCTGGAATCTGCCATGAAGATCATATGGATTAAGTATCTCCCAATTAAACTTTGTTAATAAGATTCATCTAGCATCTTTATCCACAAGTATTTCATTTCCTATGGTGACTTTTTGACCACTTGGAATAGATGGAACACTTCACATGGACCTTGCTTACACTGCACTGTTTTCAATCTGGCAGAGGTCCTTGAGTGTAGAACATCTATATGAAATCATTTTTAATTATATAAATATCATATTTATGTGTTGTAATACATTTATATCATTGAAAATATAAATGACTAAATGACAGAACAAGGATTTTTTAGGGATTGCTCATTGTGTAATCATTGTGATTGGTTGTTCTTTTCAAACTCATGTCTGAATAAGATATGACATTAATTATATTTTCCCTTGTCCTCAATGTTACAAGTCCTAACTGAATTTTACCAGTCTCAGAGTTGAAGATTTTTCTTAATTTAGAACCCTGATGAGCAAGAAACGTCTCTGATGAGAGAGGTAAAGATTGTGCTGTCAGTCATGCAGCTGTGGTGAAAAAAGGGTCAAAACATTTTTGATATATATTTGACATGATATAAAACTAAAACTTTGTAAAAGCTATGTCCAGTGGATTGGTACGAGATGTTGTAGGTGGGGGATGTTGGTGGAGATGGATGTAGGTTGGGATGTTGGTGGAGTTTGATGTTGATGGTGGATGTTGGTGGAGATCGATGTAGGTTGGGATGTTGGTGGAGATCGATGATGATTGGGGATGTTGGTGGAGATCGATGTAGGTTGGGATGTTGGTGGAGATCGATGTTGATGGGGGATGTTGGTGGAGATAGATGTAGGTTGGGGATGTTGGTGGAGATCGATGTTGATGGGGGATGTTGGCTGAGATCGATGTTGATTGGGGATGTTGGTGGAGATCGCTGTTGATGAGGGATGTTGGTGGAGATAGATGTCGGTTGGGGATGTTGGTGGAGATAGATGTAGGTTGGGGATGTTGGTGGAGATCGATGTTGATGGGGGATGTTGGCTGAGATCGATGTTGATTGGGGATGTTGGTGGAGATCGCTGTTGATGGGGGATGTTGGTGGAGATAGATGTCGGTTGGGGATGTTGGTGGAGATAGATGTAGGTTGGGGATGTTGGTGGAGATCGGTGTTGATGGGGGATGTTGGTGGAGATATATGTAGGTTGGGGATGTTGGTGGAGATCGATGTTGATGGGGGATGTTGGTGGAGATAGATGTAGGTTGGGGATGTTGGTGAAGATCGATGTTGATGGGGGATGTTGGTGGAGATCGATGTTGATTGGGGATGTTGGTGGAGATCGCTGTAGGTTGGGGATGTTAGTGGAGGTCGATGTTGATGGGGGATGTTGATGGGGGATGTTGGTGGAGATCGATGTTGATGAGGGATGTTGGTGAAGATCGATGTTGATGGGGGATATTGGTGGAGATCGATGTTGATTGGGGATGTTAGTGGAGGTCGATGTTGATGTGGGATGTTGGTGGAGATCGATGTCGATTAGGGATGTTGATGGGGGATGTTGGTGGAGATCGCTGTTGATGGGGGATGTTGGTGGAGATAGATGTCGGTTGGGGATGTTGGTGGAGATAGATGTAGGTTGGGGATGTTGGTGGAGATCGGTGTTGATGGGGGATGTTGGTGGAGATAGATGTAGGTTGGGGATGTTGGTGGAGATCGATGTTGATGGGGGATGTTGGTGGAGATAGATGTAGGTTGGGGATGTTGGTGAAGATCGATGTTGATGGGGGATGTTGGTGGAGATCGATGTTGATTGGGGATGTTGGTGGAGATCGCTGTAGGTTGGGGATGTTAGTGGACGTCGATGTTGATGGGGGATGTTGATGGGGGATGTTGGTGGAGATCGATGTTGATGAGGGATGTTGGTGAAGATCGATGTTGATGGGGGATATTGGTGGAGATCGATGTTGATTGGGGATGTTAGTGGAGGTCGATGTTGATGTGGGATGTTGGTGGAGATCGATGTCGATTAGGGATGTTGATGGGGGATGTTGGTGGAGATCACTGTAGGTTGGGGATGTTAGTGGAGATCTATGTTGATGGGGGATGTTGATGGGGTATGTGAGTGGAGATCGATGTTGATGGGGGATGTTGATGGAGATCAATGTCGATTAGGGATGTTGATTGGGGATGTTGGTGGAGATCGATGTTGATGGTGGATGTTGGTGGAGATCGATGTAGGTTGGGATGTTGATGGGGGATGTTGGTGGAGATTGATGTTGATTGGGGATGTTGATGGGGGATGTTGGTGAAGATCGATGTAGGTTGGGGATGTTAGTGGAGATCGATGTAGATGGGGGATGTTGATGGGGGATGTTGGTGGAGATCGATGTTGATGGGGGATGTCGGTGGAGATCAATGTAGGTTGGGGATGTTGGTGGAGATCAATGTTGATGGGGGATGTTGGTGGAGATCGATTTTGATGGGGGATGTTCATGGGGGATGTTGGTGAAGATCGATTTTGATGGGGGATGTTGGTGGAGATTGATGTTGATGGGGGATGTTGATGTGGGATGTTGGTGGAGATCGATGTTGATGGGGGATGTTGATGGAGATCGATGTCGATTAGGGATGTTGATGGGGGATGTTGGTGGAGATCGATGTAGGTTGGGGTTGTTATTGGAGATCGATGTTGATGGGGGATGTTGGTGGAGATCGCTGTTGATGGGGGATGTTGGTGAAGATTGATTTTGATGGGGGATGTTGATGGGGGATGTTGGTGGAGATCGATGTTGATTGGGGATGTTGGTGACGATCAATGTTGATTGGGGATGTTGGTGAAGATTGATTTTGATGGGGGATGTTGATGGGGGATGTTGGTGGAGATCGATGTTGATTGGGGATGTTGGTGAAGATCAATGTTGATTGGGGATGTTGGTGAAGATCAATTTTGATGGGGATGTTGATGGGGGATGTTGGTGGAGATTGATGTTGATTGGGGATGTTGATTGGGGATGTTGGTGGAGATCGATGTTGATGGGGGATGTTGGTGAAGATCAATTTTGATGGGGGATGTTGATGGGGGATGTTGGTGAAGATCGATTTTGATGGGGGATGTTGATGGGGGATGTTGGTGGAGATCGATTTTGATGGGGGATGTTGATGGGGGATGTTGGTGAAGATTGATTTTGATGGGGGATGTTGGTGGAGATTGATTTTGATGTGGGATGTTGATGGAGGATGTTGGTGGAGATCGAAGTTGATGGGGGATGTTGATGGAGATCGATGTTGATGTGGGATGTTGGTGGAGATCGATGTAGGTTGGGGATGTTGGTAGAGATCGATGCTGATGGGGGATGTTGGTGGAGATAGATGTAGGTTGGGGATGTTGGTGGAGATCGATGTTGTTGGGGGATGTTGGTGGAGATTGATGTTGATGGGGGATATTGGTGAAGATTGATTTTGATGGGGGATGTTGGTGGAGATCGATGTTGATGGGGGATGTTGGTGAAGATCGATGTTGATTGGGGATGTTGGTGAAGATCAATTTTGATGGGGACGTTGATGGGGGATGTTGGTGGAGATTGATGTTGATTGGGGATGTTGATGGGGGATGTTGGTGGAGATCGATGTTGATGGGGGATGTTCGTGGAGATCGATGTTGATGGGGGATGTTGGTTAGAGATCGATGTTGATGGGGGATGTTTGTGAAGATCAATTTTGATGGGGATGTTGATGGGTAATGTTGTTTGAGATTGATGTTGATGGGGATGTTGATGGGGGATGTTGGTGGAGATCGATGTAGGTTGGGGATGTTAGTGGAGATCGATGTAGATTGGGGATGTTGATGGGGGATGTTGGTGGAGATCGATGTAGGTTGGGGATGTTGGTGGAGATCGATGTTGATGGGGGATGTTGGTGGAGATCGATGTAGGTTGGGGATGTTGGTGGAGATCAATGTTGATGGGGGATGTTAGTGGAGATCGATGTAGATGGGGGATGTTGATGGAGATCGATGTAGGTTGGGGATGTTGGTGGAGATCAATGTTGATGGGGGATGTTGGTGGGGGTGTTGATGGAATATGTCAATGAACAATGGGGGATGTTGGTGGAGATCGATGTTGATGGGGGATGTTAGTGGAGATCGATGTTGGTGGGGGATGTTGGTGGAGATCGATGTTGATGGGGGATGTTGGTGGAGATGGATGTCGGTTGGGGATGTTGGTGGAGATCGATGTTGACGGGGGATGTTGGTGGAGATCGATGTTGATGGGGGATGTTGGTGGAGATCGATGTAGGTTGGGGATGTTGGTGGAGATCGATTTTGATGTGGGATGTTGGTGGAGATCGATGTTGATTGGGGATGTTGATGGGGGATATTGGTGGGGGTGTTGATGGAATCCGTCGATGGGGGATGGTATCAATGTCACTGACTGAATTTTTCATTCATCACTGATGTATTACCATTTGGAGAGGATATTAGCAATGCACTGTTGGAAGCTAATGGGGATCCTTGAGGTTTGCTACAGTAGTATTATAACCTGCGGACCCCTAAGTCTTGGAGTTGAACAGGGCTAGATTAAAAGCCTTGGCTTTCCTGCTTCATTTTCTAACAACATTGTTTAATTAACTTTTCCACGCTTGTTTCCTAGGTACGAGATGAAGACCCCAGAGTTCCACTACGAGGCTCACAAGAATAATCAGCTGATCAGGTCACGTGACAAATGGCAGGATCTGCTGACATATCGGGAAGAGCTGAGTCATGCCTCAGATGACTTTCACCGTTCCTGGGATTCACCTCTCACAGCTTGAAACTTTACAACCTTCCTGCATACAGTTGACCCATGCAGCATACAGTTGACCCGTGTAGCATACAGTTGACCCTTGCAGCATGCAGTTGCCCCATGCAGCATACAGTTGACCCTTGCAGCATACAGTTGACCCTTGCAGCATACAGTTGACCCTTGCAGCATGCATTTGACCCTTGCAGCATACAGTTGACCCTTGCAGCATACAGTTGACCCATGCAGCATACAGTTGACTCTTGCAGCATACAGTTGACCCATGCAGCATACAGTTGATAATAATATTGATCATGATCTCAAATGAATTTTGTGGAAGTACCTGAATTTAGAGAATTTGATTTAAAAACATGGCTTATGGAAGAAAAAAAAGGAAGTTTTTATTGGTCTTATTATTTCAGCATTTAGTTTATTGTTTATCTAATTTATTAAAGTTTTTATTTTCTCCCGTAGAGGAGCGTGTAGAATGTAGTGTTATTTGTTTCACTACAAGTACAAGAGCTACATATAATTGAATAATTGAATTGCATTATTGGCAAATAGTATCACAATGTATAAATCATTTTTATATATAATATATAATATAAAATACAAAGGAATTAAATATGTAACTAGCAAACTGAAGTTTCAGTTATGCCTTTGAATGACGTTACAGTTGACTATAGTGTTAGCAGAATGTGACATCCGTTCATTCTGTCCATCTGTTGTTATTGATAGTTAATTTTGAGTTAATGAATGTCCATGTATCTTCTTGTGCTTGGTCTGGTCATTCTATAATGTCAGTATACAGGAAATAGAAACTTTTAGCCATGAGATGAGACACAATATATCATGAAATATTCTACAGATAAATTATAAAATGTGTTTTTCTTTTTGTTTCTTCTCAAAACAATGTGAAAAATTGAGTTATCATTGACAGTTCTGGTCAATTTGCATTCATTAAGTCTTTTGGTGTTACTTTGTTGAAAATATATTACCAAGTGATTGAGTCATAGTGTACGCTCGGTCATGAATTAAAGTTAAGTATGCTTCAAATAGGTGGGGTGCACACCCCTACACACCAAGCAGGCCTCAACACACCCTTCACCACACCACGGCACACCCTCACCATGCCAGCACACATCCCTGAACACCCCTACGCACCCTTCACACCACGGCACACCCTCTCCATGCCAGTGCACATCCCTGAACACCTCAACACACCCTTCACACCACGGCACACCCTCTCCATGCCAGTGCACATCCCTGAAACACCTCTACACACCCTTCACCACACCACGGCACACCCTCTACATGCCAGCACACATCCCTGAACACCCCTACACACCCTTCACCACACCACGGCACAACCTCTCCATGCCAGTGCACATCCCTGAACACCTCTACACACCCTTAACCACACCACGGCACACCCTCTAGATGCCAGTGCACATCCCTGAACACCCCTACACACCCTTCACCACACCACGGCACACCCTCTACATGCCAGCACACATCCCTGAACACCCCTACACACCCTTCACCACACCACGGCACACCCTCTCCATGCCAGCACACATCCCTGAACACCCCTACACACCCTTCACACCACGGCACACCCTCTCCATGCCGGCACACATTCCTGAACACCCCTACACACCCTTCACACCACGGCACACCCTCTCCATGCCAGCACACATTCCTGAACACCCCTACACACTCTTCACACCACGGCACACCCTCTCCATGCCAGCACACATCCCTGAACACCCCTACACACCCTTCTCCACACCACGGCACACCCTCTCCATGCCAGTGCACATCCCTGAACACCTCTACACATCCTTCACCACACCACGGCACACCCTCTCCATGCCAGCACACATCCCTGAACACCTCTACACACCCTTCACCACACCACGGCACACCCTCTACATGCCAGTGCACATCCCTGAACACCTCTACACACCCTTCATCACACCACGGCACACCCTCTCCATGCCAGCACACATCCCTGAACACCTCTACACACCCTTCACCACACCACGGCACACCCTCTACATGCCAGTGCACATCCCTGAACACCTCTACACACTCTTCACCACACCACGGCACACCCTCTCCATGCCAGTGCACATCCCTGAACACCTCTACACACCCTTCACCACACCACGGCACACCCTCTCCATGCCAGTGCACATCCCTGAAACACCTCTACACACCCTTCACCACACCACGGCATACCCTCTACATGCCAGCACACATCCCTGAACACCCCTACACACCCTTCACCACACAACGGCACAACCTCTACATGCCAGTGCACATCCCTGAACACCTCTACACACCCTTCACCACACCACGGCACACCCTCTCCATGCCAGTGCACATCCTTGAACACCTCTACACACACTTCACCACACCACGGCACACCCTCTCCATGCCAGCACACATCCCTGAACACCCCTACACACCCTTCACCACACCACGGCACACCCTCTCCATGCCAGCACACATCCCTGAACACCCCTACACACCCTTCACACCACGGCACACCCTCTCCATGCCGGCACACATTCCTGAACACCCCTACACACCCTTCACACCACGGCACACCCTCTCCATGCCAGCACACATTCCTGAACACCCCTACACACTCTTCACACCACGGCACACCCTCTCCATGCCAGCACACATCCCTGAACACCCCTACACACCCTTCTCCACACCACGGCACACCCTCTCCATGCCAGTGCACATCCCTGAACACCTCTACACATCCTTCACCACACCACGGCACACCCTCTCCATGCCAGCACACATCCCTGAACACCTCTACACACCCTTCACCACACCACGGCACACCCTCTACATGCCAGTGCACATCCCTGAACACCTCTACACACCCTTCACCATACCACGGCACACCCTCTCCATGCCAGTGCACATCCCTGAACACCTCTACACACCCTTCACCACACCACGGCACACCCTCTCCATGCCAGCACACATCCCTGAACACCTCTACACACCCTTCACCACACCACGGCACACCCTCTACATGCCAGTGCACATCCCTGAACACCTCTACACACTCTTCACCACACCACGGCACACCCTCTCCATGCCAGTGCACATCCCTGAACACCTCTACACACCCTTCACCACACCACGGCACACCCTCTCCATGCCAGTGCACATCCCTGAAACACCTCTACACACCCTTCACCACACCACGGCATACCCTCTACATGCCAGCACACATCCCTGAACACCCCTACACACCCTTCACCACACAACGGCACAACCTCTACATGCCAGTGCACATCCCTGAACACCTCTACACACCCTTCACCACACCACGGCACACCCTCTCCATGCCAGTGCACATCCCTGAACACCTCTACACACCCTTCACCACACCACGGCACACCCTCTCCATGCCAGTGCACATCCTTGAACACCTCTACACACACTTCACCACACCACGGCACACCCTCTCCATGCCAGTGCACATCCCTGAACACCTCTACACACCCTTCACCACACCACGGCACACCCTCTACATGCCAGCACACATCCCTGAACACCCCTACACACCCTTCACCACACCACGGCACAACCTCTCCATGCCAGTGCACATCCCTGAACACCTCTACACACCCTTCACCACACCACGGCACATCCTCTAGATGCCAGTGCACATCCCTGAACACCCCTACACACCCTTCACCACACCACGGCACACCCTCTCCATGCCAGTGCACATCCCTGAACACCTCTACACACCCTTCACCACACCACGGCACACCCTCTCCATGCCAGCACACATTCCTGAACACCCCTACACACCCTTCACCACACCACGGCACAACCTCTCCATGCCAGTGGACATCCCTGAACACCTCTACACACCCTTCACCACACCACGGCACACCCTCTCCATGCCAGTGCACATCCCTGAACACCTCTACACACCCTTCACCACACCACGGCACACCCTCTCCATGCCAGTGCACATCCCTGAACACCTCTACACACACTTCACCACACCACGGCACACCCTCTCTATGCCAGTGCACATCCCTGAACACCCCTACACACCCTTCGCCACACCACGGCACACCTCCATGCCAGTGCACATCCCTGAACACCTCTACACACCCTTCACCACACCACGGCACACCCTCTCCATGCCAGTGCACATCCCTGAACACCCCTACACACCCTTCACCACACCACGGCACACCCTCTACATGCCAGTGCACATGCCTGAACACCTCTACACACCCTTCACCACACCACGGCACACCCTCTCCATGCCAGTGCACATCCCTGAACACCTCTACACACCCTTCACCACACCACGGCACACCCTCTAGATGCCAGTGCACATCCCTGAACACCTTTACACACACTTCACCACACCACGGCACACCCTCTCCATGCCAGTGCACATTCCTGAACACCCCTACACACCCTTCACCACACCACGGCACACCCTCTACATGCCAGTGCACATTCCTGAACACCCCTACACACACTTCACCTCACCACGGCACACCCTCTCCATGCCAATACACAATCCTGAACACCCCTACACACCCTTCACCACACCACGGCACACCCTCTACATGCCAGTGCACATCCCTGAACACCCACCTCTACACACCCTTCACCACACCACGGCACACCCTCTCCATGCCGGCACACATTCCTGAACACCCCTACACACCCTTCACCACACCACGGCACACCCTCTCCATGCCAGTGCACATCCCTGAACACCTCTACACACCCTTCACCACACCACGGCACACCCTCTACATGCCAGCACACATCCCTGAACACCCCTACACACCCTTCACCACACCACGGCACACCCTCTACATGCCAGTGCACATCCCTGAACACCTCTACACACCCTTCATCACACCATGGCACACCCTCTACATGCCAGCACACATCCCTGAACACCCCTACACACCCTTCATCACACCACGGCACACCCTCTACATGCCAGTGCACATCCCTGAACACCTCTACACACCCTTCACCACACCACGGCACACCCTCTACATGCCAGTGCACATCCCTGAACACCTCTACACACCCTTCACCACACCACGGCACACCCTCTCAATGCCAGCACATATCCCTGAACACCCCTACACACCCTTCACACCACCATGGCACACAATCTACATGCCAGTGCACATCCCTGAACACCCACCCCTACACACCCTTCTTCACACCTCTTTGTATCCCTGCTCACCTGTGAAGATCCGGGGTAGAATAGGTCTTCAGTAACCCATGCTTGTTAGAGGCGACTTAGGGGATTTGGTGGTCAGGGTTGCTGACTTGGTTGATGCATGTCATCGTATCCCAATTGCGTGGATCGATGCTCATGATGTCAATCACTGGATTGTCTGGTCCATACTCGATTATTTACTGACCGCCGTCATATAGCTGGAATATTGCTGAGTGCAGCGTTAAGCAACAAACAAATCCTACCCCTGCTTAGCCCTCCACACCCCTCCTCTTGGTCCATGTATGTTGTAAGAACAGATATTGTCAATAATGAAAATGTAGTAGTTATCAGATCAATAGCCGAATACACTCTTCATATCCCAGCATGTCAGCTTACTGTGGGAGGAAAGTCTGATGTGATGCAGGTCTCAGACGTTTACCACTTTAGTGAAACCCACAAGCACAGGTATGCTGCTGACAAACCTAGAAACATAATGTAATTCGAACCAACAATCTTAGGTTTCTGGCGCATCTAAGGGATGCAACTCTGCACAGTGAATTGCATGGCCTATGACAACTGGGCCACCCATGCCCCCAATAAGACCAGAAGAGGGCTGCAATTGCTGATAATGTGTGTGTGCATTAACAAGCATAAGAATGTGCATTGTAATTCAGCTGTCCAGAACCATGACAACAGACAGTAGCTCACAGGCACCTCACATCTAAGTGACCCAATGGCACAGTACATTGTTCTCTGTCATCCATCTGTTCATGTTTTACTTCTCTGACCTGGCTAAAGGGATGAGCCTGAAACTTAATGATGAGGTTTAGCTCCATAATAGGGCTCAGATGTGTTCATGGCATCAAACTATAGAAAAAAACCTGGGTGTTTATATGAAAAATATCACTGGACGAGTGACTTTTGGCTAGTCTGTTGATTTATTCAATCTTGCAGTTCTAATTTGTATCATGTAGTATGTAGTATGGAAAGTGATCCCTTAATGAGTGAGTGAATGTTGTTTTACTGCTGCAGACTGCAACATTACCCTATGCTACAGCAGCCCATCAGGGTGCACACAGTCCACTAGATCACACCTTGTAACAACATCCTGGTTGTGTTGGGGTGGTGGCGTAGCCTAGTGGTTCAAACATTCGCTCATCACACTGGATACAATGTGTGAAGCCCATGTCTGGTGTCCCGCACCCGGATATTGCTGGAATATTGTTAAAAGCGATGTAACACTATAACCACTCACTCACTCCATTTTGTCTGGACTTTTACAAGCATTGGGGCCTCAACACTTGAATGAGCAAGGGGAGATTATGAACGCTTTTTGGGATGAGCATGACCTTTACTGATAAAATACCCAATGACCAAATGCTTGGCCCACAAATCTGTACTTTTAATTCAGTTGTAGAGGTCGAGCTGGTTAAAAAAATATCAAACTGTCATCTCAACATTCTCTTGTTTATTACCAGAGAGATGTATATTGGCTGAATGACTTTTAATCAAAATTTATCTTGGACTTAAAAAGTTTCTACTAAATTGAGCTATTTGATCCCTGATCTACCAAATAAGGGGACATGTTCCATATCGCATATCATGGTCTGTTCTACCTGTGAGTGGAATTAGACTGGGGTAAGGAGTCAACCGGAGACGTATCAAGATTGAGTGATATATTTACGATTTTACCTTAGTCTCATTTGCCATCCTTCATCTTAGGAACAATGCAGGTAGTTTAAAGTTTGAAATGTACTGAAAGCTGGTACTTACTGGATGTGTATGATTAGATTCAGGATTAGATACATCTAACGTTTACACAAGGCTCTGTTGTGGTGTTTAAGAAAACAGTATGGAAATCAGGTTATAAAATATTTATTCAAGAGAAAGAATTGCAAACAGTATCTTTGATATCCCCATAGCATCCTTCTTCAGAAGTAAATGGTTATAAACAATATCCGAGCTACATACACATTCGTATTTGTCTAGCACAGGCGGAGTAATTATCATTCATAGCTAGACCTCAAGAAAGGATTATTTTGTCACCGAATGTTCCTATGACATAGGTTCTGTCGGGGACAGAGTTGCAGCTGTCGTGGTCTCTGTAGACTGCGTTGAGCCGGGGCAGTAGTTCCTGGCTTGTTCGGGAGGACATTCCCAGCTCCCATCACATGCACAGGTGCATCTGAAAGAAATGCAGCCTTTCCGCAGTTTGAACTCCGAGTTTCCAGGATATTTCCTACCCTGAACAACACACCTCTGGCATGTTTCCCGACTCACTGTTGGCTCACTGGAAGGTTTCTTACAGATATCCACAGCAGCATCTGTTTGACATCCCCATCTACCATCACACCGGCAGTGACATGGGTACACTTTGCAGCCTCTTTTCACCTTGAATTTAGATTCACCCGCATAATCCATTCCATCCACCATACACTTCTTACAAAGGTCTTCCTTAGGAGTCGGTTGTGTGGTTGGCTTCGGTTGAACAGATGTTGTCTGGCATATATTAACAGCGGTTCTGTCATCACATTCCACGGATCCACTACATGTACATCTGCATTCCTTGACAATACAGCCGCTTGTTGTCTGGAATGTCGAGTTTCCTGGATACTGCCTTCCCTGAACAAGGCACTTTTGACAGGACACTAAGTCTTTCTTTGATGGGGATTCCGTCTCATTACAGCCATGCTGCGCCTGGTATCTCCTACAGGTGTGCTTACCATTGCATAAGCATATGCATCTGTTGGTGTAACATCCATTCTGTAAGTCAAACTGAGAATTTCCATCATATTGTGTTCCATTAATCATACATTTCTTGCACTCCTGGGGTCCTGGTGTCCTCACATTATCAGTGGCAATTACCTCGAACAGAGGCTTTACGGATGGTGGACGAGTACCACATATGTTGACAGCACTTTCCTCGTAACACTCGACAGTTCCACTACAGGTACACGCACAGTTGAGAGCTGTACACCCAGTGGTGAACTTGAACGTTGCATTTCCTGGGTAGTGCACTCCCTGTAAAAAACATCCTCGACAGGGCCTCAGATCATCAATTGATCCATCATCAAACCCTGTGTCGTCGTTGCAGATATTGCGTGCCCAGTTCCGAATGCATGAGTACCTTCCGTTGCATAAGCAGAAACAAGTGTCAATGTAACATCCCACCTTGGCGTTGAACTGTGAGTTCCCATCAATCAGTCTTCCTGCCACTACGCACTTTTGGCAGTCCTGCAGCTCCACCCTCTGCTTGTTCACCTGTATTTCTAGCTGCGGCTGTGGAGTTGGCTGTGCTGACACGCATCTGTTCACTGCACTTGATTGATCACACTCTATGGTCCCGTTACAGCTACAACTGCAGTCAGTAGTGATGCAGTCCCTAGTGTACTGGAACCTAGATTCTGAGGGGTGTTCTATGCCTTCAATAAGACACTTCTTACAGTCACGATTTGGTTCCGAATCGAACCGAGATGCCTCTGATCCTGTTTGACTGTTTGGGACACAAGTGTTCTCTGTTTGGTTTGGTGAACAAGCTGAGGTGCCATTACAGAAGCATTTGCATTCTCTGAACAAGGTGCACCCATCTTGTAGTTCAAACATGCTATTCCCTTGGACGATTTCTCCTTCAACAGTACAACTGCTGCATGCAGGTCTTTCTCTCTTTTTCTCTATACCTTGTTCACAGACCCTCACTTTGTTCTGAGCTGGGCAGTCATAGGAGCCATCACAGTGACAGATACACTGGTACTTGTGACAGTCCTCCTCATAGGAAAATCTAGAATGTCCACGGAAAGTCTGGTTTCCAACTTTACAGTCTGTGCAACCTAAAACAAACGTTCAGTCCTTGTCAGATTTTCATAAATATATATAAATATAATATATACCACAAATAAGTATTCTGCCAATATGGCAGTGTGGGTATATATATATATACTCTTCAAAAAAAGAAACTTGACATGTAAAACCACTTTTTGTCAAATATCTAAAATAATTACATTAAATGAGAACCAAATAAGTCAAACAGAAGGATGATGTGTCTGTAATTCGCGAAAACACATGCAAAGCACATAAACGTAGCGTTTGGGGATCAATTTTACAGCTTCATCCAAACGCAACCGCCTGTAAGAAACGTGCAGCACAGGATCCTGCATTTAGGCATGCAGGCACCCCTGCTGAATGGGTATAAAAATCCACATCAACGGCTGTTCATACAGTCCTTATAACGGCAGTAGAGGCGGTGACAGAATGCCAAGACTGAATGCAGCTCAACGGAACAACGCCATTGGGAGATTACAAGCTGGAGCAACTCAGCAAGAAGTGGCCAGGCACTTTAGCGTATCCAGACAGACAATCTCCGCACTGTGGAACCGATACAACAACACCAACAGAGTTGACGACAGACCAAGGTCAGGAAGACCAAGGGTGACAACCCAAGCACAAGATCGATACATCCGGCTGCGACACCTCCGAGACCGCACTACCACAGCCACGTCTACAACCACACAGATCCCTGGGGTACGCAGAATATCAGATCAAACGGTACGCAACAGACTAAGGGAGGCTGGACTTTTTGCACGAAGACCTGTTCGACGTCATGTATTGAACATGGCAGACATCTGGCAGACCGTTTGCTTTGGTGCCAACAGAGGGTTAGATGGGCACGTGCAAGGTGGAGAAATGTACTGTTTACTGACGAGTCCCGTTTCCTACTCACATGTACTGATGGGCGCGCACGTGTCTACAGACGTCGGGGTGAACGTTACGCCCCAGCCTGTATGCAGCAGGTTGTCCCATTTGGCGGCGGGAGTGTCATGGTATGGACCGGAATTCATCACGGTGGTAGGACGCCTCTCGTGCATGTGGCAGGTGCATTGGCAGATGTGCGTTACAGAGACTTGATCCTACAGCCTTACGTTCTTCCTCACGTCAACGTTCATGGCGGACAGTTCCAGCAGGACAACGCTCGCCCGCATATTGCAAGTGTGTGTCAGATCTTCTAACAACACAACAACATCCAGACATTACCTTGGCCAGCCCGGTCACCAGATTTGTCCCCGATTGAGCATCTGTGGGACGAGTTGGATCGACGCGTTCACAGAAGGAATCCAATGCCCCAAACACTTCCGGCGTTTCTTGATGCACTTCAGAATGAATGGCAGCACATTCAACAGCGTGTTATTGACAACTTGATTGCATCTATGGGTCGTCGGTTTCAAGCAGTGATTGATGCACGTGGTGGGCACAACCGATACTGACATTTTCTGTACCCCTGTGACATTAACTGTATCGTGTACGTGTGTCTGTCTAGGTGACATGATTAATGTTTTGAACATTGTGTACATTGATCTTCAAACAGTGTTTCAATTATGGTTTCTGTGTCCTATTTTGAAACAATCGCATTATATTACATTTTGAAAGTCAGTGTCAAGTTTCTTTTTTTGAAGAGTATATAACTGAAGTTGTTTTTTTATCAGTCTATCCTTAAAATATCACATGGAAACACACGAAAGCCTTATGATGTGATTTTGGTAGCGTTCTTTTTTAAAATCCGAAATGTCTCCTTATTTCAACTATTTTCTAGACAATGAGTTTTTTCGCGGTACTTCGAATAATTTTTTCATTATTTCAAGTTTATCGCAAAAACGAAATTTCGAGAAAAACTCGACGTGACGAGAGAAAAACTCGAAGCAATAAATGAAGTAACGAGTTTCTTAAATAAACTTGAAATAACGAGAAAATAATTGACATTACAAAACTATTCTAAATTGAAATAACGAGAAATTTCGATTTAAAAATAAACATATATATATATATATGCTACCAAAGTGGCACCATAAGGCTTTCGTAGAAACGGACAATGCTTTGACTAAACAAGAAATGTATAAAGAAAATACCACTTACGGCTCCTAATCAACTTTTCATATTCAGAGCGTTGCTGACTTGCTGATCTTGCAGTAGTGGATGTTGGACTGGTGGTTGAAACACTATTCCGTTCGAGGCGTGTATCATTCTCAGACTGTTCATGTTTCCCTCCGAATGGCATTTCTCTGTCGTGTGTACCCTTAATGTTCTCTTCAGATCTTCGCTTTTCATAGTATTCTTCCTTTTCCTTCATCAGCTTTTGACGTTGTGCCTCTTCTTCGAGCCGAAGTATCCTCGTAACTTCCTCATTCTGTCCTCTCTGTTTTTCCAACTGTCTTCTTCTCTTTTCTTCCAACTGTCGTCTGCTCTCTTCTTCTCTGCGTCTTTTGTCGCCTTCAACTTGTCCTGTGCCGACTTTTTCTAGGTGACGCCTCCTTTCTTCATCTAATGTTCTTCTCCTTTCTTCATCTAATTTTCTTCTCCTTTCTTCATCTAATTTTCTTCTCCTTTCTTCATCTAATTGTCTTCTCCTTTCTTCATCTAATTGTCTTCTCCTTTCTTCATCTGAGTTTCGTCTAGTTTCTTCCTCTAACTGTCGCCTTCTTTGTTCATCTACCTGACGTTGCCTTTCTTCTTCTAAATGTCGTTGTTTTTCCTCTTCTAACTCCAGTCTCCTGTTCTCCTCCAGTCTCATCTCTTCCGACGGTCCATTGCCTTCTACCTGACGATGACCATTCTGATGTACGCCCTGACGGGTATTAGTGGCATTAGCTTCATTGTCTGTTAGTTTCTGTCCGTCTTCACCGAGTCGGTTAACTCTGCTCCTATCAAATTGAGGATCTTTCTTTTCTGGTTGATGTCTGCTCTGGTCTTTGGGTTGTCTGTCTCTCTCATTATATATCAAACTCTCGGCATCTTCATCTCCTCCCTCTGCACCTTGTGCTGAAGACGTCCTGGTTCCTCCTTGCAGTCTGTTAATCCCTTCTTCTTCTTTCCTTGAGACCTTAAAACAAATATGTTCTGTTCACAACACAACTTATAACCACTCTTATTGAAAAACCAACTGTCCTTTTGTTAACAAACACAATGCAAAATATCACAATATTGTCCTGTGGATTGTAAATTAATAATACATTGATATGGTAGCAGTATATATGTTACAAGAAATATGTATAATCAGGGAATATGTGTATTGTCTGATTCACTAAGGGAATATACATAATCCCTCAACTTTTCAGGTATTATACATATTCCCTGATTTAACATCAAGTTTTTTAGACAAATTCCCTGAAAGTACTTTTGAGGCTCTCATATGGTAAAACTTGATGAAAAAAATCGAGAAGACAAATTTATTTGACATGATAACAAATACCTTTCACAAATATCATAGGTGTTGTGATTGAATGTAGTGACAATGACTTGTACACAATAGCTGTGAAAGGTGGCACACTGAATGGGAAGTTCTCTCGTAACAAGTTTGATGTTTGTGCTACAGCATTGTACTCAACTGAAGACGTTGTCTCTGACAAGAAGATTTCACTTCGCCAAGCTGTGCAGTTTGAATCCAACTGTGGAGGACAAGGTTTCCCCCGGTGTAACTGTGCTGGTACAAAGAAATGTCAGACCAACAGATGTAGATCTTTCAAGGCTAAGCTGCTTTGTAACTCTAGGTGCCACTCAAGTCTGACATGTGTCAACAAAAACTAAATTGTTCTTGTTTGTTAAGTCAAGAAGACTAATTGTTAAGTTAAGTGAAAGGTATTTGTTATCATGTCGTCTCATAAATAATTTGGTTTTTTTATATATCAAATTTGACCACATAAGAGCCTCAAAAGTAATTTCAGGGAATATGTCTAAAAAACTTGATGTTAAATCAGGGAATATGTATAATACCTGAAAAGCTTAGGGATTATGTATATTCCCTGAGTGAATCAGACATTAAATATATTCCCTGAAAATTTCAGAGAGTATACATATTCCCTGATTATAGATATTCCCTGTAACATATATATGTTGGGCGACAGCACCCAGATGACATACTGTTAATTAACCTGCGTATGGTTGCCCTTGGTATTGGGCGCCATTCCGCCTGAAGAACTACCCTAAACTGGTCCATGTTGGCGGATGCTGATAAGTCTTTTGCGTACACACTCCGCCCCGAGAACTACCAGATATGCTCTTTTGGGGACGTGCCAGGGCATCTTCAGTCCAATATCCGTATGCCTTCTCGTTGAAGATAATCAGTGACGATCTGGGCACTGTGTGGTCTGGCATTGTCATCGTGCAGCTCAAAATTTCTGCCGATAATTCAAGCGAAGGGAACAACGACAGGACGCAAAAGTTCGTCAACATATCCCACATAGCCAACGCACATCAACAATACCCAAATCAGTTCAAGTGCCATGTGTGATGCCGCCACTGACCATGACACAACCGCCCCCGTACCGAACATGGCCAAGAATTGATGCCTGGCATACGGCTCGCCGCTACGTCGCAAAGAACGTTTCCTATAATCTGTGGATAGGAGGCAAAACCATGATTCGTGTGGAAACATGGTGTAACGCCATTTGTGTACATCCCGTCCCTGGTGTTGCCTGACCCACCCCTATGTTAAGCTATTAGGGTCACACCCTTCACAGGACACCTTGCTTTCAAGCGGGCTGCATAGAGCCGGTTGTTAATGGTAGGTGTTGAAATCCGCCTCCGCGATTTTTTATCGACAATAGACAGCTGGTATTCTTATTTAAAACTATGGGTGCTGATTCTTTTAAAAAGAAAACACCTTGTAACTTTTGTGGCAGACATTTCATTTTTTGAAACGGTCTGAACCACAATATGTTTTTTACGATAAAATCCAGCATAACAAATGGTCGGTACCTAAGACAGTAATTGCAAGCCGGGAGTTTTTATATCTCCTTACCCTCCGTTCGTGTTCGAGCCGTCGTTTCCGTTCCCACCTAGCCTGATACCTGCGATTGCCTATAGGGACCCGTCTTCTAGCAGCAGCCAGCATTACCGCGGCTCCTCTATGTCTCTTAGAATTTCGGGCCCGTTTAGCAGCTTCCTTCGCCTTGAGATCTTCCTCTAACCTCCTTCTGGCCAGAGCAACTGCTACTGCTGACCTTCTGAGTCGTGCATTACTTCCGCCTTCCATCATGGCAGCCCAGGTCTTGGGTGAATTTGATTCCCGGAACGTCACGGATTTAGTTTCGGCTCTTACGACGATTCGTTTCTTGGTTGTTCCTTGGTTGGTGAACGACGACTGGCTCATGGCGTTTGCAAAGAGGTCGTGCTGACTTTTTGTTTGTCTGAACACTTCCCTACCAACCTTGGCTGATTCGGGATGGTCTGCATTGCCTGAATGAATGATACAGATTTATGCATATATTATTTCACTCCAAGACATTGGAGATAATCTTTTTTTCAAATTTTAATTGCACCAAGCGTGATGTGCATAATGTATTAACGTTAATAGTTACACATTTGCAATCACGGTTAGGATACACAAACGGTGATGAATGTAAGGTGGGAAACGCACCCGTTCAACACCTCAACAATATTGAGTTATAACTTAGTAGCCTTTTCATGAGTAACAGTTGTGGTGAATCAGCGTTAGTTTGTTTGTTGTTTAACGCCACACTCAGCAATATTCAAGTAATATAACGGCGGTCTGTAACTAATGGAATCTGGACCAGAAAATCCAGTGATTAATATCATGAGCATCGATCCACGCAATTGGGATACGATGACATGCATCAACCAAGTCAGCGACCCTGACCACCCGATCCCGTTAGTCGCCTCTTACAAGCATGGGTGTCTGAAGACCTATTCTACACCGGATCTTCACGGGTCGAATCAGCGTTAGGACAGGTCCCCATCAAACTATGCTCGTCGTACGAGAAGACTAAAATGGGTTTGGTAGTCAGGCTCGGAGAATCAGGTGGTTGCGTGTCATACCACACCAAAGGCGTGAGACGTTGCTCAATATCATTCACATTTGTGTCTGGCCCATATTTAGTTATTTGTAGTCCGCCATGATATAACTGGAATATTACTGACTCTGGCGTTCAACAACATTATCGCAACCATGTGGTTATAGGGGCAGAAGAGGAAGCAAGTACCCCATACACCAAGAGAGACGTTACATAAATGGACACCTAATGAATATGATTTGTGCATTGAAAGGCCATTCCCCCAAAAGACATTCTCAGCTGAATTCTCAGCTGAATAAACCAAATAAAGGCCTTGCACATACTGGATCCATCCCAGAATACCAATAAGTAGTTGAATACATAAGCTTTAAATAAACTTAAGTTAGCTTCACGTACGTATGGAAAAGCTAAACCTGTAATCACCCGCAACTAATGTTAACAACAGAGGATTAGATAAACTTACATGCGGACTCTTTGAAACTGCAGCAAAGTATTCCGATGGCGACAACCTGCAACATCAGATGGATGGTAAACGAGAGAGAAGACTGATAAGGGACGCATGTCTGGATCTTTACTCTACATTTCACATTTCATGGAACCCATGTGTGTGAGAGAGAGAGAGAGAGAGAGAGAGAGAGAGAGAGAGAGAGAGAGAGAGAGAAGTGTGTCATTTATTTAGGACTGATCTTGCAATTTTGTCTGGTTATATGTGTTGGGTTATTGGTGTGTTTGTGTGGCCGTGAGATGCTACTTCAAGTGTACATGGAGTTGCCTGTAGCGGCTTCAGTATCACACAGTCCACAGCACGCCAAGTTGGGGGATCCGGTCATTGATGGCTTATTCCGGTGAAAGTTAAAGTGTTTCTTCTCTTCACTTGAGCTACAGGGTGTATCCGAAGATGTACATTTCGATAGCGTTGTTTGTAGAACGTATTTTGATAGACATTGCTACCAACTGTAACGTGTGTTAGTGACAGGTACACATTTCCCATTTACTCATACACGTGTATACGTTCTCTACACAATTCAAGGCTCGGTTTATATAAGGAAATTGATTTAACTTACACCAATGCCTAGTAGCACCAGACAAAAAAACAGGTTGCACCTGGTCCCATAAATTTTTACATACACTGAAGTACCTACGGTTTGATGACGTCAAGCCCAAGAAAGCATGACAAGTTAAACATAACTCGGGGATTATTTGATGCAGTATGGCAATTAGAAATTAGAGGTACTGAATGTGTTCAAAGACCCTTCCGAGTAAGGGGTAGACGAAAAACAGGTTGGACCCTGGTCCCATCAATTTATCAAAATTTAAATGTGAACAGTACCCGCAGTTTGATGACTTCAAGCCCAAGAAAGCATGACAAATTCTACTTAACATCAGGCAATAACATAACATCAGGGATTATTTATGTAGTATGGTAAATAGAGGTAGGAGGTATTGAGGTATTAGAGGTACAAACATTTGAAAGATTTTCACATGCACTTGGTGCATATAGACATAAACATAAGATTGCATTTTTCAATAATAGGATGTACTGGTGTATGGTTTATATGGCTAAATCGAGCCCTGCAATTATAACATACGTGGAGTAATACATTAAATAAACCCCGTCAATCCAGAACCTTGTATTCTCGGACAATGCTATGACACCTTTCATTACCCCGCGTTTGATTTGTCTGGAAAGTGGCGTGTTTATAGCATGAAGAAAGTATATAAACTGGTTGTATGTTCTGATAGCGGAACAAGCCAATACAGTCATCATAAATGGCATGGGAAGGTATCAAAATAAGATGATACGTTTATCAACTATCCCAGTCATCGTTTACGTCTATTGCCTTTTGAGCGGAAGTTCGAAGGTTCGATCCCCGGCCGGGTTATACCAAAAGACGTTAAAAGATGGTACTTGTCGTTACCCTGCCTGGCGCTCGGTTCAGGGGCTAAAAGAAGGACTGGTAGGCTCGGAATCGGTATGCTGTGTCTGAGTGGGGTATTCATGTTCAGTGTGCTATCACTATAAATGTCAGCATTAGTCCGGACTAATATAAGTAGACACACACACACACACACACACACACACACACACACACACACACACACACAATTGCCATATACTACTAATCAACAGTGCCAGAGCATATTTTCCTATACAATGAAAATATACTGTAACCACCGAAGACATACCTGCCCCCATATCTTGCTGCGACTGGCCATTGTGGAGGTGTAGCGTCTAGGCCTCGTTCCGGAGAGTGCAGATGGCTGGAGTAAGGCGGGACCGCTGAACACACGTCAGGAAACCTCCTCTTCATCTACTCTCCATCACTGACCGCGATGTATCACTACATGTCCTATATATTTGTGTAGTAGGCCAGACACCTTAGGGATAGACCATTTGATATTCTATTCCCCTCCACCACCACACCCCCACATCCAAGAATGGTCGATCCCCTATATGATCAGACTGAATGTCGAGTCGGTTTTAAGTTGTTAGATAATTTGTTCATAAATATATATCTCATCTTTGCACTCTTTCTTATCATCTGTTTATGACTGCAGGGTGTGTATTATTTTATGCTTACAAATATTCTCTCAAACACTCGACAAGAAAAGTGTCAGTACAAGCTGTGATAGTACATACATGCCTCTACATAGCTTGACATACATGTGTGAACTGGTGGGTTTGGTTTGAGCCGTTTTAAACAGAATTTAAGTCATATAACGGCATGTCAGCTTCATGTGGGAGGAAAGCCCGAAGTAATGCGGTTCTGAGACATTTCGCGAACATAATCAAGACCCACGAAATTTGATTTCTGGCACGTCCACGGGACGCATCACGGATTGGCATATTGGTTTCACGAATCGTAGTGATTTTGAAAGAGCATATAAATCGAACATGTCGTACTAAGTGTTCATGAGATAATGGATGTTATCGAAAAATTAAATTGTCAAAGAATTCTTGACAAAAATAATTGTTCTTCAGACTGTGAGAAAAAATAAATTGCCTGCCACAAAATTACATTGTCACAGGGTGTTTTTCGTAAAAAATATTTAGGCTCATTGTTGTAATTAAATAAATATCTTGTTTTGCAGCTGTAGCTGAACTTATATATAATCTTCAGACAAAATCCTCTCCTCCCCCCACCCACCCCGAATGGTCTGTCAGTTATATGATTACGCTTGAAGAATGTATGTTGATTCTGTTTTAAGATGTTGGATAAATAGTGCCTAGATATATACTTCATCTGCGCACTCTTTCTTATCATATGGTTAGGGCTGTAGGGTATATCTTTTTTAATGCTAGGGGCGGTCGGGTAGTCTAGTGGTTAAAGCGTTCGCTCGTCACGCCGAAGACCCGGGTTCGAATCCCTACATGGGTACAATGTGTGAAGCCCATTTCTGGTGTCCCCAGTCGTGATATTGCTGGAATATTGCTAAAAGCGGCGTAAAACCAAACTCACTCACTCACTCATCCACTATTTAATGCTTACAAATGTCGTTCTAAGTGTTCATGAAAACAGAAGAAAGCTAGTCTATGCCACTTACTTTCAACATCCACGTGACTGATGGGGAAATCATTTGCGATAGCTTGGTCATTACATACTTCCCGTCCGTCGTTTGTTACTTCGATGTGTTGTCGAACTACTAGTGTGTTACGTAACAAAAAGAGTGTGAACTGTGTTCATCATTGTATGAAAGGTCGTCATTTCAATCTAACGATAATTCCATGTGTGAAAATATACACGTATTGTGTTTAACACCGCATGACCTTGCACCCATAAAGATGTTTCGGGAACACAGATTCGACAGATGTAGGTATCGTCACACATTGCACAACTAATAGATCTAGAGACACGTTGGTGACATAACCGTTTAATAACTTTTCAAAAATACGGCTGCATCATTCAAGGAGAGAAACCTTTTTATTGGCCACTGACCTACAAAGAAAAGAATGAATTATTATTTCTGCACATGGAGTATGCAGTGATAGAAACGAGAACAACCGGTATCGTTATTTCTCGTTAATTTAATTATTTTCTCGTTAATTCAATTATTTTCTCGTTACTTCTAGTTTTTTCCTCGTAAGTTTGAGTTTATTAAAAAAAACTTGAAATTTCGATTTTTCTCTCGTTACTTCGAATATTTTCTCGATATTTCAAGTTTATTTCGTCGTTACCTCGATGGTCTTTCTCTTATCATTTCGATTATATTCTCATTATTATAAGTTTATTTGAAAAAATCGAAATTTCAATTATTTTCTCGTTATTTCAAAAACTCGAAATTTTGATTTTCTTCCCGTTACTTTGATTATTTTCGCTTTATTTCATTTATTTTATTCGAGATTTCGATTTTTTCTCGTTATTACGATTATTTTCTCGTTTTTTTTTCAAGTTTATTTAAAAAAACTCGAAAATAATTGAAAAAAACGAGAAATTTCGATTTAAAAAAAATAAAATATGGTACTAAAGTGGGACCAATACGCTTTCGTAGAATCCCACCTACTACCATGGCGTCGTCTTGGAAGGGACATTACCGTCTTTATGTCTCGTATCACTAAGTAAACTAAACAGCATATTTTTCTAAGATGAAACGAATTAGTTTCGGCTAATTTAGCGAATCGGTCTCAGAACGAAGGTGTCGTAGCGACTGGGTCAGTAGTATTTCCATACAAGAATGGAGATCAACCACACAGGAGACTCAAAGATAAGAAACGTACTTACGATAAGATTTTGTTGATGCAATACAACCTCTCTCCATGCACAGTCACCTTGTTATGTTAAACCATAATTTTCAAAACTTTCTCACGAATGCAAATACAGGGACATTATGTCTAATGTATAACTGCCCAATATATTTCTCAAAGTTTACAGTTCACGTAATGATAAAACTACAATTAGAAAATATCAGTTAGACAATTATTTAAAACTTCTGTGTATGGTTTTTTCATAAACCTAAATTATAATCACCTTGCTGCGTGTAGTCTGTTTCACTTGCGGATAGCATCCGTTTTGCTGTCACCATCTGTCTCTGAAAATATACGGAAACAGTGGCAGTGTGTGAGTGAGTAAGTATGGTTTTACGCCGCAGTTAGCAATATTTCGTCAGTGATGTGTACATGACTGTGATGTGTGATTGACTTTACAACTATTGTAACAATGTCGGAAATCGAACCCAGACCTTTGGTACCCCAAGTGAGCAGTATAACGTCAAGACTACGCCTCCGCCGTGTCGATAAATATGACTTGTATATGAGTGAGCGGGGGAGTTGTGGACTGACACTCACATGAACAGGATTTCGCTAATACCATACGTGTTTGTTTAATATGGGAGGAAAATCCAGAGTGATGCAGGCCTCAAACGTTAACCGCTTTGGAGATACACTGAGCGGGGAGTAGTGCTCACAAACCACGAGTCATAATCATGGCGAACTATAAGCGGATCCTTATACGACTAAGGGGTGCAACTATCCCCAGCGAAATGCGGCGCCCTTGACCTGACCATTGAGTTGTGTAACATATGGAAGTTTATAACAGGACATAAATAAAACAATGTTTGTAGAAACCTACGTTTATAATCGTCGATTACTTTTCTCTCTTCCTCACTCTCCATAAACGACCGTCGATCGTCCTCCCTTTTCTGCAGTGCAGACAGACTTTGCCTAGAATGGATATCAAATACTTAAACTTCATCCTTTGCGCTAAACATAAATTCCTTTTCGTCAAATACCAAGTATGTATGGATTCCCAGAAGGGACATTGTCGTGTTGTCGCATGTTCACCCTTTTGTGCCCAAAACAATATTGTTCAAAGAGCAACAATGCGACAACTCGACAGAGCGACTAAACGTCAGTTATTAACGTTGTCACATTGTCTCGCTTAGGCTAAATTTGACGTGTTTGTGCGCGGGCGACAACGCCCTCAAGGGTTCCATACATATGTTGTAAGCTTAATTAGACAACCAAAATATAAAATTACATAGTTCTTCTGATTGATTACCCGTTTTGCCAGATGGGTTTACTGATACGGGTCGATGAACTGTAGGTAAAAGTTTGCCAAGGCGAAGTAGGGAATGGATTTAAGCATTAAACAATGACACACGTGTATGCATACAAAGCCTCAACTGGCATAAAGAAAATCTTCCTTACGCTTTACTTTCCTTCCTGCGGCTTCCTTCTCGACGGAAGACGATATTGATGAAGGAGCTCACAAGAGGAAGCAGCACAAGCAGCACTAGCATCAGCTTCATGTCTGGTGAAATATTTAGCTCTAGAAAGAAAAATACAATAATATATCCTCCAAAATGCCATGCCAGACAACGGCGAGGATTTATGAAGGTCATTTTGCAATGTTTCAATATTATAAAGTAAGGATACTACTATTACTACTACTACTACTACTACTACTACTACTACTACTACTACTACTACTACTACTACTACTACCACCACCCCACCACCACCACTACAACTACTACTACTACTACTATTTCTCTGCCAAGCTCGGCTTTAAGGTACGAAAACTGATAGGCTCGGAGTCAGCATACTGTGTCTCAGTCCGGTACATATGTTAAACTGCTGTCTGGTATCCACCATTAGAATGGAAATAGCTATACTGAATTCAAGATTGTCAATTTTCTATGAAACCATGGACAGACATATTAAGTTCATTTGGTTGACATCTCTTGTTACGTTCCTGTTACCATACACTATTGTTTTGAGATAAGACAGTGCTTGTAATGTTACGATAAGTAGGAAAAGTGATGAAAAAGTGAAGTGGACAAATAACAACAGCGCTGACATGATGCAATATGTGCAATATCTCTTTCTGCGTTTTGATGATTACTTGTCAATTTTCAGGATAAGTCAACAACGTTTTGATGTACAACTGAAAATTGATATATTCTGGAAATCGAAACCAAAACTGCCTTCGTCGTGAGTAACGACAAGCATAGTCGCCTTTACGGCAAGCATGGGTTGCTAAAAACCTATTCTACCCCGGATCTTCACGGGTCCCCATACCAATGAATAAGAAGGCATGTGCATATGGCATGATGAAAGGTCGCTATAAAGGATATGTTTCTTCCAAATAATATACTCTTTGACCCCAAAAATTATACTCACATTCTGCCAACTTCAAGTCACCGTTTCTCCGCTGTATAACAGAGTACTGAGGGTTACTGCCCTTTATAAACACAGGAACGCCTACTTTCCACTGACACAGGGTGCGGACGCCAGCCGTGACAGAGATGTGATGATGTGATATGTGCAATACTGATATGACACGAACTCCTTTCACACCCGGTTCGTTTGTCAGTCCCGTCTGGCCTTCATTACGTCCCTACCTGAGTGGATTGGAGAATCTTTTCCATTAAGTTACAATCTGCGTTCACTGTGGGTTGTTTATAGGTACTCTGTATTGTTTGTCGTTTGTAGAAGGGGGCGAAGTATACAAATATCATTACTTGCATTAACACCATTGATGCACGCAAACTACACAACGGATAGCAATATCAGTGGAAACATATTGCAAGCTTATTTCAGTTAGCATTTACACACTGGTTGCACGTGTTATGATATCTATAAGGGGTGTCAATACTCAGGCGGCAACTGCGCAGTTTCATCTGGTGATTTTGGTAATTATTGGATAGATTTGAATCAGGTGATTGCGACAAAGCAACAGAACAAATTGTACTTCTACAAATACACATGCCTGAAAAACCTGGGATGTGAGGGTAGGTGATGTGAGGGTAGGGTGATGCTAGGGTAGGGTGGTGTGAGGGTAGGGTGAGGGGATTGTAGGGTGATGGAAAGGTAGTGTATAGGGTGATGGGAGGGTAGGGTGATGCTAGGGTAGGGTGGTGTGAGGGTAGGGTGAGGGGATTGTGGGGTGTTGGAAAAGATAGGGTAAAGTGTAGTGTGATGGGAGGGTTTGGTGTGGGGTGATGTGTAGGGTGATGGGATGGTAAGGTGATGCGAGATTAGGGTGATGTAAGAGTAGGGTGATGTGAGGGTAGGGTGGTGGTGAGGGTAGTGTGTAGGGTGATGTGAGGGTTTTGTGTAGGGCGATTGAAGGATAGGGTGAAGTGTAGGGTTATGGAAGGGTAGGGTGATGGGAGGGTTATGGAAGTGTTGGGTGACGGGAGGGTAGTGGAAAGTTAGGGTGATGAAGGGTAGGGTGCGACGAAGCAATAGAATACACTGTACTTCTACAAATACACATGCCTGAAAAACCTGGGATGTGAGGGTAGGTGATGTGAGGGTAGGGTGATGCTAGGGTAGGGTGGTGTGAGGGTAGGGTGAGGGGATTGTAGGGTGATGGAAAGGTAGTGTATAGGGTGATGTGAGGGTAGGGTGATGTGAGATTAGGGTGATGTGAGGGTAGGGTGATGTGAGAGTAGGGTGGTGGTGAGGGTAGTGTGTAGGGTGATGTGAGGGTTTTGTGTAGGGCGATGGAAGGATAGGGTAAAGTGTAGGGTAATGGGAGGGTTTGGTGTAGGGTGATGTGTAGGGTGATGGGAGGGTAGGGTGATGTGAGATTAGGGTGATGTGAGGGTAGGGTGATGTGAGGGTAGGGTGGTGGTGAGGGTAGTGTGTAGGGTGATGTGAGGGTTTTGTGTAGGGCGATGGAAGGGTAGGGTAAAGTGTAGGGTGATGGGAGGGTTTGGTGTAGGGTGATGTGTAGGGTGATGGGAGGGTTTGGTGTAGGGTGATGTGTAGGGTGGTGGGAGGGTAGGGAGATGTGGGATTAGGGTGATGTGAGGGTAGGGTGGTGGTGAGGGTAGTGTATAGGGTGATGTGAGGGTTTTGTGTAGGGAGATGGAAGGGCAGGGTGAAGTGTAGGGTGATGGAAGGGTAGGGTGATGGGAGGGTTATGGAAGTGTTGGGTGATGGGAGGGTTTGGTGTAGGGTGATGTGTTGGGTGATGGGAGGGTAGTGGAAGGTTAGGATGATGAAGGGTAGGGTGCGACGAAGCAATAGAATACATTGTACTTCTACAAATACACATGCCTGAAAAACCTGGGATGTGAGGGTAGGTAGGTGTGAGGGTATAGTGAGAGGATTGTTGGGTGATGGAAGGGTAGTGTTAAGGGTGATGGGAGATTCGGTGTGTGAGTGTTGGGTTTAACGCCGCTTTTAACAGTAGTCCAGTTATATCACGCCTGTCAGCTTAATGTGGGAGGAAAGCCCGAAGTGATGCAGGTCTCGGACGTTTACCACTTCCGTGATGTGAGGGAAGGGTGATATGAGGGTAGAGTGAGGGGATTTTAGGGTGATGGAAGGTTGGTGTGAAGGGTGATGGGAGGATAGTGTGATGGAAGGGTAGAGTGATGGAAGGGTAGGGTGATGGAAGGGTAGGGTGATGGAAGGGTAGAGTGATGGAAGGGTGGAGTGATGGAAGGGTAGAGTGATGAAAGGGTAGAGTGATGGGAGGGTAGGGTGATTGAAGGGTAGGGTGATGAATGGATAGGGTGATGGAAGGGTAGAGTGATGGAAGGGAAGGGTGATGGAAGGGTAGGGTGATGGAAGGGTAGGGTGATGGGGTAGGATGATGGAAGGGTAGTGTGATGGAAGGGTAGAGTGATGGAAGGGTAGAGTGATGGAAGGGTAGGGTGATGAAAGGGTAGAGTGATGGGAGGGTAGGGTGATGGGAGGGTAGGGTGATGGAAGGATAGGGTGACGGAAGAGTAGAGTGATGGAAGGGTAGGGTGATGGAAGGATAGGGTGATGGAAGGGTAGAGTGATGGAAGGGTAGAGTGATGGAAGGGTAGGGTGATGGAAGGGTAGAATGATGGAAGGGTAGAGTGATGGAAGGGTAGTGTGATGGAAGGGTAGGGTGATGGAAGGGTAGAGTGATGGGGGGGGGGTGTAGGATGATGGGAGGGTAGGGTGATGGAAGGGTAGGGTGATGAAAGGATAGGGTGATGGAAGGGTAGAGTGATGGAAGGGTAGAGTGATGGAAGGGTAGGGTGATGGAAGGGTAGAGTGATGGAAGGGTAGAGTGATGGAAGGGTTGTGTGATGGAAGGGTAGGGTGATGGGAGGGTAGGATGATGGAAGGGTAGGGTGATCGAAAGGTAGGGTGATGGAAGGGTAGGGTGATGGAAGGGTAGTGTGATGGAAGGGTAGGGTCATGGAAGGGTAGGGTCATGGAAGGGTAGTGTGATGGAAGGATAGTGTGATGGAAGGGTAGAGTGATGGAAGGGTAGTGTGCTGGATGGATAGTGTGATGGAAGGGTAGGGTGATGGAAGGGTAGTGTGATGGAAGGGTAGGGTGATGGAAGGGAAGGGTGATGGAAGGGTAGTGTGATGGAAGGATAGTGTGATGGAAGGGTAGGGTGATGGAAGGGTAGGGTGATGGAAGGGTAGAGTGATGAAAGGGTAGAGTGATGGGAGGGTAGGGTGATGGAAGGGTAGGGTGATGGAAGGGTAGGGTGATGGAAGGATAGTGTGCTGGATGGATAGTATGATGGAAGGATAGTGTGATGGAAGGGGGGGTAAGATGATGGTAGGGTACTCAGTAGGGTGATGGAAGGATAGGGCTGTGCAAGGGTAGGATGATGGGAGGGCGGAGGGATTGGAGGGAAATGGTGGTGCAGGATACTTTGAAAATAAGAATTCCATTGCTAAGATTTAACAATATCAGAGAAGATAGTTGTCCTTCGTCACTCTGCTTGTCTCAGAGCGGGATTAAAGTCGTTGTCCTAGAACTTGTTTCAACACGTCTTAATAAGTTTCAGTTAGATGGGGATTTTGCTGATTGTAACGCAAAAGAAAGTTATATAGAGTAGAAAAACAATTCTTGTGCATGACATATCATATTATTTACTTTATTTCATTTCACGGTATTTTGTATGCTAAAAAGTCGTTTTCCTTCTTATTTCTAATTGACTAACATGTCCAATAAAGCATTCGTAAAATATCTGACACGCTTCTTACCATTTCATTGAACATTTAACAGGGTCGCTTTGTTCAAGCCAGCTGCTGGGATCAGCGCTTGGCAGAGCTTGAAAGCGCTGGGAAGCAGTGTCTGCAACAACCCTCCGCTGTATCTGCGCACATCGATAGACAGGGCGTATGTGTATGTGTAGCAGCAACAGATTTTGTATATTTCTTGTGTTTTACATGTTACGTATGATTCATGTACATACTTAAATGTTTTAAGTCCTCTTATTTTTATTTCTCAGCCTACTTTCAAAATGACGCTGGCATTCATAGCCCTTTTACTTTAGTTTGCGAAATTCACACCCTGTGCACTTGGCACAATAGCCCCTTTCCTCACTCAGGCCCTGTTGTCTTCATCTTCAGTTTGGGTATTCAGCTCAGCTGTGTACTGGACACATCAGGAGGTCTGTGGTCACTCCACAAATATTCTTAAAAAAATAAACATATATCTATATTCTGACTTGTGATTCGAAATGATTTTCTCATTGGGAGCTTTGGATCATATTCCAATGTTAGTATTTTAGTATTGGATTGATGAGATATTGTTTGTATGGGGTATTTGGATTTTGTATGTGTGTTGAGACACGAGTACGCGGAATATGAATTCGTGATTATCAGTGCTTTAAACAACTAAATACGTATCCCAAATTCATTAAAATGTGTATACCCACTAAACTAAGAGTAATACGAGTAATTTTAGTAATATAAGTAGAACTCATTTGTGATATAAGAGATAAGTCTAAGCGAGCATGCATGTGATGAATGAATGAAGGTAAGCATAAAAGAATCAAAGCAAGTGAAGTGAATGAGTGAATGAGGCATTTCATAGTATTGCTGTATCGTGATCACCTACAACAATACGTGAGAAGGTATTAGTATTGAGCTCCATATTTGTTCTCATGGGCATGTCTGCATACACTGTATATATTGTTATTTTCTCTGCAGACGAGTAGGTATTTAGCACAGCATCGTCCCCAGGTGTGGCATCAATCCAGGCCCACACACCTGGTACGTTTACATGACGTTTATTTATCGTTTATTTGCATTGCTTATGTGTTATGTATTAACTGTGTATATTGTCTATCTAGTGGTTATATATCGAGACAGAAATACTTTTGCAATGTATATATATAGTTTGAGTGAGTTTATTTCAGTAAAGAGGCCACCGGCGCATTATACAGTTATGGTTACAGTGGATTACAACAATAGCAGGCGCCAGATAATATAAGTGATATACATAGTGAAACAATTGAATTAT